ATTGAAGTAAAACATTCGAATAAATATAAGCATAAAGTAAGGAATACGTTCATAAGTCTCTCATAACACTTATTGTACCAACCTGATGAAAAATCAACATGGATATTAATCTCATCAACCACAGTAACGATGTTTATACTTGATAATTCTAATCAAAGAGAATGAAAAATAATAGATCTTTGTATACATGAATGAATTACAAGAACAATTCCTACCATCAGCTTCAACATCATTGCTCCTTTCAGTCTCACTGATTTCGATTAAATTTCCTAACCTGTGGTGCAAGCATAATATTGGGGTTTGTGCTTTTGGCTAATCACAGAAATTTATTAGAATTTGTTTTGACAATTTGATGTGATCAGATATGATTTGTTTTATCATTAACAATCATACTGTTTAGTTTATCTAATCTAATTTTTAAATGGTAACCGTGTTTTTCTTTTCAAAAAATTTATATTACCAATGATATAAAATTAAAAAAATAACATGTAGGATTTAGTCCTATTTGTCAAGTGGAAAACGACCCCAGTTTCCTCTCTCTGGGTTTTCCCTTAGTAAGTTATATATAGATATAGATATAATAAATAGATAGATATGATAGATAATAGATAGATTAAAGACTTTAATAGAAGCTTCTAGGTAGATGTTGGCAAAAAATGAAGTCCGCTTAAATAACTGGTCATGTTGAGATGCATAATCAGCTGTGAGGCAGAATTGAGGCTGTCATACACCATCAAGAGCCATCGTATCACTTTAGGTATATTGTGAACCGATTTTTGTTCCTTATATCCATTTCATACGAAAAATGTGACATTGTTAATTAGTGTATAACTTCATCGTTAAATAAAAATTTTCAATTAGATTTCGCTTTCTCTCTTGATATGTCAATACTGGGATGAATTTAGGTTATCTTTGATTGAATGCAATCCAAGGGGGATGTTACCAATTGTCATGTCTTTTTGAGTTTTTTCTGTTGATACGTTACAAATAGATACTACTAATGCTGTGGATTACATTCATATGATTGAATATATTCTGGAATTTTTGGCTTATTGTGAACAAAATGACATGGCAATTATATTTTTGAGAGATTCCTACCATATATTAGAGAATCCACCCATGATTTTGTGTGATTTCTCCCATGATGGCACATGTTGATATTCTTGCTCCATGACTTTTAGAGTGGATTGGAAAAACTTTCTAACGTAAAGTTGGGAGTCCCTTTGTTCATATCAGAAACCCTCAAAGTTTAGTGTGACTAGTTTTTTATGAGTTTGTAAAAAAATTTCAGGATTGTCTGAATAAAGATCGAGTGAACATAATCTCCCTCCTCATATTTGTAGGGCATTGCCGATGCCAAGTTGAGTCTAACAGTTTTAGTGTGGCACTTAACTTCGCAATCTAGCTACTTCGATGAAAATAACCAATGCCCGTTATCAAGCCTATAGTGTTGCTAAAAAGGTGACAAATCGTATTTCCTTTTCATTTTAAAATTTAACTTGACCAACATGTTTAATAAACATTGTTTTATGCTATTCTTGTCTACCAATATGAAACTGTTCCCGTACTAGAGTAATTGTTATCCACTCGTAAGCTCAATCTTTTTCTTCAAAAATATTACTTGTTGATAATTGACTATTTTGTTTGATGGGTATGTGGTCTCATTAAGCACTCGATGATGCTATTGATTTGAGTGATGAACTTGGTGATTCCGCCAAGGATACCATTCGAATGATGGGACAACTTCATGAGAGCATTGAGATGTGGAATTCAAATTCAGGTTATCTCATCTACTCTTGCCCTTAACTTCACGGCTGGTGCTAACCCTCATTTTCATATGTTGCCATAGATTTGAATACACTGTGTTTTTTAGAAGATGGGAATTGCGTATTAATTATTATCCGTTTTTTCGTGTTTGTGGACGAAGGTAGCATAAGTAAAGGTACAACAAAGAAAGTAGAGGATGCATGTAGTTTTTGAAGTTAATAAGAAGGATACATAGACCATGGTCACTTTGGATTGATCAATTCTTACTGATCCTTAGAATACTGCTGAACTTTTTAACTGAATTGTTATTGTTATTTGAGTGCAGGTTCAATGGGCCTAGCCCAATTCTGAATAGTATTAATAGTCTATAACTATTCATTTTTAAACATGCCATTAGGTCGTTCATTTGTTCTGAAACTTACTTTTTTTATTATTATTATAGATACTCAAAATACCACATATTGGGTTGAATAGTTGAAGACACGTACCGTTGGACATCACATTTTCACTTTATATGTTCATTTTATCCAAAAAAAAAGGTTCTCATTTTATATTGTATGGTTTTAATTATTCAACAAAATATACTTTTCTTTGTGGGTTTTATAGAGAATGGAGTCCTCTTATGTTGATTGATTTTAAATCTTCATTATCAACATAAATTTAATAGTTTTAATATTTCAAATCGGTCGAGTTCATTTCTGGTAATTTATATAAAAAAAAATGAGAAAATAAAAGTTTTATTATTAATATTACAAAATTAGGTCCGTTCAATTCTTCTGCTTGAAGCTTCTTCAACAAGTATATTGTAGTGTTATTATACTTGGTTGCACACATGTATTTAACTTATTTTTTGTTATTGGAAGATTTCTATCCCCAAAATCCTTTTTTTTTATTTTTTATTTTATTTGCGTCTCTGGTTGCCAAAACTGTTTTTAACGTGGAGAGTAAAAAGGCTATTATCTGTCTAAAATTTCCCTCAATGCTCGCTCAATGAACTACTTTTCTTTTCATTCTTCCTCCTTTTTAAGATAATGTTTAAGACATCAATTCTTTAATCATAAGCTCGACTCTGTGATCATAAGTAGCGTAGAAATGATTCATATAAACCTTTGATTTCGGCTTTTAACATAGAAAATGTCGGAAGAAAGACCTAGAAAATAAAACAAATATTTCTCCAATTCTTATTCTAAGGTATTTTAGTTTCTCTTAAATTTTATTTAGTATATTTTTTTAATCGAAAGAAAAAAATCTTTAAAAAAGTTATATCATAATTATATTTACACACTATCACGAAACAGAGGAGGAGAATGAAGGTTCTTATAATTTGAGAGAAAAATATTTCTTTGCCCCGCCCTAGACAGATAAGTTATGGCAATAATGCGATTCTAAATTATACAAGTAAACCTTGTCATAGAACAAACATATATATATATATATATATATATATATATATATATTTAAAAAAACCACTAGGAGAAGGAAGAAATGTTGACTGACCAGAAATACTTTAGGAATGTTCAAAGTATTTGGTCATGCACGTGCTAGATGCCTGGTGTTAGCTACGTCTTCTTTTTATTTTTGTTTTTGTTTTTTTTTTTAATTTTTTTTCCATTATACGCAATATTCTAAAATACAATGACTATTATGTTCCCTTTTAATCAATTTCAAAACACATTTCCATTCAGTCTTAGCATCAAGTAAAACTCTCTCCCTCTTAGTCATTTGGTTCAAATTAACTTCTCATTCAATAAGAAGAAACACATCATGATGCCTTCACTATCATAATGTGATGAATTAGAGAAGTTACTCTAAAAATAAATTTTTGGATCTACTCTTATTTTTCTAATTTCAAAGAACGTTATGCCTAATTGTAACCTTAAAAGTCTTTTAAAGTATAACGAAATTGTAAACAAGTTTTGTATCATGTCGTATGACAAATCAAAATTGCCTTCTTCCATAAATGGAATGAAATTTAGCATACAGTATTTGGCATAAATGGTTGTATGTAGAGGGGAAAAAAAAATTCCACCCATTAGCTGTTTTTTTTTAAAATTTTTTTTTTAAGTCAAACTAATCAATGAGAAAGGTATTACTACATCTGATTTAATGTCGACTATTTTTACGGGATTTTTTTCTTGTACATGTTATTTTTCTCTTACAAAATTAACGGTTTGGTTGCACAAGATGAAGTGATACTATTGTACACTGAGATCAATAAAATTGAAATAAGGATTTGAAGTTTGAAGTACATACCGGCCAAATTTGACTTTGTCCATTTCTTCATAACTCAAAGTAAATAAACCCCAAAAGTACTTTTCTTACTCCAACAATATAAGGAAGAAAACACACGGGATTCCCCAAATCTTCGACAATAATATTGCTCTAACTTTATCATTATGCAATAATTTAAAGGTAATACACCCTAAAACAAGCAATCCCACCAACTCCTAAATGCCATTTTCCAATTGCCCAAAAAAAAAATCTAGTCAATAATCTCGTTTCATAGTTCAGTTTCATCATTTTCTATATCTGCATCAATTTGTTATCTTTAACTAATCTTTCCTTTTAATTAACTGTTTTTTCCTTATAATCACACTGTTAAATTTGGTCCCACCTCTCGTGCGTTCAACTTTGACTATCCTCCCAGTCCCCGCCTCCTTCCTATTTGTAGTAATTTCTCTCTCTTTCCCCCCCCCCTTCTCCAACGTTATTTTTATATTATTATATCAGAGAATAACATATCTTATGAAATTATATAGTAATAAAAATCGATTTTGTAAAATTATAAAATGTCATTTTTTTTTTTTGCAATTTTGTAAATGATGTATGTAACTCACGCGTAAATGTCATTGTTATTTCTATGATCACTTTACTATTTTGTTATAAAAAAAATTTATTGTCTATAGTATCATCAATGAATCTCATGTCTCCAAATTAACAGGTCATTAAGTAATTATTACTCCATCCGTCCCAAAATTATTGTCCAGTTTGAAATTTCACTTTTAGTACAATTTGAAGTAGAAATGAAAACTCAAACTGGACAATAATTATGGGACGGAGGAAGTAGTTTCTATAAAAATGTTTTGTAAATATCCTACCTTGTATTTTTGGGGGGCTTTATTCATTTCGCCGTCTTTTGTCTTTACTTGCATGCAAATATTTACCTTCTCTCCAGCAGCTCCTCCAAAAAAGAATTTCAAAACAAAAATGCTGAAAAAATAAACACGCACACACTGACACACACAGTGATGACCATCTAACTGTTAGTAGTACAAATATTTTACTCCGATTAGTGGTGGTGGGATTATGATAATTCATTGATTATTGTGAATGGTGTATGATTCAATAACGTTGAACAGTGAATACAACTCAAAAGTCTGATGAAGAAAAAACAGAACCTTTGACTAACCCCATTCCTTCTCTCTGCAGTCTGCATCCCCACTCCTTTTCTTCCATAATTTCCATCCCTTTTTTTTCCCCATTTTTTTGATCATTTTGTTTATTGATATTTTGGATATTTTTCTCAATACCCAATTCCAAATACAGTTGCTTTATTTCATATTTTCATCATTTTGTTCTTGAATTACTTCAGCATTTTACCTGTTGACTGTTCTAAAGCCCAAAGCTGCTGACTTCACCTTTTTTTTTTTTTTAATTCCCGTTTGGGTTGGATGAGGAAGAAACTTAAGGGGAGAATGCCTCTTTCCTGAGCTTAGAAACAGAGTAATTGTGACTGTGGAAAAGTAAAAGCAGTTAGGGTTTTGACTTTTTTGTTTTCTCTTTTGGGTATCATCAAGGAGTCGACTTTGGAGTTTGAACAACTCCTTTTTGTTGATTTGGAGTTTGATTATGAGGATTTTGAATCTAGGGATTTAGCCCAGGTGCAGCTGTGAACTCAAATGGATCGGTCACTGGTCTCCACGATCTCAGCTTGGATATTTCTTAGCTCAATTTTGATCTTCTCCCTAATTTCACGGGCATCTGCTAACGCTGAAGGTCAGTTATGCGTGTTCCTCTTGTTGCCCTGCACTTTTTTCCAACCATTTCTATCTGTTAGCTTTGATTTTTTGAGTTTTGATATGCTTGATTATCAATTTATTAAATGCTTATTGATATTGTTGTGCGTTGAGTAAGTAGTATCTCTAAGTATGTGAAATCGGGTGTTTAATGCTCAAAAACGATGCTGTTTTTCTTTCTACAAGTCTGGATTATGGTACCTTTGTTTTATTACTGCCAGGTTAGCGGAAAATAATGAAATTGGAAGGGATATGAATTTAGTAGTGTCATTTTTAATTCAACACATTAAATCTTGTCTTGTTGTTTGATGATAAGCTTTCACTTCGTAATTGGCTTTGTTCTTTTCTTTTTGTAAGCCCTGTGGTTGGCGGGTGGGTGTTTGTTGGGAGGGGTTTGTTTAACGTACAAAGGTTTCAGCAGATTGCAATCATGTCCTGGGATTATGTAATGCAATATCCTATTGGTCTCTTGAAATGGTCCAAATGGAATAATGCAAGAGAACACTTGTTAGCAGTTGATATCTGACTCATTTATCTACACAGGTGATGCGTTGAATGCGCTGAAGAGCAATCTACTTGATCCTCAAAATGTTTTACAGAGTTGGGATGCAACACTTGTAAATCCCTGCACTTGGTTTCATGTCACATGCAATAGTGAAAATAGTGTCACCAGAGTGTAAGTTCTATTTGCCTCATTCTGTAATTGCCAAGGGTTATACTGGTTTTTATTTTATTTTATTATTTTTTTCTTTACTCTGATAAACTCGATCTTTGGTTTAGTGACCTCGGAAACGCAAATTTGTCCGGACAACTAGTTCCACAGCTTGGTCTGCTTCCAAATTTGCAATACCTGTAAGTTAATTTCTTTGCATCAGAGACCATTTATACATACATCTATGAAGGTCTAGTTGATGAAGTAGTTTCCTTAAGTTACCGGTTGTGGATATATAAGATATTTAAGTTACTTTTCTACTTTATTTTTTGTTCACTTCACAAATAATGTGTGTGGTGCATTAGTTGTTTTTTCTTTTCTTTTCTTTGTCAAAACCATTGTATAATAAGAGCCGATAGCCTGAGGAAGCATCCATACTATTCGGAATGCTTTGACAATCAGGTGCCGGGCGATATGAAGAACAAAACCTAAAGTGTCTACCATGATAATTTTAAGATGGATGTCGCATACCCTAGAATCTAGATAATTAAACGAATGCATTACACGCAGTCAACCTTACTGAGTGGGATAATAATTCAGTCATAGTATTTGATACCTGGAAGATGGAAAAAGGCATAGTGAAGTATTGTCATAATGAGAAGGATTTGCTGCTTGAAAGTTGGGAGGAAACTAATATTATCTGAAAGGAGACTACTAGATCACCAGAATCATTAAAGGATGTTTCAGTCTCCCGTATTATCCATGGTTCAGATGCGCATTGTCCTTTGTGAAGCTTCACGTAAAGGATCGCATTGTACTCTTTTCTGCAGCTACCCTTTTTAGATGTATCTTGTGTCAGGAATTATGATTGATTGGTTTGGAATCGTCTTTACAATGATTGACTGTATCGCCATATAATTTTGTATCAACCTGCCAAGTTTTCTTGTGTTTAGAAGGTATCATGCTATAGATGTGTTATCTGTGTCTTTTGCATGTTTTTAATAGCTGCTTATCCTCTTCTTTTCACCTGTTCCATGGCTGCCGTTTTCATTTCTTTTATTCCCTGTTTTCTCTCTCAACAGGGAACTCTATAGTAACAACATCATAGGAAGAATTCCTCTGGAGCTGGGAAACTTGACAAATTTAGTGAGCTTGGATCTTTACTTAAATGGATTGACTGGTTCCATACCTGACACACTGGGCAAACTTCAAAAGTTGCGCTTCCTGTATGACTTATTCATCTTTCTCTGCCATGATTGTTTCCATGCATTTTGCCCTGGCATTTATTGCATTCTTTTGGCACTCGATTTGATGAGATGTCTTACTAGTAACGTTTGAATTTGCATTCTTAATTAGATGCTTAAATGTACGATGCAGTATAGAGTAGGAATAGTTTTTATTTATGCCATTTGCTTGGCTTTGCTATCTATTGAATTTGATTTTATACCGTATATGTGGACTCAACTTTTATGACATCTTGTAACTATATAAGTTGAACAGAAGATGACTTGGTTGTCTTTTTTCTTGCCAACTGTTGTGTTCTTTTGAAGCTGATTTTATTTTCTGTCATGGAATTGTAGGCGTCTCAACAACAACTCCTTGACTGGACAGATTCCTATGTCACTAACCACTGTTGGTACTCTTCAAGTCCTGTAAGTAGAAATTTTTGTCACATTCTCCATTTTTTTTAATCCAAAGTTATATCTAATGCTCTATATTAAAGCAATTGTTCTTTCTCATATCTTTATTCGTTCCTCAATATCTTGCTAAATCTGTAAATTGTTGTCAACATGGATACATCATGTAATTAAATGTTGAAATTCGATGCTTTTTCTAATTTTGTTTGTCCTGCGAAATGTAGGGATCTGTCAAATAACCAATTGACTGGGAAAATTCCCGTCAACGGTTCTTTCACTCTTTTTACTCCCATCAGGTACTTTCTTTACCTTTCCTTAAAATTGATGATAAATTGAGGAAAACTGCTGACTGCACTTAATCTATGCCAGTTTTGGAGGTAATAAATTGGATCAACTTCCGGTCTCTCCACCTCCTCCAATTTCACCAACACCGCCAACTTCTCCAGGTTTTTTCAAGCTGCTTTTGCCATTACTAGATATGTGCTGTGCCTCTAAATTGTATTCCTGGTTGCCATTCTGTTTTTCCACCCTCTCATCTTGAATTTTCTTGAAGCATATGCTTAACTGAAATGATGATTGGTTACTCCATCTCCACCTGAGTGCTCATGTGTCTTCTTGTGGCATACAATTGATACAAAATGGTTATTTGAATTCAATAATCTGGATGAAGTATTTATTTCTGTTAAAGAGTTTCCTAATTGTTTTCTTAAGCAGCTTATGTATTGAATACTTCACTTTTCAGTGGGAAACAGTGCTACTGGTGCCATTGCTGGAGGAGTTGCTGCAGGCGCTGCTCTTCTCTTTGCTGCTCCTGCAATTCTACTTGCTTGGTGGCGAAGAAGGAAACCACAGGATCATTTCTTTGATGTTCCTGGTAAGCGTTAGTGTGTATATAGATATATATTTCATCCTAGCTAGGATTGGCATATGTATTTGCTATGCCTATGTATCTATTAATCACTGCTGTGGGTGTACTCTTTTGCTTACATGGTTAACTTGGTTCCAGCTGAGGAGGATCCCGAAGTTCATCTCGGACAACTTAAGAGATTTTCTCTGCGGGAACTTCAAGTTGCAACTGATAATTTCAGCAATAGAAACATTCTTGGTAGAGGCGGTTTCGGCAAGGTTTACAAAGGAAGGCTAGCAGATGGGTCTCTGGTTGCGGTTAAAAGGCTTAAAGAGGAGCGTACACAAGGTGGAGAGTTACAGTTTCAAACTGAAGTGGAGATGATCAGCATGGCTGTTCATCGGAATTTGCTTCGTCTACGTGGCTTTTGCATGACACCAACAGAACGACTGCTTGTTTATCCATATATGGCTAATGGTAGCGTGGCATCATGCTTGAGAGGTACTTACTTTCATCGTCCATCTGCTTGCTTTGTTCATGGGTGTCTGATGTCTGTTACTATAAAACCTTTTGGTGTCCCTTATTAGAGGGCAAAGATGACATTGTAATTATGAGTTGGGGATAACAACCAGACTACCAGAGTACTGTTTTCTTGAAAAAAAATAAAATTATTTGGAGATGTCTCATGTTTGTAGTTTTTAACCTTTATTAATAACCCTCCAAAATTGGTGCTTGGAATTGTTAAATTCTGTTGAAAAGTTATTTAGGAATATTTCAGAATTTTGAACTGTCCATTCTTTCTTTCTACTTGGGCAAATGTATGTAGTGGTGAAAATCTCTCTGAAACTTCAAATATGAAAGCGTTCAACGGCTAACAACTGAATAATTCTTGTAGAGCGCCCTGACACACAACCGCCTCTTGATTGGCCAATACGGAAGCGCATTGCATTAGGTGCTGCTAGAGGCCTTGCTTATCTGCATGACCATTGTGATCCCAAAATTATTCACCGGGATGTAAAAGCTGCAAACATATTGTTAGATGAGGAGTTTGAAGCAGTTGTTGGAGATTTTGGGTTGGCAAAACTCATGGATTACAAAGACACTCATGTTACAACTGCTGTACGAGGGACAATTGGTCACATTGCCCCTGAGTACCTCTCCACAGGCAAATCTTCGGAGAAAACTGATGTCTTTGGATATGGAGTCATGCTTCTCGAGCTTATCACTGGGCAGAGAGCTTTCGATCTTGCTCGGCTTGCTAATGATGATGATGTCATGTTACTTGATTGGGTAAAGCAAATATCTGACCCCTTTCGAATTCACTTGTTCTAGTATCATCTTTGGTTAAAATGACGAATTGTATCTTGTAATTTGATGTCATTTTATTTCTAATTCATCATTTTTTAACCAGGTCAAAGGACTCCTGAGGGAGAAAAAGTTGGAAACTTTAGTGGATGGAGATCTTCAGGGGAATTATGTTGACGATGAAGTGGAGCAACTTATTCAGGTAGCTCTACTCTGCACACAGAGCTCTCCTACAGAGCGTCCGAAAATGTCGGAAGTTGTAAGAATGCTCGAAGGTGATGGTCTGGCTGAGAGGTGGGAGGAGTGGCAGAAGGAGGAGATGTTCCGGCAGGAGTTCAACCATGCTCACCATCCAACTACAGACTGGATTATTGCTGATTCCACGTCGAATCTCCGACCTGATGAACTGTCTGGCCCTAGATAATATCAGAGGGGCCATTACTTTCATCATTACTTCCACGATATACGAGTCTGTTATTCTTGTGCATAATTTTTATTTTATTTTTTGGTTTTTTTTTTTTTTGGTTTCCCCATTAACTTTTGAAAATAGTCCAAAGTATATCATGTAACGTGAATTTTGGATGGCCAATATATATTGTCTATAGGTTGCCAGCTGACATTAGTGTATTTGTGTAAGTGAATAGGCAGGAATTGGAAGAACAAACTTGTATCTTATTTTTGTTATAGGCTTTGTTCAGCGAATAAATCCTTTGTTAGAGAGTAAAGCAATCTTAGATTAATCATGGTCGTTTCAGTTTTATGGAAAGAGTACTATATAGTAGTAACTTCTAATAGTGGCTTTACAGGAATTTCTGACTCTGATCACGCAGTGTTTCAGTTCAGCTCAATATTAAAACCCTATCGGATATGATCAGATGTTTCGGAACACTGCATGGAGGGCTGATTAACAGTACAAAAGAAACTTTCAACCCTGAATGTAGCATTTTAGGTACCTCAATACCTAAAGGTGAAGAAGACAACCAAGAAAGCTGTTCCACTTCCAAGTATGTCAATATTTCGACCTAGGATACCAACACGTGACTACAATTTTACCATAAAAGGAACAAAAAATCTCTGGTATTAAGATTCACCCATAAGGTACTAGCAAGGAGGAAAATACTAGCTAAAAGAGTGGAAGCAAAAAGCTTATTTACATGCAGTTCCAAACATTCCTTCATAAAATATACTAAGCCGACAATGTTCAAATGGGCGTAGAGGCCTAAAAAATTGCTAACTCCGCTACAGTAAAGAAATTCTACAGCACCCACTGGTAACCCATCAGCTTCACCTTCTGTTACTGGAGACGCCTCTCGGCTTTCCCTTGATCTCGCCTTCCTGTAAATTAGAAGTTGCGAAATAAATTTCAAGCAGCAAATGTATGCATCTAACTAATAAACTACATAGGCCCGGGAGAGGGGGAGGGTGATGGGTGTGTACCTGAACTTGGTGGATGAGTATATGAGTCTTCGCAGTGGCTGGATTATGGTTTTCAGCACCTTTACTCCAGTCATAGCATACCTGGACAAAGAAGAAAATCAGTTATCCTCCTGACAATATATGTGAATGAGGTCAAATGATGACCAATTTCCCACATATGTTACAGTTTGAGTTGATAGAAGTCTAGAAATCAAAAGGTAACTGAATCTAGACTTGCCCATCTTGGATAAACAAGCTCTTATGCACTACTTTTTTTTAAAAATAGTTTTAAGACAAAAAAATCTATGAGGTGCAAGCTTGATAAATTATAAGGAACAAAGCAAACCATACCGAATAAGCATACAACGAGCCATCATTGTTGAAAGAGCTGCAAGGGATGGGTTGGGGGCACCTTGTAAAGGCCTAACCAGAAAAATAAAAAATGGTAAATAATAAAAATTAAGAGCACAGGGAGCATGGCTAGAGAGAGAAAGCATGAAAAGGAAGAATTTTCACCTTCAATCTCTGTTTGCTATCCTTATCCCAGAAGTTAAAAGCACCATCAGACCCTGCGGTTGCAAATGTGTGATGGACCTGAGACAAATTAATGTCAGGATTGAAAATAGCGCAACAGTAACAAAAAATGGCTACATCATAATGCAGATTAGATTAAAGACACCAATCGAATGGTTAAAAAGACCAAGTTTCTCAACCACAATGCAAAGGTACAAGATAGAGAGCCAACTATAACATCAACAGGTAGGGCAGACATTTCATATTAATTTTCACGGATACAGGACAGACATTTGAGGTTGGCAATCAACTCATAAAATCTGCAAATGCATCTTGGTACATCTATCACCAAAAAAAAAAAAGTAGATAATTCTGGGTTTCCCTTGAAACTTTGAAACCAATAAACAAAACAAGGAAGGATGAAGGTACTTACCGGATGGAAATTCAAGGAATTGACAGAGAAAATGTCATTGTTATCTCTATGGCACTTGAAAGTGAAATTTTTACTTTGTTGGGCATCATCAAGATGATGCACACCAACCCTGCCTTCTATTGAACCCACCTGTAGGAAAAAATAAGCACCGTGTCATTACCAAGAGTTTAAGCACAGATGCAAAAAAAAAATTGCATTTAAGCAATTCACCACCATATTTTCTGCGTAAATTGACTACAAGGTAACTTTGTTCATCATGCTTCACAATGTGAAACACAAGCACAAAAATGAAAAAGCTTTCAGGGATCACTAAAAGGTAAAAGGCCGGTATTAAAAAAGGGGCAACTTACCAAAAAACCTTGCTGATCAGGGAAGGCTGCTAAACACCTTGTCTGGTATTTAAGAGGTGATTGGAGTTTCTTAAACTCCACCTGCAGTGACAAATTAAGATAAACTTTACATTCACAAGGTAAAAGTGAACATATGAAACATTCCAGACCAGGAAGATTTTGTTTTCATCAATTCTATAGCCCATAGTAAAAAAAAACCAATGACACAGCAACAATTATTACAATGATAAATAAAATGGACAAAACTAATTATTCTATTTTATGCTCTCTGACAAATATACAATAGATGAAAGAAAAAACTACCAAGGGTCCAATTCTAATGATGCAACATACGACTTAGAAACTTGGAAGAGAATCAATGGCGAACGTTGGTCTTCATAACAGATTTATTAGACATTAAAAGCCAGCATTCAAGTGAAAATATAGAGACGAGGTTGTGTTTCACAAGCAGTAAGAAACTGAAATAGACAAGCATACTGCACGTGGATATATACAACCAAATAAGCCTGAATCCACAATAAACTATTAAAGCTCAAGGAATATGCAAATCAATCTATGTATTAGAGTTAGGAATTATAAAACTTCAACATTTAAGGCACAAGTTCGGGCAAGTATTCTCATACTTAAATGTTCCTCATACAAATAATGCAACTAAGTTCATTAGGTTTTGCTAAAACACAACATACCTGAGGATTCTGCAGATTATACACAGTAATATTTCTATCAGCAGTTCCAACAACCATCAGCGGATATCTAACAGAAAGAGCATAGCAGCGATCGGGGAGTTGCTGAACATGAACTGGATTAGACTGCCTCAAATCCCAGTACCTGTTTACCCCCAGAAAAAAAAAAAGAAAAAGGATTTGAGAGCATGTTGTACAACAAACATCCTACCTTTTCAAATGATAATAAAGCTTCACAAAGTGATAATACCTTGAAGATGTTTCAAGTTTTCATGTAGGAAAAATAGAAAAATCAAAAGAACCAAGAGGCAACATATGAAAAAAAGAAAAAAAAAATAAAAGGGTTCGAAGTTTGAGGAGGGATCAACTGTGATCACCTTAGAGTCTTATCCCAGCTTCCAGTAACTAAAGAATTCATTTCAGGGATCCAAGCCATCTCCTTGACAGGGGCATCATGCATGGCCACTTGCACTGCCTGACCATTGGATAACAAAGGCCACATCTTAGCTTGTTTGTCACAACCTCCAGAAAAGACAGTGGTTCCATCATCCTTCCACGTGGAGCAGAGAACCTGCCAAAGCGAGAATCGAAAAATCAAGACAAAACCAAACACGGTTACCATTAGAGAAGTAAACCAACAAGATCTCTGGTAGTTTACCGGTTGGTCATGCGTCATTGCTGTCTTTGGCACTGTACTAAGGTTGGCTCCATTCCGCCCGACCTCCCAACATCTTACCTGCAGGATGCAATAGATAATTAGCATATTCAACTCTAAAAGAAAGTGCAAGAAAATACATGTTTCTCCTTTTCTCAGATGAGAAAATAAAACACAGCGGCTTTCTCAGGATCAGGAGCATCAAACTGAACAGCTAATATGGCATTGTATCTTAATCAAATTTTTGAGGAATTAAAAGAAGAAATTAAGAGCTTCAATCCCACTTACGTATCCAAATTGCTTGTTTTAACTTCTCAAAAGCTAAAAACAAAAAAAGCGAAGCCACTGGGGCCAAAAAAGAAGGGTGTACCTGATTATCCCATGAAGTGGCAACAAGCAAATTTGCTTTTGGACTAAAACAAAGGCTTGATACAGAGTCAGTGGGAGGTTGCACCACCTACATAGCAGTTCACACACATCACAACAAGATTAAAACCAAGAAAGATAACAGAAACATAAAACTTAATAATCACTAATTCCACCTGAATGTACAATCTACATACTACCGATAAAAGATTCAGTACAGCGTCAAGAATGATAAATCCTTCCCCCAAAAAAAAAAAAACGAAAAAAAGAAAGCGACCAACCTCAGTTGAGCGATTGGGATTATAATTGTTAGCAGCCGAACCGAAAGTCGCCATTGAATCTGTAAATAACAATTGGAATCTACACAATGTAAAGAACAGCAATTCCAAACGATAATCATTAATGATAAAAACTAATCGATTTCAGATTAAACGGAAGAAAATCATATTACTGCAATCAAAATCAAGAAAAGACGAACCGAGCCGTACGGACCTGAAGGAGAGGGTTTGACTGATAAACCCTAGAACTGACGGAATCTCTCTCGAATTGGGATATACTGCTCTGAAGAATCTGTTCGCTTTAAATCCGTTTTTACAGAAGTTTCGAGGTTTTGAAAATGAGGAGAGGGAATCAATGTGGAAGGTTTTGGAACTTATTTATATACGTCTGTTTGTTTCTTGCTAAAAGCGTCAGTTCAACGCGAAAGAAAGCGTTTTGTGAACGCCAGTTAAAAGCGTTTAATTCAGGCTGCGCGCTTTCTTCGCATTTCTTTCCTAAAGGGTAATTTACCGTTTTCCCCAAAAAAAAAAAAATTACCAGTTACAGTCACATCTAATTAATTACAGTTTTTTTTTACCCCTTTTGGTTTAAACCGGAAAAAAAGGAAAGTGGAAATAAAAATAAGGAAAAAGGGAGAAATAATGCATCAAAACTGAGTTAGTGACGGATTTAAAATGGCGGATAATAGAATTTGTAATTTTTAAAAAATAAACGAGTTGGTTGGAGGGTAGGTTTAGTGTAAAAAAAATTTCTTTCTAGATTTAAGGGTATTTTTATCTTTTTACACTAAGATTTGTCTATGGGACATAACTCGGAGGAGTTTTTATCCTTTGGACATAATTCGGGGGAATGTGTCTTTGAGACATAATTCAGGGGGATTTTCGTCCTTTGAAAATAACTCGGAGGGCAATCTGTCTTTGGGACATAAATCGAAGGAATTTTTGTCCTTTCCCTTAAAATAAAGGTATGCCAATTTGATTTCTTAAAACTCTAATATTCAAAAAAGAAAACTAGCTGGTTTGTGAAAAATAAGGAGAATTGTCACATATGGAAGCCAAAACAAAACACATCATTGATTTCACTTACCATCAATGAGTGGTTTTATGGCGCATAATTTTTAAGAGAGTTGGTGTTACACCCCCGTTAACCGGCTATGGATTCCCAGCAGGGAAAAAGGCAAAAGAAAGCCTCTATCCAGCACCAAAAACTCTATGAAAGTAACAGGAATCGTGCATCAAAGAAAAGGCAAGCAGACAACCGAATTTACGGGTAAAAACCCAACCTCGTATTATAAACTCGCAATACAAGGAATTTACTCTAGAACTTGCACAGCACAAATCCCAAATCTCTCCTATGGGTTGCTAGCTAAGTTCCACCGGGATATATACAAAGTTACAAGACTGACACACAAAAAGGTAACCGCCCGTAACCGTCCAGGCCACCTGTCCCGAGAAAACTCGGGTCCGTTTCCTGCCAGCCGCACTGAAAACCCGGAACTGCACCCAGCCACAGTCCGGTTAGCCATGCACCGAGATTTCTCGGTCCCGTTCTACCCGTTTCTGCAACCGTCCGTGCCAAAAGACTGAATTCCCACAAGTCCCAGCCTTTCCCGAGATTTTTCACGCCGGTTCTCCCAAAACTCGGCAACCAACAAACTGATGCCACAAAGTCCTGCAATGCTGTTCCGTTCCAGCCCAACTCACGAGCCAACCCGACAAAACCAGGGACAAGCATCACCTGGCACTTGTTTTCCCGCATCACACGCATGCCGGCTGCGTGTGACATGGGGTCTAAGGATTTAGGGGTCTAACAGTTGGCCTATTCATCTTTCAAGTATTCTTAAATATATTACTTCCTCCGTCCCACAAAAATAGTCTATATTGAGTTTTGAGTTTTATACTGTTTACAGTACAAATTTAAAAACTCAATGTGAACAATTGTTTTGGGACGGAGTTAGTAATCTTTTTTCTGAAATTATATGTGCTTTCACTCCATCTAGTCATCTTCCAAGTATTCTTAAATATATTTTGACTGATACGCCTAGTCCTACTGTCCCCCAAAAATTTCAATATTTGTTGAAAGCATAAAATAGAAATCAAATTCTTTTTTTTTAATCCAATAGTGTATTTTGAGAGTATGTAAGGAGGCCGCAAATGGATTTGGGTAGATTGAGTATAAAAAAAGTAGTAACATTTTGAAACAACAAACTTTCATTACAACAAGATGAGGTGATAAGCCATGTTTGTTATGCACCTCATTTACCTGCGATCTAGGAACTTTAGAAATCAAACAAAGATCAAACTTAAACATTAAACAAATCTAATGCTAGCTCACCCGGCCGTTCATTGAGGTTTCGACTGAATATTGGCTAGCAAGATGCAATCCGTTTGAATGTTACCCCGTGTATAATTTTCATGGGGAATGAAATTTCTTGGCGTTGCGTTTTTTTTTTTTTTGTTCTTTCTTTCCTTTCTTGATCAAAACTAAAAATTCCTGACCTTTTTTTTCAAAAAAGAAAACGATACGATTAATAATAGTTATAAATTACTTATTACAAAATTATTTATTTTTCTAATAATTTAGCTGTAAATAAAAGATTAATATTTTTCTAATACTTTATCCGGTCATTGTTATAAGACATTTTTTATTTTTACTAAATGTCGTGTAGTATGTGTTCTTTTCATTGAAAAATAAAACCTTAAAACTTTTATAATAATTGAGGAACGCAATAAATGTGGAAAAATACTTTTAAAACTTTATTTTTCAATTGGAATAATATACTTAATGAAATTCAGTACAAATTAAAATACTTTTTAAAGAGGAACGGATGGAGTATTTGTGTACATGCGTTAGATAAGACTAATTTAACAAAATCGTGCTGTAATTAATTTTACTGTTTTCGAATATATAGACACAAGATTTTACAATCTATATATATATAAAAAAAAGGAGATAAAATGTTGCGAACAAATGTTTTGTACTCCTTGCAGCCAAAGAAACACATCCGCGTCTATTTGAATTGCGGTTTGCTATTGTTGCTGGTACGTATTATGTATGGAAAACAAGGAATACAAACTATATTTGAGAAGAAAGTCTTCACTATAGAGATTGCTTTTGTGGCAAATAACGGTTGACATTTTTCTTGTGAATAATTTTTTTTTCCCCCCGATAGGGTTTTAAATTCCTATGGTCATTCATATGCTACTGTACTAATTTTAAGAGTTCTATCTTCTTCTTTAATTCTTTCCCCCTCAAAGGGACCAAGTACAAGTACAAGTACAAATGCACAATTTTTATTTTTAAATTTTTTTTTTTCTTATTTTGGATATATGGAAGAAGTAAAATCGTAACTATTACATGTATCTGTATATAAATTAATTTGGTCTTTTGTTTATGAAGGGGAAGAAGGTCTCTCGTGTTTTAGTCCTAGTATATCGACATATACGGTAAATAAAATAAAATCTTCTTCTCTCAAATCATTGTGCTAACAGTGATTTCACAGTTCTTTAATATTGCTGTAATTAACGACATATTGAAATTTTCTCCTCCTTATCAACATGACATGCAGCCACCGGAAAGAGCTGGTCAATGTCAACGATTTTATCCCCCAACAAAATGTACCTACGCTTTTCTTCTATAATTAATTCAATAATCAATTATTAAATCATATATGGCCATCTGTTTCTCATCAAACGCAAGCCTCTACGTCCACAAGCCTTCTCCATTTACAGAGTTGGCATGAAGAATTGCTATTTTATAAAGTAAATTTGATGGGAAAAGATTGATTTTGTGAACAAGTTTTGTTGCATGAATAATTGGCGGTTTCGCAGTACCATGGCATAGAGACCTAGTAAAAATGTAAACTTACGGCCCACAGTAACTTGTTATGCTAGCTCTATTATTGATTGTATCCAATATTATTGTCTAAGCTAATTGTGATTCCGGAGAAATTATTCAGTGCAGCTACTGTATCCCGTAGGATTATGCAGCCAGACACAATAATAGGGTAAAGTAGTAATTTTAGGGGGAGAGATAATTTTTACGAAAATTTACTACCAAAATAAGGGGTGCTAGTACTTGCTGCACTAAAAACCAGGATACAACAGTTGCACCCGATAATTTTTCGTGATTCCGAGGAACATCAGTTTATTTTCTGGTAATCGATGCACTGCAATTTCATATAGTAGCTAGATACTATGAAATCCCACAAAGACCAACTATATGAAGCTGAAAAATAACCTACCTCTATATGAGTGGGATCATTTTTCATTTTGTTCATTTTTTTTTGTTTAAATAATAAATTTAGGCTCTTGTCCTAGTTTAGTGTCTTTTCCAGAATTATTAATATAGGTAGGTTAAATTCAGTTGGCTTCAGTTTAATTAAAGTTGGAGTTTCACGCAGGGACTTCAATATGTATACATAGCTGATTTGACAGATCTTGGTTTACTCATGATGTGCTTGAGATCGTTTACTTAAGAAATGTACTAATTGGTTTTTTTTTAATAAAAAAAAAAACTAACAATTACTTTCTCACTTTTCGTAAAATAATAACAACTATATATAATAAAATCGGGCAAATCACTCAAAATGATCAACGGATTTCATGACTAAGTCCATTTTTGTATAATCTTGTACTTGTTCAAATCAAAATCTTCGGTCCAAATAATACATGGTCGTACAAGTTACAACTTACAAGAAGGTATTTTTATCTGAAATCTCGCGCACTACATTTAATTTTGCCAGAAAGTTTAGTTTCCATTCAGAAGAAAAGCCTTCTTACCTGCTCGTGTAATGCAACATGCATGATTTGAAGTTTTGTACCCTCCAGAAAGATCATTAATTATGATCAAATGATCATATTTCCGTGTTTATAGAAACAAGAGGTTTAATTAACTGACTGGTTTCAAACATTTTATGGAATGATCGGTGCACAAAAATAGATTGGCACATGCAATGTTCCTAACACATGAAATATGAGTAATATATAACGTATTCCAAATTAATTCTTTTTCGACTCGGATATATCCACTCCCACCACTTCCAACGTAGAAAATATACCACACGTACAGTATATGGGATTTGCTCAAAGCCTTGACTCCTGCTGCAAGTTTCCAGTTCGTTCCAACTTGTGGCTTCTTGAGCATTAATGGATCGATGTTCCACTCATTGAAAGATATGTGATTTTTAAAAACTTTTCAAAGTATCAAAACCCCATGGTAAAACCCCTTGACTCTTTTAAGTCAATAAATATTCTTGTTTTTCCAAGCAGTTCCTTAATTAATTATTCAGCCAACGACAATGCAATAAAATAAACAAAACAACATGAGATATCCCTCTCTTCTATACTTTGTTTTTGGAGACTAATTTGGGAACATCTTTGAATCTTTGAAACAGGCTGTTTTGTACTCAAATGGGTTTACTTTTACCAAATTAATACACAATTAACTCAACTTTAATTTTTTTACTTCTAGACCATTTGATTTAGTCACCTACCCTTTTTAACTAAAGCGACCATTTCTCAAGTGCTTAACTTTGTTAGTGTTTATTAATTGAATTATTGCCTTAAACATTTAAAATACTCTATCCGTTTAGTTTAACAATTCACTTTATTATATGGTTTTAGTTCGACAGAGTACTGTTTTTTGTTTTATGCCAATTAATTCCCAAGTCAATCCTTTAAGTCAATTTGGTTTTTTTTTTTTTTTTATTTGGGTGCTTTTTCCTACCCAATAACCTATTACCATTTGGTCTTCGTCCACTTTTAATTAGTTTGATCTGCTTCGTGGATAGCTGGAACATTATAGCCAGCTAGCTTATTTTGGCAGAACATATCACTTTCCAATTGATTAATTTTCTGCATTTTTTTTTCCCTGAAAGCTCCTTTACGTTTAGATGCATTAGCAATGGAAGACGTCGATCTGCTTGTCGTCGGATGGATTCTTACCGATTTTAATTTTCCTGCGGGTCAAAAATGGTTTAGTGGTTAGTAATATTTGGCAGCTCCTAAGAAAAAAAAGGTTATGCAACTTTTCAGAGTGAATCTCTCTAAAGACATCAATACCTCGTATTTTCCATGCAGTTGCGAGAACAACATTGTATCAAATACACCATGTAAGAAACATAAATTCAGAGAGTGGCTTACTGTGATATTATCATTTATTGCTTATTAACTGTGCTTAATTTGTTAAACCACTATTGTTTTATTCATAACTGTAACATTTTTAAACAAACCCTAGCTATTCGATTGTTAAAAAAAATACACACACACACACACACAAAAATGATACGCATTAAAATACACCACATATATATGTTCTTTCTAGGGTGATGTACGTACAAATTGGTGCCTTATCTTCAATCACTTTTCTGTCATTGACCAAATTGGAGATCTAGATTTTATAAGATTGTGTACAACGAATGTTGCCATGTTTTTTGCTGTTTAGACTTTAGACGGGGTAGAGGGGTTTTTTTTTTTCCTTGTTTTGGGGGGGGAGGGATGTGGAGGATAACCTTTGATACATATGGGAAGTTTTGTGGAAGATTGGCGATTGGTAAGTAGTACAAATAATCGTGGAATTTTTTTCTTTTTTGGTACAGAATAATTGTGGAATATTAGAAGGACGATCAGGACATATACATCAACAAGGATATCTATCTCGATCTTTGATTTTTTCATTCGATGAGTCATCAAAGCTTGTGAACAGTGTTGTTTTTTTTCCCCCCATTATTCTTACTAGTTCTTTGGTCATCGATCAAAGTACACATGCATCATGCATATGCATGCGCTTTATATATGTTTGATCTTCTTGGTGATATCATATATTGCAAAAACTCTGTAACTAAACCCTAAATTCCGCAACATTTCACAGAAAAAATGCAGTAACTGAATTGCGTGTATCTGCTATATTCGGTGATATTGCAACAATTTTACTGATGATTTACGGGTTGAGGCAGCTGAGTTTGAACGAGGAACTTTTTAGCCATCATGCATGCACATATTTTTTATTCAGCCACCGGTTTACATCTCCCAATTGATCCATGGACAAATTTTCTCAATGCCACGTGGGAAATATAATACTCTCTCATATTCTTTATTATAAGTTGTTCTGATTGATGAATAAAATTTAAGAAAAATCAAAATATTTAATAATAAGAACCAGGAAGAATATTACCTATATCTAAAAATATTTGTCCAATTTTTGTACTAAAAGTTGTCTTTGTGAAATGATCAAGAAATTGGTGTCCTTATTTTCATTTTCTTGTTAATTCACAAGACACAGCGTGTACCTAACTTCTCTACGCACATACCTCACTCATGAGATAAGCATTGCCATATGATTTTGGGAACGATTAATAAACCTAACAATTATTTCCTAACTACACTAAAGTGCGATTGGTAACAGTTATAAATACCAACTGGTTCATTTCATTTATTGATCACCAGCTAAGAAACGGAATAAAATTAGCAGTTGGCTGGGTGGGAATGCATATTATTTATTAAGGGAGATAATGTGTATAAAGTCTAACTCTATCGTTCCAAAGAAATTAATTAATAAATATTCTCTTTGTTCTGAGATAATTATTCATTTAAATTTTCACTTTTAGTACAAATAAACCAACTCTTAACAAAAAAAATATGATTGTTTGTTTGTGAGACTTTTATGTCTCAAAGGAGACCTACTATATTTGCTCAAGGAATTGATAATATATATATATATATATATATGTATATACACATATCTGTTTATATGATTATTTCATAGGTTTCTGTAAAAAATACTTGCTCTATCCCAAAATTATTGTCTAGTTTGAAATTTCACTTTTAATACAATTTGAACTAAAAATGAAAAACTCAAACTGGACAATAATTATGAGACGGACGGAGTAATTATTATTATAATTAATGATCGGGAATTGCTAATGAAGTAGTGTGAACAAAGCATAACTTCTGGTAATCGAATTCACATGTGCTAAAGAAATTTATGCACTCCATGTCTGCTTTGACTCAACAAAAGCAAACAAATTACACTCTTAGTATTTGACAATTCAAACCCTATATGCATGTCAAATTTGTTTGTCGTGTATTCTTTTGTTCCTAGTATAAATTCAGACTTCCAGAGATGAACTCTCCTTTCATATCACCCACCAAAACTCACCTGACCTCATAAAAACTAAACCTCTGCACATAAAACCATTCATCAACGATTCAATAATGTATAAGATCTCTATTACCGATTCCTTGATTCAGAATGCAGTTTCCTTGGAGTCTTCACAACGGTAATAACACACTCTTTTTTTCCATTGTCATTTTAAAAAAGTTTTACCATGCACATATGTTGTTTTACGTTCAAAGCATTATTCCTGTTGATTTGTTCAAACCATATTCTCTCTTGGGTTCTTATTCGGTAATGATTCTTCCGCAGGTTACTAGCAGAAAAGGGAGGAAGTAAGTAATGATGATCACGAGATCATTAGTACATCGATCTTCAATTGTCACACACACGCACAAACACATATATACGGTGATTTAAGTCTCTAGCTAATTAATATATCAACTAATATTTGTTGAATATAAACAATGATCGCAGTGTCAGCTGAGTATAGCACAAGGGTGGCTCGTAACGTGAACATGGAAAAGTTGCAATCCAATTATCTTTTCCCGGAGGTTCGTGCTTATAACTCTTGATTTACACATCTTATACGTATATATTTTCACTTCTACATCTGAATAACTTATCATAAAATCATGTCGCATCCGGCGATAATCTGTTTTTCCCCTCCCCTTTACGAGAGAGCACACACACACACACACACACACAAACATATATATATATATATATATATATATATATATATATTATTGATACTCTTTTCATCATAAAATGATCAATTGTTCGGTTTAAATTTTTCATTTTAAATAGAACAAGTAATTTTGGAATAAAAGGAGTATTAGGGTTGTGTTTTACTGTCATAAATCCTTAAATTAATGACTTGGATTCATCACAGATAGCCGCTCGAGAGATGAAGCACAGGAAGAAGTACCCGAATGCAAAAGTAATAAGCCTAGGTATTGGCGACACCACACAGCCCATTCCCCTCAACGTCGCTTTAAGCATGGCTAATGTAAGTTCTTTCCAATATATTTTTCCTCCCCAAAAAAGGAAAAAAAAATGATATTATTGTGGATGAGGAGTAATATAATTCATGGCAGTAAAATAGATTTTTGATCCCATGTGAAACACAGAATATGTTTGTTTATTTATGATGAATGGGAATGTCTACTTACCAAAAATTTTAGAGGCAAAAGGATGAGGGTTTATGTTATTGCTAGTACTCTCTCTGTCCCAAAAAAATAGTTCATATTGAATTTCGAGTTTTGTATTGTTTTTAGTACAAAATTGAAAATTCAATATGGAGTATTTTTATGGGACGGAAGTAATATTATTTTTTCTCACTTCCGTACGTTCGGGTTTGCTGGGTCTTGAACGTGGAAATTTAGAGCCAGAATTCAGTGGAAATGGGGGGATCACCTCGAACATATGTAGTAGTTATAAGGTGATCCTTTTGACGTCTTTTGACGTTAAAATTAGTCTCTGTTCTTAGTCAGACAAACGAATCTTAATTAACTTGATTCATAAGTTATTCAATCAAACAACCCAAGTCCCAAACTTGGTTTGGCTCCTTAAGCGACTCAGTGGATAATACATAACTTTTTGTCAATCAAAAATATTTTTGTAAAAAAAAAAAAAAAAAGAAAAAGAAACAAGAAGTTTTTGGTTACAAGTTCTCAACTACCCTCGATGGATATAGTTTATCGTTAGGTGCATCAAGGTTTGGAGGCCGAATAGGGTTTCATTTAGACTTTAATCACAATTCTTAGCATCACACGTATGGAATTAATATGGCCGGCCATGCAAATTTGAAACCGTAGTCAAACTTTACCTGATCATGTTGATATTGGATAGAATAATCTTATGAGTCGATTTCACTGGACCTACAAAGTGATAGAAGTTTTTTGCATATAACAAAGTTAAAAAAAAAAGAAAAAGTTCCAACTTTACCAGCGGTAGTTTAATTAGTAGGGTTCAGTCTCTAACGTTTATGAATAATAGAACAATTGAACCCCTTTTACTTTATCAAATAGGACTTTCTGCGTTGACTTCTTAGTTCAAAATTATAGTACGTGTACTGTGTTTAGTCTTTTTGTGGGTAGTCCAAATGTACTTATGAAGGGCCAAATTATCAAACGTTTGATTGTCAAAATTCCAACACAAATCTACAGAACCGATACACTGATTAAATTGAATGGAAATTGCGGGTTTTTGAGTGCATCAGTTTCCTTCCAGTTAATTAATGCATTATTGGTGTTCTTAAATGAAATTAAAATTTTTATTTAGCAATTATATAGACACAAGACTTCAGAAATTTGCACGTAATGGTGGAGATGAGCGGTGGAATTTTCTGAACAGTTTCACAATTTTTTGTAGGTCGTGGGTACAATTAAGAAGAATAAATATTTTATTAGGAAAGGGGGAAAAAAGAAAGAAAAGGAGGGGGAATCATAAAATTATCAAAATCACATTCTACCAAAATTTGATGGATATCTCCTGGATGGTCGTCAGTTAATTGCTTAGTTTGCATATTTTTCCTGGTTCATCCATCCTTTCTCCAAAATAAAAAATAAAAAATAAAATTATTGTGTGGACTAACAATTTACATGTTTCCCCGAATTTTCAAGGTCGATCAGACTTTTCCATATTATTAGTAATATTGACCCGAAATTAAAATTCATAGCAAACATAGAAAAACCACATCAACACAACATTGTCTGAATTTGGTGATCCATCGGTTGTTGATTTACTTTTTGTTTTAATTAATTTTTTAAAAAAAAGAATAAAATATTAGAGATTGCTTCTTTGAGTACGATTAATCACAATAGATATAATAATAATAATACTCAAATTTGATTTCTAATGGTATTATCATCAAATCGAGTAATAATTTGTTACTATACTACTAATCTATAAGTTACATCACACATATCCTAATCTATTGTGCATACAGAGGCATCATTCTTAACGGAAAAATGTTACCTTTTGAAATGCTGTAGTTTGCTCAAGCTCTATCAACGCCTGAAGGTTATAGCGGCTATGGATTAGAACAAGGGAATCAGGTTTGGAGAGAATTTCTGTTCCCTTATGATTACATGATTTTTCTTTCTTCGTTAATTTATTTCCCTTTCAAATGTATCCGATAAGGTCTGAATACGTAATTTTGATGCTATAAAGCGGATCAAGGATATCTACCAACACTTCATTAATTTCTCCTAATTACATGATTTGTTAATAATTACTATTTTGAAATGAATGACAATATAATCTCAAGAATTCATATATGGTTGAGTAATTTTCCATGCATCTGGGCTGCGATTCTTTTTCAAAAAAAAAAAACACACACACACACATTAATAAGATTTTGCTTGACTTTTTAAATATCACAGGAGCTAAGAAAAGCAGTGGCGGCAACAATGTACAAGGACTTGCCCGTAAAAGATACAGAAATCTTCATCTCTGATGGCTCTCAGAGCGAAATCTCACGCCTTCAGGTTGTCATCCTCTCCAGCTAGTGTTTTACTATTAACAATTTTATTTATATGTATTTACTCTTTTTATTTTGATTAGTCAGTCTTACGTCTTACTATCCTCAATTAATGACAGCTGCTTCTGGGGCCTCATGTCAGCATTGCGGTCCAGGATCAATCATTCCCGGTAATATTCACCTTCTTTGTTTCCTTTTGACTTTTTCTTTTATTACACTCAAAACGAATAATTTTCATTTTTGGATACTGATATTATTATGATTATTATCTACTAAAGGGTTACAATTTCAGTGTCTTGGTGTTTATGTCACCTGTCATATGATTAGGCCACGTTTGTATCGTCTTACTACAAAAAACGTAATCTTCAACTTGAATTTGTGCCATTTCTTATACGATGGATGGATGAATTAGTCACAACCCTATATGTGTTCCTGTGAACCAAGTCTTTCAAATTTAGTGACCACAAAGTGTTGAAAAGCAGGCCTATGTCGATTCGGGTGTAATAATCGGCCAAACTGGCGACTATGATCATGCCTCTGGGAGATACCGCAACATTGAGTACATGAAATGTGGTCCTGAAAACAATTTCTTTCCGGACTTATCAAAGACTCCAAGAACCGATATCATCTTCTTCTGTTCCCCAAATAACCCAACTGGGCATGCATCATCCAGGGAGCAACTAACACAACTTGTTGAGTTTGCCCAGAGGAACGGGTCGATTATCATTTTCGACTCTGCATACGCTGCATTTGTTTCTGATGGAAGCCCCCGATCCATCTTCGAAATCCCTGGTGCTCGCAAGGTATATGTATATATCCATCCTGCCGGAAGTTCTGCTCCAGTCTTCACTCCTGAATAGCTTTTTCCACAATGACGGTGACTCATATATTTCATATTTCTCAGGTTGCTATTGAAGTTGCATCCTTCTCAAAGCTCGCCGGTTTCACAGGTATACGTCTTGGCTGGACAGTGGTACCAGATGAACTGTTATATTCAGATGGTTTCCCTGTTCAACACGATTTCAACAGGATCATCTGCACTTGTTTCAATGGAGCTTCAAAGGTAGCTCAGGCTGGGGGATTAGCTTGCCTATCACCTGAGGGGCTTAAGGTAACTTCTTTCAAACCACGAGTCTCGTTGTCAAGAACCATATTAAGGCATAGAAGCATAACACAAAGTTCATGCTTATCCTTCTACAGGCAATCAATTCAGTGGTTGATTACTATAAGGAGAATGCAAGCATACTGATAGACTCTTTCACATCACTAGGATTAGATGTCTATGGTGGCAGAAATGCCCCATATGTTTGGGTACATTTTCCTGGCTCAAAATCTTGGGATGTTTTCAATGAGATTCTAGAGAAAACACACATAATAACCGTTCCCGGAAGTGGCTTTGGACCGGGCGGCGAAGGGTTCCTAAGGGTTACTGCATTTGGGCAAAGGGATGACATTCTTGAAGCCTCAAGAAGGATTAAGAGTCTCCTCTAGTGAACAATGGTAAAAGCTAATCAGGTTTACCAGCTTTTCTGCATATTCAATAAAATGTGAAACAGCTCATCTCCCTATCCGAGTTAAAAAGTGTTGCTTCTACTTCTATCTTATCTATTTGTAAAAGTACCCTTATGCAACAATAGAAACTATATACTTTCATGCACTGATGTGAAATCATGACCATAGGGCTTGTTTAGATTTCATGAATCACAACACAGATTATAAGATGCACATTCAGACATTCTTGCAAACGTGCAGCTTAATTTTGAAGTCAATTATGAAGCAGGTACTAAACTGAATAGAATCTCCTGGAATGATGTCATGGCCTATCATGTGGATACTCTAAATTTTGAAAAGCATAATAGTTTAAGAATTCAACAAAACAACTGATCAAAGATTTTCCAAACCAACATCTTCAACTAACCTCCACAATAGGGAAAAGACATACCAGTTCCAGATTTTGTAATTTCTAAATTCTTCATTGCAGAAGGGTGAAATGGAGAAAGAAATCGACAAAACACAAAAGTAAATCAGCAGAAAAATATTATTACCAAAACAACCTTGGGTTTACAGGTCATCTATCAACGAAACACAAAAGGTAATCTGGCAGAAACTTTAAGTACTGAAAAAATCTTTGAGCCGAAATATCCATTCAAAGATTAATTGAAACCAAAGGCCTGAATGCAGAACTTCTTATGTGGTGTGAAAAGCAATTTCCACACCTAGATTTATACTCGAAGAAAAAAAAAATAAAAGAAGAAGAAAAAGGTGCATACCAGGAATCCCGTCAAATTGCATTCAAAATCTTTCGAAACTACTGCAGAAAGCTTATTTTTCACAGGAAACTGTAGGATCATGACAAACAGTTCAAATAGAAATCTTAATCCCGTTTTAAAAGAAGAAATCAGTAGTTACTCTCCAGCCAATTCACTTCCACACTTTTAATTGAATCCAAAGGCGGTTTCTCACTGGCGCTGCTAGGGATGAATTAAAATATAGTAATAAATCCCAAAAGAAGGAGTACAAAGATAAGAAAGATGCAGATCAAGTTGATATGTGTGTTATTACCTGACCAATGCTATATCAATGTGTATTAGACAACAGTATCTGTCATCTCAACATTTCCAAGTCCATCAACAAAATATTTCATTCCCATATATTATATACTTGATTCCAATAAGCATACAAGCCCATTTGGCTGCATATACATCAATGATATAACTGATTCTAAAGTTTTCTTGAGCTTTTAACACAGGAAAGTGCTGTAAAATCAATTGATCAGCATGTCAATTGAACCATGAAGGAGCAACAGTACATAAAGTATAAGTATAATCATAACCTCATCAAATACCAAGGATCTGGCAGCTGACCAGCTCAGCCGATCCGGCATGTCTATTCGCAATTACATTCCAAAGATTAGGTTCCGAAGCTGGTGCTGATCCAGATGCCTCCTTTGGAGATTCATCTAAACTAAGGTATGTCTCTGATTCAGAAGTTGCTAATTGGTTCTGCCAATCTGCCTGCATCACCAAGATATCTTGATTCTCATCTTTCGTGATCACGTGCAACTTCCCAAGCAAACCGGCAAGTAGATAGGGGGCCTCAGCATCAGCTAAGTCACGAATGGGGATGTCTCCTTCAACCACTTTCCAAGAATCATCCCTATGATCATAAAATTTGATCCTTGCACTATCTAGAGAACTTGAGGGCTCTAGAGCATACAGTTCTCCATCAACAACAACACTCAATTTGGTCCCCGCCTGCCTGGCAGGCCAGCCCTCTCCCATGCCCATTGGCATTTCAACCCAGGAGTTTGTATCTGGGTCATAAACTTCACCACCCACATCAACAAAAAAGGGCCAGCAATACAAGCTCTGGGCAACATACAATTTTCCCCTATAGGAAGTCATCCCAGTTGCAATGGGCTTAAGCAGATCGGCTAGAAAAGCAGTAGGGAGCACCTGAGCTTTTGAGAATGGCATGCTTGGCACTTCAGACCATAACCCAGTACGAGGATCAAAAACCTCTGCAGACTGTAGAGGACTCAAGCCACCACGACCTCGGGTGACACCACCAACAACATAAAGCTTGCCATTCAGAACCCCAGTCTTGCAATAAGCTCTAGCAACAGACATGGGAGTCACTTCATTCCATGCATTTGCAATTGGATCATACCGCCAGACACTTTTCATTACTGTAGATCTGCAAAATCCACCCAGAACATAAAGGCTTCCATCAACAGCTCCAATAGCACAACCGCAATAAGGTATATGATCTAATGCATCCTTTCTCCCCAACCAACCTCTAATGGCATCCGCAATTCTAATGCTAGAACCAACCATGTTCCACACCTTAAGTCCAGGGAAACCTCTCCTTGATCCATCTTCGACACCTACACGGGGCATCGGTGGTAATCTTTGCCATTTCCTCGACACAGGATCGAATGCATTCCATAAAAGTTTATCACCATCAACCTTAGTGAGAATATAGAGGTACTCCTCAGTTGTTCCAAGTTCCTTCCTCAGCTTGTAAAGTTCTGAGCTCAGGACAGCAGCTTTCCAGCTACGAGACACTGACTTAACATTCAGGTAGCACATTCTAGGGATGCGCGCAAGAATCTGGAGCGATATCTCATCCGGAAGGCTGGGAATGAGGCGCGGATTATCCTCCCAAAAGCTAGACGATGGCCTCAGCCTCTTGCACGCTTCATTTTGTGGAACATCACAGACACGACTTGAGCTAGGCTTATTATTGTTAAGACTTAATACACCCCCCATTGGAATAAAGTCTCAAGATTTCTCCCTAAATATACTGCATCCAGCCAAAAACCACCACTATATAAAGCGTCAAAAATCCAGCCGCTCTGCTACAGACACAAGGAGAAACAAACATCAAAAGAAAGGCCCGAGACTCTGAAACGAAGTTAAAGGAACCAAAAATGCAATCACAAACAGAACATAAGAACGAATGAAAAGGAATATTAAGGGGATCCATCTCACTGAAAAGAAGCACAGAAAGAAACAGTAACCACAGAGCAAATCACGCTGTATACTTCCTAGCCAGTCTGGGAACAATCCCAGAATTCTGGGGAAGAAGAAGACCATGAGAGTTGCAACTCGGCCATCAAATAGGGAACTTCCTCAACAAAACAGCACAATAAGAATATCTAATACGTAATTCACTCACCAGTTATCACAAAATTGAAACTTGAGATCAACTATCAGACTAATGACTGAGGAAAATTACAAGATGAAGTCAACCCGATAAGTCAATTACAAAACAACTACAGAGATTGTCCCCAAAATTCAGAAGAACGTTCATGTGCCCATTTCGACAGTAAACCCCAATCTCCAATCAATTGAACACAAAAAAAAAAAAAAAAATCAAATTGAAATAACGAAACACATCACAAAAACAAAGGAAAAAGGAGTCATTTGTTGCCATATTCCAAGTCAATGAGCCGGAATCATGGAAACAACCCAACCCAGTTTACTTTACAGCAGAATTCAACAATAACAGGTACTAATTCCATATTAAAAAAGGATCGGCGAGATCAAACTCTCAGAACCAATGACAAAATAGAGTACCAACAAAACTTCATTCAGTAATTAATTTGAGTCCGAAAATTCAACACACCCATGATGACAGTGCATAAAAGTAAAAGATGATTGATTACCTGAGCCAAAAAGATGTTAACAACAGAAGCGTTAAAACCTAAAACATGGAGATAAAAGGAGGAGAAAATTGATCAAAATTGGAGAGAGTTCAGAGTTGGAGGCCGGTTTGGGTTAGGCATCGATGCTGATTGGATATTTCTTTTTCCCGGGTTAGCGTGGGAACGTGCCCACTCCACAGCTTTTGGTGACTGTTAAATCTGTTTTTTTTTTTTTTTTCTTTTGTAACCTGAATTTATATTTTTATTATCTTTCGGGTAAATAGTGATATAAGAACTCTTCTCCTCAAATTTCCCTAACAACAATAATAACGCGATGACGTCCTTCAAACAAACGTCACTTACATTACATATCTTCTTTACATATCCACCATATATATCCGGCTCGAATCCAGATTAGTCGAAATAATGATATTGGACATTAATATACTAAAAAAAATTATCTACATCAAATCTTTAAATTTGTAAAATTTCAAAATTAAATGTGAATTATTTTTTTAAAAAAAAACAAAGAGAATATGTTACTATTGACGAAAATGATACTCCCTCAAAATCCTCACTCGGTCATTCCCCCGTGATTCAATATAAACCGGCTATAGCTTGCAACAAAATAAAAAAGGGTGACATTGACTTCTTCACTAGTATGAAATTTCCAATACTAGTAGCAGTAGATAAAATGTGAATCAAGCTGATCAAGTTGTCAGCGATTTTGTGGTACGCTCGCGGTAATGGGTCATATATAATAATTCAAAAATTAAAAGAACTTTTTAGTATGTTCAGAAATTTGTGGTTCAATTCAATAATTAAAATTAAAAAACCTTGATTGAATTAAACTTTCAATATGCCATTTTAAGTGACTTATCATCATCCATTGAGTGGAAAGTGTTTTTCGTTTCCTTTATACTAGTTTGTGTCCCGCGTTTTGTACGGGTTTGTCAATATTGAAAATTTATCTTTTAAAAGAATTAATTAGATAATGTAGGTACAAATATACCGTCCTAGTTCTCTTTAAAAATATGTAGTTACTAATATTTCTTAAAATTGTAATATTTTTTTGATTAATCAATTTTAGATCAAAATGAGAGGTATTGATATTATTTACGAGATGTATATTTGTAAGATCTGATCAAAAATATTACAACAAAGATTTTCAAAAGTTGTATAACAAAATTGTCGCCACTAACTATGTTATGTTTGGATTAAAAAATATATTTAAAAAATGCGTAAATTATATCTAGATGCCTATGACCTATTTACAGGCAAGGGGATTTTGGGAGATTAGATGTAGTTATAATAAAATATGAGACACAATTAATCGTCCTTAAAAATGTAAAATCGATAAACTTGAAGACTAAGTAGCACTCAAATGAAACTTTAATGGCCAAAATGATAATAGGTTAAAAGTTTAAACTCGTAAATGAAAGGACTTATGAAGTCGGGAGTTTCTCAGTAATTTTCGAAAATATTCATTTTCGAGCTCACAATCAGGAATTTGTAATATCTGTAAAAATCTTATATAGTAAATAATTTATTAACTGTTTACAAAAAATTTTAACTGATTAATAATCAACCAATTAGTAAATGACACGTGTTAATTGAGGCTTGATGGTCTCAATGAGCGACACGTGTCAATTATCTTTCTTTCCTTTAATATATATAATGATTTTAGAAAAAAAATTTAGATATGCCGTACTACTACTTATGCAAATTCTATTTCGATGACTAATTCATAAAAAAAAACTATTTTTTCGCGTTTATTTGAATTCAAATTTCGACAACAATTATCATACAACATGTATAGTAGTTTTCTGTGAGTAAATACCCAGTACAAACAAAAGCTACTAGAAGTTTATAGAATCATCGTGGTCTACGTGTAACCAACCATAAGGAAACTAGTATAAGCCAAAGGACAACGTTAGAAATGGATAAAAAGTCGTAATAATTAAACTTGATACTAATTGACTATCAAAACCTTACTGGAATCATAGACTTCCAAGTGTTTCCATCCACGCTTTTATCCTCTTGTTTTTTTTTTCATATTGCGTATGGTGTCTAAGTGCATTATACTCAGACTAATTCGCACCGAATCGGGTCGGTCTTCTTTCGAAGGAAAAGCTCTCTCAACCAAACTCTTTATATTCACGAGACTCGAACCCCAGACCTCGTTCAAGGGAACCAAAGCACCTTACACCTTATCCTCTTGTTTGGTTAACAGACACAACGATTATTTTCCCAGATAATCCAAACCAAAGGCAGCACTTATTGGGCTAGAGTGATTGTATGATAAACCACATGATATTAAATAGTATTTTGTTTTATCGGGGATGGCCCATTAGCTTGCTATTTGGACCATCAAGCGTCGCAGCACGGGCCTGGCGCACCCAAACAATTCAAGTATGAAGCCCAATAAACCCGTCTTGGCTCACAATTTTCGCCCGCTAATAATCACCACTCTGCTTGCTGTCTGCTTTGTTATTTCATCAGCTTGCAGAGAGTGGAGGGATTTTTAAAATTTTACTCTTAGATTTTGTTTTTTAATGTAATAATGGGGCGTTCTAAGAAGAGACGCAGGCTTTCTCGAATTAAAGGTATTTGCTTAAACTGATTTGTTTTTGTTTCTCTGGTCAATGATGGTGAAAACCCTGAGGCATTAGATTAAATATATATGGAATTTGTGTTGGTTGGCAGCAGCAATTGAGGCAAATGAAGAAGGGGATTCGAGAAAAGAAGAAGGGGTGAGTCCCTTAGTTGAAAAGTACTGGCATCAGAGGTACGATTTATTTTGGAGATATGATGAGGGTGTGCGGTTGGATGAAGAAGGTTGGTTTTCCGTCACTCATGAGGAAATTGCCTTCCGCCATGCTCAGCGTTGCCCCTGTGGCGGTGTTGTCATTGACGCCTTCGCCGGCGTCGGTGGCAATGCTATTCAGTTTGCCGGGCTGTAAGTTTCCCCAATTTTAATTTATCTTCTCTCTATGTTTTGTGTTTTTATACCGTGTAGATTTTTTAAATTAGTTGTTATGTTAAGGTTGATAGATACGTATGACAATAATTTGGTATTTTGGCTGGGTTCCAATTTGGTGTAAATTGTATGGCATTGTCCTTATTAAAACCTTGCTTCTGATGAAAAATTGACTCTTTGCTGTGTTATGCATAATTTAGGTGTACTCGTGTTGTTGCCATTGACATTGACCCTAAAAAGATTGAGCTAGCAGTGAATAATGCAAAGATATATGGTGTCGAAGACTATATAGATTTTATTGTCGGAGACTTCTTTCAGCTTGCACCGTCACTTAAGGTAAACTTTGCAACGCTTGCTTATTTCTTTAACTCGATATTGTTACACTAAAATAATTACTTATTATGCAGATGACAATTTACTTGTTTGTTTTGTTAGTGTGATAAGTCTTATCTCCAATAGTTGATAAAGTCTTCATGTTTTCCCATCAAAATTGAGTATTGTTCTTTCCTTTCTTAGGCAGACATGGTGTTTCTTTCACCGCCATGGGGAGGTCCATCATACAATATGACTAAGAAATTTAGTCTTGAATCGCTAAAGCCAAAAGATGGGTAAGTGTTCGACCTCTAATTCTGGGCGAAACCGTTGACTACTATTTCATTGTTCATCTCCATTATTGAACTACTGTGTGTGATCTCACATCAATATAAGTAATCAGCTGCCTTTGATATGCATTTAAAATGAATACCATGTCCCCTCTCCTTGCAAGTATCTATTGTGTCTGTCTTTCTGGCACTTTAACACTTGATACATAGTTTAGAAGAGAAAGTCTTTTACGTTTCATTCTTTGTCTGTCTATTTCAGATCAATCTCCAGGATAGTTAATGCTCACTTTGTGGCTATATATTCTAAAATTCCCCTTTCATCAGTTCGGTGTATAAACTGGAGAGCACACTTCTTTTCCTGGAAATCCATGTTTAACCTAGTTTTGTTTCCTCTGCTACCTTTATGCAATTTCCATTACTTCATTCCTCCATCATTGATAACTCTAAACTCTGAAGCACTGTTGGTAATGTGACATAATAGGAGCAAAAGGTTGATCTTGGTAGAAAATGACTTGAACTGTCTAAGCTTGTCATCTCATAGATTTGCTGAACTTTTGAGATGTTAGGAATATTCTGCTTGTGGAGTTCCTTTGTTCCTCTTTCTAGAGTTTTCAGCTGTAAAACAATCTTATCGCTTACTTTAAATGTTCAGGTACTCCTTGTTTAAGATAGCACAAACAATAACACCTAATATCGTGATGTACTTGCCCCGAAACATTGACATACTTGAAGTGGAACAGCTTTCTTGGTTGTCTTCTCCACCTTTAGATATTGAGGTACCTAAAATGTTACATTCAAGTTTGAAAGTTTCATTTGTACTGTTAATCAATCCCTCCATGCCTGAGTTGAATATTTCTATGTACAGATAGAAGAAAATGTAGTTCGTAGTAAGTTGAAGGGCATAACTGTCTATTTTGCTGATGCTGCTCTCCTCAGCAGTCGGTAGTATCGTCTCCAAAATGTAGAATTGAAATGGCCCTATTTGCTAGATGAGTCTGCTAGAAGACCTGGTGCTTAGAAACTGGCTTCATTTAGGCATTATTGTCATCTACTCACCTATCTTATCAATTTGCTCAAGATTTATTACTGAGAATTTTATAGTAGAAACAAATGCTCTCTTCAGCATTGCCGTTAACTGAAATGAGTGTTAGGCTAAAAAACCAGTCAGAATATAAGATTTACTTTAAGTAGTCTTTAATCTCTATACCATTTTGCTCTGGTCCATGGGATTTTAAGCATGCTGGGGAAAGGATGAACTTGAGTTTCACGTGGCACTGTAATTTCAGAATGGACTACTTGTACAGGACTCAGTCATGGAGCTATCACTAGTTAGCTGTACTGCTATATATTGTAGTTATAGGTCTATGCATCTACCAATTTGTCTTCCTGTCAAGGGCATAACTTAAATGTCCTGGACCAAGTTTTTAATGGTGACATGGAGTCTCGTTGCTTTTCATTGGTGGTCCTGGGCAAACTTGTGAAAAGGAAAGCCATTGACTACCGAAATTCTGCCAGTGCTGCTGCTAACTGATGAACTCATCTCTGATCACCTGGATGAGGGAGTGTGGGCACATTTAACTTCACAAATCAGCTCATTTATGTAGGCATCATTATCCTGTTTGCCTAGCCAGTTTAAGTGGTTGTATTTCTTGTAGAAGAGATTGCTTTGTACATTCAGATTTTCTGAACATGTCAGTCCGAAGCTTGGTGAATGAATCAGTGGGGTTGGATTGAACAGGTGAAATTTCTGTTCATTTATGCAAATGCTTTTTATCGCTTCATATATTTTGTTCCAAACGCCGTTGGGGCCATTTTTTTAGAACATTCAATGCCGCCATGCATTATCCATCAGCGCTAAATCTTATTGGCCTTTTATGAGTTTTTTCTCGGATCAAATGATCTCCACGACACTCGGTTTGTCGAGATATTTGTTCGTTTTATTTTACCAATGTCACATATAATTCAGGAGTTGGGATAACCAATACATGAAGGTCACTACATCTCTGTCTGTATATATATGATCTCTCTTTGCGATTCAAAAATAAAACTTTAATCAGGGATAATTGGTTAACAGGGTGAAAACGAAACGTGTGCGCAATTCACAGAGTCGTTTTCAGCATAGTAATTTCTCATGGTTTCATCAACCACCACCTAGGTCCGGCATCAAATACGAAGGATGACAAGATTTATGTGTTGGCTACATCAATAACATGGGTTCACTGCCATTTAACTCCCATTTAAACAAAATTATCTGACTTCCAGTTTCTTCTCAGCCCTCCTTCCTGATAACCTGCAGGCGGTTTTCAGAAAAACCACTCCACCAACAAAATATTCTCCTAGAAGGCTAGAACTGAAAAAATGATGAAAATGAATGGGAAGGCCGGGAAGAGCATGAAGGGTTTCGGATGCCGAGCACCGGCGGCAACCGCAGTTTGCATGGCAAGTGAGCCCTTGTCAGTAATAGTGAAAAGAAGGAGGAGCATTGATCGAAGTTTGAGTGCTCATGCAAGATTGATTAACACCTCAAAATACACTCGCCTTGCGGAGTCCGGTGCTCATGATCATTTGTCTTCAGATCTTCGAAGATCGGTTACCCTTCTTCCATCTTTCAAAGACCGATCCCAACAAACCCAAATAGTTTCTTCATCTGCCCCGGAGGGTCAAGTCTTCCAGGTTCATTAAAAATTAACATGGGATTTTGCACTTCTACAAAACAATCATTTTGAGACATAAGAAATATGTTTTTAGTCTTGTCTACATGGGCATTATTGCAGAATCCTTAAAACATCTTGCAGCATTTTGCATTGTCCAAATTAAAGAAGAAGAGGAGTTTTGTTTTTGCTAGATTCCTTTGGTGAATGTTGATATGGTGCCTTTAATATCTCCTCCCTTCATTTGGCAGGTGGTTGTCATGAGGGTTTCTCTACATTGTCAAGGTTGTGCCGGTAAATTGAAGAAATACTTGTCCAAAATGGAAGGTACTTCTTTTTTCGACCTTTAAATACTTTTGCAAAATGGAAAGGTTCATTTAGTGCCCAAAACTGCAAGCGTATACATAACTGGACACCATTATATATCATCATCAACTAGACAATTTTATTCCATCCGACGACTCAAAGAGAAAAATCCCGTAATACACGAAATGGGATGATTTATGAGTTGATAGAAGGAGCAGTTTTAGATCAATTTGAATTGCTTTTTTTTTTTTATTTTTTTTTTACTAAAAGTAAAAATTAAATTGCTCATGATTTTATACAAAGTGATATGTATAAATATCTTTTGGCTATGGAAGATATTTTTCGAGGACGCACTAGTTTGATGTTTGTTCTGTGTAATTAAGGTATGACACTAACGTTTCGAAGGCTCACTATCTTGTGGTTCATCATGCTTAACTGATTGAGCAATTTTTGAACTTGAAAGTGTGAACCAAAATCTTGTTCACAAACGAGAAGAAAAAACAGGTCGTCTCATGCATTTGTAATTTTCGTCCATACCTTAAAACATTCTCAAGTTGTAGCTTTCTAAAAGTCCGCTCTTCGACCTACAAAGTCTACAAGTCTTCCCCTTAACTTTATTTATTTACGAGACTGACTGAATATTCAAAGGTCTTCTTTTGTAATTCATTCTGATCATTGATTTCTTTTTTATGAGGTTTTAAAAATTTTCTTGTTGCCTATGGAAAATGGCAGGAGTAACATCATTTAGCATTGATTTGGAGAGCAAGAGAGTGACAGTGATGGGGCATGTTTCACCATTGGGCTTAGTTGAGAGCATTTCTAAAGTTAAGAGAGCTGAGTTGTGGCCTTCACCATCTGCTTCTTCTTAAACCTTTTGATTAATTCATTAATCATTAAACCAAACCAACCAGGAATGAAAGAATAATCACACGTTTATTATGTAGATTTTTTTTCTTTGGATTGTCAATAAGCAGAATAAACAAAACAACTAATTATATATGCTCATATATTGTTGGTGGAATTTGGAATGTTTTTTATTTCGTTTTGGTTCTTCCTTAATGGCATCGTTTCTTGTTTTCTTCGAAAATGATGTGATTCATGTCTCAATCCTCAGTAATTAGTAGGTCATTCTTACATTCTTTAAGAACTCGTTTATGTATTCGACATCTAATAATGCCATGACTTGTGAGAATTGTGTCTTCTTTTTTCTTTTTCTTTTTTTTTCCCTACTATTATTAAATTGAAAATTCGAGTATCATGAGTTACGAAAAATGCAATGTCTTAAGTACAAGCAATCTTGGGAAACCTTTACTATTAAAAAAGAAATAACAAAATTGTAATGATTAAGATGAGTTTGTCACATCAACCACTTCAACATAACATTGAATGGTACTTGTAATTAAATTTTTTGAGCTGCTTTGCTTATAAAATACTATAAAAACTAAAAGGTGAACCGTGACCCTTCATTAGCTCATTGGGATAGTCAATCCAAGCAATTCCGTATATTGTCATTGTCGGTTATTGCATCTATTAATTTACAAACCGATGTTAACTAGTTAATTCACTTAGACCTTTTATTTGATTGGACCAACATTAATTATAAACATTTGATTTCTTAAGCATTTTTGCCTTGAATTTGAAACCTTGTTTACACTTTATGCTGTGTCAAGATGCCTGTGACGTGCATAGGATGTTCATGCCACATCAAATTCATTTCTCCTATTTAATGCATCCGTCTCAGGATAAGAATCCAATTTAAAACGAAATATAACACAAGCAACCCGAAAATATGTACTTTTGCTGTTCTAAAAAAATAGTTCAAATTAGGGCATGAGATTTGTATTATTTTTATTACAAACATTAAAACTTAATGTACAATTTTTTTTTTTTTTTTTGGGACAGAGCGAATATATTTTTTGCATTGTTTTCACATCTTAATCATAAATTAAGTATAATCATGTTACTATAACTATTGAAACTAATAAAATTTTACAAGATGAAATATTATTCTTTTTTTTTAGGGAGTAGTACTAATTTTTAACCTACTACTATTGGTTTCCTAAGGCCAAGAGTATAACAGCTGTGTAAGTTTGATGATAACACAACACATTTTCAACCCTTTACAAGTTCATTGAACCTGGACGCAATGTCGGGCATCCCCGATGATCAATCTATATCTTTGACCTCGCTTCTAAATCTTAACCTCTGTATAATTTGTCATCCATTTTTCTTTTCTTTTTTTTTTAAGCAGTTGTTAATTATGATATTATTGTTCATGTTCTGACGCGTTCCATTGTTGACAGATAACATATTTCTCATTTCTTTCCCTTTTTTATATGGTCATCTCCCGTCGATTTTTCTTCTATTCTTGTGGAATTGTCGAAACTTGTACTTCCAAAATTTTGGTTTTGTTTCGTGCTGTGTACTATTTACTTCTCAGTTTGTTCTCTCTGTTTGAGTACATAGATTGTGAAATCATAAATGTCTCACCATATTTATATGTGAAACTAACAAATCAAAGCAATGGGTAAGTTATCGCAACTGATTGTTTCAGATTTTCGGACTTATTAGTGACAGTGTATTCATTGTTGACATATTCATTTCGGTCTCGCAACAATACATTTATTTTTCAAATGATAATCAAATTTTATTAAAAAGCAGATCAAAATATACAAGTTATGGCAGATCAGAGCAAAACTCTATTCCATGAACGATTTTAGATCTAACTTACGACAATATATTAAGTGTTGAATTTCTCATTATTTCTTCCATTAATAGCCAAAATGGTATCTCGTATTTTAATAACCGAATTGTAGAGGTCTTTGTATTCTCTGCATCTTACATTCAGCTCTTTAAATTCGATCATATCATCTATCATTGTATTTTTTTTTTATACATATATTTTTTGAAATGATAACTGAAGAGAGGCGGTATCGTTTCCAACTTGTTAATTAAATGCCGACGTAACCCTAAATACTTGACATTTGTGAGTTGTGACATTTGATGAAAATGTAGGGTTTACCAAAAGTTTACATCACACTGCTGAAAAGGTCATCTGTGGTTCCATGCATGAAAACCTAAGCTCGAACCTAATCGATCATTAACATTTCTGTGGTTTGTTTATGTTCAATTATTGTGATAATTGAACTCCAAGTAGGGACGATCCCTTATGTAATGGATAAGGTAGTTTATCTATAATGTAAATCAAATACGTGAAGCCGATGGATAACACGAATGCCAAAGTCAACCCTTTCATTCCGGCGCCTATGCCATTTCTTTTCCCCCATGGGCTCTTCAACTATTGTCTAATTAATTTGGTTGCAATTAGTTCAAAGTCAACACACTTAATCAGATTGAATTTGATCACTAAATACATCTAGATTCAATCTTCTAAAACACGTCAACAGAGATGCCTTGAGGTTACATTACATGTCTGATGTGTCTGGATTCCTGCCCTGAGGATACTAATTAATTAATTTATTTATTCATCGATTTATCGAGATATTATATAATTTTTATAAGAAAGAGAGAAGGCAAATTAATCATGGAGAAGAATGTTATACAGTGAATACAAACCGAAAGAAATGAAGGATACAATTGTGGTACGCGTTGACGAGTATTCCTTTTATCTCAAAATCATAGTCTACATTGATATTTGAAAATGGTACTGTTTTTAAACAAATCTCAAATCTTAATATGAATTGTTTTTCTAGAATGTAGAGTATGTTGTACATATAAATACAAGTAATTAGTTAATACAGTACATTGTACATAATTTCGTTACTTTTAGGTTTTATCCTGATATTTGACCCATGCCAACTGATTAAAGTTAGTAAAAATGGAGTCTCTAAATAACATAATTTAGTTTACATTAAAATGTGGTGTAATAGTATAAGTATATGTCCTTAAAATAATAGGTACCTTTTAAAAAATAGATACACGACGAACAAATTAATTAAACAGTTTAAATCATTTCTAAAATTACATCTAAACAAGTCATTAATACAAAAAGGATAATGATTTGTGCAAAAAAATTTTACATAAAATTTTAACAGAGAATGAATTATAATTCACAAAATCCATACTTACACCTTCCTCAAAAGGTTTAAAAAATATTTAAGATTCAGCCACATCATCCCTGTAAATTTTTTTTGTCAAATTTTTCCTGTATATATCAAAACATACAACTAGATGCTTGCCCCGGGCAAATGCCCGGGGTGTCGCCTGTATTTTTAAATTAATTAAATAAAAAATACGAATTATTTTTAAAAATAAAAAAAAATTAGAAGAATAAAAAATCGATTTAAAGTGAGTTATTACACATAAATTTATGCCCAGATTTACAACATTTAATTTATAACACTTATACCCGGATTTACATAAATCATAGATCAATATTTACAACAGAAGAATTAAAAAAAAATCCTTAAAAAATCAAATTTCTTTAATGAAAACTTTTTTTTTTCTGTTGTAGAAAGAGATAGATTGATAATTGATGTCAGATTTTAAGTAATTGATTTAAAGGTCCGGGTGTGAGAGAGGAGCGGAATGGAAGAGATTCTTTGAAATTGGATATTAGAAAGACATTACTGGTGTTTCACTTGATTTAAGGGGATTTCCTTACATTTGATTTTATCATCTAAATATTGTTGTTTTAAGGGATTAGTATATACTTATAATTAAGATATTTATATGTAGCTATAATTAAGTGATTTATGTATTTATCTATTCTATCTTTTTTTCTCTGATTAATTAGAGTGTCACGTGTCAAAAATGATTTTGTACTGAAAATGGCTTTTGGCGGGAAAATTTTTATTGTGGTGCTGACACATGTCCTTTTTGTTTGCTGTTTTAATTAAGTACTATAGATATCAGTTGCTACCTCTATCTCAAAAACATAGTTCACATTGAGTTTTCATAATTGTACATTTTAAATACGCATTTCTGAACTAAAAGTGAAGTATTTTGTTTTTGACAGAGAGTACTTTATATTTTGTTAGGTGATTACAATGCATTACAATGGTTTTTTTTTTCCTGATGTTTCCTAAATGTCATATGTGTCACGGAACTGAATGATCTCAGTTGATAGTTTCATTGTATCGATCCGAAATTCATAGATAATTCATTTTAAGTTAGTTTTTAGTATTTCCCATCATTTTTCATCTTGTTACATAAATTGTTTGTTGATGCTACCACAAGTATTTTCATTAATTTGAACTTATATCAATTAAGGAAAAAAAACAAAAAGAATATATTTCGCACCCAAACTTGTCACCATTAATTTTGTGACCTCCCACCGTAATTTATAGGCTATTGTAATAGACGTGGATTTACCATCTCTGGAGGGGTTTCCAGCATTACGCACCAAAAGAAACAAAATTGGAAAACTCCACCAAAAAGAAAAAAAATCAAAAAAAAAAGACAGCTCCATTGTAATATTCTAAACAAATATTTACTTGTAAAGAGTTGACTTTTCGAGGCTTCTATAAGTAGTAAACTCCACAAATCCCTCCCATACAAGGGCATCTCATGATCGGCGATTTTCGTTCTTGAAGCGCATAACTTTCTGGACAAAACAGCCAGCTTCTTTTCAGGTAAACTAGTAATTAATATTCTTACCTTCTTCATTAATTCCTTGGAATTTGCAGGCCAATAACCACAATTAGCTCAGACTTCGATTTAGAATGGGGACAGAACAATCCACATCTAAGACCTTGGAGTAGTCCAAACGTAGAAAAAAAACAAGCAAAAGAAATGTCAAATTTGTTGACATGCTAGCTAGCTATCTTCTTTTCTCTTTCTTTTTCTTTGTAGTTTACTGTATTGAATTCACAGTTACATCAACTTTTTGTGCCATGTCCAGAGTCTTTGTTTGCATCGGCACCATAAATGAGCAACCGAATAACTCATGCGATTCCGGGCACGGAAATGGGATCGAATACCAATGATCATCATGAATCGCAGCAGTATAACCACAAAGTTCCAGTGCCTCAGAAGCAGAATCTGTTTACAGAGTTCAAAACCTCTATCACAGATATTTTCTTCCATGATCAGCCCTTGAAGAATTTCAAGAATCAGCCCAAGTCAAGGAAACTGTTACTTGGATTACAGGCTGTTTTCCCAATCTTCGATTGGGGAAGAAGCTACACGCTGTCTAAGTTCAAAGGTGATCTAATTGCTGGACTCACCATTGCCAGTCTCTGTATTCCCCAGGTAAATTGTTATTGAAAATTGGTACTCGGGCCACTTATTACTTAAACATTATTGAGATTTCTAACAATTTTTTTTGTTTTAATTCTTGCAGGATATTGGTTATTCAAAACTTGCTGGTTTGGCTCCTCAGTATGGACTTTGTAAGTTTTATAAATGTGATCTCGGTTTATGTAACTTTATTATTATGTTGGGATGTGAGTAAATATATATTATGTTATTATTACAGACAGTAGCTTCGTTCCGCCATTGATATATGCGTTCATGGGGAGCTCCAGGGATATCGCCATCGGACCGGTGGCGGTGGTGTCTCTGTTGCTCGGAACTCTGCTTCAGAATGAACTGGATCCCGTCAAGCAAAAGAAAGATTATCAGCGCCTCGCTTTCACCGCTACATTCTTCGCTGGAATCACCCAGTTTGCTCTCGGTTTTTTCAGGTACTTGAAAAAAATTCTAGACTAAATAGTGTTGTTTGTTTATTGAAACTGAAAATAACGATAATAGTGGAATTGAACTTTTTTTTATTTATTTATTGGGTTTCGTTGATTTTTGCAGGTTGGGATTTCTGATTGATTTTCTGTCACACGCCGCCGTGGTCGGATTTATGGGTGGTGCCGCCATAACCATAGCCCTTCAACAGCTTAAAGGCCTGCTCGGAATCAAGACATTCACCAAGAAAACTGACATTGTTTCTGTGATGCGTTCTGTATGGACCAATGTTCATCATGGAGTAAGAAGAACCATCTCAATCCCATCCATCAATTAATACTACTTTCATCCAAATACCCGAATTACAAAATAAAGGAAAAGCTTACTTAATTTTTTATTTTTTTTTTGATTTGCTATATTACAGTGGAATTGGCAGACTATTGTCATCGGAATCTCCTTCTTGGCCTTCCTTCTCGTAGCCAAGTACATCGTAAGAACCATCTTATTAATTAATTTGTCATTTTGGTGCTGGAAAATTCAGATTAGAAACTGACGTTTTGTGATGATATGAAAAAATTAAATTATTACAGGGGAAAAGGAACAGGAGATATTTCTGGGTACCAGCAATTGCTCCCCTCATTTCAGTCATCATCTCCACCTTCTGTGTTTACATCACCCATGCTGAAAAGAAAGGTGTCCAAATTGTAAGGAGTTAAAAGATGTTTTAGTCTCTAATTAATTTATAATTATGGTTTAAATTTACTCCATCCATCCCGTGATTTTTTAATACCATACTAATTAAAATCCTCCTTTGGAAACTCACTTTAACTTTGTAGGTCAGGCATATTGATAAAGGAGTCAACCCATCATCTATCCATGAAATCTTTTTCACCGGAGACTATCTTGTTAAAGGGTTCAAGATTGGAGTTGTGGCTGGATTGATTGCATTAACTGTAAGCAATACAAATTATCGCGAGCCCTTTTTCTCGATTTGATTGATTTACCTTAAAGAAAAAACTCATTCAATCATATATATTCCTACTAATAACAGGAAGCTGTCGCAATTGCGAGGACTTTTGCTGCAATGAAGGATTATCACATAGATGGAAACAGGGAAATGGTAGCATTAGGCTCCATGAACATCGTCGGCTCTTTCACTTCCTGTTACGTCGCCACGGGATCGTTTTCGCGATCGGCCGTTAACTACATGGCCGGATGTAACACGGCAGTATCCAACATTGTGATGTCAATGGTGGTGCTACTCACATTAGAGGTGATCACACCGCTGTTCAAATACACCCCGAACGCGATCCTGGCGTCGATCATCATAGCAGCCGTGCTTGGTCTCATCGACATTGAGGCAATGATAACCATCTGGAAGATTGATAAGCTGGATTTCCTTGCCTGCATGGGAGCCTTCTTTGGTGTTGTTTTTGTATCTGTCGAAATCGGACTTCTTATTGCGGTATTGTTTTAACACAGTAACCCAACATATTTTTGGTTATTATTGTAGTCTAGATATTGGTTTTATTTTAAGTGTCGTTTTTTTTTTGGTTGGAATAATAATCTCTCATGAATCACAAAAATCAGGTAGCAATTTCATTTGCCAAGATCCTACTCCAAGTGACAAGGCCAAGGACGGCAATACTTGGGAGAGTCCCAAGAACAAATGTGTACAGAAATATTCAACAATATCCAGATGCAGCCAAGATCCCCGGCATCCTTATTGTGAGAGTTGATTCCGCTATTTACTTCTCTAACGCCAACTACGTCCGAGAAAGGTACTTCGATTTTCCATTTTTTATTTTTGGAACGAAAGGAGTTTTTTTTTTTTTCCTTCCTTTTATTTTATTTAATGTTAGTCTTTGAACACAATTTCTTCAACCGTAGCAATTGACCTATGAGAGTGTCTCTTGGTATCTGTTTTCGGCTGGTAAACGTTTTTTTTTTTTCGGATGTACCTCCAATTTCTAGTTTTTAACTGGGGAAGGTGTTAAGATTTGGAGAATCTTTTCACATTAACAGCTACCGGAAATTAGTGAAGGGAAAATATTTCATTAACTGAGAAAGAACCCCCCCGAAAAAAAAAAAGAAGCAAAATTATTACTGTATTTCAAGTTTCATACTGAATAGAGATTCATTATTACTTGTGAATTATTGTTTGACAGGACATTGAGATGGCTATCTGAAGAAGAAGAAGAGTTGAAAGCGAGTGGCGCTTCCAAGTCTACAGTCCATTGGCTAATTGTGGAAATGTCACGTAAAGTCCTTTCATTTTATTACTCGCAACATTTTTTTTTTCTTCTCAAGATTTCCGTAAAAAAAGACTTGTAATCCTAATCTGGGCCCTTGTTCAATTTTTTCAGCCGTTACTGACATAGACATCAGTGGTATACATGCATTGGAAGAATTGTATAAGAGTCTTCAAAAGAGAGATATTCAGGTAACTAATTAATCAGTCATCGACTCTTATTTTGGGACGATAAGAAATAGCAGTGAATATGTTATAATTAATCTGTAGCTAAAATCTTTTCATAATTTTAATGGAACAGCTTGTTCTGGCAAATCCGGGAACCGTAGTACTCGAAAAGCTGCATTCATCCTCCTTTGCAGAGCTGATCGGAGAGGACAACATTTTCCTCACAGTAGCCCACGCTGTGGCTAAAATTGCCCCTAAGCTGGAGCCTTAAATCAATAATTACAACCACAAGATTTTTTTCCAACCTGTCAAACTTCAAACAAACACACACAACAAGTCTTTGGTTCGTTTCGTATGATGGATTGATTTTCTTAACAACGTTTTTTTTTTTCCTAAGTTTGACAAAGTCAGAGTTTTCCAAGTTTGAACACAAAACCAACAAGAAGTCTACACTGTATAGGGATGCCTTTAATTTGTGGGGTTATATTTGCAACTTGTTTCTACGTTCTGGAATTTCGGTCGTTCGGCATTTGGGATTTGGCCATTTGACAGAAATTTTTTCACCGTTATTTTCCTTCCACTTTGTGTAATTATTTTTTTTTTTGAAAAGTCCAATGTAAGGTGGGGTATATTATGGGGAGGCAGAAAACGGAGATGTCTATAAACAAGAAAGGGGGGAAAAAAGATATGGCCGAAGAAGACAATATATCAAAACAGCTGGTTCTTGTTTCCGCTCCTTAGTCCTTACAAAGTTCAGAAAAAAAAAAAAAAAATTGTATTCATTTTTGTATTCATTTGCATCTTTGTAAAGATAAGAATGAGAAATGTTGTTTTCGGTACGTAATAGTGTTACAGTTGTGCTTCAGAATACAAATTTAATGTTTTTATTCAACATATATTGCGAAATTAATTGGTTTGGATTCGGACACCAAGTAATCGTATTTAAACTCTTAGGTATAGGTTGGAAATTTGTGACTACAAACCAAATGACCATAAGATTTCTCTCCTACTATTGTAAGACTCCACCCAAAAAAATAAAAAATAAAAATTTATTACCTCTGTCCCAAAATTATTGTCCAATTTACATTTTCAGTTTTAGTACAATTTGAACTAAAAATGAAAATTTAAATTGGACAATAATTTTGAGACGGAGGGTGTATGTCATTTTGCTCCATAAGTCTTCTACTCTTCTCAAGTACTTGTTCTTCCAACTGGGTAGACTGCCATGGTTTACATGGGACCTCCATAAGAAGTTTTAACTCCGCAAAGTACCCTTCCGGTTGTGGAGAAAGGTCTATTACATATCTATTTTACTTGAAGTTATATTCGTTGTATACAGTTTTTAATTTTTTTTATACAAGATAAACGACTTTCAATTAATACTTTTACAAAAACTTAGTATATCGGATGAAATTAACATGTAATAGCAGTACATTCAATGGATGTAGCTACTGAAAATTAGTAAAGGGTTTCCATTTTAATTAGCTAAAATAAGAAATTGAAGAATTAATTTATATTCGATGAAGGAGAAATTCTGATTTTCCCCCCTCAGAGCTGAAAGAGGGTAGCGCATCCAAGTCTATAGAAACTCTCATGTTCGGCTCTGAAAATCGACAAATGAGTCGACATAAGAATTCCCTTTTTAGGATTGAGGTTTATTATATTGATTTTGCCTAAACTTATTCAATAGACTACCTTTATGGATCAGAAGAACAGTATGCAATAGTATTATCGAGTTTTACATCAGATTCAAAACATCATTTGGCCATAGACGTACGCAAGCTGGAATCTAATCTGTCGTCATCATCATCATCATCAGCATCGATCGGTAATCTGTATTATTTATGTTGAATTATTGCAGCAATCGAAAAACAAATCAAACCGTTAATTATTTTCCATACCATTTCTTTTGATTTCACTTGAATCAACTTCAATTCTCTTAATTAATTAAAATGCATCTACATACATCCAATCGACGTTAGCAGGTTGCCCTTAATTATTTATGTGAGTCTTGATTCTAGCATTTGCGTACGCCTTAATACTTTATTATTTTTTTGATATTTTTTAAAATTTAATTCATGTAAAAAGAGATACAAATTAGAGTCCAAAAAATGCTATATAATGTAACTGTATGTAGTGAATACAAAATTGAACGAATGCTATATGTTAACATGTCGTAATTTACGTCAAGTACATACATACATATCATGTTCAGTAAGTATGGAATGGTCAGTTAATTAATAATTCAAATGCTATAATAATTTTCTCGTAGATAAAAAAAAATACAAACATTATGCTTTATCTTACCATTGACTGAACCATTCAGTTACAACTCACAACGCTATCGTCTTTTTCTAATTAAATTTTGCGCACAACTGGATATAATTCTCTAATGGACATCACGTTTGAAAATTGAAACCTATTATTTTAATCTCTTACATAGAGAAATAAGCAAGTAAATTTATTTACAATGCCGGAGTGGATCATTATTTCATCGACTTTTTGAAACTTCTATAAGTACGTAGTGAACTTCTATGTTTTTATCCCTCAAATTAAGCAAATAATTTGCATTGCTTACGTTCTTCAATCGTTGCTTCCTAGACAATACAGCCAGCTTTTTCTCGGGTAATAATGTCCATTAATCGAATTCTTGAACTCTGGAGGTCATAACACATGGAGACAGAACAATCCACATTTAAGACCTTCAACTTGAAGAAGTCGTAATATAGGGGGAACAAATTTAAAGGAATAAATAAAGAAAAGAAAAATAAAACAGATGTCAGAGTTGTTATTGACATGAATCTTTTGTTAACATCCTATTTGATGTCAAAACAGCGAGCTACATTAGCTGGTAGCTAGTTTACTGCAGAGTCTTCACTTTTAACTTCTTCTTATAGATGAGCAGCCGAATAACTCCTGCGCTTTAATTCCCGCCACGGAAATGGACTTCAATGAAGGGAAATTCACTGTTATTTATGAACAGGAGATTGAGATCAAGTAGTACAGTTTGTTACTTGATAGTTAAGTTGTCACATAAATAAATTCATCTCGCTCCTCACCACATTTTTACAAGATTTCTAGGAAGAACAGCAACCTAGCCTTAGTGGGAATCGAAACATGATCTATTACCAGGAATGACAGCAACCTAACCCTAGTCTTTGTTTGTTACTTCTTTTCTGCAGTATTAACCTTCCATACAGAGCTGGTGGGAGTCGAAGGCGTGATCTCCCTCCAACCGAGGCCTCGAATCCCTCCTTACAAATTGAGATCAAGTTAGTTTCCATTTAAAGATATTTATGTCTCAACGATTTTTTTGTTTGTGATGGCAAAATGCAACAGCTTGTTCTGGCCAATTCGGGAACACTAGTACTCGAAAAGCTGCATTCATCCTCATTTTGCAGAGCTGATTGGAGAAGACAACTTCTTCCTAACAGTGGCCCGCGCTGTGGGCCTGTGGCTACCTTTTCTCCTAAGCTGGAGCCATATTAATCAATTGTGAGACTCAAGACAAAGAAGAGTAACTACTTCTTGTTTTCTCCTTACACAAAGTTCAATAAATCGGTTAATTTGGTTGAATGTAAATTGTAATGTAAGGGGCTTACATTCTGTAAAGACTTACATGATGGTTCAAGGAGGGAAGGAGATTTTGGGTGTGAATGCAGGGTTGGTGAATGGGATTTGGGATATTTTGAAGCGGGATTGGGTAGTCGAAGTAAGACATGTTTTCCGAGAAGCGACTTTTTGGCTGATTACTTGCGATATTGGCAGCACAAGGACCAGGAGGAATACAATGGTTACAAACTCCTCCATCGGGTGTTTTGTCTTGGTCACGATTTAATTGGGTTGCATATCCTAGAAATATACTAGTTTGAGTTTACGCGTTATTGCCTTTTTCTTCGTAACATAACAAAAAAAAAAAACAGGCTCCGACCTCATTTTCACCTAAATGTGAAAAACTATACGCATTCCACTTCTACATCCGTCACAAAACAATTTGTTGAACTAATAATTCATACATGGGTTTTATTTTCGAAGGGATGTATATGACAGGTATGGTGACCTTGTGGAGTCCAACCCCAAAGAAATACACCACAAGTACATTTGTGTAGCCTAGAATGAATGATCCAAACTACAATTTGTATTTCATTAGCGCAAGATATGGTAACTTGAACTGTACAATAGTGAATTAGTGATAGTTCAAGCAGTGAATGGAGGAGGACCAATGAACTCAAATGACCAAATGAATCGAAGAGATGATATGAACAGCAAAGTGTATTGTATCAATTGTGCTGGTGATTTCCAGAAATAGTTGACAACCAAGTTGGAGGCGAAGACCACGAAACCTCATCTTCAGACATCAATTTCGCAAATTGAGCTAGTTCATGAGCTAGCTTGTTCTCAACTGGTTTAACCCAACTCAAATTTCCATTTGTATAGTTACTGGCTAACCTACTGCGAATTTCCGCAATACATGGAAGACTCGTCGCAGTGGACTCCGTTTCTTGTTTAATGCCCAAAATTACACTCGCTGAGTCACCCAAAAATTGACCATCAGAAACGTTCTTTCTCTCTGCAAACGCGAGAGCTTCTTGAAGTGCCATTGCCTCCGCCACTTCTGGATCAGTGATGCCCGAAATCCTTTTAGCAAAACCCCACATGAACCTTCCGTCTGCAGCTGCAACATAGATTCCTACTCCACAGCATCCCCTCCCGGTGGAGATTGCAGCATCAAAGTGTACAGAAATACGGCCTAATGGAATTCTTCCATTATCAGGTACAGCTAGTATCCGCATGGTTTTGGTCATAACATTATCAGGATCACAAGTCCTGTGGCTGTTGAAGAAGAGCCTTATAATAATTTGATGCCACAACACGCCAAGGAGAATCAACACATATTCCGCAGCATATTCTGCTAGCGTATCTTCCAGCTCCATTACTATGCTTTGGCAACACCGTTCAAAGGATTCCTGAGCCAACAACAGAATTCGCTCCCGAGTTCCTGCAGTACTCCATATCTGTGACGCAAAAGAACAGAGGACTAAGTGTCGGATACCTAACGGCAGGGTATTCATGCGCCGGATTCTCCTCGAGATCAGACTTGCATTCCCCCTGGATCCCTCTGTTCCAAAAGAATTCGCAAATTGGCTGACAGATTTTACTGAGAGCTTTCTAGAATTTAGCCATGCCCAGGCCTGAATCCTATCTTCATCAAGATTTCTGGAGGGGATTGCTGATATCATGGCTCTAACTGCTTCATCCGGGTTAAAGATCCGCTGCAGAACAGCTGAATTCCATTCCAGTCGGTGTTCAGGCTATTGTAATATTTAGTATATTTCCTATTATGTCTTAGTTTAGGGTTTGTTATTGTCTATATATAGTCTGTATATTGTGCACAACATATTATGAATCCAATACAATTTCCCTAGTCTGTATATTGTGTATATTGTGCACAACATATTGTGCACAACATTTAAAACAACCAAATTTTTTTTCCCCTTCTTTCTTTTCTCTTCCCCGCCGCCGCTTGTTTTTTTGGCCGATTGTTTTTTTTTCGGTCGTAAGCTTGTTTGTCTCCACCATCGCCCAAAACCCGTGGATTTCTTCAGCCGGCGCTTCCTCTCCGTTTTTGTTCCTTCATCATCGTGAGTTTTGTTTGTTTTTTGTCCTGCAGCCGTCGGTTTCAATTCCTTTCCTGCTCAACCTGGCCGTGAGCCTAATTTCTGCTGCCCGCTGCCACCATCCACCTGCTGCCGGCGTGTGCTCCCTTTCTTCTCCTCCTTCTTCTTCTCCCCGTCGGTTGGTGCTGCTGCTACTACTGCTGCGTCGTCGTTTTGTTTTTTTCTGCTGCTGCTACCGTTCTTCTTCGTCGGTGTGCGTTTTCAATTCGTCGGCGTGCTGCTTCTTTTCCAGACGTGGTGCTTTGCCGGCGTGCTTCTTCTTTGTCGGCGTGCTGATTCGTCGGTGTCCTCGTTTGCTGCTGCCGCCTGCTGAACTTTGATTCTCGGCTATTACAAATTGAGCCTTATTCGGTTTTGCGTGCTTTCTTTCGACAATGACGATCACCGACCTGTCATCCACCGACCAGGCAATCCACCTCCGGCCGGCGGCACCTCCTTCACAGACACCCGTATCACTTCTTCAACCTAGTCTACAGTCTCTTAATCATTCCTTTACTGTGAAGCTGCAACCTCGGGCCAACTATTCGTCTTGGCGTCTTCAGTTTACTCCTTTATTGACTATGTTTCGTGTTGCCGGTATTGTCGACGGCACCGAACCTGCACCGCCACGTTTTCTTCCTTCCGTTAGTGGTGCCATGCCCCAACTCAATCCTGAGTTTGATATCTGGTAGCAAAAGGATTAGTTGGTCCTCTCTTGGATTCTTTCTTCCATTGCTGAAGAGATCTTTCCCGTTCTCTAGGGCTGCACAACGTCGGCGGCTGCGTGGACAACTCTTCAGCAGGGTTTCGGCACTCTTTCTTATGCTCAACAGACCCAGCTTGTTATGGAGCTCCACAGCTTGCAAAAAGGTGACTTGTCGGTCACGGCTCTCTTCTCCAAAGCGAAGGGCATCGCCGATACACTGCAGCTTGCTGGCCATCGCATATCTCCTGCAGAGTTTAATGCCATAATCTTCCGCAAGCTTGGTGCCAAATTCAATGGCATCATCGGAGCTCTGCAACAGCGATCCGAACCCCCCTCCTACCAAGATCTCCTTGGACAGTTAGTTTCGTATGAGGTGCTTCTTCACGCCCAACAGCCGATCCTTCAGCCCACGGCCATGCTTGTGCAGTCGCCACCTTCTCCTATGCCGCCTCAATCCTCTCGTGCCGGTCGCTCGCAACGCGGCGGCCGGTGCAATCAGGCTTCTGGTCGTGGTGGTGGTCGGCGTGGGTACACCCCTCCCGCTCCGGGTGAGACGTGTCAGCTTTGCGGCATCTTGAATCACACGGTCGCCACCTGTCGACGCCGTTTTGATACTAATTTTGTTCCTCGACCCCCTGCCGTTCGGTCGGCTGCTTATGCCCAGGCAGGTTCTCCTGCACCGCTTTCAGCTGGTTTGTTGCCTCTTCCGTCTTACCCGGAGTCGACTATGTCTCCTCAAGCCCATATGGCGCAGTATGCCCCTTCTGTCACTCCCTGGCATCCGGACACTGGTGCTACCGATCATGTCACGCCAGATTTGTCCTCTCTCAGTATCTCTAAAGATTATACTGGTACGGATCATATTTTAGTTGGTAATGGAGATGTTTTACCTATTCAGCATGTTGGTCAATCTGTTTTGCCATCGTTTTCTCGTCCTCTTTATTTAAAATCGTGTCTTGCATGCTCCTTCTCTTACTAAGCCTCTGTTATCTGTTCAAAAGTTTACCCGTGATAATCACTGTTTTTTTGAATTTTATTCTGACTCTTGTTGTGTTAAGGATCTTTCAACCAAGGAACTCCTCCTCCGCGGTCGGGCTGATAATGGTCTCTATCGCTTAGATCTTCCTGTTCGTGGTTCCTTGTCTCCAGTAGCTTATCTTATCTCTTTAGGTCAGTGGCATGCTCGTTTAGGGCACCCTAATAATGTCACTCTTCGTACTTTGTTTAGGCAGTTTCAACTTCCTTATTCCTCTGTGTCCACGTCCACTGATAAATGTGAGGCGTGTTGTTTAGGGAAGTTACATAGGGTCAGTTTACCTTCTGCTTTTCATCGTAGCTCTAAACCTCTTGATTTAATTCACACTGATGTTTGGGGTCCTGCTCCTATTTTGTCATTCAATGGTTATCGCTACTTTGTGCTTTTTATTGATGACTTCTCTTTATTCACATGGATTTATCCAATTAAGTATAAAAGTGATGTTGTCCATGTTTTCAAGCAATTCAAAGCTCTCGTAGAAAACCAATTTGGCACTACCATTAAAACAACTTTGTGCTTTTTCGTTCTCTCAATTCTTTCTTTAAGGATGTCGGTATTGTTCATCGTTTAGCGTGCCCACACACTCATGAGCAGAATGGCACTGCTGAACGCAAAATTCGTTACATTGTCGACATTGGACTTGCTCTCCTTGGCCATTCCAGTACCCCTTTTCGGTTTTGGGATTTTGCTTTTGAAACTGCTATGTTTTTGATTAATCGCCACCCTAGTAAACCGCTTTAAGATCACCTACCCTTCACTACACTATATCACCAGCCACCTGATTATACCTTTCTTCGTGTCTTTGGTTGCACTGTCTATCCTCTTTTTCGCCCTTATAATAAACATAAATTCTCCTTTCGTTCTACTCAGTGTGTCTTTCTTGGGTATTCTCCATCTCATCTTGGTTATCGTTGTTTTGATGTGGTGAATAACCGTCTTTATGTTGCTCGTCACATTGAGTTTGATGAGAAACTCTTTCCCTTTAAACTTCCTATTTCTAGTTCTCCTTCTTCGCTGCTGGAGTCTCCTACTACCCCTTGGTTGCGTGTAACCAGTTCTCCTAGTATGCTTGCGTCGTCTTCTGCGTCTTCTTCGTCTCCTTCTAGTACACCAGTTCTTTCGTCTCCTCCTATCCCTCCCGACTCATCACCTTTAGCTAGATCTCCTACATCCAGCTCTTCATCATCTGATTGCAATCCTCCGCCGCCACCTCCTCCTCCTTCTTCCCTTCAGCACTCCATAACACTTCGTCCACAACCCAAGCCCAAGAAAATCTTTGATCCCTCGGCTCATCTTACCTCTGTTTCCCCAACTTTGTCTACTGCTCCTACATCCTTCACCCAAGCCAAACTTTTTCCTCAGTGGCAGAATGCCATGAAGGATGAAATTTCCGCCCTCCTCAAAAATAACACATGGACTTTAGTTCCGCCTCCTTCCTCCGGCAATGTTGTCGGCAATCGATGGCTCTATAAGATTAAAACTCATGCTGATGGCTCCATTGAGCAGTATAAGGCTCGGTTGGTGGCTCGAGGTTTTACTCAGTCTTTTCGGGTTGATTACACTGACAAATTTAGTCCGGTTGTTAAGCCGGTCACCATTCGTTCAGTTTTGACTGTTGCCCTGGCTCGTGGATGGTCGATTTCTCAGCTTGATGTCAGTAATGCCTTTCTTAATGGTGTTCTAAGTGAGACCGTGTATATGGTTCAGCCACAGGGGTTTGTTGATCCGGTGCGCCCTCATTATGTGTGTAAACTGCATAAGTCCTTATATGGTCTTAAGCAAGCTCCTCGGGCCTGGTATTCTCGGCTGGTAGCATTTCTGCTTACCTTGGGCTTTGTGGAGTCTCGTTGTGATCCGTCTCTTTTTGTCTATCTCCGTGGGTCTCAGTTGTGTTTTTTGCTGGTCTATGTGGATGACATTATTCTTACAGGCAGCACTTCTGGTTCGGTCCAGCATTTTATCTCTTGTCTTGCTAAGGAGTTTTCTCTTCGGGATTTAGGTCCGTTGAGTTACTTTCTTGGGGTTGAGGTTCGTCGTACTTCCAAGGGTTTGCTTCTCTCTCAGCGCAAGTATGTCAATGATTTGCTACGACTTGCAAATATGCATACTTGCAAACCTGTTTCCACTCCTTTGTAGGCTAATGTTGTGTTGTCCCGTTTGGATGGTACTCTGTTGTCTCCTGATGATGCGACTACTTATCGTCGGCTGTGTGGCAGTCTGCAGTATACCACTCTCACTCGTCCAGATATCTCCTTTGCGGTTAATAAGCTTTGTCAGTTCGTGCATCAGCCTCGCACTTCTAATTTTCAGGCTCTCAAACGGGTTCTTCGCTATCTTCGTGGTATCGTTGATTCCTGTTTAGTTCTGCATCCTACAGATTTGGGTACTCTTACTGCGTTTAGTGATGCTGACTGGGCTGGTGGTCCGGATGATCGTCGTTCTATTACTGGTTTTCTCATTTATTTGGGACCTAATCTCATTGCCTGGGCATCTAGGAAGCAGCCCACTGTGGCTCGCTCGTCTACTGAAGCTGAGTTTCGTGCAGTTGCTAATGTCTGTGTTGAACTGCATTGGGTGTGTCATCTGTTGTCCGAGTTAGGCGTTTCTTTAAATCGCCCTCCCTCTATTTGGTGTGACAACAGTAGTGCAGTTTTTCTTGCTGTCAATCATGTGTTCCATGCTCGTACAAAACTGTTGAGGTTGATTTTCACTTTGTTCGAGATCATGTTCGGCGTAAGTTTGTTTCGGTCAATTCTATCTCTGCTGCTGATCAGCTTGCTGATATTCTGACAAAACCCTTGTCCAAAGAGTTATTCTTTCGATTTCGGGACAAACTTCGGCTTTTCTCTTCTCCGCCGTAAGTTTGCGGAGGCGTATTGTAATATTAGTATATTTCCTATTATGTCCTAGTTTAGGGTTTGTTATTGTCTATAGTCTGTATATTGTACACAACATATTGTGAATCCAATACAATTTCCCTATTCTAACTCAGGCAACCAACTAGTCCTTCATATCCTGGGAATTCTTCCCGATATGATACGTTTATAACGGCCCTGTTCTAGCAATCTTCTTCCCTCCCCTACGTTCCGCCATTTACAGGACATCCGAGACCGAGATACCAACATTGCTTGCAGGAAATCATCGGCTGGTCCATTCTTAACTCCGTACAGTCTTGCTAGTAGCGAGTTAGGGTTGGCAGGAGTCTCCAGTTTTGTTTGTTTACCATTGCCGATTATGGATTTAGCATCCAATTATTTTCAATCGCAGAAGAGAATTAATTTAACTACTAGAACAGGAAGAATCGTGATGGTTATTAAGCCCAGAAGCCCAGTGACGGCTATTCAGAGCAGAATACAAGCCTAGGGTTCAAGCATCTCATCAAAGCTATGACAAATTTAAGTTTATTTTCTTTCCTTTCTGAGGAGTTTGTATATGTAATGGAGTAATGCTGAGAACAGACTTGCGAAATTAGTAAAATATAGAAGGCCCATCACTAGCCAAGTACTAGTAGTTTTCAAGCACAACACACACAGAAGGGAAAAAAAAATAAAATAAAATAAAATAAAAGTTGGCTGAACAACGCATGGAGCAAATTCCCAACTTCCTACAGTACAAACCACAAAAGGCACAAACGGAGTTCAATGTAGCTGTCACAGAAATGGAAGTCTACCGACTCCACTGCATCAAATGGGCATCATGGGTTAACTGCATAACTAGGAATGCAGCAAAATATATGTAGAAATAGGCGTAGTTAAACTGACATAAATCCAAGAGTCGAATAGAGCAAAAGCACTACACAATGAACCCTACCTAGGTGAATAAGTTCAATTAACAATCCCTAATAAGTAGTATATAATAGATATCCCTACTGCCGAATCCAAAACAAGACATTCATATCAACTCCCATTTACTATCCTCTCTGATCAACTCAAAAAGGGAGGCAAAAACCGCAGATATCAGCACTCAGAATAGAGAAACGAAAGCAGCAACAAGGGCCAAAGCCAACGATCCCAACGAAACAGCTACTACTTTGGAACCAGAGCTTCCTCCTGGAGATGGTACGGGTGCAGTAACAACATCACTTGTTCCACCAGATGGAGAAGGAGCAATGGCGGAGCCACCGGGGGACAATGCAACTGGAGGGAGTGCTGAAGAAAAAAAAAAAATGAAACCAGAGTCAATGATAGATAACAATCACATCTAACAAAATGAATCAATTATAAAAGGAAGAAACTCTAAAGCACAAAGTGAAGTAAGTTCCAAACAATAATGCACAATTCCTCAATCTCAAAATCATATAAACACAATCTCGTATTGAAACAGAGTTACCCTGATCACTTTAAAAGCATAATACACAACCAAAGCCATTCGATAAATTATGCTAAAACTTTAAAAAGGTAAAGAAGGTCACACACAGAACAGAAACCAAGCCTAAAATGATGGTGACAAATCAGAACCATAATTCACATGATACTGATCTTTGACCAAAATGGGGTCCACTCAGGTCATTTCACAAGGTTAAACTTTAAAAACCCAAAACGATAGGAAAAGCACTGTCATGTGGATCAAGAGTCAAACTCGGAAGCACAGAGCAACAAACAGCATCCAGAACAGAGACAGACACCCCAAACGCATGAGCTTTGAAATTCATATTTTAAGCCCACAGATTAAATTATCCACAGTCAAAGCACAAGGACTAATTGACTAATCCTATTTTTAATCAAACATTCTTTATTTCACACAGGCTACAAGCATGTGGACAAAGTATCCCAGATTTTCTAGAATTTCATAAGAAATAAGTATAGCATTTAGAAGAAAAATGAACCATTCGACCAATTAATTACTGAAGAAAAAGCTAAATTGGGTAAATATCGAACAAAGATCTTTCAGATCTGTAACGTACCAGGAGCAATTCCAGAGCCAGTGCTCACTGTAATCACCAATTTAAAAAGAAAAAGAACATAAATTAGAACATATCGGTCGAGGTTAATAAAATCAAAATAGACAACTGTTAAATAGGTAACAACCCAAATTATCTTGAAACAACCACTGCCGATTGATACTTTAGCACATGAAAATGTTTTTCAGGGGGAAAAAAAATCATAAACAATCAAGAATCCCCACACTATACCGTCCAAAGAGAATATCTTAAGAAAGCCAGAAGTGAAGAAAAATCTGCCTGTAAACTATCTAGAAATGGGCAATGCCAAATATAAACCAAGGAGAAGAAATCATAAAAGGGTAGGAAAAACACAAATGGTTTCAAACCATCAACAAATCATTCTATAAACTCCAAATTCAAAAAGAAGAAAGTAAAGCAGAGGGGTTCTTACAGCCACAGGTGCTAACAGAAGGAGCAGAGACATGGCAAGCGGCGGGGAGAGTAACGGCCTTGGAGATATTAAGAGTAACCCCAAGTTGGGCACTGTTCCTGAAGGCGACACAGAGACATTCGGCATCGGTTTTCAGCACCTTCTTGAGCCCATCACAGCAAGTCCCTTCAGGCTTGCTCACAGTGCTGCCGTTGGAGACGAAAGACAAGCAGTCAGCCATGTTGATGACCAAGTTGGAACACTCCTCCCCCGGCGCCGGAGCAGCCTTGCCGGATCCCGCCGACTCCACCGCAGTGGAGAACAGAGCAAGCCCAACAACAGACATCAAGAACAAAAACCCAGCAACATTCCTCATCATCAAAGCCATTGTCACAGAAATCACAAACTACTAGTAACGGAAAAATGGGTTTTTAGAATGAGGGATTTTTTTTCTGGGATGAAGAAGCTCTGGTGTATTTAGTAGTAGTATAAATAAAGTTTGGAAGATGATGGTATATGATGATCAAGATGATGGCGTGGGGTATTTGTTTGTACAGTTTAAAAAAAAAAAATGAAGAAAAGTTACAGGAAAGTGGGGTGGGACACGTGGATGGCTGAGCGGGCTTGAAGTGTCCCTCTTTATGGAATTGCGTTTTTTTGCTTGGAAATTCTAAACTGGCAAAACACACAGACAAGTTTTGTTGAAAAATAAATTACTAATAATAATTATAATCTCTCTCTACTGTGGTTTTTCTGCTTTGAATTTTGAAAATTTTTCTGGGTTTTTTGGGTAACTGTTCCAACAAAACTCATCATCGTACTAGTAATTAATTTTGGTTAGCTCTGAAATGGATAATATAGCTCTGAAATGCATTTTTTGAAAAAAAAAAGAAAAAGCTGGAAAATAGCTTTTTTGGCTAAATCCAAAAAAAGGCAGCTCACAGCTCACAAAAGGTTATGAACTTAGTTAGATTGGGATCGATCGGGCAGTGTGAAATTAGGTTATTTTTTCGTAACCGATACATAATAGACGTACTATATATATATATATATATATGTGGGAAGATTGCTTGATTATAAATGATACTCTATTTTACTGTTACAAGGTTGATGGTAATTATTACTCTATTTTAGCCTTATTATGACTAGGACTAGGATAATGTTGTACTGGATTTGTTTAATTTTCAAATTTTTAGAAATGAAATCAAAGTTTTGTAAACAAAAAACTGACAAAAATAAATTTAAAAAAATAAAAAAATGTGTGTGTGTGTGTGTGTGTGTCTAATGGATAGAGCCATAGAGGCTTATCCCAATTCTGCGGGGATTTCAGATCTGGCAATTTTGCCAGAATTATTGCAAGTGTGACAAGTAAAAGTGTAAAATAATAATTAGATTAAAAATCGACGGTACGATATTGAAAAAAAAAGAAAAGAGGAAAATCTGATAGCGTAATTGCTCAAATAGTTTGAATTGATAATATTTGAGACTTGATTTTGTGCAACAAACTCCACTGCTATTTTTCCATAATGTGCAGAGTTTGAATTCAAATATGGATTAGTAGCTGGCCGGAGACCTGGAATTACTATTAAAGACATTGGGACAAAAAAACACAAATCCTCAATTAATGGGGGAATTAGAATTCAACTCCAAGTCTCCAACTCCCCTTCAATTCTTCTGGGAGTAAATTTCCCAGTTTTTTGTTTGTCTATACCCGTTAACCATCTAGAACATGTACATTTTCGTCCAACCAAATGTGTTTATAATTTGGCATTACTATACTTTTCTTTCTTTATTAAATGGAGTAGTTTATTATATTCAGAAGAAAAAAAAAGACAACAGGAGTTCAATTCAGAGTCAACTAATTTCAACTCAAAATGTGTCAAATGCTTGAAGTCCAATTAAACATTAACGAAAGTCCAATTTGTTGACAAGACTTTTTTGGGGTTTTCTTTTTTCTTCTAAACCTCTGAATTGGTCATTCACTAATCACTCATTCATCTGATTTGTCAGAGGAGAAAAATAATTTCTCGAAATTATACAACTCCCAAAATTAACAACAGAGACTAACAGAGAAGTTAAAAAAAAAAAAGTAAAGAAACAACATTCTTCGTTATCCTCAAGCCTTATCTACAGTACCAGAAAAATTAACCCAACAACAAAATCAAATGAGATTTGATTCTTTCTCCCAAAATTAGCGCTGATTTGCTATATCTCTTAAAAAAAACACTGCAGAAAGTTGTGGCATCCCCGGGCTTTTTGACCTGCAATTGGAAACGATAAAGTTTTCATCTTTTCTCCATTTTCTTGCTTTTTGTGATTGATAGCAGCAAGGCAGCAATCAAAAAAAAAAAAAAAAAGATGGGTGCAATTGGAGCCGCAATTGCTGATGGCGTGTTGACTTTCATGTGGGTTTTCTGTGCTTCATCCCTCGGAGTTCTCACTTCCTTAATCGCCACCGCTTTCGGTGTCGCCAGCACTCAGTGGTTAGCCACGCTGTTCATCACCACTTGTCTCGTTTTCGTGTTCCTCTTCATATTTGGGATCATCGGAGATGCTATGGGCGGCGCCACCTTCAACCCCACGGCGACGGCGGCTTTTCACGCCGTCGGTGTTGGTGGGCCCAACTCCCTCTTCGCCACGGCCCTCCGTTTCCCCGCTCAGGCCGCCGGAGCTGTCGGCGGCGCTCTGGCTATCAAGGAGTTCATGCCGCCGGAGTACAAGCACATGCTCGGCGGGCCGACCTTGAAAGTTGACCTGCACACCGGTGCCGTTGCGGAGGGTGGTTTGACTTTCGTGATCACGTTTCTGGTTCTGTTGATAATTCTTAGGGGTCCCAATAGCCCGATTGTGAAGAACTGGCTTCTTTCCATGTCCACCGTCGCGTTGGTTGTTGCAGGGGCGGAGTACACCGGACCGTCGATGAATCCGGCGAATGCTTTTGGATGGGCGTATTTGACTAATGATCATAATACCTGGGACCATTTCTACGTCTACTGGATTTGTCCGTTCGTCGGAGCAATTTTAGCTGCTTGGGTTTTCCGATTCGTTTTTCCTCCACCAAAAAAGCAGAAGAAAGCTTGAAATTTTTTGGTCGTTCAGGCTGTCCTGCCGTCGGCATAATTCGGAGTTCTTTTCACTTTTGTAGGGTAGGAAGTTTTACTATTTTCATGATCAGCATCATCATCACATGGGTTGTTCATATATTTAGGAGTTTTTTTCTCAAATTTGGTTGTGTAAATTGTAGGAAGATTATGCTTAAATTGGTAATGCCCAAATAATTTCAAATTTCTCTTTAAAAATTTTGCTTGAGTCCTATATTTTTTTTAGCTATTCATTCTCATGCTGTGAACACGTTCTCGTATTAAAATGAAAAAATCGGTCAATGATGTGATCATATATAAAATATAAAAGAATGATTGATGATGACAAAAGGAACAATTATGGGATTTGATTTGGTGTCCTAATTAATAAAGGTCTATCGGCCCCGGTGACATTCAAAGTTGTTTAAATCAATCTCATGCGGCGCATGTTGCATTACATTAGAGATCACGAGAGATGCTTCTCCATTTTTCGCTTTGATCACAATAATTTTAGGACAATTTGTTTTTTTTCAAAGTGAACAAATAATTATAAGACAGGGAGAAGTGAATTGGCCCGTGAGTTTCAGCATTGAACTTTCACAATTACAAATGGTCCAACATCACAAGTGAGAGATGAATAACAGAAAATCAAATGACAACATTCAAAGTAGTAACCATATGTGATTGTAGTCCTCTAAGAAATGAAGGCCATCAATAGGAATATGTGTAGCTAAATTAAGAAAAATGAAAAAGCTATAACAAGGGGCCTAGGAGGAGAAGTTGCGTATTCCAATTTCCATGTGTGATGATGTGTATAATTTGAATTAAGAGATTTGAAGAGAGGAGAAGCATGTAATTCGTATGCGCTCAAGACTAACCACAAATTAACACACAATTGAAGTGATGAAAAAGAGCTGATCCCGTTTGTTTTTGACTATCACATTGTGCTAAGTTGGCCGTTCAGGGAGGGGACAACTTTTGTATTCCATATAGTCTGTTTAGTCCACCTTTGGTAATCATGCTCGCATCAGTTCAAGGCAACTTTTTCCTCAGTAATTTCTAGTATTTTGGTTTTCTTATCTTAAACAATTTCTTTTTCTGCCCATAATTTTAATTCTCGGGGTATGAATACGCGTTACCTTTGAATCAACAGGACACCTTTCTAACTATTGCCTCTAACAATATTTTTCCCGACATTAATTCACATTACAAATCGTCATCCTTATATTGCTGTCGATGAAAAAAAGAAGTGCGTTCACCTTCATGATTTGTTGCAGCGGAACTACCACTGAAAATGAAAATCGAAACGTTAAATGGGCCATGGCAAGAATGAAATCCCATGATCATCCCATCCCCAAGTATTAGTAGTAGCTTTTACCACTCAGGTGGCTCCCATGAAAATTATGTGAATCATCATCATGTTATGGCGCATGATCACTACTCATGTTTGAACGATTCTCCGCCCAAAATTGAAATCTTGTTGTTGTTGTTGTTGGTAGATTCTAACTCTAAAGCATTGAAAAAAGTTGACATTTACCAACCTGTTTTTTGAATCCACTATTAAAAAAAAAAAAAAAAAATTCTTTCAGATGGATATGGGGAATAATAAGTGAATAAAGAATACTAGAATCAGAGCCAGCCCGCTAAGAGTCGAACTTCAAGTCTATTATGATAGAATTTGTAAGGTTAAGACGTGAGGCGGTGACTAGGTTAAAGAAAAAATGGCTTGCGGGGGAGTGTTGAGTATCCTACATCGGTGGTGGGAGAGATATGATATCAGTATATAAGTTTATGGGCTATTCCCCTCATTACCAATTGGTTTTGAGGTGCAACCCCATGAGCTTCTACATGGTATCAGAGCAGTTTGAGCCTGTGTTGGAATTTTAGGCCGAAGGTGACCTGTGGTGATTTTAATTTTATATTCTCTCATTTGAGCGTTGACTCGTAGGCTTGTTGTGGATCGATCCAGCAATATTCTTCCATTTGAACGTTAACTCGTGGACTTGTTGTGGACCGATCCAGCAATATTCTTCCATTTGAGCGTTGACTCGTGGACTTATTGTGGACCGATCCAGCAGTATAATTAATTTTCTCCCACTAGAGCGTTGACTCGTGGACTTTTCTGTTCTTGTTCTCATCCAAGTCCATAGGGTAAAAAAAAGTTCAAAGGCCTATTGAACTAGCGTTGACTCGTGAGCTTTTCTGTTTTTGTTTTCATCTAAGTCCATAGGGCAAAAAAAAGTTCAAAGACCCACTAGACTTGAGGGAGGGTGTTAAAGTGTATTATCTCGTCCTACATTGTCACCGTAAAGAGAAATGACTCAGTATATAAGTACCAAAGGCCACCCCATTCATTACCAATTAATTTTGAGATGGGAGGCCAAATTACTATTATACTTTGACAATAACCTTTCTTTCACTCTTTGAATAGCAGCATATGAAGTGAAGTGGAAAGAAAAAGCATCCTATCCTTTTTAACACTTATAAGTTGTAAGTGAACATTTGGATTTAGGAAACTTTTAGATGCTAATAGTGAATGCATGGGCTGGAGGAGGGGAATCAATGCCTTTAAGGTTCCACATCTTCTCATGCGCAATCATCATAATGGTTGCTCTGTATGGAAATTTCAACCTAAAAAAGAAATCAAAAGAGAATGCAATATGTTCAAGAATGTGTTGCAGTTTTTTTTTGCTGTCACCAACTCAGTTAATCATCAACCCCATAATCAAACTCAGGACCATGACAAGAAGCTTTTGAGAAGTAAGATAATATCATAATACTGTAACCGAAAGGGCATGGTGGCAGTTTATTAATACTAGATGATACATTTTCAAAAAAAAAAATACTAGATGATATGCAACCAAAAAAAATGTACTCACTTAGTCCTGAAATTATTGTTCAGTTATTTATTTTTAGTACAAATTGAACTAAAAGTAAAAATCAAAATGAATAATAATTTTGAGACAGAACAGTATCACGGAAGATTTTTCCGAATTTTCAGATATTAGCAATAATTTACATATGAAATGTATGTGTCCGTGCAGTTCACCTGAATTCATATGATTTAGTTTAGTAACTTAAAGGTCCTTTGACCTCCTTCATTGTAAAAAAAAAAAAGTTGGCTTTATATTACACGAATCAACTTTATTCCAATAATCCCCGTTTCACATCTTAGTAGTTTCATTTCATAGTAAATCCTATGATACCTATACACCGTCAAAACACGCTTAGGGACACTTATAAAACCCTAAAAGGGATGCAATACAAGGAATTGCAAAAGCAGAGCACAATATTAGGCAAATTGAGGCTTCACAAAACTAGCTTGATGAATCATGATTAAAAAAAAAAGGAAAAAAAAATCAGTCTCCTTACCATCCTTCACTTCTAACTGACAAAATCATTGGGGGAGAAAAGCTTGCAATCTTCCCTATCAACCGGTAACTTTCGTTTGCATTTGTGCGTTTGGCAGACAGTAAAGTCTGTCCAAGAGAATAAAGCGCAACATTCGATTGACAAGAAAGATGATGAGAAACATTATCATACGCTTTCAAGGCATTCGCAAGGATTCCTGGACAGAAAGACACACACGATCAAACTAAACACTTTATTCTCAATCAGCTAAGTAGTATCAATCATTGGGATTTCTGGGCTGCAGAGTTCCAATAGTTGAGAGAATGCTGCCATAACAGCTACTGTCCATGCACTCTGAACGTAAGAGCCCTAATGTCATAAGCATTCAGGCATTTTCTCTCCCATGTTATTTGTCCGGCAATGACACATTGCTTGCAAGAGAATATAGTTTTTGTTATCAGTTCCAACCATCTTGGATGACTTCACCAGCACACATCTCTAGGATCTTTTTGTTCTATTTGTCTGTCATAATCATATTATTATCAACCACCTTGCCTACTCTGTCATCAATTCCGTCGTCATAATCATGTTCTCTATCGTTGTACCACCCCATATCTTTGTACCAATCCATGTACCCGGAGATCTTAGGGGATAAGAGAATACTTGTACTGATTTATCAAGTTCATACTTTTACATATGTTGACATTGCAATCATGTGCTCCCATTAGGTTAAGAATCATTGAATATTTACCAACATCAGTTTATGTTGGTAATAGTTTTGTCAACAACTGTCATCTTCTTAGATAACAAAGTGAAGTAATTTTTAAAAGGTGCAACACTTCCGCCATGATTATAGAGGCTGGACTGCCGCTAAGTTATAAATGGCCCAATGAAAGAAAATCATCTTTATTCCCAATCCCAAGCTAGCTTTTTATACATTCAGGTGGCTCCCATGCATAATATGATAAGAACCATGTTCTGTTGCATGATTACGCTTGTTTGCTCTATCGATTCTCCGCCGAAAATGAGACTTTTCTGTTTCTAGATTCTAAAGCATGCAAAAAAAAAAAAAAAAAAAGTTCACAAAAACAGGGGAAAGCTGTATTTCAAGTAGGGAAAAGAGAAAGGGCAAAGGCAAACAGCTAAACAAAGGAATGAAGGATGGAAATGGAATGATACCTGTCTTTTATGCCACCCAAAAAGCATCCTATCATCATCGTACACTGGTGGGCGTACTACATGCATAGGACAGGGGGAATCAATGCTTTAAGGTACCACATTTTCTCATGCGCTATCATAATTGCTCGAAAAATGTTGCTGCAGTTTTTGCTGTCATCAACCCAGTTCATCATCAATCCCCACAATCAAACACCAGGGAAAGTGACCGAAAACTTTCTTGTACTAACAATAATTACACATGTAATGGATACATTCTCTGTGCTGTTCAGTTTAATTCAAAGTTTACAGTTATTCCACATCCTTTATTCTGCACAATTGCTGTGAATGTAAAACATGACCATTGAAGAAATGATGGGTTGTAGTTATAACCAGGGACAAAGCTAAACTGAGGCATCAATATTGGTTTGCTTTTGGACCAAAGAGACTATAACAGCCACATCATCCAGCTTCCCTCCAGTGTATCCAACATACCCTGCTGCTTGAGCTGCATCAGCAAATGGGCTTCTTCCAGAAGCAGATCTACCCACCTCTTGTGCTTTTGTTGCCAAGAGTTCAGCTGTTTCCTACAGTAATTGGCAAGGAAAAACCCGAGACAAAAATGAACTAGATGATAACTTCGTCAATGAACCCCAGATTAGTTTTGACATTACTGTCTATTTGCTCCAACTAGCACGATTGATTTTGCTGGTTTAAGTAATCCATGAGAAGGGGTTTCCATTAATTTACGAGGGAGGTAACTTCACTTTGACCTGAGATTTTCTAACAAAATTATGCAGAAAAGGGAAGACACTAGGAATGGATTGCTAAACCACAACTTGACTAGTAGAATAGGAATGGTATTCTATAAGAGGTCCTTTGGCTTCAGAAATTCAAGTTTGATTCAGGCTACGCAAATTTGTCTCTACCCATCAACTAGCAGAACAGCAATTTTGAACAAGATTCAATGATTACCTGCACTCCAGTACCAGCTTCCAATGAAGATGTGACAATAGCAGCTATTTCCTTCTCGTACAAGTTGTCAAAAATTCCATCAGTGGCGAGAACGACGATGTCACCTTCATCCAGTTCAATCTTGTATCCCTGAACACATGTAATTGAACAGTTTCACTTTTTTTTTTTTTTTACACAATTATGCTTCTAGCAACATACAAAACAGATTTAGTTTTGTTGTAACTGACCTCCAAAAGTTTGGACGGATCATCACCTCGTTGAATTTGAAGGGGAAAATTGAACTCATGGGACATGGGGGACGACTTTTTGTAAACATTACCATTCCTCAGTACTAAAAATCCTGAATCGCCAATGTTTACCACGTGAAGCGCCTGCCAGCATTTCACCATGTGACACATCAGAGAGGAATGAGAATATTCACCAAGAAATAAGTTATCCATGCCAGTAAATGTGCTAAGCACATCCATGCCAGTAATTTGCATTAGGTGGCAAAATCAATTCAAATCTGGAAATCCTTTTCAAAATACACCGGAGGAAGCTGGATTTTTCCACCTAATGCAGTCATGGTATGCGTGCAGTGTTTTAAAAAGATGTGTTTGTGCTAGTGTAAAGTAACTGCAGCATTCTGGAAGGCCAAAGTTGCTGGTAAATTGGTTGAATCTTCTCAACAAGAGAAGATAAACATAACTACTGAAATCATGAACACTGAATCCATCACCAAAAGAAAAGAAAGCTACCATAAAAGACTAATCAAAGATTTTATGAATCCAGCTTTGCTTTAGACACCAAATGAATACAGATGGCAAGTAGTGAAGTATCATTGATTTGAAGTCACAATGCACCCCTTTATTAGTTTAAGGAAATTGCTTTAGGAAATATAATATATTACAAGTTCCTTTTCTGCTAATAGGCTGTGAAAATTTATCTAAACCACAAATATGAACTTCTGATGAAATACCTGTCCATCAAAGTGAGCCACCAAAACCGTTGCTGATCCAGGAGACTGGCTTTCTGCAACACTTAATCTGAGGATCTCCACAGGAGTGGGTCTCCAGGATCCATTTCCCTCTGACACAATCTTTTTGCAGTTCTCCATAAGTTCTCGGGCATAAACTCCCGGATCAATCCCTGAACGATTGGAATTGTGAGACTAATCTGTTTAGCAATTTAAGTAGATTTTACACTGAAACTATATCTACCTTTGTTTCAAGATAAGCAAGATGATTTTATGACAATAAAATGAACGTGACACACAGTACTGGGAAGATTTACCTTCAAATGACCATTGACCAACTCCATCAGCTACTCCTAACCAATTTTTGCCAGAGATAAAATATGCATCCTCTCCACCTGTCAATGCCTGGAAATTATTATCTACAGAATCACTTATCACACAATGATACTTAGCATCACAGGAAAAGATTAAGAAATCTCTATAATCACAGTTTTAAGTATCTGTGAAACATCCATGGAGGAAAAAATAGAAGCATGGACTAAATAACAAATATGCATCATCTCCATCTTTATGAATCAATGCTTTTTTCCACGGGACTAAATAGGTATTGTCTTTTAGTTCCCAAAATACCAGATAATCATTTTGTACAATCATGAAAACTACTGCAATGGCAAAAACCTTGGAATATTGCACTAGGAAAAGGGAATCGAGAATATCTTCAGTTGCGTAAAACAATGAAACTGTTGTTCTATAGCAAGAATTGAATATATACCTTAGAGGGATATGGCAACACTGCAGCGCCGGAAGTCAAAAGAAGTTCTTCTATGGGAATTTCCTTACTGTGATGGATAGAAAAAACAGACAGACGTGATTAGATCTTTCATACTCATTTCGCAAAGGCACGAATCAAATCTATCAGTAACATAGAAATTTGCAGTGAATTAGTGGCACAAAGGGAGGTGTACAGACATGATTTCCATTGTGGGCAGAGAATCTGATGGACCACAAACAAATACGATGCAAGATAAAGCATAATGCAAAGAATTTACATAGCCAACTAGGAAAAGGCTGAAAGAGCTAGAAAGGTGGCTAATGATACCTTTCCTTAAGAATAAAGTTTCCTCCCAACCACATTATTATATAGTTGGCAGGCATTTGATTGAATGTAAAATGGTTATACTAACATACAAACCTTCCCCCTCTCTGGTACAAAATTAACATTGGAGTTCAACAAATATGTGAAGCATCTTAGAAAACAGATTGATCAAGGTACCTGTCCAGAGGAGCCGGAGGAGATTCCAATTCTACAAGATCAGTCTGTGATGCTTCAAGATGGTCATTGCTTTCCGAATCATCTATGGCCATGTGTTCTTCCACAGCCAGAATTGACTCATCTTGGTTAATCTGTTTGAAACAATGAAAAGAGGAAATTTTAGAAACCTGCATAGAGAATGGTAATACTGATGCACAGGCTGGTTCTTGTCTGTTGTGCATGATAACATGCAGGAAAAAGAAGGGAGGGAGCAACGAATGATCACATTCGCTACAGAAACAGAAACAATAACAAAAAAACGGGGGATGAAACTGACCTTCGACAACTGGGAAGATGCATCAATTGCAAAAGAAGGAGCACCATTTTCAATAGGCTCCTCTGCTTCAATAGAAGAAGTTGCTTCATCTAGAATTGGTTTAGATATTTGAGACAATTTATCTTCTTCAACAGGCTCATCCACTGCAATAGACGCAGCTTCTTCCCCTATGATTGGTTCAGATATTTGAGAATCTGTATCTTCTACAATAGAAACAGCTACTTCATCTAGAATTGGTTCAGACGCTGTATCTCCTTTGGCAGGCTCATCTACTACAACAGAAGCAGCTTCCTCAGCTATAAATGGTTCAGATGTTTGAGACACTGTATCTTCTGTGACAGGCTCATCTACAACAATAGAAGCAGCTTCTTCACCTAGACTTGGTTCAGATGTTTGGGTCACTGTATCTTCTTCAACAACAATAGAAGCAGCAGACATTGTATCTTCTGCGACAGGATCATCTACAACAACAGAAGCAGCTTCTTCACCTAGACTGGGTTCAGATGTTTGAGTCACTGTATATTCTTTGACAGGCTCATCTACTGCAACAGAAACAGCGTCCTCATCTACAATTGGTTCGGATGATTGAGACACTATATCTTCTTCATTAGGCCCATCTGCTGCTACAGAAGTACTTTCCATATTTGGTTCGGCTTTTGAAACAGAATCAGCTTCCTGATCAATAGTTGGTTCGGCTTCCATAGAAGTCGACATAGGCATAATTTCATCAAAACCGCCTCCACTGTTATCATCGTTTACTACACCAGATTCTACATTATTGACATCATTCGCTTCTTCCACTAACTTTTCACTTAACTCACTGAATCCCTCTATAGAATCACTACTCTTTTGGCTAGACGTTGCTGTACTTAACATATCAGAAACCGAACCTATAACAGAAAAAGTCAAACTATCAGGCGCCCCATTTGTAACAGTTGGATTCTGAGCATCGACAGCCACATTTGTTACAGTTGAATTCACAGCATCAGAAGCCACATTTAAGTTCTTGGCTTCCCTTTGTATTGTTTGAACTGTTGTATGGCTCTCAGTATCAGCATCCAAAACCTTCAATGCGTTATGTTTTTCTTGAAATTCACTCACCACTTCAGTAATCCTCAAATTGGATTCTTCTAATACCTCATCATCCTTAACAATCTCAGAGGGGTCCCCAAACAAAAAGATTAAACTACCATCATGATGCTCTGCCATAACATTGCATCAAAATTAATAATCACAAATATGCTTGCTACAGACTCATATATCAAAGCACAAACTCAAGAAAATTCACGAAGTTTCAAACTTTATCCCTCCTTACAACAGAGAAAAGCTTCAAGCAAAAAATAAGTAAATAACAAGAGAAGGTAATTGAATAGGATTACCATACCACGGGTAGCTATGATGTCAAAATCAGATGAAGAGGGCACTGATGAAGTGGGTTCGTCATTACTTCTACAGTGCAAAGGTGCAAACTTTGGCCGCCTTTTTGAAGTTCTGGGATTGGCAAATTGACGATTTCGAAGCAGAATCAAAGGGTTTTGAGGTGAATAACTCGGGATGGAAATGGAAGTATTGGTGATACTGCGGGAGACAAGAATGGCACAATGGTAATCAGCCATTTTATGAAAGATTTAGACTTCAGAATCTTAGATACTGAAAGCAAGGGCACTTTATGCTTCTTTTTCCTAAATCAAGAAAGGAATTTCAGTACTGTACTAAATGATGGCAAATGATAAATGCTGGTGAAGATTGCCAGTCGACACCCCAAATAAATGATTAAAGGTGTTTTTTTTCACATTCTTCTCTCTGAGATTTGGACAAAGTTCCTCCTTCATACATTTGTAAAATTATTATTCCATGAAGAATTGACAGGTGTAGCAAATAAAAATTAAAGGGTGTTTGAATTTTGAATGCCATTTATAATCTTCTTTCCATATTTTTCCATAGCCAATGGTGCAAAATACTGGGAAATTATGGTTATGGGCGCAAAATGGAATAAGACCGCTCATTTATTCTTATCCTCTCATGCTAGCCGTAGGAGATTTTGCATACGGTGAAATATCCCTTCAATTGGTTTGGAAAAATAGTTTCATTTCATCCAATTGCATCAGGTATAATTTCTTATTTTTCATCCTTTTCAGGCTGAAAATTTTTATAACCCTGGATCAATAGTAAGGATGTTACAGTCAGATTTAACCCAAAAAAAAAAGATGTCACGGTCAGTATCACTGCATTAGTATAAAAAATAACAAATGTAGAATTGCTTTTCCATTAGTGATGCAAATTTGGGCATCTCCAGCAGTTGCAGCCAGCATTGATCGGTTAATTTCAGTGTTTAAATGATGATAAAATTAGGAACCAAATTTAGTTGTGCTTTCTCTATATATGGCTGAGTACATTGGTAATTTATGTGGAGAGAACAACTTCCAACCCAAAACATATCAGATGGACCATTCCTGTAGAAGATCAAGAAAGTTGTGAACAAAATCAAATCCAAGATTAGGAGGGTCTTAGGCATATATAGCCTTAAGATCCCTTGATTTTTTATTTTTTTGAAAAAGAGATCCTATGATTTTTGTAGTAGGGAAATGTTGCAGCGTGTGTCTGTGTGAGAGGAGGTCAAATGGTTAGGTCCACGTGGAATCAATGAGGATGGTAGATGCAGATGGCGCTCAAAATCTCATTGGTCCGAAATCTATCCAACAGAGATGTTAGATTTCACTTATCCTACTTGGCTCCTCAGGATGCCTTTCTTTTGATCTTCCCTCTACCCTTTCTCACTTCCTACATGACCATATATCACAGCCAAACAAGCCAGTTACCAAAACAAACTTGAGCCAGAAAAATTTGGGGTGACATTATAAATCACATTTTTTGGTAGAATCATCAGAAAGAGTGCAGGGAAAACTAGCTTTAGCTTAGAAGAGGGAGAGAAAAGAAAATGGCTGCCACATCTGCTGCAGTAGTGAATGGATTGGGCTCTCCCTTCTTGACTGGTGGAAAGAAAAGCCAGACTCTTTTGGCTGTGCCAGTTTCATCAAGAGTTGGTGGTTCTGCTGTTTCATCCAGGAGATTAGTTGTAGTTGCTGCTCTCCCTCCTAAAAAGTCATGGATTCCTGCTGTCAAAGGTGGTGGCAACTTGGTTGATCCTGAATGGCTCGATGGCTCGTAAGTAACTTCTTTTTTCAACATTTTAGTCCAGAAAAATGGTTCCTTTCTTCTCAGACATATGAATGTGGTTAAAAATCTATGGATCTATGTATTGCAGGCTCCCGGGTGACTATGGATTTGACCCACTTGGTCTCGGAAAAGATCCTGCTTTCTTGAAGTGGTACAGAGAAGCTGAGCTCATCCATGGCAGATGGGCAATGGCTGCAGTTCTCGGTATCTTTGTTGGCCAGGCTTGGAGTGGCATTCCATGGTTTGAAGCTGGTGCTGACCCTGGTGCCATTGCACCTTTCTCCTTCGGTACGCTCCTTGGTACTCAACTCCTCCTCATGGGATGGGTTGAGAGCAAGAGATGGGTTGATTTCTTCAACCCTGACTCTCAGTCTGTAGAATGGGCTACACCATGGTCTAGGACAGCAGACAACTTTGCAAATGCAACCGGCGAGCAGGGCTACCCTGGTGGGAAGTTTTTTGATCCATTGCAGTTTGCCGGAACACTACAGGACGGAGTCTACATTCCTGACACTGAGAAGCTCGACAGACTGAAGGTTGCTGAAATTAAGCACGCAAGACTTGCCATGGTTGCTATGCTGATTTTCTACTTTGAGGCAGGGCAAGGAAAGACACCTCTTGGTGCCCTTGGTTTGTAAATTATATAATTTCGACAATGTTGTAAAAACTAATTGGCAGTAGAAACAAGACAACAGAGCGAGTTCATCTACCATGATTCAATCTTTTTCCACCTAAATTTTTGTTCCTTTTACTTAAACTGCAGAGACACAAGCATTAAGCCACTATGAAAAGTAACTCACGGATGGTTAAATTAAGGCACATGGCAATGGCTAGAGTATCGTTAAAACTAGGATGCATGGATTTATCCTTTGTGCTGATTCAATCTATTCGATAAATTCAAACAGAAGTGTAGCTAGGTAGCAGTGGTGTTTCATGTCAATATCTCAAATCTAGTTAGCAGAAATAAGAGCTGGAAAAATTCATAACCTTTTGTATGTCAAATTCATATATATGAATCAGGAAAATATCAATTACACATTGTTTAAACCATCAGGCAAATGCTGGACATATCAAGAACCCACAGTCTATTAAAAAATTTCTACAAAATGTTTAATGTCAAACTAACCAGATGGTATTCGCTCTAATCAAATACAGCCTCCATATTTTTTAAGCTTGAAAATGATAGCAGCAGAAAGGCGAAACCACAGGAAGACCCTAATGCAGGAGAATTATTCACTGCCCATGGCCATCAAAAATTCACCCTCACAGACAACATCGCTCCCGACGTAGGCCTTGCCTTCCATCTTTGCTATTCCAAAGCGCCTCTGCAACTTGGTGAGAGTCATTCTCATAACCAAAGTGTCCCCTGCAATCACGGGCTTCCTAAACCTGACTTTGTCAATGCCGGCAAAGAAGAAGTTCTCCTTGGAACCTCCAACTTCTGGTTGCAACATAACTATGCCACCAACCTGGGCCATTGCCTACAACAAACAGAGACCAAATCATCAGACATTGTTACAATACAAGGGCAAACTCACATCTAAGTCTCTCACATTCTAGTCGTTGTCATAAGGCATGTTGAAAATGCAAAGTACAGTTAAAATTGTAAATCTTTGAATGACAACAACATTAAGTTAGAATTGCTAGCTAAGCTTCGAAGTTTTGAAAAATGTCTGAACCCCAAAAATGTGAAGTTGTTTGTGCAACTTTCAGTCAAATAGCTATATCAGAAGCGAAATCATAAACACATTCCATCCTTACGAGCAATTAACAATTTGAGCTAAAACTGACATACCTAACCTAGTTGTAATCCCAATTGAGTTTCACTTTGTCATGCTGTGACTCAGTACTTATTGGATATAAACTACAAGCTTGGAAAAGAAAATCCTAAAACAAGCCACTATTGCAAGTGATTAATTCAAATCCTGAAGGGACCAAACACCAATAAGAGAGGCGGCATGTGGCTTCAGGTAAATCTGGTCCTAGCCTCCGCAGAAACTGAGTAAATATCACAAATGTAAAGGAAGATAAGAAAGTGATCCAAGGCTTGAAAAGTTCCTCATAGCATAAAAGCAAAGTGATCCAGATTTGGAGCAATAATAATTTTATGCCTTGAACTTTACCACCAATTATTATTTCAGACCTGGTTAGGACTCAAGAAACACAATTATCAGTGAGATATCAGAGAGGAGAAGGGATGGCTGAGACCTGTACGTGGTAAAAAAGAGATTGTTTTTCCGTTTGGAGAGCTCAAATGATAATCTATGCAATGCTCAGGATGGGAAAGATGGATTCCAGCTTCTGAACCCCCACATCATGGAATACTCATCATTTAATACCAATAGCTAAGAAACTTAGCTCGAGAAAACCTTGTCAGGAGTCTTGATTGATTTACAATGATCAATATCATCAAACAGACAAGGCATCCTTACATTGAGAATACAAAGGATAATCCAAGGAGCCATTAAAATATTGGAGATTCGGGTATGCCTTACTTTGGCTAAACACAAAAACCAAAAGAGGACTTTTCACGCGAGGCCACTGAGAGGACATATACAGAGCATCAGGTGGGCTCAAAGCAACCGGAGTTAAAGTAAACCATTTCCCACCCTTTGTAAACCAACAACTGGCTATAAATATATCTTTGGAATTCATTGGCTATCTTGTAAATTAAAAGGACCTAAGGTCTACTTTCAATTGGAAAACATTTTTGAATTTCCTCAATGCCCACCCATATGAAAGCAATTATGAACTTGAAAATTAAACAAGGATGTACTAAATGCACTTCTTTCTGTCATGCATATGAAAGTTTAGCAAAAAGGAGCCAGAAGAAATTCAAAGAAACAAATTGGAGGCAATATATGAAGCCGAGCAGGTTGAAAAGTATCTTACCTCAACCATGAGCACTCCAGGCATGATCGGCCTTTCCGGAAAATGCCCAGGAAAGAAATTGTCATTTATAGTTACATTCTTAATGGCAACAGCAGAAACTCCAGGATTGTATTCAATCACTCTATCTACTAGTAGAAACGGGAAACTGCAAATCCAAACGCGATTTTTAGCAATATTCACACAAAAATCCCCATCAAATTTACATTGGAAAAAAAAACACACAAACACACACAACTTTACCCATTCGACTCACCGGTGAGGTAAAATCTCACGAATTTGATTGATATCCAAAACAGTAGGATATGCTGGATACCCTGAATAACACAGCAAATCCACACGTCAATACTGAATGAAAATGACAAAAATTGAAACTTTACAACATCGCGAAATGTGTAAAGACTCCAACTTTACAGTATGCAGAGTCGAATTAAAAGCTCGTTGAGAAGGCAATGTAAAGAAACATACTCAATTCAATGGGGGTTTCAATCTTGGAGCTTTCACTCCCATTTGGGGTACAATTAACGATGCTGGTCTTGTGGGTTTTCTTGAATCGTAGGTTGGATCCTGAGAACCCAGAAGATTTATTCAGAGAAACTGATCTGGGCAATGATTGAGCAAGGGGCAAAGAGGCATTTTCAATGCTTTTGTGAGAATTGAAAGTGGAGAAGAGAGATTGGGATAGAGCTGTAGAAGCCATTTGCTGTTGTCCCTGGACTGCAATTCTGTAGAGTTTGGCAAAACGTATCTTATTTGAAGGTGGAAGAAGAGGGGGTTTGGACGATGAAAACTAGGAGGAAACTGAGAGTGAGTGATAGAACTGAGAAAGATGTCTGATTTGCAATTCTTTGTTGATTTGTTGTTGGTCACTAGTAAATGTGAATTACTACAACTACTCCTTGAAGTTCTCCTAATTTGCAATTATTACCCAAATTTGAGTTTTTTTAATCAGTCCCACAATAATAATTATATTTGTTGAATTATTTTTTTATTTTAGCATCACAACTCACAAGTTCCATTATCTCATGTAATGTAGTACTTAATTTTATTTTTGAAAATAGATATTGGATAGGCATAACTATTTTACATCTATTTTAGAATTTTTTAATTTAATTATTTTTACACATAATTTATATTTCATCTCTATATATTACGATCAATGAATGAATCACACAAGTGCCTGTTTGATAAAAATTAATGCTCAATTCTGAATGCTTAATACTGGTTAAGAAATGTTTAAATCATTGAGCAGTTACGAATAAGCAATAAGCTAACTTTTATTACTTATATTTTGTACTATAGTTTTCAGCTCTACTTAATTAATTAAGAGGTTTATTTTTAGTTATCAAAAAAACTGAAATAAAAAATCCTTAATCTAACAATTTTAAGCATTAAGTAGCATTATCAAACAAACATAAATGATAGACTCACTCGTCTTTCTAAATATTATACTTTAAAGCATTTCCAAACATATGAAAGTGTACATTGGTAAAGACATTATAAAATTACAGCAATTCATAAGAATTCGGGGAAATATAAAGTAAGTTTGAGTGGGATGCGTTGTAATAGTTTATGACTTTCTTCCTAATTCTAATACAAGTATCCTTTTCAGAAAAAAAAAAAAAGTATAGTTAAGTTATTCTTTGAGAAAAAGAAATCTATTTGAAATACTTTAACTGTCTCAAAATTATTGTTTAATTTGTTTTTTTTTTTTAGTACAAATTGTATTAAAAGTGAAATTTTAATCTGGACAGTAATTTTTAGATAAAGGAGTACTCTTACAGCCTACAATTGCCCTGCAGGGATATTTAGTGAACAATTATATTTGATGGGGGTTGTTTACAATTAATATAAAATATACTGGTAATTTGCAAGGACTTAAGTGAATAAATGTCTAAAACTGAAATACTATAGGTGGAGGCGGAGCTACCAATTTCTACCACAGTTGTACCGAAGTCATAGTTGTAGTTGAAAATGTTGTTGGGAATTTACGATGGTTCCATTGGCCTTTTTTTTTTAAAAAAAAAAAAAAAAATCTACTTTCAATGTTTTACATTAGTATCAAACCAGAAAAATTAAAAAACAAAAATACGTAAACCAACAATCACTTGGAGCAGATGATAAAGAAAAAAGTGAACTAGTCTAACACTTTAACATTAACTATGACGATGATTTAATTATGTCGAACATGTGAACATGTATCCACGAAAATACTTAGAATTACAACATTTGAAGAAACTTATTCTACTTTTTTTACTTGAATTTTTAGTTAATACTTAAGATTCATGGGTTGGGAGAGTGTGAATTTGGAGACCCGGTATAATATAGTTTTCTCACGTCTCAAAATTATTGTCAAGTTTTGATTTTTCAAAATGAATAAAAAATGAAAATATGAAGAGGACAATAATTTTGAGACAGAGAGAATACTTTCGCCTAGAAATGCTTATTCAATTTGAATTTGATGAATAAACACTTTTAATATATAAATAATAAATTTATATTAAATTAAAATTTAATCGAATGATTATTTTCGGAGTGGGCAATTACAAACTGCCTAATAGGGCCCAAATTTGTCGATCCCAAAATGTAGCCCATTAAAACTTCCCAAAGACAGTGGCCTTTTGTGAAAGTATCCACAAATAAGAAAGATACCAAAAATGAAGGGAAATTATTGGAAGAGCCAGTACACAAAAAGTCCACTCCAAAGACAGACGACATATTTTGACCCCCTTGACCTCCTCCTCCTCCTCCTACCTCATTTCCTTTCCGGCTGGCGGGGAGAGTCGGAGATCATCCGCCGCCCAGATCCACCATCAAATCCGGCCAAAATGGACTTTCACCGAGGCCCCGGTGGATCTCCTTCCTCATCCACCTCCTCCGTTGACATCAACCCCAACAATTCTACTTCCTATCATCATCACCATCACCACCAACAAAATGGTGGTGGTTCCCGTCACAACGCCACCACCCCAAATCACAACAACAACCACGCTGACCCAATGCATTCTTGGTGGGAATCCATCTCCAAAGCCCGTACCCGAATCCATCTCCTATCTACCCTCCTTCCCGAAACATCTTCCGTTCTTACCTCCCTTGCCGACTCCGACCGCCCCGCCCGCTCCCTTCTCCTCTCATCCGCCGCCTATTCAGCGGTTTCCTCCTCTCTTTCCTCCCCAAATTCCGGGTCCGGTGATGACCCTTTTTGCCAGTGGCTTTACGAAACCTTCCTTTCGGGGGACCCTGACCTCCGCCTTGTTGTTCTCTCTTACATCCCTCTCCTCTCCTCCGTTTACCTTTCCCGGATTCATTCCTCCTCCTCCACTACCTCCGCCGTCCTCTCCGCCACCCCTTCACTCGCCGGATTTGAAGCAGTTCTCCTTGTATTGTACTCTTCCGAAGTCAAGGCTCGTTCCGGGAAGCCCATATTGATTTCTATACCCGATCTCTCTCAACCTTCTCTTTACCACAACCCTCGAAACAACATTCCAAACAAATCAACCCCTTCCAGCAAATCTCCTCCTCAACCTCCTCCTCGTCCGGTTCAAGTTGGCGTCTTGTCTCCCCCACTTGAGCCCCAGATGGCTGTCAAGTCAACTAAGCGGGCCGGCATCGTCGGCATTGCCCTGGATTGTTATTATAAACAGATCTCACAAATGCCCAGTTGGTCTAAGCTTCATTTTTGTGAATTTGCAGCTGATTGGGCTGCTCAGGATTGCCCTTGTAAATCTGATTTTGACGATTTTGCAGTCCAGAAACCCGATAATTTTGCGGAAAGTAGCAACGGGTCTCCTGATAATTTAAGTTGCAATGAGATTGAGGATGTGGCGGAAGGAATTCAGGATTTGAGGATAGAGGGGAGTAATGAGGATTTGAGGCCGAACAAGGGGGTGAGGATTCCCCTTCCATGGGAGTTGTTACAGCCTATGCTGAGAATTTTGGGGCATTGCTTGTTGGGGCCTTTGAATTCAGAGGATGTGAAGGATGCGGCATCCGTGGCGGTTCGATGTTTGTATGCTAGGGCCTCCCATGACTTGAACCCGCAGGCAATTTTGGCTACTAGAAGTTTGGTTCAGCTGGATAAGAGGGCTCGTGAGGCTGCGGCAGCAGCTTTGGCTGCCGCTGCTGCTTCCAATGCCAATACTCCCAGTAAGGCTAAAAAGCAGCCAGAGATGCTTTTGGTTGCCAAATAACTCTTGAAGTTTTGATTTTCAGCTTCCTTTAGATGTGTGCGAGATTGAATGTGTCATTGTGTAAGTAGAGATGTAGATTATTATATATATCGTTGTGGTTTCAGTAGCTTGCTAGTCTTTTAACTTGAAACGAAAGTTATCTACAACATTGTGTAATATTATTACTTTGATGTGAACATTTGATCTAGTGCCTACATATAGTTGGGGTTTGGTTGGTCCATCTTACTTCTTGCCAGTTAGGTTGTTCTGTCTGTTTAATATTGGAATTTGTTTTTTTTCTTCCATTTCCAAAAGCCTTTCTTTTGATTAACAGCTTCCTTGCAAGGTTAGTTTTTGCTTCCCAATGAATGATGATGACTCTGTACCATCTTCACCTGATTAAAATTAGCATGTTACTGTCTCCATTTTCGGTCAATTTCCTATGCTTATGGATTTCATTCCTTATGCAGATGTTGTATTCATATGAGTTAGGCATTGCTTGTTTGGTCGATAAGCTGGTACACTCTACACTGGTGATACTTATGTAGAAATCAGTACTGACTTTTTGAATAGTGAGTATTTACTGGTTGGCACATGTTAAATAAAGTGGGTGCTACCTTGTTTCAAATGGTTTAGCTCTGTAGGGTTTTAACTAGTGGTTCAGGTGGAGGTTTGGGCTGATATTATAGGCGAACAGAGTTCCTTTGATGTATGTTAGGGTTTAGGTGTAAATGACATTGATTAGCAAATCAACAAGTTGTTTGCAGAAGAAAATAAACCTGAATGGAACTGAATGAGCATGAACTTCTGTAACTGCGTTGAATGGTTTGCAGTGATGACTTTATTTTTCATGGAACATGCTTCTCCCAGATTCTATCACATGCCTTTCTATGTATTACTTGATTAACATATCCACTCCAATCTTCCATCAGAATGAGATTAACCAAATGCCTTATAGGAATTATGTCCTTAGACCTCTTAGTTCTTCACTTGTAAAAGGTAGGATACGATGCATATCCGGAACCAGGACCTGGTGAACATTACTAAGGTAGAACGTTGTTACCAATCACCAAGACTTGTTGTGATCTTTGTGTTTTAGTGTTGCACATCAATGACTCGTTTATTATTCTGTTTAGATATCTATCTTAGTCAGTATTCTGTTTAGATATCTATCTTAGTCAGTCTCGAATGGTTTAGAGAGAATGTAATCCACAAGATGAGAACCAGCTTTTCTTTTTTTTTTTTTGTGTAAAATTGTATAGTAATTATTACAGGGAACAACCATTGCTGAGGTAGCAAATTGAACTCATGGAGTTGAGGCAGGCTGCGGTTTCAGCAGCTTGAAACTCTTGAGATTTTTCCCACACTAGGAATTGCTAAGTGACATAGAAAAATTTATGATAATCATATTACAATGTAGCCTGTCGTGCAGGCTGAGTAAATACAAATGCCTGTGCTTCCAATCGTTTGTAGGAAATTATTCTCTTTCGATTTTATGCGAGGACTGGAGTCTCCACAGTGGATTGTACGAAGTGCTCCAGATAGTGCTCTTCCCCGTTGTCCCATATCTGTGGTAGGGCGTCTTTGATGTTGTGTATGCTGCTTAATGCATAATCAGCACCAGGCACGAGGCTAGAGCTACCCACCTGCACCCGGGAATGGAAGTCAGTAAACTACATCATCATGCTCACTTAACAGGCTTCTAAGAGAGACCAGTTCAGAAATTTACAATTACGGTTTGAAGTCCAGCTAGTTTTGCAGTGGCAATGTTGCGAGCACTATCATCAAAGAAGAGCTGATAGGAAAATGAAAATAATTCCGTGAATGATTTGTTGCTAGAAACCACAGATTTCCAAGGTCTAATAGCAGCTGAAGCAAAAATTCTGTACCGTTTTGGCAGGGTCAAGGTCTGCAACACGAATAGCAGCCTGAATTGCCGTTAGAGAAGGCTTACATATGATTTTCTGCAGTGTGTTTTGGGTGTTGGTTTTCATCGTAGCACGGGCATCAGAATCTCCAGTCATCAGACTATCATCGCTGTCATCTGCTACCTCGTTTGCGGGATCAAAGGGGGATCCCTGAACAGGTGTTGGCGAGTTAAGTGTTTCAAAGCATATCACGCCTTCAAAGCAATCCTCCAAACCCAACTTGGTCAGGACTCGGGCCGCATGATTTTTATCCGCGTTGGTGAAAATCTAACGGAAGCCCCGGTTGAAGCAAACTCACAAGTTATTTTCCACAGTACATAAGTCAACAAACTTGCACATTAAGTAGTAGTAAACTAAACTTGAAACTTACAATTTTTCGCTGTGGCATGGAAAGCAAAAGGTTCCTCAAAAGAGGATCAGGCTTGAGAGTTTCATAGGGCAATCTCCCATGAACATAAGCGTGAAACTCATCGTCATCAAATTCATAACCCAGATCCTGTAATGCAACCAAATAAAAAGGGAAACTCAAACCAAAAGTGAAGTAAACATGATACTGAGAGATTATCCAAACTTCAAAGGGAACATACCTTGAGACCAGCCATAGTGGTCCCATATTCCCGGTATAATTCCAAGCACATTCTAGGAACTTGACTTTCTTCAATTCCCAGCTGATGCAACATGTAATCTACAGCAAAACCACAGATAAAAGAGTTTTCTTTGTTACAGTTCTAATTAACCAGCAAATTTATGGATAAATGGTACCTTCAATGTTCTTTCGGCACGCCAAGTTAAGACCCGTGCTTAAGGGATACAACGTATCATCCATGTCTAAGTCAATAACAGAAAAGCACATCCCATAATTAAATTCCAGTTCCAAATGAGTGATTCAATGGAATAAGCAGAACTTGACGAAGACAGTCTAGCTAACTAACAAGAAAACTGACAAGGGTTTGGAGTATATAATTCATAACATCGAACTTACCAAAGAGCAAGCATTGGTACTTGGCTCCATCAGCGCAACAGAGGTCTTCAGCTTCCATTTTCCAGGTGAAACCTGCTGCAAAAATGCTTTCCATCATCAACCCATAACGCAGATTTGGGAATGGACGGATTAGAAAATGAATGCAAATACTAATTCATTACCTGAAGATACAGGGGGACAGAAAACAGAAGCTGAAAACAACAGAATGAGAAGGCAGACTGGAAGAGTAGCAATGGTTTTTGGTTGGGGTGAAAGGGCATATGTATATATAGGTGCCAAAATCCATGTGCAAACATTAAAACATCGCCCTCCGAATCATTTGTAAACATTGTCAGCAGCCAAAAATTCTGTTTTTGAAGTATTACTAGTAACAAGAGAGGGTCCCCCGTCCATAACCAATGTAGGGTTCCAAAAGATTTTTTTTTTTTTTTTTTTTTTTTGATAATAATGTTCCAAAAGTTGAGATCCCTCGTCACCCCAATTTTTTTCCTTTTTAACTTTATCAGAATCATCTTGGTTCCCATGCACTGAGTCCAACTTCTTTTCTGTAGTTTTATAGCATTTGATTTCAATTACGATTCAAGATTGGAAATATGATGAAGATTTGCATTATTGACTTGGTTGCAATTATTGAGCATTTTGAATCTATTAATTAGTTCATCTCTGTTTTGGTCCTAGGCTCCTGGCTTTCATCAAACATACCAAGCAGAGGCGGAACCATGACAGAGCCTCGAGGTTCCATTATACACATGAACTTAGCAAATAAAAATAAGTAAATAAATAAAATAAAGAATGTAAATATTAGACCACCAAAAAAAAAAAAAAAACCATATAGAACTCCACGTATCGAACTATTCGTAAATAAAAGAAGTATAAAATGTAAACTATGGTATATTTTCAAGCGTTAGTACTTTTGTTCCACCATTGACGGCAAATGAAATCTTCTTTTAATTTCTGGTACCTATTCGTGCATCATTACTAAAGAACTATATTTACGCATAATTTTTCACTAGTTGAATCCTAAATGGTATACAATTAAGTAGTCGAGACAGGTGATTAACTCTCGAATCATAGAACCTTAATTAGGATCGATCAATTTATGTGTCTGCTTTGATTGTCCTATATAATGCAAGTTGACGGCAGAAGATTGGTGGGGTCTTAAACGCACATGTAAATCGGTGTGGTTCTGTCTTAAAACCAATTAACAATGAAGGGAATAATCAGTGGCGGAGTCATGTTCTAGTTACTGAAATTTTTGAAATATACTTTATTTATTACTAAAAGTCAAAATTTTCCTCTGAATTTTAGAATAATTATATTCTTGCCCTAACAACATTTACATGTAGTATTTTTGCCCTACTTAAGAGTAGGAACTTGGCCCCCTAGGAGTAATACATAAATTTATATGTTGATTAACACGAGTTACTATTTCTGATGTAATATAAGTATCCTTCGCTTGTTTTCAAGTCCGAATAGAATTTAAGAGTTGATTTATAGTAGTTGAAAACTCGCTTTCTTCCTCAAATGTTTTTCGGGGGAAGACGAATGCATGGAAACCATATATTCCTATGGAGGATATGTAGAGTATAATAATAAGATGATGCAACCAAAAAAAGGAATATGGAATGCGTATATATTAATATCCTGATTAGGTATTGGCGATGTGCGAGAATACTAATGGACATATTCTCTTTATCCTCGAGCTCCAAGTGCGATTTGTATTCATCATCCACAACACAAATTTATATTCTTCTTTGTTACACGTACACTATGTATTCGTGACAACGCACCTCTTAGTCCCTAACTAGGGTAACTAATTTATGCCGTATGGTCATATTCTCATTTTCGATTTTCTAAATATTTCGTATGGAGGTTGTGCGTTGTTGACGTTAGCTTTTTGGGCTAAGGCGGCATCGGGATTAATTGTTCTCCGCCAACGAGATTCGTATAATGTAAATTACTTTTTCTGGATAAAGTGAATATATCTAATCGCAGTAACTATTAAGAGCATCCCCAATGTTGCACCAATTCAACAAATTGCTGGAGAATTTGATGTATTTCTGCTCCAATTTAGCAGCAAAACAGCAAAAACAAACTGCAAAATGCTGTTTTTGTTACAGTAGAACACTAAATTTGATGTTATACTGTAGATACAGCAAATGGGGTGTCCCACTGACGTTGTTTCTTGTACCTTTTTTTACTTTTCTTTTTTCTTTTATTTTGGGGTTTGTTGGATGATTTGCTGCACAAAATAGAGTTGAGGGTTGGAGATGAACTACATCAAAATAGCAATTTTGATGATTTGGTGTGCAGCAAATTGTTTCAACACTGAAGATGCTCTAAGGGATAAGCTATAGAATTGGGTGTTTTATAGTAATTACTAATCATATTTCCTTTTGATAGTTCTTTCGAATTTTTACGCGAGAGCAATCATAATTATGTGTATAAATTTAAATTTTATGCCATGTCTACTGTTGTTTTAATAAATAAAAATGGTAGAAGTCCACTAGTTCTTTGAAGATTCTGACAACAAAAAAGGTTGGATGGCGGGTACTCGAGCAAAACTAAAACAGTGAGCTTTTGCTTTTGTCAATAAACCCTCCAATCAAATGATCGATAGCTACAGTCAACGAACAATGTCAGTTAAGTAAAACGTTAATTGCAATTTATGATAGAGATTTACAGCATTATTTAGAAACTACATCTGTTTTTGTTTTTTTTTTTTTGAAAAAAAAAAAAAATACAAAGCTTTCATATATCTGGACCTTTTTCTACAGTGTAAACGGGCTCGCGCTCCAGAAAATAATCGCGCAATTAGTACTTATTTATGTGGGTTTCAAATAATTTCAGAATATTACGTGTCTTTCTATGTGAGACACGATATATAATGCATCTTATCTGCCTAATCTCCATCAGCTGAATCTTGCTCAAAAAATAAATAAATAAATAAGCAGCTGAATCTCTGATACCTGGCGAAGAAAAAACATTGCTTCCGTATGAAGAAATAGAAACTCCCACTTATTAAGTGCACAACTACATAATTAATTAGAAAAAGTGTACCGATGAAAATGGCCACTTTAAGAGTGATGGAGCTAAAATTCCAAGTGGAATCATACGCGAGAATATAATATTCCCTCTATCCCATAATTATTGTCCGATTTGAGTTTTCATTTTTAATTCAAAATATACTAAAAGTAAAATCTCAAACTGGACAATAATTATAGGACAGAGCGAGTATATAATAGATGCATATATCTTTTCTTGATATGGTCTTTTTCTATTTATAGATTCCTAGAATTCAGATCATGTGTATGGGGATACATTTGTTCGCTCTTCTTCCCATTCCGTTAGAGCATATATTATATTCTCTTCTGTACTTTAGTGCTTTTTTTTTCCTTGGAATATTAGGTGCTCTTTATTTTTATTTTTTCTATGACCCTTTCTTTTAAAAAGAACTGGATTCACAATCAACAAATATTGAACCCATGTGATAAATGTATATATTAGGATAATATTCCCATGGTTAGGATTCGAAGTCCTTACATAAACAAGTGGAGTAGATTAGAAAATTTGTTGGACTTCTGAGATGAATCTTACATGTTTAATCTAGATAGTGATTTTCAAACAACCAATACTAAATGTATATTAAGAAAAAAAAAAAAACTTAGTTCACATATACTGTGATATGGTTATCAGTTCTCCGGTCAAAGAAATGCATATAACTGGACTCTCACCAATTGGATAAAGTTTGATGTCGGTTAAATCCAACAGTGAATTGCTAAACACAACTTAATTTTACGTCTCGCAGCTTGTAAAATAGACTTACATATCCCTAAACTCTAAATCTTCTCAAATTCTTTTATACTATCATGTCTTTTTACAGCTTCGTACATATTGTTTTAACATACAATAAAAAATTCATTGATTGTTAATGGTTTGCAATAACGATGAACCAAAGAACACACAAAGAGCAAAGTGAAGTAATTTTTGGAGGAATTTTTTACTATAATTTTTTTCGTTCTTAGTCTGATCGGACGGCTTTGGTGTTCTTAGGCTATATTTTGTGGCTTTGGTATAATTGGTAGCCGGTAATTTTTTTATTTATTTTTTTTTATTTTTTTTTTTGCAAAACGGAGATCATTTTTTCTTTTGGTGTGATCGTTTTACAAACTTTTTCTACACTTGGATTTTGCGCAAGATTTTGCCCATCTCAAGCACATTGAAAGCAAGAAGAAAATGAGTATAATACAAGTTGATTTTATTTTGTACAACTTGATTTTATTTAGCGCACCTTTATAGACATGTAACAACACCAATCCCAACAATATTATTCACTGATCAAGTTTTTATATGTTATTCCCTTCGCCGGGAAATTATTATCCAGTTGAGATTTTTAGTTTTAGTACAATTTGAACAAAAAGCGAAAATGTAAATTGAGCAATAATCTTGGGATGAAAAGAGTATTATCTTTGATTTAAACTCTGGCAAAGGTACATACGACGATCATTTGTTCTTTACGGTGATGACATTATCTCAATAAATTTGAGTTCAGACTACTTAGATCACAATCAAAAGTCCGATGCATAAATAATCTAATTATCTCAATAACGTTTTTAAGGATTAAGATTTATGAACATTTAAATTGTACAACCACAAATCATATTAGTTAACTACTAATTTCTTCAAGATTTTATTTCTAGGACAGAAATTTATAGTGTATTGTATAAATTTTTTTTTTTTTTTGAGAAAAGTGTATTTTATAATTAAGAATCGAACGAAATATGTTTCAAAGTGTTTAGACACCCAAACATATCATCTTGAAACGATTGGTCTTGGTTAGTATATTCTAAAAATTACAATGTGGACTAAACTAATTAATTGGAGTTACAAAAACGAACATTTAAATGTAGAATTGTGAACTCACATCAATCAGCTGATTAACATTCCTTTGACTTTGTTGGCAAGCCAAATATGTATCACTCGATGGCGCCGAAAGTAAAACAGAGACAAGCAATAGATCTAATTTGTACTCTTTTTTTTTTTTTTTTCTGTGGTAACAAAATTTCTTCATTTTTAATGATTAAAATCTATGCATGCTGCCCCAACGTGTAGTTTGACGAAGTGGATGCATGCTTACTTCAGTCTAGATATATTAATTGACAAAGTCAACGTAGTATCTCCATGACCTTTTTTTTAAAATTTTTTTTTATTTTCATCATTATCGATCGAGAGAGACTAGACGATTATCATTTTACATGACAACAAGTATTTTTTGGTCCCAAAGTTAGAGTAAATTCTGTGTTTTTAAACCTAGTGATCATTAACATATTTATACCCTAAATCTTAACGAATTAATCCAAAAAATGGAAAGAACAAGAAAATTTTCAAAGAAACTGCAGAATGAATGAAGTATTATTGCATATCGCTTTCAGTTACAGTAATCTAATCTCCCATCTTTCACTTTCATAAAAGTGGACTTCGACGACTCACATAATCATGCTAATATTGAAAATCACAAACAATCAATGGATTAATCACTGCTATCAATAGCGCTGCAATATGAAAAAAAAAAAAAGAACAAATTTACTGAATTAATTAGTAAATTCAAATGTACGTATCATTAACTTTTTTTTTTTATACTTAGAAATGACCCACTTATTTTTGTTTGATTGTATACAGATTCCCTACTAATTCTTGATGCGACTTGAGCTCGTAAACTATCTAAAAAATGAATAAATATCTTATTATTCAGTTGCACTTCATTGTTTCGATTTACGTTCTTTAATTTGTAGTACTTCTCGAAGAAAGTGGATAGCTATAAATTATAAATTGTGCAGGGTATGTGCGAAATGCTTTACATTTTTTTTTTTTTTAATATATCACGCGCATTTAGTATTCGAAATTGTTGTTCCGATTAATCCGTATTCGTGCTAGATAAGTGTTTTTTAGGAGATTAAGGTCTCTTAACAAATATTTTAATGACTGCTTCAAACTCATTCTCGTATTTGATCCCGAGTCATAATTAAATTAGCTCAATAACTTTACCATTTAGACCAAGTACACGTTGACAACTACATTTTTGTTCATTTCTCTTTTGCAAATTTATTTTGGAAGGAGAATACATACTATTTATTTATTTAGATAATTGGGCTAAAACATTACTGTGCGAGTATGAAACACGATGAAGAGAGTGGTTTCAAAACTTCAAATCAATGTACTCAGTACAAAATAAGGTCTGCAAAGTTTGCACTTTACAGTTATTGAACTGCATATCCTAACAGCTATAGTATTTATGGAAGTTGTATCACTACAACGTACGTAACGTTAATTAATGGCAGAGCAAACTTTGCGAATCTCACCATCAGTGCCAGTCTTAACCTCAATGTTACTCATTTTAATCATGGACTTGGCGAACTCAATGCCGAATTTCAACCCAAAGAGGCCTCTAAATCCCAAGAACTGTTGCACAATGGTTCTTGTGGAAGGGTCCGTCCACAACATCTGATCCGATTCGAGGATTCCCCGGCCGTTCTGGAGGTTGGTGAAGAAGGAGTTGTCGAAGGTGGTCTCGCTGCCGGTGTCCAGCGCCACCCGGGTGGACGGGTCGCCGGTGGCCGGACAAAGGGACTGGAGTTGAGGTAGAAACGATGCACTGATGGAAGGGTCAACGGTCGCGTTGGAGTTGTAGTTGTACATTCTATACCGGAAGAATTGGCATGCCGCTGTCCCGATCGTGTGTCCCCCTGGTGTCGTAAAAAAGTCAATTTTAAGAATCGGCTATCTATTAGTACAAATTTTATAAATTAACGTGGACTATTTTTTTTGGAGGGAGGGAGTGTGTCTGAATAATGATCAATCCATTTTGTCAATTATATCGCGAAAATGGTGTTTGAACTTTTGTCACTTTTGTCAATACACTTTGGTCACTTTATGTCTCGATGTTTGTCAATTATTATGTTACTGTTAATTAACTCATAAAAAATAGGCCAGTTAACTTACCAACAAGGGCAACAAGATCTTGAGTGTTGAGACCTTTGTCGGAGAACTTCTGCTTTTGAACATCAACGGGATCCGTGAATCCGGGCAGATTAGCTGTATCAGATGCTTGTGAAACTCTACCATCTCTACGTCCTGTTGGGACCGGCCAGCTGAAACCCTTGGTCTGCATGCATGATTATTTCCGACATAAGTTAACTCACTAATTATTATACCTAAAATAATTCAAGATTTTTTTTTTTTAATTAGTAGTACACCCGTCCTAAAAAATACTAGTACAATTTTCAATGTGAACTATATTTGTGACACCGACAGAGTAAAAAATGAAACTTACCAGGACAACAGAATCTCGAGCAGCTAGAGCAAGAATGTCGGCGCAAGAAACCACTTGAGGGCAAGCCTGTTCAATCTGCTGCTTAGCATCATCAATCACTTCGTATCCTCTCAGTAGAAGATTAGGAGGAGCTGTCTTCTCGGTGTCCGAACCATCGATTAGGATTGATCCGTCGCACCCATTAACGAAGCAATCGTGAAAATGCATCCTTAGTATTCCGGGTGCAACTTTCGGATTCTGTTGGAAGTGGCTCTTGACTGTAGATTGAACAATGGATTCGGCTTGCGGGCAAGATGATGAGTAGAACCCGACTCGGGTTCCTTGGCCTAAAGCCATTGGCAAAGCAAGGGCTAGGAAAAGGAAGAAAAACACATTAGCAAATTTGGTAGGCTCGAAATGAGCTTTCATTTTCGTGTATGTGAAAATAGGAAATTATGAAAGATTGATGTTTCTATAAAGAAGAAATATATAGCTGGATGGCTGGCTAGTGTGTTTACTTATGAGATGAGTAACTAGAAGAGATGGATTGTGTTTGTGCATGAGTTGGGCGCTATTTATAAGTGTTAGAGATCAAGCAAATTGCCTGGAGTAGGTAAGAAAGAGTAAGATTAACTAGGTGATTAAGTAAAACACTCTTTTTAAAAAAAATGTAAACAAATTAAGCTATCCAGCTTAGAGAACCAAAAGAAAATTTTATTACATGCATGAGGACAGTGGGGGTTGACCAATTCTTCCAGTGGAGTTGGATGCGAGTGAATCGCAGCTTATGGCCGCCTTTTTTGCATTTTCTATTAAATAAGAATATCATTGGTTGAGTGAATTAGTAAATGGGAAAATGAATTCATCCAGTGAAATGATTTAACGACTTAAAAACAATGTTTAAGAGAACCATCTCACAGCTTGAATGACCGTCTGCATCAGTCTCTCTCATCAAGTCAGATTAATGAATAGTTATGTGTTAGTAGTATAACAATTTATAACATTAATATATCCTTCGATATTAAGGGGAGCCTAGGTTTTTAATCTCTTATTATTATTATTAATTCATGGAAGTTAATTACCGCTAAGGTACGTGTTTCGCATCCCCGTGGTTTTGCATGCATTGCATGGGCGGGCGTTTATTGTGATGATTATAACTTGGAAAAAATTTTTATCCCTGCAAGCAATAAAAAATCACCGCCATGCAGGGATAGTGCGCTATTTCCGTAAGGTTTCTTTCTTCTCTACATTTTTGAATCGAGTGTGATCGTGTAATTTGACCTAATCTTGTTTCTAAAACAAACGAACACGAAGCCGATAAAACTAAAAAAGGGAGATTAAATTAAGATTTTTCGTGACGTACGTTATAACATATATAATGGAGCAACAGAGCAAACTTAAGTGTGGTTTTTCGCACTTTGCGACTCTACCCATCGATGTAAGTTGTAACCGTGTCTCACTTGGCAATTGACAGCTATCTTAGTTTACCTACCTAGAGTTCTTTTCTCTCTAATTAGTGACTGTTGCCAATCACTATAAATCAAGATTAATATATACTCCCTCCATCCCATAATTATTGTCCAGTTTAAATTTTCATTTTTAGTTTAAATTATACTAAAAATGAAATCTCAAATTGGACAATAATTTTGGGACGGAGGGAGTACTTTATTATAATTTTCATGCCCCAAAATTATTACCATGTTTGTTCAACATACTAAATCATATTTTTTCAGTCTCAAAAGATTATCATGTTTATTGAACTTAATTATTTAACATGTTTTTAGGCGGGAGGTATTAGTAGTTTTGTGTTGTAGGTGATTTGAATTAATCATGGAGAAAGAGATAATATGTTTATCTTTTACTTTTCTACGAATATGACAGTGGTGAAAATAAGATGAAAAAGTGTGTTAATCATATAGGGCATGATGAAACTCGTGGAATTAATTGGTACCTTGATTCTTCCTCAATTGATTGATCACCTCTTTGTAAGAAAGGTTGGAGCCTCATTTGACAATTTTTAACAACGGATTATATTGTATCTCAAAATCACAATACTTTCTCTTGAATTACAAAATTTTTTTAAAAAAACATGTGGTTAAAATATATACGTATCGAATTTTTTTGAAAAGACTCTTTTAAAATTTTAATCTAAATTCTTAGAATTTTATATTTTCATCCCTATTAAATATTTTAATACATTTTTACGCTTTCTATTCTATAAATCCTGACTCCGTCCCTGATCCGTTTGTTTATATAGGTTTTCATCAAGGAGGAGTGAATGCATGCACCGTTGATCATTCTTTATCCAATCCACTTTGGTCTGATCAAAATGGTCTTGTAATCACATATAATATGATTATTCGATTTCGACTTGTAAACTCTAATTTAATACTCCCTCCGTCCCATAATTATTGTCCACTTTGTCTAAAAAATTTTGTCCCAAAATTATTATCCAATTTGACTTTTTATGGATCAAGTTACACATTTGTCCTTAGTAAAAAACATTATCCATAAAATCTTAGTGGTTAAACAATTACTTATGTAGGGGTATATCCGGTTGTTTAAGGTAAAATATAGTTAAATTTGACCAAAAATAAAATCTTTCATTTTAGTAAAACTGGACAATAATTATGGGACGGAGGGAGTATATAATATATTTTCCAGAAGTACCGGTCAAATTGGCTAGACCTAAATGAATTACTCCTACTTTTCTTCCACTGCAAACACTAACAGAAGCCCCCATCGTATCATGCCTGTGGCCAGACGCATTTACTATAATGGAATCCAATCCAAATGAACTTTTTGACGATCGGACTTCAAAAGGGAATTGAAATCATGGCCAAACATGAGTGGTCGTTAATCTCACGGCGGCCTTCAACTTGTCAATGGAATGTACTGAAACTATGCTTCTTTTTTTTTTTTTTTTAAAAGCTTAATGATAATCAATAGACGCACAAATTTGTAATCTAGATAACAAAATCACGGTTGTAAGACCATTAGGAAGTTATGACCAGATTTCATATATGTAATCTCTCGATCCTTTATTTATAAAAGAGTACTTTGGGGTGACATTTAGTCGAGTTTTTTTTTTGTGTTTGCAAAAGAGAAGGGACTGAAAGAAGAAAAGCAATTCATCCATACTTGTTTATGTCAAATGGTAAAAACTAAAAACTAAAAAGATCGTCCTTTCTGAAATAGGTCTTGAGTTAAAGCCTTAGTTAAAATAAAGTTTTATTTTGAATGGTGATATGTAATATTCTCGTATATATGAAAAACTTGGAAGTTGGAATGATCGATGTTGAGAGGATTAAACCTACTAATATTAATGGATAGAATCATCATTAATTTATTTTGGTCAACTAAGCATTTGCCCTTTACATGAAAATTGATATAAATTTCCACCAAAAAAAAAAATGATACTCAATATTGATGAGTGATGACAGTACTACACACTGCACACACATTTGGCCTTATTATGCCCCTTTAGTTGAACATCTCGAAGGTGGATTATTAGGGTCTTCGTAATTACCGGCCCGTGACAAAAAGGCGAATACGAATTGGAAATGAACAAAGACTGTTGTTGTCTGGTTGATTATCTAAAAATTTAAAAAGAGCCAAGTCAACCAATAAGCAGCAGCTAAATGGGAAGTTGGAGTATTATTCTTACTTGTCTTCTTAGGGTAAGGTTATTTTATTTGATCTATAAATTGCATAAAGAAATATTCATACTTAAATTTGGTTGTATCTGTCGCAAGGATGTTGATGCAGTTTGCTCACATACGCTGCGCTGTCTGACTCGAATCTGGATTAGTAAAAGCAATGATTTTAGACACCGAGTGCGTGATATATCAAAAATAAATAAATAAATAAATAATAACCGCTTCTAGGACACGTACTGAAATCAATATACATGTAAACATATGCCAAGCTTCAAGGTTTAAACTTCTCATGTGTTGGTATAAACAATTAACATATTATTAGTAAAAGTTTTATTTTCTCGAAATGGACCTATCCGACTCCATCAATATTAGTCAGGGAGTGACTTTGGACACCTAGATGTTATATTTTGTTTTTTAGGTTTCCATTTATATGGTGATTATCACATATTTCGTTGTTGGAGTGCTTCAATGATTTACGAGGAAAACAGTGAATGTATTGCCCCATCCCTTGTTACCAACATGAGCTGGGAACACTTTGTTGATCATGTATACATCAGAGCTAGCTGTTCGTGGGGATCAATGTTCATACTTCAAAAACGACATAACCCAAATCTGATAACTAAAGCCATCTAAGAAAGAGTTTGCATTGAAAACAATGTAGTTCTCTGAAAACAAGTTTAATTTGTACCTAGTATTCTCAGTTCAAGGAGATTTTTCAAATAATATCCATTTCTGGGTTGGCTCTTGTTTTCCTCCCAACTATGAAAATCATTCAATTTGTCATCACATTCCCTGGTTGAATATTTCAACATTCCATCCAGCTAGCTGACATATTTTCCAAGTACATAAACTTTAAAAACACTTGTTCTTACTATGCCAAAGAAAGCAAAAGTTCAACCAAAATGGCTTTCGCAATCAATTGCAAGATGAAGTTATTCTTCAAGCATTTTCCACTTCTTGTGCATCTCATTTTGCTGTCTGCTGATAAGGCTCGAGGCGAATTCCATGGCGAAGAAAGACAGGCCCTCATGGATCTTGTTTCCGGTTTCAACAGCTCTTTCTTGCATCACAATTGGACTAAAGTAATGTGCTTGGATACTGACCCTGTAGCTCGTTGGTTCGGCATCAAGTGTTTGAATGGCAGAGTTACTGGAATCAGTTTGGAGAATATGAACCTCACAGGAAAAATCAGGCCAGATGTTCTAACCAATATTCCGCTGTTGGTTGAACTTAGCTTGAAGAACAACTCAATCTCAGGGCCAATGATGGATTTCTCAAACAATCCGAACTTGATTAGGATCGATTTATCAGACAACAGGTTTAGTGGAGAAATATCATCGTCCCTTCTGAAGCTTGATTCATTAGCCTTCTTGCATCTTCAAAACAACAACCTGAATGGTTCAATCCCGCCTTTTGATCAGCCAGGCCGGTTGCAGTTTTTCAATGTCTCTTACAATAACCTTTCAGGGCCAATCCCCAATACCACCCTGCTTCAATCAATGGATCCATCTGCCTTTATCCATAACCAGAACTTATGCGGTCCGCCTACATCTACACCGTGCCCAACAAATTCGTCCACTGACCCTAATCCTGATAACGGGAGCGATCCGAAAAAACATTCCAAGAAGTCTAAACTACCTCCAATCTTGTGGGCTGTTAATGTTGTTGTCCTGGTTGTTCTGCTCTTTCTCTTCATTATTTACTTCAAGAAGTACAGAAAGCTTAAGAAACAGGCGGTCGAAAAACAGAATGCTGAAATGGGAACTGATGATCAGAATGTTAACATCGAAGGTAAGGGAAAGAGGATGACTGGCTATGTGGAAGGAGAATCAAAGGGGAAGCTTGTGTTTTTAGATGGAGGAATCCGTTTTGAACTGGATGAACTTCTGAGGGCATCTGCAGAAGGTTTAGGCAAAGGCAACTTTGGCAATTGCTATAAGGCCATGCTTGAAAATGGACCAACTGTAGTTGTAAAGCGGCTCAGGGATTTGAAACCATTAAGCAGCCATGAATTCATGAAACAAGTTGGAATCATTGCTGAGCAAAAACACCCGAATTTGATGCCTCTTATTGCCTATTACTATTCCAAAGAGGAAAAGCTGCTGATTTACAAGCTTGCATCAAATGGAAATGCCTATAACCGACTCCATGGTATGTGGCCTAATCATTGTTGTATTTTCTCATTGTAATCCAAAGTATTAATCTTTTGGTGTTTTGATCTTGTTTTCTTTTAGAGGGTAAGGGAAAACCGTCGCGGATTCCATTTCGTTGGAGCTCAAGGCTGGCGGTGGCTCGCGGCGTGGCTCGAGCTTTGCAACATCTCCACAGCAACACCAAGTCATCAAACGTTGCTCCACATGGGAATTTGAAGTTATCCAATGTGCTTCTTGATGAAAATGACGATGTCCTTGTTACAGATTATGGTCTAACTACACTTGTAGCGGCTCCATTAGCAGCGCAACGTATGACAGCGTATAAATCACCCGAATATCAAAGCTCCAAGAAAGTGTCGAGAAAATCTGATGTTTGGAGCTACGGATGCCTCCTGTTAGAACTCGTAACAGGGCGATTGTCGGCCGATTCAGCCCCGGCAGGAACAACTGCAGTTGATCTTTGCAGTTGGGTTCATCGGGCCGTGAGAGAAGAATGGACAGCAGAGATTTTCGACGTCGAAATCGCAGTTCAGAGAAGTGCTAATCACGGGATGCTGAAATTGTTGCAGATTGCCATGAAATGTTGCGAAAGGTCCCCTGAGAACCGGCCCGAGATAAATGAGGTGGTGAGAGAAGTTGAAAGCATAACAGTTGTGGCTGACTCAGAAGATGAAGAATTTTCATCAATGGATCCATCACTTACTGATGATTCCATGTCTGCAACTTCTCCCAGAATCCATAACGAATGAAAAGAAAACACAGATTTTTTTTTCTTTTGGTATCTGTTTGTCAATCTTAATTTGTAGATTGCAACAGAGAAATGCTGCCTAAGATGCAATTCTAGAGCGATTGTACAATAACAAAAACAAAGCCCAAATCCAATGATTTGGGATAGTATTATCATTCAATGTATTAAGTATAGAGAAAGATTTACATTTACCCCTCCCTTGTAAATTTTATTTGATGGAATTTGCTTGCTTTTTTCCACACACCAATAACATACCAACATTCCCCAATATTATTTTTCAGCAACTTCACTAATAATAAAAATAAGAAATACCGGGATTAAGCCTAATTGCTTTTCCTGGACAATGCCTAAAAGCCAAACATCTCAAAGAAACCAGAAAAGGGAGAAAAGAAAGAAAGAAAACAAGTACCCTCAAAATTCCTTTCTTTCCGTTGCTCTAATTCTGAGTTCTGAAGCAGAGAACAAATATTCTGAGTGAATAGAAACTAGGAGAGAACTGATTAGAAATTTGGGTTTAATCTCCTCCGCTCTCTCCCCTGCTAGCCCTCTCCCTCTGTCGCCTTCTTCACTCCGTCAACCACAAGAAAATGCAGTGTAGTAAAGATAATCAGACTGAAGGCACTGAATAATGGTGTGCATGATGTTGGCCAGAGTACCGTTCAGAAATTCTTCTCGTCGCCCCTTATCTAAATGGGTTCTTCACTTCTTGTCCGATTCGAATTCTTTCCAAAGGTGAGTTCTTTGATGGCTTAAGGTTTTTCCCTCGTGCTATATTTCCTTCAGTTTTCATCTATACTTGTAAAAATTTTGTCTTGGAATTAAAGTATTGATTAGGATTTATTCATTTTGCAGAGAATATTTTCCTGGGCCCTCTAGAGTGTCTCATTTTAGACACAATTACACAAGTTCATACAAGAGTGTTAGGCAGCAAGAAAGCCCCTTTTCAGAATTTGAGAAAGTTTCATTATTGATTGGAAGATCCCCATCATTTTTGCCTTTACTCAATGTTTCTTCAAGATGGCTACAAGTTAAAGGCGTAAGTTATACTTCAGTAGAGATTAAGACTGATGAAGATGTTGTGAGGTTTAGTGTAGGTGATTCTGAAGTCAAAAGAAGTGAATCCCATAGAAAAACAAACAGGGCAACCAGAAAGGTTAAGAAGATGTCCAGAAAAGCAAAACTGAATGAGCTTAAATTCTATAGGTTGATGGCCAAAAAGAAAATGAAATCTCCTAACCCAGAAGTTAGGATGAGATACAAACTTGAGAAGGTTGGTCAGCATTCTGATTAACAATGTTTCTTTACCCTTTCAATTTGTTAATAGCAGTTTTAACACTCTACTTATTGTGCTTTAGTTTTTGGTTATCTTTTCTATCTCTCTAATTACCTCTCTATATTGTCTTCAATGTGTGCCTGATTTCATGTCACCTTTGTGCTTTGTTCTTGATATCTGGCCAATGCTCATTTCACCACTTGGAGTACTTAGGCCGAAGCTTTATTGTGTACGGGTATAGACAAGTAACTGTTGACAAATATTGATCGAATTATATTGAATGATGACTAATTGTAATTATGTTTTAGACATGTTAAATTTTCTCTATTCAGAGGAAAAAGTGATATTTTTGCATGTGTTTGTTCTTCTCTTCGAATGATGAGGTGAGTGGTGGGATAAGAGCTTTTTAGTGTATAAAATAATTTGGTGTTTCTTGAAAATTTCCAGGCGAAAAGGAAGGAAGAATGGCTGATTGAGAAACTTAGGAAATTTCATGTAATCAAAGCTCCTCCCGAAGCTTATGATCCTGAAATTTTGACTGAAGAAGAGAAGTTTTACCTTAAGCGCACTGGTGAGAAAAAGAAACACTACGTGCCTGTGGGCAGGCGAGGTGTGTTTGGGGGTGTTGTTCTTAATATGCACCTACACTGGAAAAAGCATGAGACAGTTAAGGTCATTTGCAAACCTTGCCGGCCTGGTCAGGTTTACGAGTATGCGGCAGAGCTGTCTCGATTGAGTAAAGGGATCGTAATCGACATTAAACCTAACAATACCATACTATTCTACCGTGGGAAGAATTATGTTCAACCAGATGTTATGTCTCCTCCAGATACACTATCGAAAGCTAAGGTACTTTCTGCTAACAATTTACAGTCTGAAATATGAATTTATTGTTTTGGGCAACAAAAGACCGAAAGTAGTTTTTCCTTTTGCTCAAATAACTTCCTTTTCTTTTAGTCTTTCCCTTTCAACTCCTTTCGTATTATTATTTTTCCCCTGGGCCAAAGTTTCTTCCGCTTTTCTTTCAATTATAGATCATTGCTTTTTCCTTTCTGCTGTAGTTGTCTACTCTTGCATTCTAAAATTGCTCAGGCTGAGTGTGTGCGAATGAGATCTATCTGTTTGCAAACACTAAATGATTACAAGTGAATTCAGAGGATTGAGCTCCCTGGAAAGGCCTTGTTTCTCAAATTACAAATTTTTAAAGATGCTAATGTAGGTATTCATGATTCCCAAAGTTTTGGTGCTAGTTAAAGTTTGGACTATACTCGGAATTGATGATAGGCTGTGCAACTGCCTTTCGAGGGTGTGGTCTTTGCTTTTACATCTTTGAGGCTTTGTTATGGCAAGTTTGGGACCTTTGAAAATGTGCATGCCTTGATGTTTTTAGGGAGAATGGCACTGATCGCATATTCCATTTATTTATTACTCTATGCCAAGTTTGAGACTTGCATATGGTGATCTTTGGATGTTCCATTAGCAGATACACAGAGAACTAGATAATTGGTGCCAAAGTTATAGTTTATGTTATTGCCAGTATATCTTGTCCAATATTCTAGGTCTTCCTAAGATAACAAATTTCTTCCGTAAGAAAGGATTGAATAATATTTTCTAGGAGTAAAATAATATGTCAAAGAAAATCAGCTTAGGTTGTATAGAGTTCATTCTTCTATTTTGTAGCTTTAGTTCTGGCTTTCCATAACAATTCTGTAATTGCAGGCCTTAGAGAAGTATAGACTTGAGCAGTCCTTGGAGCATACGAGTCAGTTTATTGAGAAATTGGAGAAAGAGCTGGAAGAATATCATGAACACAAGGCGCGTTACAAGAAAGAGAAGGAGAAAACCTCATTTGAGTTCAACTATTGATACTTGGTAATGTTGCTGTAATTTGTGCAAAAGAGATGGAGTTGGTCATTTGAGTTCAACTTCAATTCTTGATGGCATTGCTGCTGTAACTTACACAACAACAAAGCATATAGCCCAATCTCTGGGTCGGCTATATGTTGCTGCTGTAGTTTATACAAGGAATTAAATAGAGTGACACATTGAGCCGGTAACCATTTTCTGGATTATATTATAACTAGTATTTCTCTTTTAGAGCCATACACTTTCATAACTCCTTTTTGTTGGTGACACCTTTACTCTAGCTAGCTGACTGTGGTCTTGGATGTTTAAGAGAGCTCCATCTGTGAGGGGAGCAGAAGAGAACTGCTCAGTATGAACAAGGTTGGATAACATTGTCTTGTAGTGCCTTGTGAAGCATATTTATGATATTGTTATAGGTGTCATCTGATGAGGGCTCATCTTCTTAGATCAGCAATCTCCCAGAGCAATGTTCTATTTGTTGTTACAATCAGACTATAGTTGAAACAATATTGATTTCTTTTGTTCAGCAAATTAGAACAAAGTTTAAGCAGATAGTTGCGACTTTTTTACTTTGCTCCATTACTCTAAATTGAAATTAGATATTCCAGAGTTATAATACTCGAAAACCATTTTAATTGGATTGCTTCCTTTGACTTTGAAGAACTTTTAGTTGAACTTTATCTTACTTATCAGATGGAATGAACTTGACATCTTACAGGGGTAAAAGGATATCCATACAAATGTATCATCTTTCGGCATCGTATAAAAGAGGGCCTCAGGAGTCGAAGAGTCCTGATGTTAATTAAGGTGGATATGAGGGCAACAGTACCACAGCTGGATTTGTCGGCTGTTGGATGGCCATGGTCAAACCTCACAAGCTGCATTGTACAAACTTGTCTCCCCTCAAAAAGGACTTCTTTGTTCATTTTCCCTCTTCTATCTAACAATGATCAATGATGTATTTTAACAATTCAAAGGGAGAAAAACTCCTCTGGTTCACGGGTTGTGTTCATCATGGTAAAATTACCCAACCCATAGAACTGTACTCAAGCACACCAGCACGGTGAAAAGGTCATGTGTGATTGCTGCTAACTATTGACTTACAGATACAGGGGCTATAAAGAACATGTACAAGCTACAAGACATTTGATGCATTTTCCTCTTTCTCCTTTTTTTACCTGAATAGGCAAGTTGGTACATGTTGATTTTGCCCGTAAATGAGTAAACCCAACCCCCCCCCCCCCCCCCCCCCCAATTGTAGTGTACTCCTTTCTGAGGACTCATATTGTGTGTACTTGGGGTCAACACCATTCAAAAGTCACAAAGCACAAACAGGCTTTTCCAGATGCTTGGATTTTTGGCTGACATTTTTCGTATGGTGTGAGAGAGTATAGAAGACATAATTCAATCAGTATTTTCTGATGCTTCGATTAGACATTTCGACTGTTAGCTTTTAAAGTACTCTGTTGTCTGAATAACGCATTATCACCAAAGATAGATCATATTCGTACAGAAAACGTAAAACCAATGTTCTTTATACGTACAACATCCAATGCATTCCTGTGAGAAGTTGGATTTCCCTTGAAAAAAAAAAAGGTGATGTTTTTGAGGTTTATCAGATGTCAGACAATGCACTGAATCACTGATGGGATAAGGGTATTAGCTCTTTTGTGATGAGATTTATCAAGTACATTTTCCCAGTGTAAGAATTGCAAATGACCCATACTGGACATTTACCTAGCGGTCACAAGAGATTCCTGTTGGATCATCAAAGTAGTTTCTTAAATTCATCTTAATCGAAACATACTAACGTAAAATTAACCAAAGGAAAAAAAAGCACTTTTCTTTGATAAACCAGTGAAAAAGAGGAATTAATTCTGTGACAGATGAACACCATTTATTTACTCAATACCAACAACATTAATATATTATAGTACTACTAGTAGACAGTAGTAGTAGTAGTAGTACAATATTAGTAGACTAGGAAACGGTCTTTGTTTTGGTCCTAAAAGGCAGATATACAAATGTGCTATAAATATACATCAGATCCTAGTCTGCAACAAATTGATCCTATAATAGTCCTTACCAAAATCCCCTGAAAAGTGAAAAAGCCCATGTGAGAAAGATTTTCCTTTTGCTGTGACCAATTTCTCCTGTAAATTTCCAAGAATGTTGGGTGAAAAAGATAGCCCGAAGAAGCCTAATGTTAGCAACCATAACAATAACAATAGTGGTAGCAAAAAGAAGAAGAAGAAGAAGAAGAGAGGCGGGAGGAATAAAAAACTGAGTCTTGAACAAACACTTGCCTATAAATCTGTGAGTGAGTGGGTTTTTCCTAATTCTTCTATTACTGAAGATGATGATGATGATTTTGGGGTGGTGCAATGGAACCACCACAACTGGAAGGAAAAGTTGGTGTTTGAATTTCACTCTCATTCTAATAAAAGTGATGGGTTCTTGTCGCCTTCCAAGCTTGTTGAGAGAGCGAATCAAAATGGGGTGAGTTTCGTCGAATTTGGCTTTAGTTCGTAACCCCTTTGTACTTTCGTATTTGGGAATTTGTGATAGGCAATGTTGTTTCTTGATATCAGCTGTTTTTTTTTTTTTTCCTTGATGTATAATTTTGGTACAGATTTTTAGTTGGAGCTCGTTTGAATAAGCTAGTGATTGTATGATCGCTTTATGTGCAAAATTTCATCTTCCAGACTAGAAAGACTTGCTTGTAGTTGAATATGTTTTTCCTTGTGTTTGGACCTTTGGAGGGCAAACTTTTTTCTCAATACATTTTCATGGCAGAATGAATAAGCTTACCTAATGGTCAAATTGCTTAGAGTTTGGATGGGATTAAATTGTGTGTCTAGAGATGCAAAGCATTAGCCGTGCACTCTAGCTACCTCCTTTTTAATAAGCAAACTAGTTTGAAGTGTTGGACTTGAACATTTCTTACTCCGGAATGCTGGAATAAACATTTAGCACCCCTTCCAATTGATCTTTTAAGAATTCTGTCAGATCTATCAATTAGATCGGTTAGCAGCAACTGAAAGTTTTGGTTCCTTTCGGTTGGAATTGTGAAATCCATAATCATGTCGGTTTTCTGTTCTTGTTGTGTGGTGATGTCTGTCCCGTCTTCTCTCGTCAAAGAAATTGGACTTCAGATCCTTATATGGCGTTACAGATATTTGGTGCCATGAATCATAATCTATCTAGGTTAGGAGTTATTATCAGGTGGTGATAGTACAGACCATTGGAATTGTTCGTATTAGTTGTGACCTTATGTTTGTTTCGTTTATTTAGTGTGTTTTTTTAGGTTTTTTTGTATTGGGAATGTAAAAAAGTATATTGGAAATGTAAAAAGGTATGCTGGGATGGGACAGTTATTATTTTATTATTCTAACCTTGCTATCTTGTTGCATGGTGATGTCATTCCATCTTCTCTCGCCAAAGAAATTGAATTGAGTATGACTTAACAGTTAAGCTATTAACATTTGACGGCATTCTTCACAATCTATCCACTTTAGGAGTTATTATTGGGTGGTGATAGTACTGACCATTGGAATCGTTAGTATTAATGTGTGAAGTTTATCCTGCTTGGGTTCAGTAGTGGAACTGATTAGTGTTTGTTTATGTCCAGAACAGGTGAAAGTCCTTGCTTTGACAGATCATGACACACTGTCTGGCATCGCTGAAGCCCAAGAAGCAGCTTTGAGATTTGGCATGAAAATTATTCCAGGAGTTGAGATCAGCACTATTTTCTCTCCAAGGTAATTTATACCTCTGGCTTTATTTTTCGTATGTACGATGGGAATGCATCAGTAGCTTCTTAATGTTATTCGGTTTATTGGCTTTACGCCAGTCTCATTTGTGGTTTACATAATGTTGATGAGTATTAGTGTGCTAGACATTTACACCTATTTCTCACTGTGGCAGAGGAGGGTCTGGATCAGAAGAACCAGTTCACATCCTTGCATATTATAGCATGTGCGGACCTGCTAGAATTGAGGAACTAGATAACGTTCTAAGTGATATAAGAAATGGACGCTTCCTACGTGCGAAAAGCATGGTTTCAAAATTGAACAAACTGAAGTTGCCTATCAAGTGGGATCATGTAACTAAGATTGCAGGTGCAGGTGTTGCTCCTGGTAGGGTGCATGTTGCTCGGGCTTTGGTTGAAGCAGGTCATGTAGAGAATCTGAAGCAGGCTTTTGCCAGATATCTTTATGATGGGGGACCAGCTTATTCTACGTAATTAGTCTGACCTTGTTTGATTCTTTCATAAACTTTTCCTTGCATTTTATGAATTTTGATGGATGTCGTTATCTTTGTACAGTGGAAGTGAGCCAGATGCTGAGGAAGCAGTTGAATTGATATGTAGAACTGGGGGTGTCGCAGTTTTGGCCCATCCTTGGGCGTTAAAAGATCCAGGAGCTGTCATCAGAAGATTAGCCGAATCTGGCTTACACGGAGTAGAAACTTACAGAAGTGACGGGAAATTGGCAGGTAAAACTCAAAATCACTTTGCGGGTGAACGCTCTCCATCTGTAATCTATGGAAACTACAGAAGATGTTGAATTAGATGCAGACCAATTTGGTTATTGATTTTCAATTGTTTCTTTGTGAAACAGTATACAGTGACTTAGCCGATGAATATGGTCTTGTGAAGCTTGGAGGATCAGATTACCATGCGAGGGGTGGAGCAAACGAGTCTGATCTGGGTAGTGTTAGCCTTCCAATATCGTGTGTGTACGAATTTCTTGAAGTGGCCAGACCAGTTTGGTTCAAAGCTATGATAAGTATATTGGAGATTTATCTCAAAGATCCGTCTGATGCAAATTTACAGTTAATCATCAAGTTTGGTAACACGCAGTTCCGTAAGAGTATTTCTGCTCTAGCTACTCCAAATGACTTGATTAATCATTGTTTATCTACATGGTTCACAAAGGAAGAAAGATCGAATCCAGAACTTGAGTCCATCAAGCTAAAGCTCTCCTGTATTTCAGTCCATCATGCAGGGCCTGAGATTCATGCTGGAAGAACGTAGTTGATATCATGTTCAAAATTTTGTTTCACATTTCTTTTAATCTACATCTAAGCTGAAAACAGTCAACCTAGTAATTGATTTCGTGTAAACTTTTTATTTTATTGCTTCAAGTGTTTTATTCAACACAACTTTTCTGCCATCCCCTTATCATGTTTCCGCCTCGTCTCAAAGTGGTTTAAGATATGTGAAAATGAGGTAAAACACTTGATATGCAGATTTCCTCATCTGAAATAAATGAATTACACTATGAGCAATGGTTTGCCATCACTCAGTCAATTTTCACTATAATTAGTCCGAAAACGTCACCACATTTACTGAAAGGACTACAGAAACCATGAAAAGCCGGAACCTATAATCAAGAAAAGGTCAAAAATTCACAACTAAAAAATACAGCTGCTAAACTGGACGAACAAATGTATAAATCAAAATCGTGTTGCCTAACAGTGGAGCTTGGATTCACTTTATCACTCTCGTCAGATAACAAGGGAACTACAACAGCCAAGAGTCCGTAGAGGCCAAACTGCACTAGCTGCTTCGGAAATGAGTATTCCAGTAGCGAAATCAACTGAACTTCCCTATCTGCATCTTCTTCTTCAACGCCTTCTGACCATGATAAATAAATGCATCTACAATTCCAGCAACTGTGAAAATTCCTGAAAAAAAAAACAAATGGTCCCAGAAGAATCCATGAGCGAAAAAGTATATATACACAGGATGAGGATATCCAAGAATCCAACTCCTTGACGAATAAAATATGACTAATTCACCACAAGAAATAATTCCAAGCTATGATCAACTCGTTAAGAAAGAGCAATTCAAGATTGTAGTATGGGGGGTGTAAAAGTGATTCGTTCAAATAAATTGATCCTCGTATTACCTCCAACAATTGCACAAATGTGGGTCAAGAAGTGCAAGAAAGATGAATGGCTCTCCTTGAAAGTCACCTGCAAAACAGCAGACACCATTATATTGAAAATTTCAGCTGTAGCTCCAATGATGCTTTGGGCTTTCAAAAATGTAAAACTGTCCGTGCATATAAAAGCAAGTGATCCAAAAAGAAAATGCATTTTTTGTAACAATTTCTGTTATATAGAAATGCATCGATTGCAATCTCAAAATCATCTAGATTTTCCAAACTTTCAACCAATGAAAATACATTAAGACTAGCAACAAAAAAAAAAAAGAAAATGAGAAAACATGCAGCTTGCCTTAATTGGAGAAAGGTCATAGAAAAAGAAAACCCCAGGAAGTGAACGAGACTGTCCCATCTCATTGCTCTTAAAATGCTCTGTCACTGAGAACTGCAGCAAAGACAGGAGCCTTACTAGTGAAACAAAAGCCAAAAAAACAATAAAATAAAATGGCATTTCCTGGATAATTAAAAACCTGATTTGACTCAATGGTGCGGCCTCTAATGTCAGTGTACACCGTAGGTACCACCTGCAAATGCCATCTGTATCAATCAAATATCCTTGCGTAATTCATTTTCAATCAGTAAATTACATAGTTACTTAGACCTCAAACTGAGCAAAACAATCCCCAAAATACATAATTACTTAAATCTCATAATCTGCGCAGGCTTAAAGAACACAGGCTAAAATTGCATTGAGAAGACAAGTAATATGTAACTTCACATACTAATCGATTAAAAGAACAAAGAAAGTCGGACAACAGCGAAAACCCAAGAAAATTAAAGTTGAGATGTCTGGAGAGACTTAGAAAGTTTAACAGAACTATTACCTTAACGAAGTACTGATGCATTCCATTTGGTGTTTCATGCTCCCAATGCACCCTGAATGCCAATAAATACAACAGAAATCACGTTCTAAGACTCATACTTAACAGCAGACGCTTCTCTATAAGGGATCAAAGGAAAGGAAGGGATGATTCTAGCAATTATACCTTTAGATTGGTCATGATATTTTACGTTTAGAACATATGTTTAATAGTTGTAACTTGTATGATAGTTAGGGTAAGCAGGGATGAGGTAGAGAGGGTTAATTAAGCTGCTCAGCAGCTAAGCAAATCTGTGTAACAGCTGTTTGCTCTTCCGTTCGCTTAATTAGTATAAAATGTGCTTTACTCAATATATAAATAAATGATAATATGTGCCCGGCTTCAATTGTTTACTATCTAGGCACATTTTTTTATTTCTTTAAACTGTACCCAAATTCAATAGAACTTATCTGATTATTTTGCTCAGAAAATGGTACAATGCTACAACTAACCACAAACAGTTTTCAAGGATGATAAAAATAAAATACTTCTTGCTTAAATATAAAGTTAGATCCTCCAAGATAATGGCAGAACTATTATACCTTCAAAAACAGTCAGGAGATGATAATTAGTCATAAAAGATACCGGAATGTGGCAAAGAAAATTACCCGTCAAGAGGGTTTACAACTCCAGGAATAGAATCTCCAAAAGCTAGTTTATTGATCTTGTGGCTAATCTGCATAAATGTATCAAACGGGAGGATTATTGATCAATATATGAAAACAGTTATAACAGATAATGACATAAACCCCCCAGCAATCGCTCCCTATCTCCCGACTTAAAGGTATGCTGCTTGGGAAGAAACAAAACCAAAAAAAAGATAATAATAATAAAAAAAATTATATGTTTATTGGTGTGTATAAACTTACATTGTAACTCTCCGTCGCAAAAGCTGCCAGCAAATCTTGGATATGAACATTTGCCTGATGAAAGCTTTTCCCGGGGGCAAAATGAAAATTACCAGCCACCTTATTCACCTCCAAAGAGCCCTGGATATTACAACCTTCACCTTCTTCATCTTTAATTTGTTGGATGAAGCCTTCTCTTTTGCACTGGCACCGGTACCATGTCGTACAAAATGAATACTCAAATTAAAGATGAGCACAAGCATTAAGTTTTTATCCCACTATGAATATAGAATTACAGATCACATATCCCCATCACATTCTGAAAACAAATACTCATTTATTTAGGACAAAATTGTACAATAAGAGCAAATAGAATGTACAGAGATAACTGCATACCGATCGATTGCCAATTACGTAAAATGACATACATTACCATACCATACACTATTGAGCAATTTAGACTTTGGAATTTGAATGCTTTCACGGAAAGATGATGTAAACAATCCACTAAGAAAGTTTGTAAAGAGAGCAATAAGCATCATCAACAATTATCCCAAGTTTTCTTTGAATAGACATGTGTCAGTAACTTCATTCAGATATGTATTTGCCTCAAACACACTTTCAATCTACTAAAAATATTAAGCACTGGATTCTTCATTGTATTGAGCATCTGCAGAATCGTCATCAATTTCAAGGATGGATGAAAGAAGTAGGGATTAATTACATGACACACATCCATAAGGCAAAAGAAAATTAACTTATCTGCATGTATCATAATAAAACTAGAAACAAAACAGAAGTATGTGAACAGAATATGGAAGTTTGATCTTTTCTTTCCCTGTTACCAACCTGGTCTATCAGATCTATGTTTGTCAAACCCCAGCCTTTCTTGCGATATGCCTCACGAACTTCTTCACATGAATTGCAACAATCATCATCTGACTGAAGAACAAAATGAAAAACGTTTGTGAGAGAGAGAGAGAGAGAGAGAGAAATGGAGCAAGTAGCCATGCATTTCATTCGTCTTTCATGAAATCTTTCAATGAATAATTCCCCGACCTGCACTCTCCATGAAGACAATATGCATGATTCTAACCTGCCACCCTCAATTCCTTGTCTCTTGCACTAAATTATTATTGCTAAACCCTCTTTCACTTTGCAAGGGTGAATCAATTACAAAGAAATATAACTTCGTAAAAAATAATGAACCAAAGACCAAATATAACGTACCGCTTCGGCACCATAGCAAGAACCACAGTATTTCTCGTTATCTTCTAGCCTGCCCCCATGTCTTTGTAACGGCTTCTCAACCTGGACCCCCAATAAAATGAAACCGAATGCATGGAAGCAGTGAGAAAGGGAATAAACCACCCCAAAAAAAAAGGGGTGAGAACTCTGATCAAGAAAATGTTATGTCCAAGTTTATTTTCAAAATGCAGAGTTAATGGAAGATATTCTTTTATACACGGATATCCCGGTTGAGTCATAAACCAATAAGATTGAAAATAAAGTTGCAATGAAGAACATGTAATTCTCTTTCTGACATAGCGTAATAAAAGATCATACAGTAAATTTGTAATCTCCTAGATACCCTTAATATGCTAAACCATCCGATAAGGCCTCCAAAAAGATAACGATAGCTACAATGTACCACTATATATGGTAAAACCAAGTCATCCAAAACTAGACTTCATAGACAGGAATAAAAGCCCTCAAGCCAACCTACACACAAAAGAGATGTTCAGTGCTAATGGTTGCTTAAAAATACTCTTGATTTACCTTGGGAGCTCCAATTCCATGCTTTTTTACTTCAATAACATTACCATGAGGATCAAGTCTTTTCTTGAATATGTCATGTCTCTACAAGTACAGAAAAGAATCTTTGACAGATCAGGGCACAACATCAAAGAATAAAAAAGTAGAGTTGCAAAGAATCAAAAAGTAGAGTTGTCCAACAGAACATACTATATCTAGATGCTCTTCCCCACTGATATCTATGGCATCAAGACTGAGTAACGAACATCGTATGGCCGGAAACGTGACATCAAACTGTAAGAACCATTAAGAGAACATCTTCGTCATTTAGGCACGTAAAGAATAAGGATTACAATACATGCTGATCATTCCAACACAAATTTGTACAAAATAAGAAAATTTTGCAAGCAGTAGCTACTCCACAAAGCAGCATTAAGCTTGTATACACAAGAGTACCAAGTAAAATAAATGGAAACCAGACAATTCGTTATCAGTTTCCCATGAAGAACAATAGCCATTACATTGATATGTATTTTTCCTCCTCTTGAAGTGTCCACTAGGAGTTTGGTTTCTGTAACTGTATGGAGGTATAGTCCTGTACAAGAAGTCATAATCAATATGATAAACACTCAAAAGGCCCCAACTCTACTGATTACAAAATAAAAACAAAGATGGGGAAAAAAAAGAAACAAATAAAAAAGGGGAAACCAAAATGCAGAGAAAACAAGTTTTTAAGCAATCTGAAATAGTGAGCACAAGTTGGGATGACTCCGGGGTTTAGAAAAGAAAACACTTCAAACATGGCTCAGCATGATTAAGAAACTGTGGATCAACCACAACGACAAATGAGTATAACACATGACAAGTCCAGAAAAAAGAAATCAACAATTGAAAATCCCCCAAGGAGGGCCGCTGATACTTTCCCAATGTAAGACAGCCAACTAATAACTCAAGACCAACCAATCTTCACAGTCTTAACAGCTTCACTAAAGCTTAAAGTAATCTCGATGTAATTCAAGGTAACAGCACATAAAGGATCCAACAACTTGTGGCTAAGTATGTGAATAAATTGTCCAGCATTAGTGTCAGATATTAGCCTTTAATTACTTTCATCATAATACTGAGAGGTAAATGATCTCATTACGCGCCTAAAAGATGGCGCTTGATCACTCAGGTGGCAAAACCAACATAGCCAAACAACCAGAAGCAAAAGATCCACCTTTACTGCTAAAATTACATGAGTAACTAAGCAAGAATTAATCCTTTTGCGAGAATGAGACAAATTCAGCTTTCTGAAATGCATTTCTAACAGCTTCACGGTAATCTCAGTATCTCCCCTGCACATATCAATACACTCAAAATACCATAGAACAACGTATAACATCCAAGGATAGATACATCAACACAGAAACATATTCAAATATAACGCTATCGACATTAAATTTCTATTATATTAAAAAAAAAAAAAACAACTTTTTTCGTAGGAAGGCAGACAAAAATAGAGCGAAAAAAACAAGAAGAAAGGGTGAAAGAATACGTACTGAGCTCAGAAACGAAAAGCAAGAAGATGACGATGGAGGAAACAACAGTAATTACACCGCCGGAGAGTGTTCGGTTGAAGAAATCCTCGTTGATTTTGGGGTAAGCGTCCAAGTTCCGGACTTTATTCAATAATTTACTCATTTTTATTCGCCCTTCCTAAATCCCGAATCCCAAATTCCCTTACAAACCTTCCTGCGATTTCAATAGCTATACTGAAAGCATCCAATCAAGACCAATACGAAACGGTTGACGATGCGGGTGCAATGCAAGATTACGAGGGAAAAAAAAAGATCCCAGGAGAAATTTTCTTCCTTTTTTTTTTTTTTTTTGTGTTTTCGTACACAGTACGCGAAAAGTCTCTACAAAATAATAATTCTGCCCGGTGCTTTCTTGCTCCGGAAAGCAGCCGGCGCCGGGGGAGCTAAATTAATATTTGTTCGCGATTATTCTATACTACGAAAAAAATAAATAAAAGTATAAGCCCCTAATGATAAATATAAAAACGAGGTGAAGAAAGATACAGCTTTGTTTGTTCGATTTTGGTAAGGATCGATCTGTTTGAGCTTTGGTTTTAGTGTAATAAATTGGTCAAAGGAATCGGCAAAGTCGTCAAGTCTGACCGTGTTCCCACTCCCATACGGCGTTACTACATACGACGGCATGGTGATTTCCCTTTTTTGCAGTTCACACCATAAATTTTTGTTAAATTACAAAATTTTAACCTTTAATATTAGTATTAAATTATTAGGTATATCTTTCTGTAAGGAAAATAATGTAATGTGTGATATTTTTATATTGGATTTGGATGGATGATTTTTATTCTCTTTAAATTTGAGTATGATCTAGTTGGTGTACATGTCCAAAGAAAATCTTAGACAAATTATATTTTTGCAATTTCAAGATTTTGTAAAACCATACATCAAAATCAGCGAGGGAACCTAATCCAAACTCTAAATTAACAGTGTTTTTTAACGTACATTAAAATTTATGAGAAATGTTGTAGTTTTATCAAATGAATGGTTCAACCAGTAATTTATAAGTAATAGATACAATGATTTCACGCGAATGAACATGACATCTGATTATTTAATCACGATGCCACATAATTTCTCGTAGTTCATTTGACATTTTTTTTGAATTATATAAGGAATTAAAAATATGAGTGATCAAGTGCAAGATTTATATGGATGTTGGTTTACCGGGTTCGCGACGAACTTAGTTATTAGCTTATTATTATACAAAAGCGTGTTTTATGGATTATAAATGGACTACATATATTATTGGGGGTTCGATCGACAAGTAAAATACACATGCAGAGAATAATTATTGTTATGACTTTGGAGGATAATTATAGTTATGGGATTGATGATGATATAATTCAAGTTAGTCTTAATCGATGAAATTAAAAGGTAACGATGAAGTGCAATAAAAATTCACTAAATTAATAGTGTTGCTATCACAAAATTTATTAAATATTAAGATTAGAAAATTATTGAATAATTAATCAATGAATGAATTATTAATTTAAATAATTTTTTAAGCAAAATTAATCTAAAGAATTTCCTTAAGCAAAAAAGATTATTTATTATAATTTACGTAATTTTCTATCATCTTTACCATTCGTATTAAGCAGATATTGAATCGTTTTTCCAATACTAAAACCATACATAGTTTACGGATTCTTTTAGGGACTGAAAAAATAAATATTAATAGTGTATGCTTCACTAAATACTTATCCTTAGTCTCTTTTTTTTAATGTAATTTAGAATAATTGTTAATTTTATATTATTATTGGAACCTATAGAATGGAATTTTTTAAAATATTATTAATTTATCATTTTTATTCGCTTTTTATACTGGTGCCAAATTAGAATTGGGTAAAAAAAATATTAATTGACTGAAATTATTAATTTAGCGAAGTTTTACCATCTATAGTACTTAATTAAAGCAACAAACAAAACGGACATGTGTCAGCACTACAATGAAAATTTTTCCGCAAAAAGTCATTTTCAGTACAAAATCATTTTTGACAAGTGGCACTCTAACTAATCAGAAAAAAAGATAGAATAGAAAAATACATATATCTCTTAATTATAGTTACATAAAAATCTCTTCATTATAGGTATATACTAATCTTTTAAAACAACAATATTTAATTAATAAAATCAAATGTAAGGAAATCCCCTTAAATCAAGTGAAACACAATAATGTCTTCCCAATCCCCAATTTCAAAGAATCTCTTCCATTCTGCTCCTCTCTCACACCCGGGCCTTTAAATCAATTACTTAAAATCTAACATCAATTATCAATCCATCTCTTTCAACAACAGAGACAAAATAAGCTGTCATTAAAGAAATTTGATTTTTTAAGGATGATTTTTTTTATTCTTCTGTTGTAGATATTGGTTTATGATTTATGTAAATCGAGGCATAAGTTAACTGTTGTAAATTAAATGTTATAAATCTGGGCATAGATTTATATATAATAACTCACTTTCTTTCCTTTCAATCGATTTTTTATTCTTTTATTTTTTTTATTCTTTTAAGAATGATTCGTATTATTTATTTAATTAATTTAAAAATACGGGCGGCACCCCGGGCATTCGGGCATCTAGTTTTTATAATGAGCATAATAGGGTTATGACTTATGATTGCAATTCATCATTTGAATTTCTTCCGCGATTAATCAATTTCTTCATCTCAAATAAAATTACGCCTTTTGTAAAAGGAGGAACAAAAAAGATAAATAAATTGGAGTATATGTCAGTCACTAGGCCACTAGCTGGGCTTTTTCCGAAAAAAAATTAATTAAAATAAACGTGGACAAACTTAAATTTTTCAGAATATCTATGAACAGAATTATATTACTCGGATTTCTGAAATCCGAGTTCTGATTAAAATTAAAGATTCGGATTTTTCAAATCCGAGTTTATATTTAATAATAAAATAATAATTATATAAATTTTGTTGAATAATAATTTTTTAAAAATTCTTAAATGAACAGTAAAGCTCGGATTTGTGGAATCCGACTTTAGTTAAAAATTAATAAATCGCGGCGCGAAATTTTTGAATCCAAAAAACCGGAAGTCCGTAATCCGGTTTTAGGAATTCGGATTTTGGAAATCCGGCTGCCTTTAATTTTGGCTGGTGGAAGTAGGCATGTGCCTTAAATTGGAGGACCAAAAAATTAATAAAATAATCCTGAATTGACTAAATCCGGATTCATGAAATCCGAATCTAAAGTAATTCGGATTTCAAAAATCCAAGTTACTTACGGACTCGGATTTCGTAAATCCGAGTTTAACGTGCTATAAAAGAAAAAAAATTTCAGGCAGTTCTCGATTGGATTTTCTGTTTTTGCAGCTCAAACAAGGGCGAATTGGAGTTTTTGATGCATTATTGCCTCTAGATACGTGGAAATCGTTATTTGAAAGAGGTTAGATTCCAAAACCATGTTATTTAGTTTAGTTTTGTGTTATTTTGATTGTTAGAATGATGTATGATAGATTAGAGTTTATGTTGGTTGGTTGTTTGGATGTTTTAGGTGTTGATTTTGAGGTTAGAGATGAGAAATCATAGTTGTTCATGAGATATCGAAGTTGATTTATAAGTATTTTAGTATTTTATAGGTTTTTTGAATTATGAATGGAGTATGTCTGGTGTATTTGTTGATTTTGTTATTAAGAAATGATTAGTTATTGATGTTTTTTTTAACAGTTATCAATAGCACGTAATGTATCATACATGCTTAATTTGTATCATACAAGTAAGTATGTGATAGAGAACGGTAGCATCAATACTTTTTCGAATATGTCGGATGATGGTTTGTTTGTCGAAGAAAGGTTGTCATATGAGAGATTGATTAGTAAGATTTGTATGACATTTGGTTGGGATCCAGCACACGTGAAACTCCACCTTTCTTTGATTTTCGATATTCCCGGTGGTAGGCGTGTAGTGAAGATCAAGAATGATTCGCATATAGTGTTCATGAACCGTGTAGATCCAATGTCATGTTTGGATATATACATAGATTTGGAAGATATCACTCAAGAAGAAAGAGAAGCGAGTTTGGAAAACGTGTCATTTGGTGGTTTTCCAAGGGGGGAACGTGCTAGTACTTCTCGAAACCGTGATGAAGAGGAGACACCTTTATTTGCACAAAATGACTACCGGGAAGAGTCGGATTCCGACTACATAGCTCCAAGTGAAAGCGAAGAAGACTGTGATGTCTCCGGAGAGAGTGATTTTGAAGAAAGTGATGATGAAAGGTTGAAAAATGAGGAAAGGGATCAGTGTAGTCGATACAGTCGGGCATCGGCACTGCTGGCTGGTTTGTACTCTGGACTATGCAAGGCATCACAGTATACCATGCACGACGCCACTGGGTGTCTATATTTGCTACAGGTACGTATTAGTTTTCATTTTGTGTTTTAATTATTTTTCGCTTTCGACGTTATAATTTGAAGTTTTAACATTATTATTACAATTTACTAGGTATGGGCGTATGAGCGGATCGAGAGGATCGCGCCACAAAGAAAAGGAGTAGATTATTTGATTGATGAGACCGCTCCATTAGCTCAGCGATACGTATTTTCAGTTCAAAATAACTCAACGTTTAATTCTATTTGTTTCTTATTCATTTATTTCACTAATTCAAATGTACCCCTTTGTTTATTAAGGTGGGAATGTAGGTACACCTACGGCGACGCCCCAAGGAGCAGCACTCCACCTTTTAGAGATCAATTAACAAGTCTGCGTGTTGAAGATGTAAGTACTTGTAATTTGGTATTTATATTTACTTTGAGATCAATTACCCCTTTCTTTTTGTTTCGGTTGTACCATGTAATGAAATTCTTTTCGTGCAGTTTCGATGGCAACCATATGCACATGTCCTCCATAGACTCCCTGATTTATGTACACAAGGCCAAGCCATTTGGACGACTAGGTGTTGGATGTTCTGTTGGGCTATTAGGGAAACCCACGAGTCGGGCAGAGTGGTAAGACAATTTGGATACATACAGGATGTTCCCAAGCGCCCCATGATTAAAGATAACGCAGCATTCCTTCTCGATCACGCCCACAGTATGTCTGGGTATCCTAGCAATAATTGGGTGGACCACCATTCCGCAGTACGTCGTCATTGGAATAGGAGAAAAGAGTTCGTGCTACGAGATTTGGAGGAAGGAGATCCTTGTTCCGTATATGAGGGGTACTATGAATGGTTCATGGTGAATACTGTCAGACTGATATCCAATCCCGGTAATTATGAACCTCAAGGATACGGGACTTCTTCGAGCCGCGTGAAATTATATATGAGTTAATTCTAGATTTCTTTTATTATTTTTTATATTTTCATTTTTTTTATTTTTTTAGAACTTTACTCTCTTAATTAACGTCCCAATTTCTTTTTAGGGTGAAGTATTGAACAACATTCGCGTGAGTACCAAGAGGTTTAGAGAAAAACGAGAAGATGATAATCTCCTAGACGAAGAACTTGACAAGCATTTGGACGATATCTTCAATCAAACACATGCTGCTTTAACCTTGGGCGCAAATGATGAGATGGAGGTGGAGGATACCCAAATCCTGGTTGATGAAGATTCATCTTTGCCCTCACAACCTCCGCCGGGTAAAAAAGCGAAACCGTGGTCGAGAGATAAGATTGGAGGAGGAAGAAAGAGGAAGGTCACAATCCCCCCTCGGACATCGCAACAACAAACTGAGGGTCTCAAACACATTCTTCTCGAGGCTCGCGCATCCAGGTCGAGACTCATTTTGAAGAAGCTAGTGGACCCGATACTCAGTTTGACCTTGGTGGACCCGAGACTCAGTTTGACCTTCGTGGACCTGAGACTCAATTTGGTGGACAGTCGCAACCACAACCGGGAGTCAAATTTATCACCATGGGGGAGTCCCAATCCCAACCCCAAATCGAGGCTCAGTTTGGTGGACAGACGCAACCACAACAGAGTTCAATACTCACGTATCTTAAGAGAGGAGACAGGATCCGGCAAGGCTCAAACAAATACACTCCGGATGCGCATAATAAAGGAAAAGGGAAAAAATGAGACATTTCATTATTTTGCACATTTAAAGTAGTTTTTGTATTGATTTTTTTATGAAACTTGATTTGTTTTGTTGTTAATCGAATGCCGTTTATTGTTTTGTTGCCATTAAATTCCTGTTTTCCAATATTTCATTGTTGTTGGTGCTGTAAACAGGTTTAGGACTAGTGAAAATCAGTCCAATTTTTTTTTTCAGTTCTAACAAAGACTCGGATTTGCGAAATCCGAACCCAGACTTTTTGTAAAGGATTCGGATTTCGGAAATCCGAGTCTGTTAGCCAACTGAGAGTCACTATTTTTCAGAAAACAGAAGAGATTCGGATTTCGGTAATCCGAGTTCTGCACAAATTTAATTTTTCAACACATTTTTTTTCTCTATCGGGAAATTAATATTTTTTTCATAAAAAAATTAATATTTTTTTCATAAAAACGGATTTATAAAATCCGGATTTAGATTAATTACACTAATTTTTGTCATTAACTTAATATCGAATTTACGTAACACAAAGTCGGATTTTAATAATCCGAGTTTATTAGGGGTCGGATTTCCAAAATCCGAGTTTTCCCCCCATTCGGATTCCCTAAATCCGTAACATATAAATTTGTCCACAAAATTTTAAAAAACTTTATTTCTGTCCAGGTTTTTTTCTTCGAATACATTCAAGGAAAATATTCCCACTCGCTCGATCTCGATGCCAATATTTCCCTTACTACTTTTTTGGTACCTACTAAATTTGCAGCAAAAAATTTGCCCGCTTCGAAGATTTTGATTAGAACACCCTTTCTAAAGATGAGCTTAAATCTCCTCCAGGGCTACTCTTCTTCTTCCGAAGAAGAAGAGCTCAACTATGACGATTCCATTGATGAGGAAGATGCCGAAAAAATCGACCTTTCGTTGAACCGTTATCAACCCTTGTCGGAACCCAATCCGCCGTCCGGTTCATCTTTGCTACCTTCAGCTCTTGAAGCATTCTCCGAAGTACACCGCTCTCTCCTGTCTTTATCTCTCTTTCCCCTAAATTTTACTTTGGGCTTATTACTTGGAAGTGAGTAAATGTTTAAATTGATGTGCCCTTTGTTTTCCCTTGCTTGATTTGGGTGTGGGTTTATCCCTAAAGGTTTCAGGCCCACCGGAATTCTTGAATAATTCGATTCAAGAAGTTATTAAAGATGAAGATGGACAGAACTGGCGCCACGGTCGTCGCAGGAAGCGCAGGGATAAGAACGACTTGCCTGCTGGTACTTACCACTACTACTATATTAAGCTTTCCCTGTTTGTGCATTTGAGTCTAGTTTGGTTGTGACAAATGACAAATGTTATTTGCATAATTTAATTTAGCCTGCTGTGGCTCTTTTCGATGCGGTGAAGTTAATTCATTAGGAGGAACAAAAGTTTATTGCCTGCTTAGTGTTGTTGATCGATTTCTACCGTTGCTCTATTGCTTTGGTTTGCGCATTTGTTCTGCCCTTTCTGCTGACTTTTAAGCTTATTATCCGTAATCTGGAATTTATAGGTGCGGTATTGGAGGCCAAACCTCAGTTAATAGGAATTCACGAGAGAGTGAGAAGTGATGTCGAGGGCAACATCTCAATAGCATCGTCCTCTCAGCCTACAACTGCAAACAATCCTGATGGAGAAAAAGTTGTTGAGGTTAATAGGTGTGTTTTCTTATAGCTCGGTCTCTTTTTTTTTCTTTACATTATTCGTTCAAACTTTAATCTTGTTTCTTTGGTTTTTATTGAGTTTGTTTATTTATGTCTATAGAGAGTGAAAGTTGACTGTTGTATGCAAGGAATTGGGATAACCACGGAATTTTGACAACAAATTATTAGGCCCCATAATAAATCTTAAAATCCTCTTTTCACTGTGTTTACCCCTTGCCATCACATGTTTATATTCACATTTTACTTACCTCCTACACCCCCAAAAAAAAAAAAAAAAAAAAGAATTCCAGTTCCAGTTGAAGCTTAGAATATGTATTTTATGTTTCTACTGCATAGTTGTGTATATGGGGGTCTTTTCCTTCATGTTAGAACATGAGGCATAAAGACTCAATTCCATGCTGTCGCGATAGTTTATCTATCTTTATGTTTTGGGCTTGTCCTTCTGATCATAGATCTGCATGGTGTACTTCAGGTCAATAGTTCAGCTGCTTGTGTGTTTAAAATGGTAGAACTTGATCAGAATTCTTCTTGTGTAGAGGAAGGCACTTAATTTCCAGATACAACTAGTAGTTTCCGTTATCCACAACTGAATTGCCTGTACAAAGGGAGATATGCCCCTTCAGTTCTCTTTGATGTCAAAAGGACGTTCCCATTTGCGAAAAATTTTTGGATGAATAGGAAATATTGGCTACCATAGTCGTCTTGTTTAAAGCTATTTAGAGTTTAGCGGGATACTGTACCTTAAAGGGAGAGATGAAGAATAGATATTTGTCGTAATCTCAGTAATAGATGATCGAGATCATGAATCTGGACATAGCAACAAGTGATATGGTACGGGAGTAACTTTTGTCTAGTTATTTCGTTACTCTTTAGGGTCACCCAAACTTGAGGTTTTCTCTTACCGTGAAGCTATTTTAGACCACTCTAGCTTAGGCTTCTGAGAATTGGCATGAAACTCTAATGTTATTATGTATGTAATATGTTGGGGTCATGTTGCCACTTATCCCAGTTCATTGATGAAGTTTGTTTTACTTACAGGTTCTGCTTGAATTGTGGAGTACCCAAAACATATTCCAGTTCAAAGGGAACACTCTGCCCGATCTGTGGGGACACTGAACCCAAGAAGAAGGGATCTGCTGTTAAAGACAAAGAGAAGTTGAAGAGAATGAAGGGTCAGTCATCACATGCAACTTGGAAAAGCGAGACAGAAATGCATCTTAGACAACAGTTTGATTAGTATAATAGATTTAGTTGTTAGGCTTGATTCTCTTCTGACCTATGTTCTTTCTGGGGCAATCCTAGTGTGCCTGTTCTTTGCAAGAGAAAAATTTGTTGAAGCATGATATATCTTTTCGGTTTTTGTAGTGCGTGGGGGAGCTCCACGGTCTACAAATCAGTCCCGGTTTAACAGAAACTGTGTAAACTTGATTACTTTTCGGCATTTTTGCCCTTCTGAGACCCCCATGATCTGCAGGAAGTTTACAGCCACTCAAATTCGAAGGAATTCTATCAACATCTGCTACATATGTTTGGGTCGGATTCCAAATGAAATTTATCAACATAGGCTTCATACGTTTCGGTTGTCACATGTTCGCACGTTGACCTGTTAAAGTTTAATTTCTAACCAGCGACATGCACATTAGGCCGCCGTTACAATTTCAATTCCCCTTGTTTCTTCCAATGTGTACGCCTGCTTTTGATTCGAGAAAGAATAAACAAAGGAACCCCCACAAAACATTTAAAAAATATATATAAAAAAAGAAACGAACTTTGTTAAGCATGAACCAGTCAGGTGTATGAACAACGTAGAAATCCACATCCCTATTAGAGGCAATAACATCTTCAATCACGGGCAATCAAAATGTGCAACAAACTCAACTCTGTTGTTAGTACTCTGGGAGTGTATTCATACAATGCAGCAGTATAAGTTAAAATACACAGGATTACATTTCAAATCTGCTATTTCTGTAACATTTGTCGTCAACTATCAGCCATATTATCCATTTTAGCAGCAGATCCTTCTTCATCCCCTGACTTCTCAGCAATCACATGTTGCCTACCGACAGAATCATGTATCTGTTTTTTGTGACTCCAATAGGATCAGGTTCAATCTATCAAAATGCCTAAGATTATTCATACCCAAGAAGACACAGACGAAATATTCTCAATGGGTTAACAGATCATCTTACCAGAGACGGTGGCTTAAAAGACAAAGAGCCAGAGTCTGAAGGCCTGTGAAATAGTAGGTGCGCTATCGACCGATCTATGGGGTTCGTGTCGGTTTCAATATCCATAAGTGCGTTACACCTGAAGCCAAATTGTCAAAAGAAACAAAACAAAAAAAGAAAGTCAGGAAACAAATTGTCAATATCAATCTTCTAATTCAGAATGGTTGTTCAGGCTTTATCAAATCAATGACTTCGTTGATGGAAGTCCCACAGTTGAAAAGTATATGATGGAAGTCCCATAATGGTAAAACTAGCATAACAGTTAAAAAGTAAACAAGAGAAGTATATGATATTTCCCTCGACACAGATCAATGACCTGTTCAGTAAGAAACCAGGAACACCAAATATAAAGTTCATATTTTGAGAAAACTCGGAGATAAGTGAAGAGGCTGGAAAAGTAGAAGAAAATATGATATTTGGCTATGTTTAAACAGATCCGTACCACAAATTTGGCATGCTACTAATAAGCCAAAAAAGAGATAATGAATGTAATAGATAATCTAATGGAAAATAAACATACTTATTTGTTCCTTCTGCCAACAGTTCTCCATTTGTGTCTAAATCATCTCCGCAGCAACTTCCCTTCATATGGGTGTGGTTATGTCTCTGTTCTGCACTTCGTGCCAAGCGGTACAGACTATCCCTTATGCATAGTTTTGTCTTCACATCCAACTAGAGATTATTCAATTGTGTTAGTAACAAAGGAAGCCAAACAATGAAGATAAACCGAACATAAACATCAAAGCAACCTTTATTTAACAAAAAGTGAGGACCTGGTCATATATTGCATTCGGCAATGCATACAAACAATACATAACTGACAATCAAGAAAATGAACATGGTTTTATAAATGCTAATCAATTCCATACAATAACTACATCAAAATTCATCTTCACATAAGTCTTCGAAAATAATACATCCTATTATTTGTACTCTGGAGATAAGAAGAGTATCCATGTAGGATAAGTTTATGATAGGGTTGAGATAGATTACTGACAGGAGGAGGAGCATGACTGCATAAAGAATTCACTTACTGGGGGAAAAAAGAAAAAGAAAAAGAATTCACTTACTGAAAACATTTCCCAGATTCACACGTCAAATCACCAGCTAAAACATCATAGACGACGAAAATTCTCAGCAAGTAAGTGTGTTTTACCTGCTCCATGACAAGTTGAAGCTGGCGAAAACTTGTCGCCTCAAGTGAGGCTTCATCGACAGCAGAACTCACAGAAGAGCCCTCTTGGTATCCATACTCTCCATGATATTTTTCAACTTTTTGATTCTCAAGTTGATTTCCTGAATTTTGACCACACACGGCAACCCGATCCCCTATTTCCCCATTTGTAGGTTTGTCACTAAACATGGTAGTATAGGCTTGCTTAGGTTGCTGCTTTTCTGTCTCTTCCAAAGGTACAGCAGAGGTCACCTGAAATGCTGGATTATGAGAACTCTGCGCCGAAACCACCTGATTTGAAGAGTACGACGACTCTTTCGATGGAATATTCTGTCCATGGTGATTAGATTTGATAGGAGATATTCCGGGAAAACTTGAATTATGGTCTGAAAGACTGTAATCAGCCTGCAAGTAGGGATAGTTGTTTTGCATAAAACCAAAGGACTCAGATCCCAAGTCTTGCTTTTGCTGAATAATGCCTCCAGGAGGAAGGGTTAGATGAGATGTGGCTTCAGAAGGCATGCCTTTCTCTTCGTTTGGAGGGCAAACATCATAGTAGAAGGAACCCCCCTGTCCAAAGTAAGAGCTTTTTCTCTTCGTCTCTGGTCTGGCCTGGTGCTTTTGCTGCTTCTTGGTTGCATTAGCCTGTCAAGTAAGATTGTCACAAATCCTCATATTACATTTCCATCCAAACTAATAAAACTGCGTTAAGGAAAAAGCAGCAGGCAATCTCAAAGGCATGACTGATATATCACCTCAAAAGACAGAACAAAATTCAGAATAAAGACACACTACAGCGAGTCCAAATAATCAATACCATTGCTCGGCTGCCATTTGCCGCTGATATCTTATGCAGAACTTCTCTCTTGAGCTCAACACCCTGCAAATATTTGAAGGAAATAAGTTTCAGTCAAAAGAAATCATTTCAGAGTTCTGCTCTAAACCAAAAGCCAAAGAGGAAAATTTTATGATTAATATATTCAGACAAGCATACCTGCTTTCTGGGCCTTAAACTGCCCGTGTTCTCAGAGCTACCTGTGCCATCTGCAAAAGACAACTGACCGATGTTGGCAGGATCATCCTTGTTCCATGAGTTGTCCTCACAGCTTCCAAGGGCACTTTTTATGCCAGAACCACTTATTGTTGAGTATGTTCCATTTGTTCTCACAGGATCATGTTTTTCTGAGTTTTGTTCCATTGTACTTGCGGCAGGACATGGAGGTTCAAACTCAGAGTTCAACATGTTTCCGGATCCTTCCATTGCATCTGATGATGTAAACCATCCCAATTCATCTTCACTGCTAGCACCGAGTCCAAAAGTTGAATCACAGCTTCTGGAGGACAGAGATTAAGAATAAGTGCTTTAGCAGCATACTAGAACATAAAAATCTTAATGTAAGATTATCAATTACCTAAACATCCTGTCGACATCCTCAAAGTTCCCAATGTCAGGCCAGCCATAGTACAAGAAATCGCTAGATTCTTTTTCATTTTGATTATCATCAAAGAAAATAATATCATTATCTGCTTGGGGAATGTGGCCTAGAGGATAGTTGTATGAGTTATTATCTGCTGCGGCACCCTTGTCTATGAGCATGGAATCAGTGGTACAATAACCGCTGCCAATCAGATCAGAATTACTGTTGTCAAAGCCATGATTTGATATTCTGGTCCCATCAGATGCTAAAATTGATACTTCTTTGGCTGAATTACTGTCAGATAGAGAAGGAAATACACCATTAGGGGTGTGTGCCCAGGACTCTTTCTCTAGCATTATATTCCTTCTATCATCCAGAGGTGTAGTACTTTCTTGTGTCTTCCTCTGACAAGCACTTCGATCTGCAGATTGCTCTCTAGCATTACCTGGAATACCAACAAACTCGCGACAAGGTTTTTTACGGCTCCCCTCAGGAAATGAGTCGTCGCTGGCCTCTTCACCTGCCGAATGAGGCACTATGTGATCTTCACTGAGAGAAAACTCATCCCATACCAAATCCTCAATCTGTAACAACACATAGAAAACTTCAGTTCAACTAAACTATTGCATAAGGTTCATATAAAAAATGAGTGAAAAAAGCTGCCAGGAAGATTCTACAACAGCACGGCTAAGTTCCCATAGGTTTCTAATGAAAGAGAAACAGAGAAGCCACACATTAAGAAAATTCTGACAACTATTTTACTTACAATCAACATAGATTGATAATACACAAGACATAAGAAGTTAGCATTCGATATTATAATAGTGCCAGCACCGACTTCTTCTTTGTTTTTTCCAGTATCATCAAGAGAGAACTTAAAGAAATATCAGATACTATGTAAACCAAACTTGAAATCAGGCTCGGAGGCTCCCTCAGCCAATAGCTCCATGGTTAGCCCATGAACGAGTACTGATTGTGAGGTCGATTGGACATAAAATTGCTATTATATCAGCAGCGACTACCTACTACAAACCCTAGTTCATATATTTGTTGATGCAGTTGCCCAAAACATATATCATATATCACTATGGTGCTTGTCAAATACGATCTATCAAAAACACAAAATGAAAAGAAAACCCTACCAAACGATAAACTACCAGAAAAACTCCATGACATTGAAGAATTTAACTTTGCTCGATAAAGTGACTAAATTCAAGAAAAAGGAATTTCCATCAAACCACACGATCAATCATAAAATTCACCACCCAATGAAAAAGCATAATAGAATTCCTCAATTGTCAATAATTATACTCACATAAAAAGCCATTGAGAATGGCAAAACTTGACAAAAATTGAAAACGATGATGACTAATTGTTGAACACACGCATCACAGTTCTTTTTGATCTCTTGCAATATTTTCAGTCACAATAGGCTAACAAGAGTTTTAAGTGGCCAAATTTAATACCCATGTTGCGTCTAGTTTTGGAGAGGCATTAAAACCCAACATATCCCCACCATTGATGAATTCCCACCATTGATGAATTCAAATTATAACGTCCATAGATATGGTAAAATATGTACGACTCATTATGTCAAACAGACCAAGGCATAAATGGTACCATACGATCGCAAATCAAAAGAGCAAATGATTGGGGGTTCTAAATGAGCTACTCCGTTCAACATCTAAGTCAGTGTTCAAAAGACAGCATTAACAGCATATGTTTCAGAACAGAAGCCAAGCTTCATGTTTGAAAATCAGTTGACATACATCATTAGAAGAAACAGCACATTCAACTTCATAGAGGGAAAAACCTGCTGATCGCTCGGCATGTTCTTGGAAAGTATGGAGCACGCATTTTTCTCAGGGAAACTTAATTTAAGTCCATCTTTAAGATAGCTACCAGACAAAAGGGGAAATTCTAGAAATTGTGAAACTTCAATATGTTAAATGTGTACGAGTTCTTACAGTCTTAAAGTAGCTACTATCTCTTCGCCAACAATTTCCATAATATGCGAGTTTATTTTGTACAAGGAAATATTTCCCTCCAAGGAAGATAACTCGAATTACCAGAGTGACAAAAATACCAAATATTTATCCGGAGGCTTATAAAATAGGAAAAGTACATGCACTTGTATGACCACTTGTGCAAAAGGCATTATGCACTCGTGAATTTATAACTATCAAATTCTTAAGATATTCCCCTTTTGGAGAATACAAAAATTTAAGGTGCTATTAATTCACAATGTCCACGAACCAAATAGCATCACATCACTACCATAGCTGTTTGACATTCTTTCCTAACCAGGATATGAGCAGCAGTTCTCATAAACAATGTCAGACCACATACTCCAAGTAATTTGTAACTCCATCAGGATTCAATCACTCTCCCTAGATATCGACTCCTAAAAGAGTAATATGGTTGAATTGCTAGAGTGATGTCATAAGTACGACATCAGTGATGTCATAAGTAAGACATCACGCCACTAACTTTTGCTTTGCACCCTTCAAAGAAACAAAAAGTTCCCTCTATTGACTGAAACGTGATAATCAAGAGTTACATAGCTTCAAAAACCCCAACATACAGTACTAAGCTTTGCAACCTCCTTATTCTAGATTGACTCACCCCCATTAGATACTTACTGAGTCCCATAAAATATTTTCAAAATGCCCCAGTTTGGGAACATTATCAACAACATGATCAATGCATAACTGAGCTGCTAACCAGCTGGTCTGCTTTGACAAGAGCAGAAAGATGCAAGCAAAAATAGCTGAACAGTCATCAACTAGGCGGTTACAGTACCTCATACGAACGCAAATCTGACATTACTTTAATTTTTTCAACCAGCACTCAGACCATATGGAGCTTCCTGAACTGGTATCATGTTCCAAAAACCAAAACTTCTCTTGATCTCCGTTCGAACAAACCCAAAAAAGCAAAACCAAACAAAAGCATTAGTGTCAAATCAGTAATTAATTTCTCTCATATCCCTCAATTAACTGCCATCCCAGAGCAACAAGAGTAAAAGAAGATTGTCATCATTTCTTTATAAACACAGACTACTGTACATAATTCTGATCTAAGGGATTCAACAAAAGGCAAGATCTTAAACTAAAGTAAGCATAAATAGTATTGAAATAACATCCTTCAGACAAACAGATTTCAAAATCACACTATTGAAAAAAAAAAACAAAAATAAAAAATTCCCCTTAATTCATTTTCTATCAAAAACAGCAAATAAATCCAATCCAACTGAAGAAAAGTCATAACTCCAAAAAAATTGTTTTGGGAAAAATAAATCATAATCATAGCAAATCTTAGCAGAGAAATGAAAACAAGAAATTTCCAGCTGACATCATCTATGGCTATTTGTTAACTGAAGTATTAGCCTGAAGACTCACCGGAAAATCAAGAAGTGGAGTTGTTAACTTCTGAAGGATAAACAAAGTTCTACGAATCCACAAACCCAGTAAACAAAAACCCTAAAATTGATTGGTAGGGGGGGCTGAAATCTGGGGTTTTCTAGAAAGATAAGAGAGAAAACAAAAATGCAAGAAGGTTTACTGTAAGCTTTGGGGAAAATTTTCTAATATTTTTATTATTTTGGGGGTAATTTGAATTATATAATTTGGTTGAAGACGCAATAATAATTTTTCTAAAAAAAAATGAGTGATACGAAAGAGGCGCCACGTGGCATGGAGATCAAAACCAAGGCGGCAGAGCGACGAGTGGGTATCAGAATTCGTGGACGAGAGAAGGTTTGAGATACGATCTGTTTCTGCGTCCTGATTGGTCCAACTCCGTGGTAGGTTTTAGTGGACTGGACACGTGTCTGTTTCCTAGTGCGGGTGTACGGGCCGGTTGGAAAGACGGGCCGCAGTAAATCGCGAACCTTGGTTTTGAAACCTTTTTTGGATGGCTGGGAGTCAGGGACACATGTTTTGCGGCTGGGTTAGTTGCTTCTGAGTCTGTGATACCCTAAATATTTTAATATCCCTTTTACCCTATTAAAGCAGAATACAAGATGTTGATGTGGCAACTTCTTATTAAAAATTTTTGGCTCCAAATGCACCATATTGCATTAACCATTCTGCCACGTGTCATCCGTTTTTAAAAGAAAAAAAATTCTTATCCGGAAAAACAAAAACTATTTTACAAAAACAGCTACACAATTTTAACTCCTAACATTTATCATTTATCAATCAAATTAAAATAGCATTTAAATTTGCCCATAAACTTATCCTCTTTATTACTCCACATTTTTTGTATGATTTCTGTATCGTTGTACTTTTCAGTATTTTTTTTTTCCTTTGGTAGATGATTTTTTATTTTTATTTTTATTTTTGGCTAAGAAAAGGAAAAAACTAAATGTATAGCTATTCTATTTTTTTCAAATCAAGAATTCATTTATTTATTAACACAAAATTAAAATAGAGGGGCGCCCAGGCATCTGCCTGGGCCAAGCATCTAGTTGTTTTTATGACACTTCATTCTCCTCAAAATATTATTTTATTCACCTTTCTTTGCTTTTCGTTTCATTTGCTTCCCATTTTTTCCCCTTGTACTGTGCGTATTATTAGTACTCCCTCCCTCCAAAATAAAATAAATATCGTTTTAACAAAACTGAAAAATTTAAAAATAAGTGTTATTCTCACGTATTTATGCATTTTTTGTTTGAAAAATTTTTTAAAATCACACTCAATTTAAATAATATTATTGACGAGCATATGTATTAATGGATTGGTCGAAGATGTTTAAATAATTTTACGAATATATTTAAGTGTTTCTTACATTGTGCGCAAGTTGTAGGATGATATTTATTTTGGAATAAGCGGGAAAAAAAGTATTATTATCATTATGAATGAATTAAGAAAAGATGATGGGAGTTTAGGTCTTGTTTGTTCAACTCAATTTTTTTTTTTTTGTCTCATTTTATTTTTTAAAACACCCCTCAAACACAAATCTCAATACTATCCAAACAATTTTTTAATTTATCTTTTAAAAAATATTCCAAAAATTATTTTTACACAATTTTTATCCACAACCACCGGACTACCTCCACCGCCACCTCTGTCATTGGCGCCGCTGCCGACCGGATTCTAGCCAAATTTCGGCGAGTCAATCTGGCGGTGCCAGTGGTGGAGGTGGTCCGGTGGTACTCTAAAAATATCATTATTTTATTTAAAATATTACCCAAACAACTTTTTAAATTTTATCTTAAACCATATTTTAAATCACATTTCAAACCCAAATTAAAAACAAAAACAAAAACAAAATGTTGACCAAACAAGCCAAGTTGCTCAGACCTCTTACTACGTATAGCTGAACCTTTTTCTTTTTTTCATTATTAATTATTTATCTCTTGTTCACCGAAAAAAAGTTATTCATTTCGTTTATTTTCTATTTTGTTAAGGAAAAAGGTGAGATCATTGGCTCTTAACTTGTATCTATAACTTTTCTATTTTTCGTTTTACCTCTTTAAAGCTGCTATCACTAAAAACACGCGACATTTTCTCATCAAATATTTTCTCGCCTAAAATTAAATTCCTTATAAATTAATTAATTAACATTCATTTTTTATAATTATGGAAAAAATAAAAGCAAGGCTCTTAGATACAATATTTATATTTGATAGATGCATTAATTAGATATGAAATCTAAACTGTCTAGATTCATCCCTCATTTAACTTCTTAAAAATTGCTCAAACTTTATCCTCAAAATTGCTCAAATTTGAATAATTTAATCAAATTCAAAAATCAACATATCAATCCGAATAATAAATATCTTCAAATACACATGAGCTCCAAAATTCAATCATAATAAACTAATAATATCAATTGTGGACAAATTAATCTAAATCAATGACAACAGCTCACAATATATCATTTTTAAAAAAATAAAATGTACACTAATCTTGAAAACGGGACCCGGGCAACTGCCTCAGCTGTTACACCAGTATCTCTTTATTATCATATGGAATAAACTTTTAAAGAAATAGCAATTCATATAGTATTCACATAAAAAAAAAAAAAAACTTCTGCTTGTTATTAATATCGTGATGTTATTATTATTATTATTAACACAACAACATGAGTACGTAGCTGAAGGTAAATGAGAAATTCTATTGTGTGCAGTAATTGTATCTCATTTTTAGAAAAACAAGTATTACCACCTTTTATTTTGTTGGTATTTTCTTGTGAAAAGGAAAATGAAAACTCCTAAAAACTACATTTTGTATTCATAGAGAATAATGTTCTTATCAAATGGAACTACTTTGTTGTCGGTGGGGAAACAAGAAAATGAAATAGAAATAGCGTTGGATATAATGGGCCCTTAAAAACTTTGGAACCTCGTACGGGCCTTGTCGGCTCGCCATACACTGCTAACATTATTTTTCTTTTTAATCTTATAGGCTTTGAGAAAGTAGGGTTTACTTTCATTCTCTTCCACTGGTTCTTTTAATATGTGATTGTACTCATGACGACAATTATTCGACATGTTAAAAACTTGTCTAATCTTATAGCCAAACTGTTCATAAGTAACGAAAATGTAAAAGTTACTACCTAGTTGAGCCTCCTGATATAGGACTAAAATTAACGATTTCGGTCTCACTATTATCTCGAATAACTAGTAAACATTTCATAATAATGGAATTGATAAACTTACAAATTTCGATAAATACGTATGCAAATATTCAACTAATTATTTTATTTTTCTATTAAAAATTTCAATCTTAATTACAATTTTTTTTTACAGGAATCTTCTTAATTCCGTCACTGCTCGCTGCTCGTAAAAATTTGATCGATAGAATTCTTTTTACAAACACCATATAATTATACGCCATTAAACTTTTAGTCAGAAATTATCGGTCACATATTAGAAAATTAATAATCAACCAAATTCATTTCGCTTAATTGCGACGGGATCAACAGTCGACTTATTTAATTTTTTTTTTTTTTTTTTTTCCATGAAGGAAAGTCGACCACAAAATGATTGGGATATACGTTTTGCACTTTCGGTTGCATGTGCATGTGTGAATATGTGATGTATATTGCATCACTATATTACATCAAACTCGTTTAATTTGGTCTCTTTTTTGATAGTGGACATTACTTAATATTTCTAAATTGTACTCTAATGGGAAGGAAGCATATCCTTTATTTTAATTTATTCACTCCATCTTGTTAAGTTACCAAAGATGTATTCATCTTTCGGTTCTGGGCTAGCAACTAGTTGCCAGCTTGAGAATAAATAAAAGAGCGAGGCGATTTAGCCTGTTACAACGTTTATATTATATTATAGATATACATATTCACTCTGTCCTTAAATTTTATTGTCCAAATTGAAATTTTCTTTTGTCTTAAAAATGAAAATTCTATACTGGATAATAATTTTGAAACGGAGAGAATATATAAATTACATATGTAAAGTAATTTGATTATGTCATTCATTCCTAGTCGCCATCAAACTTGTCAACCAAAGAATTCTGAGATAAGAGTACGCGAGTATTGGCTTTTCTAAGCATTTTGAACTCCCATGCATGGAATAAACAAGGGATATAACTTTGCAACCTTATTTAAAGTTTCATTTCCCTGAATTAGTTGCAAATAGATTGTCTGATCGATGATGATGGAAAACAATTAAGCGCCCTTTTCGAGCTCTGCAATAACGCTTTGGAAGATGGAGTCTTGGCATGGCAAGACTATACCTTTGTGGTTGTGATGAAATCCGTACATGTCAGCGGACTCTTGAAGCAGTTTCTGGAAAGAAGTGTGCTTCAAATAAGAAATGGGAACTTCATATCTTTTCATCTCTTCTGGACCAACATACACCACAAAATGCCCTTTCGGAGCTCGCTCCTCCTCCTCCTTACGACCTCGTCTCCGTCGAAATTCTTCCTCTTTGGACATGATTATTCTCGGGGGACTAAGCTAGCTATATATATCTAGCTTGACTAGTTTATGGAAGCAGATCTTGGATATTATGGAGGCGGACTTATGGATGACCTAATTAAAAAAAAAAAAGAAAGGGCTTCTTTTTATAGCTATATGGTGTATGACCTTTCAATAATGAACATTAAAATTCCGCAATACCCCCCAGAGTTGAAATTGTTGACAAATTGGTGAATACTTTTAGTTTTGTAGTAGATACGGGATTAGAAACATTGGGTGGACTTTGACTCCTTGGGTTTGAGATGTCTTCTTGATGTAGTTTCCTAGGAAGTTAACATAGTACGAAGTACGAACAAGTACGTGAAGAAAAAACTTGAGTAAGCCACTTTGCACATGCCATGGCATCAATATTCCAGATGGAGAGGTTTCTCGGCAAAACCCAAAATGACGATACAACAAGTTAAAAGCTATATAGCTGACTGGCGTGTTGGTCATTCCTTGCGAAATATTTTCTATATAATTCGAGATATTAGAGTCATTATATATTGTTGCGCTATGTAAAAATGTTAGTTTTGAACATCGTAATCGGACGATACATACGCTAACTAACTTGGCAGCCACGTTTATAGTTGTAAACTTGTGATATATTGATATGAACTCGTTATGCAGTTTAAAATCAGTTCAAACTGACAATAGTTCTAGATTTTGAGATTAGGAATGTGTATCACGTGTTGAATTCTTGGATTTCGTTTTTTTTTGCGACTTCTGTTTGTTCAATTTCTTTGCCCTTACTTCCTAGTCTAAATTTCGGTTTGATTACTTTGGTACCACCTAAGAATCAGAAGTCTCAAAAATGATGTCACGTTTGTCATATTATAAGTACAATAAACTCGGAGAATTATTTTAAAACCAAGACAGCATATTAATTTTGGATACATGTGTTAGTAATTAGTCTTCCTCGTGTACGATTGAGCACAATAACGACATATAGTAGACTTTACCCAGTAGATAAAAAGGTCCTTGTTGCTGATAATTATTCTTCTTCACGGAGGTTTTCGGCTTGGGAATTTTGGGTCTAACTTTCTCAATTATAACCCAAACAAGCGTTGTTATTTGAACATTTTGTTACATTTTAGTGATACGATTAGTTTTACCTTATTTTTCGAGGTGCCAACAAGTTATGAGTCCTTAAATGAGTACGTTTAAAGTCCAAATGGCACGCTAATTTTCAGCATTACATATCCAAAATTAGCTCACTCTATATTGAAATCTTCACATCATCTGCCAACCCTACTCATTAGGCACATGCTCTGGCTTATCAGGGAAGAATTTGACAGTAGAATTCGGGTTCAGTCTTAAGTCAAAATGTGATAATCTAAGACGTATGTATGCAAAACTTCTGCTGGCAATTGAAATTCTGGTTTGACAGCTTTACGTTACAGCCGAAACCTGCAACTCTTTTCTTCATTTTTCTTCTCCTTCAGGATTCATTCATGGGACCATGCGATTTGCCTTCATTCGATTCTTTGCTAAGTAACTAACTACTAATCGTGAAAGAGCTCCATAATAATTTCACATTTTTACGGAACAAAAACGAGGATACGAAGTCAAAGGATAAAAAAAAAAAAAAGGAATACATTTATATTAACAACAAAATAATACATCCGCAGCGCTGTTTATCAAGTTATTGGAAGTTGTCATTTCTCTTTTCTCTACAATCTACTGATCTTAGGAAATGACTCGACAAATTTTGAGCTAACCAAAACTGACCGTATATCCGGTCTTGCCATATCATGATTACACAGATGGAAACCTACTGAATGGGAGTGGAAGTATGAGTAGCAAGTGAAGTAGTACTGGAAAACAACAACATAATTCTTACAACTAGCCGTGACCGACAAGTATCACTTCTTCAAAAGCTTGTGGGAGAAAATTCTCTTTGAATACGGACTGTTGCGCGACATTGCCTTGTGGGATTCAATTGCATCAACCAACACATTGTGAAGATGACCCTGATTTTCAGAAAAGAAATGAATTCAAGCATATGTTCACTCCTCAAGAGGAAACCACAAGCATACAGATACCTGGCATTTAGGTCATCCTAGAATTGTTGATTTTTTTTTTTGTGTAGGTGTTGTGTGACAAATGTATGTTCTTGATGAACAACCAGAAACTAATAAAAGTCTTGCTCGAAATATTTAGTAGTCAAAGGCAATACACAACATGCATCAACATTTGAAATGCCTACCATGCGATTAAAACAGTGTAGCAAACTAAGACATGATTATGAAAGAATGTAAGGTTCTCATACCTCGGAGACTTTTAGAGCAGTTTGGACAACATAGTTTGCATGAGGATCTTGAAGCAACTGTTCAAAATGAGTCGCAGCAAGCATCTCATGAATGATTTTCGAGCGGACTTCATTATTACAAGTCACTAGACATTTTTCAACTACATGGCTGCTGAACTTCTGAGTGGAGAGATGAACATAGTTTCCCTCAAACTGTGAAGTCAGCTTGCTTGTGGCAGATGGGATCTTCAGCTCCAATATAAACTGAACAACATAATTCCTGCAACCAACAAAAGACAATCCGAACTTTTAAAATGAGAATCTAACAAGAAGAACAGAAGAATGGCGTATCAAGCACAATCTGAACAGAACACGTTTATTATCATTTGGACGAGAGAAGGACAAAGTATTACGATTCTACAATGATTGATCAGGTTCTTCTGATCAGGGGTGAAATTTATTTGCCAGAATGGATTTTTGCATTTCTACTAGAAAATGAAGATAAAAGAAAGGGATCATGTGGTCACTTCCAAAAAGAGCAGGATAAGTGGCCTTGAGAAATGTACACTTGAAGATGGAAAAGTATTTAGGAAGCATATTAGATCACCAAGATATAGAACTTCAAATTCAAGACTGGAACAGAACTGACTTAATTAATTCTTATCGATATTCAAATAGTATGGAGAACAGGAATGGCAGTTGTGACCCTACAAGACAGGGGATCGAAGCAGAAAACCCTCGACTTTTTGAATGCTTCTACAAATGCAAGTGCTTCAAATATGCTTCTCTGTTAATTCTTTCGAAGTAATCATTTCAGCGAATTACCCAAATGCATCTTGAGCTAGAAAAAGTGCATTTGCCGAAATTTCAGCTATCAAGCTTTCGCGGTGTTCTCCACCTGAATGGCTGATACATCTTTGCAAGACACAACAGCCATGCTGGTGAGTCGCAATATCCACACAGTACTTTGCTGCAGCAATGAAAATGAACTGCCAAAAGAGGGGCAAAGATTCAGCACATGAGGTGATTATATTCACAACTTGACTGCATACTGCATGACACCTTTGTTTCAAAAAGGGTGTTATAATCAAGTGTCATGCTTCATAAACAGACTTAACATTTATGATAGATTGTTGTAGCTGAGAAACTGACCAGACCACACTAATGATTCACCAAGGTGTGAAATTCTAAAAGCCGGATATCTTCTAAAAGCCTTAAGCGTATAAGGAAACTTATTTCTTTTGACGTAGTTTCACAAACTTAAGCTAAAGCCAAAGAAACTTTTCAAAATTGCATACTAAATTGCTAATGACTGACAAGCAGGGAGATTCAGCCGCATCTGAAGAGATTGACAACTTCCCAACACTTTACTATGTTTTCATGGAAACGCATGGAGAAGTTTTCAATATTAGACAGCTTATCCAAATAATGAATTCTGTACATGATGGACCAGGCACAGAGAATCACTCAACAAAGTAAGTTTAATGAAGAGAGGTAATGTGAGGAAAATCATATACAATGTGGAATCAGCTTTAGTGTACCTTACTGTCTTCACTGCTAAGGCACTGGAGGCATCTTTGAACAACATGGTTGCCATTTAAATCCTTGATGAGAGCAAGAAATCCAGGTTCAAGAGCCTTAATAACTAAGGAAATCTGCTTCCTGGACTTCAGCGTCTCGATTAATTTCTGTACCACGCGAGTACTGAGACAATAGTAGCTCTGTTTAGATCAGCATATAGAAAAATAAAAATGCTATAAGTGGAAGGTAAGGAAGTTACCCATGGGTGTTTAATGAGATCCTAATGAGCTCTCCTGGCTTTGCAGTTACCCTCAGAAGAATCTGCATTCTCTGCTCTTCATTGCAAACTTCCAATAGCTTTTGCATAAGGTAGTTCCCAAAAGGATTCATCATAAGTTCAACTACATGATCAATGACTTCATTGAATATAATATGAACATCATGAGGAGTTCCCTCATCAAACATCCTTTGTAGGAACCGGCAACCATGTTGATCCTTTGCTATGCAGTATATATATCCTTGTGCTTGTGCTAATGAGTCACACTTTAATGGCAGAGAAAATGAACCACATGGTCTGAGAAATATATCACTTTCATGAGTTCCTGCAATCTGAGGATGGCCATTCAGTACTGATTGCTTTTCTTGACGCGGACTTACATCAGCAGCACATGGATAGTTCTTCTGATTCTTAGATCGATCATATCCATTCTTTGCAGCATAACTCACATTTTCCCCTTGCATAATCAAACTTTCTTCAGCCGAAAGAGACTCCAGATTTCTATGAGCAACTTTTGCGCGTGATGGTAATATACTACATGCATTTGCCATTTGCTGTTGATAGTGAATTACATTTTCCACACTGTTTTGGGACTTCAAAGGATTCAATTGAGGAACGTTTATCACATGAAATGCATCATTTTCAGCTACAGCATTGCTTCCATTCTGCTTAACATAAGAAAAAGCCTCACCCATAGAAGGCCTAGGCAGAGTGGAGATGTCTGAAACTGGAAACGCCACATAATGATGACCAGCCTGCCTCTTTGCATAAAAATACTGAGGATTCATGACAGCACCATTTCCTCCATTTAACCGCGAAAGCAGTTCACTTGCTCGACCTGGGGTATTATGTGATGCTATCAGATTACCCAACCTATAATCAGGAACTAGTCCAAGCATTGCAGAACCAATTTCACCATCAGCATTGATGTGATTTCCGGTATCGAATTGATATCTACCGTAATCAGATAGGCTTTTACTGTTTGGTGAAGACAATCCATGTGGATCAAAATCGAATCCATTAGTCCCACAATTACCACGAAACTTTACATCCTCTGGCTCCTCATTAATATACAGTCTACTCAAATTTCTGGACAAACTCAGTTCATCAATCACATTCTCATTAGCTTTCTTCCCCAGGTATGAATCAGGGCTCCTCATGTCCATCCACAACCCGTTTGTGAAATGTGTACTCCCAGAGTGTGAGTGAGGTTTAAGGTCTTCTAATGGAGGAGTGGTAGGGGATCCATTATCAGATAATGAATGCCCACTGGAGAACAAACTTGATGAGGAGCCATCAGATTGAAGAGAAAAACCACTCACAGGGGAATCACATGAATGCTTATTATGATGATAACTCAAACTCAATGGAGGAGCAGCATCATTGTACATTCCTAAACCACAGATCATACCATTCATCACTTTTGGGGTCATAAAAGGCCTCCCTTGATGATGATCAACCCCATTCCCTTGTTTCAGATGATGGATGTGGCTAAGATTGAATGATATTGCATGAGGGATCTCACCCAATAATGATTCAAGCTCCTCATCATCTTTCATCTTTTCCTAATTCTTCTCTGTTTTACCCAATCCCAAAAGAAGGGGAAAAAAAATAACAATAGAATAACAGACGATTTGCAACAAAGGAGTTTTTAAGAAATAGGAAGATAACAACTAAAATTCACAACAAAGGCAGCACGAACAAGGCAAGAATAAAAAAAATCCCACATTGGAAAATGATCTGAAAAAAAAAAGTCTAAATAACAGAAGCCCAGAAAAGATTACCACTTTTGATCATCTGGGGTGGTGAGTGAGGAATTAAAACTCTGAACTTGAGTGATGGAAAAGATGGAAAGAGTGGAAAGGGTGAGGTAGGTTGATGATGATGACGATGGAGAGTGATTTTCAAAATTGCAATTCTATCTAATAAAATTTCCACTTCAATTTCCTTAACTTGTAGCTCCAAAAATTTGCCACATTTGGGTTTTTGGGTTTTCTTAATAGATGAGTTGGTGAAGCATGCAAAGAAGAATGAGATTGGATACGGTTACGCATACTGTAGAGAATACACACACTCACACACTCACGCACTTCTGGTTACGGTCTCACGCCATTAAAGCTGGAGAATTGGAACAGACTCTTTCTTTCTTTTCTTTCTCTCACTTCAAAAATTGAGAGAGTAGTAAATCACACTTGATTTTAGAGAGAGAATAAAATTTATTTTCAATTTATACAGCATTTTTTTTTAAAAAAAGAATACTTCGTTCGTCACTCACTAACAATGTATTTCTTGATCACACCAACGTTGTACAAACAAATATTCGTTATATGTAGAAGAAGATATATAGTTATGAAACACAATTAAAAAGTAATTTCAAATTGGTGATTATTCATTTTGGTAGAAGTTAAAAAAAATTAAAGTGATAAATTATTATAGTTTAGATTATGGCCTGATTGTAGTGTAGAGAAAACTTTTTGAATTTGTCCAAACTAACTGTATATAGTAGTTGATTTTGAATTTTTCAATTTGCCCATTTTCTTTTCCAAGAATAAATAAATAAATAAAAAATTGACTTTTTTGCATCTTTCTATAATGTAGATTACTAGTTAGGGATGGCTGATATACTTTCATGCATTTGGCTTCAATTTTACCAAAAATTTCAAGAAATTTCCTGTTTCAACTTGCTCATAAATTCCCAATGATAGATTTCTTATACTCCCTTCGCCCCAAGTCGATCGTTTGATTTATTATACCATGTTTAGTATCATAACTAAGATAATCATTTTGAGATAAAAAAATACTAATTCTATAATTTAGAAGTATCATAACTAAGATAATCATTTTGAGATGGAAAAATACTAGTTCTATAATTTAGGAACTTAAGAGTTATGATGGAGAAGGTCCATCAGTTTTTTCCAGTTAAATGAAAGGTAAATGTAGATGTGACAACTACCAGTTAGTAACAATTATGTGACACCTTCCTATTAACTGGAAGTATTTTAATCCCACTGTTAATATGTTCAGAATTTCAGATTGAAATAAGATACTGTTTTAATAAATAACAAGATGCATTTGCCAACTGATCAAAAGATATGGAACACATTTAACACGAGGCCAAATGCTAAATTGCCACAGCAATCACTGCAACATTTGAACACCATTAACATATTCAAGTTTCTTCAGTTTGAAGTCACCCACACCATCATAATCTTGCATAACCATATATCTACAACACATATCTGCCCGAAGCAAGGCAAGGCTAAATCATTTAGATAGACAGGCCATTATCAGACAGTTGTTTCCTTCTAACGTTAGGGATATGGGAACACGTCAGGAACGCCTACACTGGTCCGAGGAAATCACCATCCAAGCCAACGACTGCTTGGAACTCTCCCTCAGCCTCCACATACTTCTCACCGATCACCCGAAAACGGACGTTCACATCTTTGTCAATCTTGGATGATCCACTGATAAAGAATGGGTTTTCTCCGGGAACATATCGGAATTCACCCATTTTTTGGTGAGAGAGGAAGACTTTGTCCATTGGCCCACAATGCAGGAACACCCCATGCTTCAGAATCTTGTGAACCACGCCTTCCAGGATCTCCCCCTGGAAAATCTTGAAGCTCAGACAGCTGAAGTCAACAGGAAACATCACGTCCCCGGTACGGTCTCTGACTTTTCCTTCACCAATCTTGTCGAGCGTGGTGATCGCAAGAAAGTAACCCAGTTCCTTTGAGGCCTTCTTGGAAGCAAAGTCATCCATCAGTCGAATAATGATGGCCTTCTGAAGGGCCAAACCATTGAGCTCAATGCTTTCCGGGGGAAGGATGACATTCCACGAGAGCTGCGACTTTAGAAACATTCCTGCAATCTGTCCAACATCATAAACAACAACTGTATTATGTACTAGCCTACTTGAGGGACTTAAATTATCAGAATCACGATTTAACCTCTAAAGCAAAGTAGGTGAAGCAAAAGTAGTATATCACAGATGAGCAACAGAACTATCAGCTAAAGCCAATCAACAAGTGCTTTTGCAGCATACTGCTTGTGAAAAATGTGAGAAAACTACAAAGATAAGTTGTATTTGGTAACCAGAAATAAAATGGTAAGTACATTGATCTCTACGTCCATCTTACTTCTGAGGCACGGTACCAAAAAAACTTGAGGATGGGGTCAGTGGTTACCTTCATATTCAATAACATATTCACGAGTGAAAATCAGCAAAGTTTGGATGTGAAATTCCCCCACAGAAAATTATATTAGAATGGCAACCATCAAGTGAAAACCAAACACACACAAGACCATCACAATCCGAGCATGACTCCAGTTAAAGAACAGCGGATCATCAAGCAAACAATCACCCTAGGTTTCCTGTTTTGGAATGACAACTTTAATGCAAAACCTAATAACATGTTTTATCACACCCCTGTAAGCTATGCTGATATAAATGGGAGTCATAAAACAGTTTCTCATTGCATTTCATCTCACTTATATGTAATCCATCGAAACAAAGAAATGGAATATACCAAGAGAACTCGAGAGAGAAAAGTCATCTCTCCCCTTACGAGTATATTTTATAGTTATTAAAACCATTTCCCATAGCAAAGATATTCAGAGATTTTGAACAACCCAACACCTTTCAGACAACAAAAGGGATGCCAAAATTTGGAAGTGGAAGATATCTTGAGAGGAGGGCCTTAGTTAGATAGTCAAAACTCAAAAGCCTTTATCTTGAAGAGGTTCACACATCATCTATCAAACTAATCATATCAACACAGTTACTACATCCTTCTGCTAATCCAGATGTCCAAAACAACTAAGGACTAAGAAAAGACACCAAGTAAAGAAGACCAGACAGAGCAAATTAAGAATAAGTTGTTTGGAGCAGGAGAAGGATATTTCTCCTTAAAAGACAACTTGAAAAAAGTCACACCTTTTTGTTCATAAGATGACTCTTTACACTAAAACGAAACCAAAATGAAACAAGGAGAATATTTAGCGAAGCAATTCATTACAGGGAACTATCAAATGATATGCCAGCTATCCGGAACACTATATTCTTGGAGAGTAATATCCCCAACAAGACGAATCCCTGGTAAAGAACAATTCATATGCACGAAAAAGACTTTACCCGGATTAAATGAGAGAAATTTGTAATTTTCAGGCATTGCATTCTACAAACCCCCCAAGACCTAACTTTTCACCCACAAGTAAAATTATTTCAACACAGAAAGAAGCAGCAGTAGCCTGATGTATTGATCAGAAACACAGAATTTTCCCGCAATAGAAAAAAAATGTGGAAAACCCACACGAGGCTTATATGATTCGAAGAATCACAATACCGCAAGGTAACAACTCACTGATTACATTTCCACCCTTTTGCTTCTCGCTGTTCCAGCAAAATTAAACCCTAAAACCCATTAAACCCAACACGAGTGTAGGAAATAACAGCTATCATCGCAAATCGTAAGACCAAGAAACCATCCATCGGAAAATTCCCACCACATCAACATCAAAAACAAAACACACGCACACAGACAGACCTAAGAGAAAGAAAGAAAAAAAGTGTACCACGCTCGACAGAATGTGACTGAGGGAGAATGTAGGTTCAAAGGAGCAAACCTGATGGAGTGCCTGAAATGGAGAATTTTCCCGGTGAGTTTGCAGCCTCCGGAGTACACTAATGGAAGCAAGTAGCAGCGTTGAACTTTGAATCGGACGATGAAGAGTAAAGACCAGAGACGATTAGAGTAGAGTGAAGAGATGGGCTAAAAGATGAAAAGGACCCAGACATTTTTGGTCTGTTCATTCCAGCCCATCCATTTAATTGGGTCGTAACACATACCTAATTTGAAATCAAAGCCCTTTATGCCCTTCCAAAAGGCCAGGCTGCTCATTAAAATTATTTGCAAACCACATACCAATTACCAACACAAATAATAATAATAATAATAATAATAATAATAATTCTAAGATTTGGTTTAAAAAAAAGGTACAAATATCAAAATTCGATATAAACTATTTTTCTGAAACCAGAAGAGTATAGTTATGATATCGGAGCTTCGTCCATCCTTTTTTTTTTTTTCTTGATGGAAATGGAATTCCTCCATCCTATTTTAATAACTTGCTTGGAAGTTCGTATATGAAGATGGAGCATTTTCTTGCATGCTTCTGCTGCCAGAGCAAGATAACAACAATCTTTTGCAACATTTCTCACTAGGATGTGTGAGGTTTCAGTGGAAGTTGCTTAAAGTCACTCTTTTGCGTGGCGTTGATTTATCATCCCAAACAGCAAATCTTTACCAGGTTCGACACAATACCGCTAAATGCATAAGAACTAGCAAATCTTCTCCTCTCAGTAGACATTAGAATAACAAGATGAATTATAACTATCCAGGACGGCTTATACTCAACAAATGGCTTGCATTTGAAAAATACATTAACAAGGGGATCCTTACACTAACTCATATGCAAAGCATTCAAGCTTGCTAGATATAGACATGAACATTGAATAATGTTAATTTGCTTCGCTACTTTCCAGGGCCGAGTTTTACACGTATTTAACTCCTTTCTGGGATTGAAGGGTATGCTTTTCACGATAGAAGTCGAAGACGAATATCTTTGAAGAGCAACTCAAAACTAGAAAAACAAAGGTTTCTGCATACATCAAAGAGCTAAAAAAAAGAGTCCTAAATCTTCGTACTTGAGGGTGGTCTGTACATCACTCGCTCTAAAACATTAACTTATAGCCATCAGCAGATCAGCTTACGGTTGAGGTTGACGGTTGAACCTCATCATACACGCCTGTTTGTTCATTGTAGGCATACCTAAATGCAAACATGATATCTGATAAGTTAACTCTGCTACAGAAACTTCGGCATATAGTTCTATTAGAAGAAAACATTTCAGCAAAAAGAAGGTATATTACCATTGTCCAGAGGCAGCATAACAATAGAGCCCAGAAGATGGATCATAGTAATAACCTAGCGTGCTACTATAGTAGTAACTGAGACAAGAGAAAACAAACAAAATTCAGATATCACCATCTTGACCACAAAATAAGAGGATGCACAAGCAACTTGAAATTGTAAATACAGTTTGATAACATATAAGTTGCATGTTTCACAAGAAAACATCAAAGGCAAAAACTTTTCGAAGAATCCCAGCTGCATCTTGAGTGTGAAATACTCAAAATAGCAAGGGGGAAAAGTGTATACATAAAGAGAACTATTCATGTAGACTTTCTACTCCAAGGTACTCAAAGGTATTAGCAAAAAGTATAACTGCATAGCAAATCACCATCAAACAATGAAAAATTACGTCTGTTATTTTGCATGCACTACAACACCAGGTGAAGTCACAAAAAAGGTAACCTAACCACTTAAAACCAGCATTATGCATTTGCTATAAAAGCTTCCTACAAAACTCACAGTTGTAATTTACAACACCAACACGAAGGTTCTATTGTTTTTTTTTGTCTTTTAAATTCCATTCTCAAAATTGAGACCTAACACTGAGAGTAACTTTTATTGCTACAAACTACTTTCCCAAAACTAAGGAAGCAACAGCCGGGTGAAAATTAATGGTTCTATTTACAAACTTTACTAAGTCTCCTTACCTAGTTCAGTAATTGTAACCCAAATTTAGTAAGTAATCATAGACAGATAAACAATAAAAGATCCACAACGACAAGAAATCTAACTATGTATAGTGTAGGTAGACACCAAAATGCAACAGCATTGAATTGTTGGCATTACCCTGTAGAGTCATCATACACATAATCATCCTGCAGGCCTCCACCTGAAATCAAACCCAATGACAAGTTAGAGCCAAAATAAGGTGTGCACGATAAATATGGTTGTGTACGAGAAGGATAATGTAGTTTGTCTCAGGCTTACTTTCTGGATGTTCATTAAAATTACCTGGATTAGCATTACCCCTGCCAGCGGCTGGAAGTTCAGCACCCTTTTCATCATCGTCCGCAAACATATCAAATGCATCATCACCATTGCTTGTAGTAGTCCCAGAATGCCCCAAGTCAAAGACAGAAGAAGTTCCATTGTTTTCTCCAATCAAAGGGGCATCGTTGTTAATGATATCCTCAGACCTCCCAGGTCCGAAGTTAGTTGAAATGCCTGCCCTTGCTGCAGCTAACCTTTCATACCCATCTGAGATAAATAAGTATGATTCAGTAAGAAGAATGTGACCAGTATAGCTGATACCAAAACATACAACAGAATTCAACTAAACAATTGTTCATACCTGCTTCACGCTGGAAAGTTTCTTTTTTTTCATCATATACATCTGCAAATCAAAATTAAAATCAGCACATCTACTTTTACTCCAGGATCAAGTCAGCAAACGAAAATGACTAGGAGCAAACCCAACTGTAGTCCCCATTCTCCATAAGCCTCATTGCATCTTCAGTAAGCTGGTCAAAAATCTGCTTAGTTTCCGTGGACATCTTCTCCTTCTTGTTGTTTGAGGTCCCTTTCAACCTCCTCAAGGCTTGCAAGACCTGCATACAGTACAAAGATTTCATCGATGAATGCTAAATCAAATACACGCAAACAGTATACCAGGACAAGTTGCCAAAACCTCACGACTCGTGAGGGGCAAAAGAGTAGTAGCAAAGCATAACAGTTTATGCATCGAAATACAGTGCACAGACTGCTTAAAAACGAGAGAAAACTATAAGTATAATGACTACGAGAAACAGTTTAGCTTGACATATATTAAAAAAAGAGATGAGACATGGCAGAAGTATAATTGAAGGAAAATTGTGGACATGGCAGAAGTATTCATCCTTTCCAGTATAATCCAGGAAAACCTTCCAACTTCAATTACGGCAAGATGTAAAACTTACCCTCTAGTCTCAGTCCCCTTCGCTCTCTAACCTGACTGCTCAGCATTATACAGAATCCCCCCAAAATTTCACCAGTTCACTAGTATTTCCTTTGATCACAGGGTAAAGAACTCAACAACACAGGGTTCTCTAAACATCAACATTTTACCATACTATTATCGCACAGAAAATAACTTGTAATACCATTGCATAGATTATTGCAATGAGCATTTTACTGTAACAACACCATCACAGCTCAGAACAGATACCAAAGCAAAAACAGGAAACAGATCCAAACCACAGAGAAAATAGGCATATAACTAACATGCCACCCAGCAAAAATGAAAAATGAAGTCTTACTGTTTCATCGGGCTCAAGAGCATCAGCAATGCGCCTCTTGATCTTCCCAATGTCATCAGAAGAAAGATCAGGGGCATCATCCTCAACAAGCGGTGCAACCACCTTCCCAGAAGCATAACTCTTATTTGCTTCAACTCCATCAAGCCATGCATCCTGCGAAAGTAGTGCAAAGCCACAGAATGATAAATTGCGGGATGAAAAATCAAACACCACAAATTTCAGATTGTATATAGCACCTTGATCTCATTCTCATTTATGTACTCCACATAGTTTCCTGATGCATCAAAATACCCTTCTTCTCTTTCTTTGGTAAGATTAAAAGGTTCTAGCTGGATCCCATCATCTTCAAACGTCTCCTCATCCTGAAACAAGACAAGACTTCAGATGAACTATGCTCCAAAAACAGCTCAAAACCATGACACCGCATCACAGCATATCAAAATGTTAGCAAAGAAGTAAACACATTCCCAAAGTAAACATGCCCAAGAATGGACCAGAACCAGTCAAGAATTAAACCTCATATTGAACTTCAGCCTTCGTGATGTCAGGAATCATCCCTTTAATTTCATCTTCAATAAGATCTGCCGCCATCTGACCCCGCAGCCTTCTCCGCTCTTTAGCAACAAGTAGAGGATCTTCTGCACGAACTGGACCTTCCTCATGCTGGGCATCCACCACATAATCTCCTTCCTTCCCTTTCTTCCCCTTGGGAAACCGAATCCTCTTCTGCCTAGAGAGCCAACAACTCGAATCAGAAGAAATTCATGAACAAAGATGAAACCTGTCTTGAACGCGCATACCATTCGAGCATAGTTTAGACTTTTATTTTTTCGAACAAGCAAGCAATATATTATGAGATTCATTATTTCTATGATCTTTTGTTGCAGCTCAACTGCTGGAACAATTGAAGGGACAGAACGCGTGAATGTACTCTACAATACAACTCAATGTGGAAGAAGAGCAAACCTATAGTAGAGAATCTCACAACCAAGTTCATACATATTCATCTAAACTAAAAGAAGCCCAGTTCCAATTGTATAACCCCGCAACTTCAGCAGTTCCAACCTGTCTTAGCCAACTTTACAATGGACACTGTTCATATCTAATCCTGAAACCTCATTTGCATTCAATCAAATAACTCTGAAACGAAATTGACTCGTAAGTTTTCTTCCCACCCCAACAACACAGCATATGAAGCTAAAATTTACCCACATAAACTAAGACCTACGACATAAAAATTTCAACAATTTGATACTCTAAGTGGCACTTAAACCTAATTAAATTAAGCTTTCATACATACATATTTTCGATTACGAGATTTTGTGGGCGAGATTGCGTGTAATGGATAGAGGGGCAAGAAAGAAGAGACTTACGGAGCAGGGTTTCTGGTGTCGAAGTCATCAGGAATGGAGCGCTTCCGCGAAGGTCCTTCTGCCATGATTGATTGTTGTAAGTTGCAAGCTGATTATTCGTTCGATCGTTTATTTGAAACCCACCGGTAAACCACTCGGCGGTCGTCCACTGAAATTTGGAGAAAGACAAATATGGGTGGAATATGACTCGGGTCGGTCAGTGGAAGGCGGTGGTGGAACTGGTATAGCCTGGTAGGGCTGGAGACCAAATTATTACACTGTTTGAATTAGTCCTTATCTTATAAGGTTTTTTATTTTGGGCCCCTTTCCTTGAGATAAATTACGTCAAACATCAATTTTGACTGCTACAGTTTTAACAAATCAAAGGGTATCATTACTCTTTTAATAAACAGACAAATGAATGAAACTAAAAATTATATCTTTAAAATATATAAAAAATAATAGACAGTCAAAATCATTTACTATACATTCTTATATTGCTAAAGTTGGATTGGAATATGAATACATAAATGAGTGGTTTTTGGAACATGGAGGTGAGGTATGGTAACCTCCATGGATACATCTTCAGAGCTACGAACAAGACTAAGTGAACCACAAGGGAATGATACAGATATTTTGACTCATTCTCAGGGTAAAAGAAGATATTGACAAGCAAATAAATCGAGTTATACAGAGGATCTTTTAATTTTCAAGAGCTCGACTCGCGGCCGCCTAGTGTCTGAATTATGGCTTCTAGGAGTTTAATGTCATGGTCTCGCTTAGAAATCTCTTCTTGCTTAGCTCGCAACTCCTCCATGTGCAGTTCAAATACCTCTGCAAAATAGATAATTGTGTTAGTAAAACTTGCTCCTGCAAGAACCGTATAATGAGGTATTTCGGTTTGATTTTACAGCTCAAAGTTCTTCTTTCCGCAGTGGACAAGAGATTTGGATAATCCCCACAAATGGAAATAAGAGTCTCAATATCTCATTGACTACAAGGCGAAAATTAACAGGAGAAACACTAAAAACAAATAACAACAGAAGCAAGCAGCTTAAGGTTCATTTACTCAATTCTTAAAGGTTGAAGCCTTGTGACATCTGATCAGCCTGATCATACAGCCATACCCTAAACCTATGCGTTGCTTAATCTGATGTTCTTTACCCATGCTAATTCTCAAAACTTGATCAGGTGCATTCCAGAGAACGTTTGTTTGTAAGAAGGTAGCAGATGAATAAGTTCAATTGAGATAGAACCATATAACAACAACTAAAAGCATATACAGACGCCGATTGTGAAATAATGAGTTTCCAACAATGTGTTTCCATCATCGGACCCACTGTTAGAGCACTCGTATTTTCAATATTTTCCTCAAAAGAATACATGATATAGGAATTTAACATCAACATCAAAAGTTAAAATCCTCAATGCATTGGTTACAAGGCTGCGTACAGCTGACCCCCCAGACCCCAACTTGGTTGGGAATATACTAGGTATGTTGATGTTGATTGATTGGTTAATGATGTCATATATCATGTCAACTGTATTTGAGTCCCTGAAGATTCAAAATTGAAGTGGCAAATGCTTACTTGTCGTGTTCTCAAGCTCTTTTGTAACCTCAAGTGAACGGAGTTCAGCAGCCTTCTGAGCAGCCTCAGCTTGCCTTTTTTCATTACGTGCACGTGCCGCAGCAGATATAGCAGCATCCAGTTCCCGTTCTAAGGTTTCCACTCTTTGTTCAAGAAGCTGGAGTAAAAAATAAATTTCAGTAAGATCAACTTCTTCCTTTATCATAAAACAAAACTCACAAGGTTTAATGCAGGCAGAGGAGGGAACATCAGGATTTGTCTCTCTAGTATACATCATCTAACATCAGAAAACAAGTTAGGACATCACATAAGCCACCACATAAAATTCGCATATAATACAGTTTAGCTTATACTAATATATTAGTGAAGAACTGTAGTCCTTCGATTTGGGTAGAGTAATAGTAAAAAGTTATATGCAACTCCTCTTTTCAAGTATTTGTTGTGTCTATAATTGCATTAATTTTTGTGAAAATACTCAGCTAGGATTTGTCTCTCTAGTATACATCATCTAACATCAGAAAACAAGTTAGGACATCACATAAGCCACCACATAAAATATAATACAGTTTCGCTTATACTAATATATTAGTGACGAACTGTAGTTCTTCGATTTGGGTAGAGTAATAGTAAAAAGTTATATGCAACTCCTCTTTTCAAGTATTTGTTGTGTCTATAATTGCATTAATTTTTATGAAAATACTCAGTTACTAATACGGCCTTTGCTGAATAGTAAGCAGCGAATGGACCTTAATTGCTCAGTTTTTCCTCCAACTAAAGCGCAATCCCAAACTTAGAAGGATCCTTTTTTAAAAAGCACCACACTGAGGAACAACTAAATCATTTGCCTCTATGACCTTTCCCACCAAGAGCTGTTTGTTTCAACTCTAAAAGGATCCTTGATTTAAGAACTAAATAAACTTTCATAAGGAACAAAATCACAACACTTGGTACACAATTCTTAGTGTACGCATGACCAAAATTTCCATTCACAAGTCAAATTACATTCTTTGCCTTCCATACTTTTCATCTTATCGGCTTCAAATGATGAACTGATGCTAAAAGCACGCATTCAAAACTTGAATACAGATATTCATAACTAAACAATGCTGACATAAAAGGCCGAACTTAACAATGCTTGGAACAATCAGAACCTTTCAGCCAATCATATCATCATGATCAACCTTTTTGGAATTCTAACCGTAACAGGAACAGAAGCTACAAACATACGAGGGACTATACGAATCGGGTTCGGTACGACATGAAACAATACACCAAACAACAAAATTCAGCCGCTTAATAGTATATCTACTTCAATTTCTGATGTAAGTCAACTCCCAACGAAGTGAATCCCTCTTCAGACGATTCCCAGATTAGTAATTAATACAATGAATCGGAAAACTCAAAAAAGACAACCCCAAAATAAAGCAACCCCAGATAGATTAAGGAATCAAACTCTGCAAAAGAAGGACCGAAATTCGAGAATTAAGTGTATTGATTATGGCAGAATAATATGAAGAAGTACCTTGATGGTTCGAGCTTGCTCAGAGCTAATGGAGGCTTTAGCAAAAGTCTCATCATCGACATAAACGGCTTTCTTGACAAGCAGCTTCTGGAGTGAATCCAGATTGGCTGCCATCTCCGATAAATTTGTGATCGCGGAACTCCATCTCTCGCTTCCTTTCCCTTTCTCTGTGGTGTCTACCTCCATTTTTATACTTTCTCTGGATATCTGATCAACTAATCAAAAGAATATTTTGCAAACTTAATTACTAATCAATCTATCCAAAGGCCATTGTTCGATGCCCCTTTAGGCCTTTACAGTTCACCCCGTAGGTAATATTCCAATAGCCAGCCTTACAGAAGATTAAAAACCAAAATTTTCATTCTGGAATAGTCTCTTCTACTACTACAGGTTAAAAATAAATTCGTATTTATCCCTATTTCACTTCACATACTTCTTATCTTTACTGTTATTATTATTAAACTAAACCTCACAAATGATCCCGTTACAAATGGGGAAAAAAACATTTTGGTCCTTCACAAAATAATTTAGTGACTGTTGTTGATGATGGACACCCTGCAAATATGAAAAAAAAAAACAAAATAATTTTAGTGATATTGCTCCGTAACAAATCTATTTAAGCTTTTTTTTTATCTAAAACTATTTATTCTAGGTAGTTTTATTCTTATTTCAAAATTATAGTTTTTAAAATTATTTATTCTAGGTAGTTTTATTCTTATTTCAACGGAGGAGTATACAATAAGAATTCGATTTTTTAAGGAAGATCGAATGTTTGTGAGTGTGTGTGTGTGTGTGTGTGTGTGTGTGTTTCTGAAAAAGGGAAGATCGAATATGAAATGTTAATGGAATGCAGAATATGGTCTCTTATGAATAACAAAAACTTTGTTTGTGCTCCATTTATGCATTTTCATACTATCCTGGTTTTTGTTTTTCTCTTCTTTGCATGATTTAATAAAGATCTCCCTTGGTCCCTCCCATCACTGATTTATAAAAATTAAAAGATGTCTCTCATCACTGATTAAAACAAGTCACCATTGGTAGTTTGGTACAATCCTTCATTAGAGAAACTTTGTGTACGAAATGTTCCTTCCAAGAATCAACTAGAGTTTACACAAATATCTTGACTAGCTGAATATTCTAAGCCTGAAATTAAAAAAAATAAATAAAAAAAAGATAGATTTTTCAACTTCTCAAAAGGGAGAACGTAGGTTCTTATCGATCGATCTTAAGACCCAAAATTCTCTCTGCATTTGTCAGGAAAAAATTTCATTGAATGTACAATCTATAGGGGCAATTATACACATAGTAAAATTGAGGCAGCTTTTAAAATTAGTGAAACCATATATAATTCACAAACTTTAACCGGTTTTGCCCACCGTGAAGGAAGCATGGATGCGTATGCAGGGAACTCTACTATTGAATTTGACAAAATCTCCCCCCAAGTACCAAAAGTCAGAAACTGGCTGAAGCTGACCTAGAAGAAACCGCTATGATATGCACAATTCTTGATGTTTCGTTGATCATGTTCTCTCCAAGAGCATAGCAGAGCCCTCGACAACCCTTATGCAAACCAACTCGGCCAAATATTGCTGCCAACTTGAATGTGGATAAAATTTCACCTTTATTACGTGGCCTTTTCAAACATCACACCATGTAAGTCATCCCAACCTGCATCAGATGTGATTGTGGCACACTCAAGTTTGCAATCCCCCTCCTGCAGTTCTTTCTTAAAAATGCGTAGAAGTAATTAATGACCAGTTTCTTAATGAACCAGGAATCTTTCCTAGCCCTAATATCTCCATGACCAAGAAGATAAACCACACCAGACTCTTTGGCCCTATGTATGAAGGACAGCTCCTTCTCAAGACTTTGCTCAGCATCGGATGAAGAAGGATCTGAATCTGGCATCACCTCCTCTGAAGTGCTTGCCCCTGTAATTGACTTGCTTTCCTCCCTGAACTCTGTCAAGAGGGGAACACCAAGTGAATACACACTCCCATTGGGAGCTATGAGAACCCTGGAGAAAGAATGCTCTTCTTCAGAGTCCGAATCATCATCACCATCACTCTCCAGTGAACGCTCTTGTGCTTCCCGTCGAATGAACTTCTCAAGGCTCTCAATGAGCAACTGCTCAAACGTCTGGTGATTTTCTTTTCGAGCATCCTTGTAACCATATCTGTCAACAATGTAGTCAGAAAACCATGGAACAAAAAATTTGTTTCTAACTCAGAAACACATGATGTGAAAATGAATCCCAATGCATTTCTCTTTAATTGAAAAGGGAAAAGAATTTATATCAAAATAGAAATTATTTCAACTGGATTCTTGACACCTCATCATTTAATTATTTTCCTAATACCACAATCCCCACAACCCGATTTCCAGAAATTAAATACTTACCGAGCAACACAACGAAATATGTGGTAACTTTTAGCACATACTCGGCGGAACAGAAACCTTTCACTTTGAGGTACCACAGGAACAGGAACATATTTGATGCACACGAAGATAATCATGGAATGTACAGCAGGAAGAGTGGTAAGGAAATGCCCAAATATTGCCGGTATGCCCTTTGCTAGCTCATTGTAAAGCAAGCCAATACCAGGAGCCCTAACAGTTCCAAGGTTTGGACCCAGTTCTCGCAACAAATCCATAGACATCTTCTGCTTGACTTCAGTTTCGTACTTAAGTTTGCTTCCATAATTCCAGATGTACATTATCAAAAACATGACAATGGCAAAGACCAATATAATCCAACTTCCATCACTGATACCCCATAGAACCGAAGAAAAGAACGTCAATTCAAGTCCCAAAAAGATGGCAGCAAAGCTCAGAACAATAATAATGTTTATCTGCCATATAAGAAGCATAACAAGAGTAACAAGGATTGTAGTCATCATCATAACCCCCAGCTCAGCTATGCCTGCCACACAGAATCATAGCATCAGATTAGAAATATTCATAAAAATCAACCTTCACAACAATGATAATCTATAAGCCAGTCGCTTCGGCAATTCATAGCCCAACATATTCACAGCCACCTTTGCTTTTTCATTCTACTGAAATCAATATATTCCCAGGAATACAACTTAATAAAACCCAGAGCATGCAAGTCCACGTGTTGCCCGACCTTAGTTCGATAACATTAGAAGTGGAGTAAATGTCAGCAGGGGAAGTGCGAGTTTAAGAGGAATGGCAAAAAAATTAAAAACAAATATTAGACATTTGATCTATAAAAACAGATAAATGAGACGGATGAAAGCAATACCGTAAGCATTTCCGATCTCGTACATATTTGAGATTGTACAGACTAGTACCAGTGATGCTCCCAGTAGGAACCAATTCATAACAGGGATATAAATTTGACCCATAAATTTCCGAGATGTATGAATAATTTTCAGCCGAGGAAAACAGCCAAGTGCTGTTGATTGCTTAATACATGAGAAAGTTGCTGTTGTCATAGTCCTACTTGCAATCAATGCAGCTATATTAGCAATAAGGAATACTGGCCAGAAAGCTCCACCTAAAGTCGGCCAAAAAAAAAAAATGATATTAATCCTGGCAATTTTACCTTATAATCAAAACCTAAAAAATTTTCAAATGAAACTGACAGTATTTACATGGAATGCTTGGAAATAACTGTTATTTACTTGGAATAGACGAAAAGAAAGCTTGTGTTGTGTCAGCATGGTTCTCCATAAGATAAGCAGCTTGACCAAGATAACCCAGCAGAAGACAAGGCAGTACAACAAATAGAAAAGTGAGCTGAAAAGAGAAAAGGAAAAAAAGAGTAAGAATTGTACAACATACACTAAACAATGAACAGACCTATTTCTGATGCAATAAAAAAGTAACGAGCCAAAGAAACAGTTTCGTTATTATACCTGAACAGATCTCACAGAGAAGTAACAAAGATCGGCAAACATTGCCTCGGAACCTGAATCATAGATTAGTTATAGTTAGACGTCAACAATGAAAACAGCTCATACACAGTGAACATCATATCTATTCTGTTGAAAATTTCTCAAAACTACTTTAGCTCCTTCAGTTGGTTACACATTGATTACGTCATAATCATTGTTATAGATTAGCATTTCATAAATCTTAAATTTAAGGTAAACAAGTGCATTCAAATTTAAAAGGGTTTTGGTTCAAGACTTTTCACCTGTTACACACAGGAGACAGCCTCCTAGAGAATACCATGCTTTGGTTGAGTTGCGTTTGAAGAAGTAATATATGTAAACCGGATTGAAAGCCTTCAGGACACGGGTATCATACTTCACAAGATTATAGATGCCAATTCCCGCAAGAGAACAAAACCATATGAACAAGGCAGGACCAACTACAATTCCCACTTTACTTGTCCCATACCTCTGCACACTGAACAGAACTACAAGAAATGCTATTGAAATCATCACCACTTGGTCTGCAGAATGGAAAAATGAAACCAGTGTCAAAGAAATTAGATGCAGTGGTTTTTGCATAACCAACAACTAAAAAGTCAGGAGACGTCGCACTAGAGCTTAAAAAACCCACATCAGACACGATAAGAGCAACAACTAACACAACCCAGAACTGAAACCAGCATCCACTACATGCTTGAGCTACATCCAATTTGCAACCATAATACTAGCTTCACCAGTTATATCAATCATGTGAGAAAACACTCAATTATCTAGATCCAGATGCAACGGCCATAGTTGTGTTGTTCAAACGAATAATGGCAATTTTTAAGTGGCAGGATGGAAAAGGATCAGAAAGTTCCGTTAAAGGAATCTAACTGAAGTTATCCAACTACCAGGAACAGAGAGTCCCATTAGATTGATTCTCGAATAGAAGATACACGCATATTTTAAACAACTAATTTAGCATTTGAAATTACAATCCAAAGACAAAGTTATTAACAGTTATAAATCATATTCGAGGAACAGGAACTGCAACGACTATTTCATCCCAATAAATAAGCTATCTTTACCTTGCTTGACCCCAGGAACACCAACCCTCAAGCCACCAACAGCGGACATCACTGCAACAGGATCAAAACTACCACGGCATCAATAAACAGATAGATCCATAACAAAGGAAACATAATCAACTCTGCAGAACTTAGAAACTCGGTAAAGGGAGAAGGGTACCTGACATTGCAGGTGTTACAACACCATCAGCTATCACCATAGAAGTACCAGCAAGAACTAACATCAGAATAAGCTTTTTCAGGGTCAATGACGTTTCAAGTCTCTCCTTTAATCTCAGTGACCTCTCAAGTTCAGCAGATGGAACCTTTAATCTGAAGCTTGATATGCGAGCATCCGATGGAAGCTGATTTGGTAGAAGACTAACCTTAGCATGCCTACATATCAATGAGTATAATGCAAATGTACCACCTGCAGAAATGGAACAGTGATGTCCTCAGCATGACACAATAACACCAAATTTAGATCGAAGATCTTTGTACAAGGGAAATGGACGAAATGGTCATCTTCCAGATTTTTTACCTTCACCATCATCGTTAGCCCAGAGGACAATAAGAACATACTTGATCAGAGGGATCAGGATTAAGGTATACAAAACTAGAGATAATGCACCAAGAACATCTTCATTTCCCTTAGCCGGGGCCTTGCTGAACATCACACTGAACGTATACAGGGGGCTGGTCCCCACATCACCAAAAACAAATCCTAGAGCCTGAAAAGCCATTACAATTGTCCTACCCAAACTGACATCCTGCAATAGAGTTCAGCATATCAAATGCCAAGGACTTGCAATAATTAAGCCACGGCGGAAACCATCAGTACAGATTATAATTTGACCAATAAAATAAAATAATGGTTTCTCAGTTAATCATCACAAAAAAACACCACCACATGAGCAAGCCCCTCTACAATGTTCTGCTCTGCATATTGCATCATAAACTACCCAAACTTCCAGGTTACCCATCCAAGCCAACCCCAACTGAAACATACAGTTCTATCAAATCCTCCAAAATAGAATAAATGAAGGACTGGAAATGACTCATATTACCACTGAGAGATCGTCTCATACCAGCCAGGCATTGGATCAAAAAATGAGGAGCAAAAGTTAATGCTTCTACATATCTTTGGTTACATCCTTATTCAATAAAACTAAGTTTCAAGCTAAAGAACAGGGATTAAATGCATTATTCCAATCTTAAAATCAAAAACTTAACTAACAGGAGATCCTAAAGCATTAATGCCAAAAAGGGTAATAATAAGTACTGTTTCGGAAAGAATTAAGCCAAAGCATAAGTGATGAGAACTCAACTTAAGCTCAAAAAAGAAGACCTCAACCGTATGGAATTTTAAAGAATTGTATTTAAGAGCAACAAGCATTTCAGCAAACACATACACACACACACACACACTTTGCCAACGAGCTTCACTATATTAATTCTTCCTTTTTTTTTTCATTGATTCGATTTAATTACAACGAACTCGGCAAGAAAAGATCAACATCGGATCGAAATGATCAAAAGTCCCGAAAAAATGCAATTGAAAGAGCTGGATAGGAAAGTAAATCAGCACACCTCAAAATCATTTCTCTGAGCACCGGGTACTTCAAGCGCTTCAACATCAAAAGAATCGATCCGAGGTCCAGTTCGAATAAGCCTCTGTTCAGCATTATCAACATCATCGTCATCGGAGTCAAGACCTATACCATTACGCGATGACAACAAACTCTCGTTCCCATCGTTATCATCCTCATCTTCACCGTTGGCGATGCCGGAGGATTCTTCATTCTGAAACACCCACCGAGATTCCACCGATTCCATCGACGATAACCTTCCGTTCTCCCTCTCGGATCCTTCCATCAAAAGCCTCTATGTTCAATCAGACATAGATTTGTTCTGAATTCAGTAAAAACCGCGGTTCGCAAAGTACGGAAATGGAGCCCTAGGAAGAAGTATGGATTGGGGGGGTTTTGGCAATCTGGATCGTCGTCGTTATTATTACTACTGTGTAAAGGAAAAAGCGGGGAACGGTGGTAGCGGGCTGGATGTGTTTTTTAGTGTCTAACGACCGTTTAACGGCTACAGTTGCATTCTGGAAGAGAAAAAACCCGGTCCAATAAAGCTAAACCGGAGCTTTGGACACTGTGCGAGCCAGCTGGAGATCGATGATTTTTTTTTTTTTGTAGCAAGCTATTTTCTTTAAAGTTTAAAAACTAAAAATGCGAAATAAATATCCCAAGAAATAATACAACTAAAGAAATAAGTACAATAGTTCAATTTCTTTTACAATAGGTATAAATATCCAAACTATAAAACATGAAAATTAAACTAACAACAAAAGGCAGAGCATGTGTCCTTATGTCGCCCAGGACACAGACACAAAGGAAGATACACTAGGGAAAATTATACTTTGCTTTTAATATGGAACACATATGCAGATGAGCGGCTAGTTGCTGCTCATTCATTCCAGTTGTATCTCTTACCAAGATTTCATAGTCGCTTCTGAATGTATGGCTATCCACTGTGCTAGCTATACTTTTCAAAGCTTTCCTTTTTCCGTCATCAGATTTTTTCTCCATGGCCTGATGATTTTTTTCGCCATCACTCCCATTTGATTCTCCTCCTTCCTTCTCCTGCTTAATTGCTTTTTGGCCTGTATAAGGAGTTCCAGATTCACTGTTACTGATGATTGCTCTTGAATCCTGACCAGATGAAGAAGCACATTCTCCATTTCCTTCAGTCCTCAACTTCTTGGCAGCATATTGTAGAGAAGTAACACCTGACGCAGATTCTCCATTTCCATCAGTCCTTGGCCTCTTGGCGGAAATTTGCATAGAAGTAACACCTGAAGCAGATTCTCCTCCATTTCCATCAGTCCTTAACTTCTTGGCAGAAAGTTGCGCACAAGTGACACCTTTCCAGTTCGAATCATCTTTCAGCAATACCCACAGATATTCATGTACAAAATGCCTACTATAACTCTCATAGAAAAATTCACGAGCACGTTGTTTGACTTGATCATCATTCCACTCCCTACCATGCACACTGACCACCTCGTTATAACATTGGTCGAATGCACTTACCATACGATTGACGGAATGCCAATGTGCTTTGACAGCGTTATGTTCTCTCGAAGGTCCAGACTCCCGGTTCTCATTGTAGCAATCTGTAACCTGTTTCCAAAAACATTTTCTATTTTTGGACTTACCTCCACCGTGACATTTGGAAATTGAGAGCCAAGCGTCTGCAAGCACCTTGTTATCATGAATACTCCAGGAGATTCGTTTGCGTTCATTTTCTTGCTCAACTTCATCAGGAATGATGATAATTTCGTTTTTGGGCTGTGTTGAAGGAGCCGCTAATAGATAGAGTGTAGGCGTTGCATTTCCTTGAGCAGCAGGAAGGCAATAATGTCTCCAAGCGTGATGATTTGTCATTGTCAAATTAGTAAACTATGATGTGCCAGGTGCCGGATCGCGACAACCCAACTTATCCTCGGTTTGACAAATCAAGGGAGAGCAACTGTCACCAAACTCTTCAAGTCCGACAACAGATTCCACAACGTGATCATCAAGTCACCACCGAATCCCAAACCTATTAGTAGATAAGAAAAAGGTTACTTCAAATTTCGAATTAAACAAAGTACTACCTGTTTCAGAAAGGAAGGAAAACCTTCTTTTAACTTCAGAATGTTCATAGATTGAAAACATCCCTTTCCGTCACATGACCAAAATAGTTGACATATTTAACAATTTAAGAAATGAGAAGGTTCAAATTGCACGAAAACAGAATGTACATGCCATGACAGGTGAATCGGAAGTGATCATTCTCATACACTAAACAGTGGTTTAAACTTTTAATGAAGCTCACACAGGTTACGGACCAATAAACAGCCATACAAGTAGTTGTATATCAATCAATCAAGAGTGGTGTTCTAACATTTTAGTATTATGTCAATTTATCTACAATCCATCACAATTACCAACTACCAAGTGCGATCGGATCTAGTTCTGATTTCGAAATTTTAGATTCTTTTTTTTTTTATTATTATTTATTTATTTATTCAAAAACAAAGTCTTTACAATTGTTCTAGTTCAAGTTTTCGCCGCCACATATTCTATGGTTCGCAAATTCCCAATCCATAATATTGAAATGGAATTTAAGAGTTCAAATAGTGGGATAACTCCCTCCAATATACAATCCAAATAACGCTACCCTGTCATGCATGTGTAGATCTAAGGGATAATTTTGTATCCTTAAAATCCTATGCATAGATGATAGATGGCCCTGCTTCGAGATTTTAATCATGTTCTCACATTTTACTAACATTTAACTCCATAAATCAGTCCAAACTTCAGATACACAAAGCATCGAACTCAGATTTCTCAAACTAAAAATCTAAACTCGGCATGCATGTAAGCATGCTTGAATTTTCAGTTGTATGGCACCCAAAAAAAAAAAAAAAAAATTACTCACCATTTGCGGTGGCTTCCACGCATACTGAACCAGCAAACCCTTTAATTTCAGATCTTCAAATAAACCCGAATTTTGTCACTGGGTCTGGACTTCAATTCCAAAAATCCATCCTTTTTTTTTTTTTCAATTTAATTAGATGATGAACTCTCTTTATCCAAGGACGACTATGATGGTTATGTGGATGGTTTTTCAACAGCAAGACTAGCTTTGTACGTCGTACAAAATGGAATGAGGGGAAGGAAATGAGTCGGATGATATGAATAAAAAAAAAAAGAAAAAAAATGCAATCACCGGCGGCAGCTTGTTAGAAACGAAATTGAATAAAAGCAAAAAGGAGGTCGGGGAATGAAGATGAGCTTCAGCCGAAAATGTAAGAAGATGGGAGAAGAAAAAGAGCTTGTGGAGAAGCAAATGAGAAAGAATAGAGGAAATATGATGGAGGTGGCGGTGTAGAAACTGCTCTGATGACGATGAAATCTAGGACGTGTCCGAATTTATTTTTTACTTTTTATTTGGGGAGTAAGTTTTTTTTTCTCGGAAGGAGGGTAAGAAACGTACGGTAAAATTTGGGTTACATTATGGGACTCGACACTTGTGCTTCAAGAGTTATCGAAGTTTTCTTCAACGTTTATAATCTTTTGGTCCCAATACTCTCATTCTCATACAGGGTCATAAAAAGAGACTTGTATTTGAAAACAGAGAGGATAATGTATGCAAAAGAAACAGCGGCTTACAGAAATAGTGTGAATTTAGGCTTCTGAAAATCCTCATACATAATAAGTATCTTAACATTTTAGTCTAAATAGTACCACCTATATTCAAAAAAAAAATAATCCACATTAAGTTTTCATTTTTGTATGAAAAACAGTACAAAAGTCAAAAACTCAATGAGAACTTTTTTTTTGAAATGGACGGAGGTAGTATTTGTATTTGTTGTTATGGTTCTTTCGTTCGGGGAAAATAACTTTCATTGAAGATACTGGGGAACTTTCATAATGAATTACGGAGAGAGATGAGAAAAAACCCCATATTCTCAAGTGAATTGAGTACATAGAAAAATTCTCAGTTGTCTAGGTCTGTTATGTTTGGGTATCAATTGTGTCCAGTTCTTGGCAAATTGAGTCTAAGCATATGCCCAAAAAATTGTTTCAGCGGTTAACCCTGCAGATGATACTTGACTTGTTTTGCATTTTTTTCTCCTAACTATTACTACTACTACTTGTACTGCGAATCATGAATCTCCTGTTCAGAATAAGCAACTAAACTTGAAATATTTTAACTCACTCATGTAAACTAAGATTGACTAGAATCCAAACCCGACTGACTGACTAGTCTACATCTAACCGAAATCACCATTCAAACACATTCACAGAAAGCTACGGAAAATTATACTTGGCTTTTAAAATGTTGCACATATGCTCATGAGCAGCTAGTTGCTGTTGGTTCATGTCTCCCGTATCTCTCACCAAGATTTCATAGTCACTTTTAAATGCATGACTCTCCACTCTGCTTGCAATACTTTCAAAAGCTTTCTTCCTTTCTTCTTCTTCAAATTGCTTTGACATTGCCTGAGTTTTCTCTGGGGTTGAGCTTGACTTTTCCTCACTCAAATTCAAGGTTTTCTTTTCATTCCTCTCCTTTGCTGCTTCTTGACCTATTGAGTAAATTTCTGATGCACTGAAGCTTGAATCCTGATCGGATCGAGAAGCACGCTCCCTGATTTCTACAATCCTTGTCTTCTTCAAGGATTTCGGTGCAGAAACAAACGCTTCCCATGTTGGATCACCTTTATACATCATCCATACATCCTCATATACAAATTCCTTCTTATTCTTCTGATAGTAAAGTTCATGTGCACGTTGTTTCAATTGATCCTCATTCCACTCGCCATGATGCTCTTCAACTAACTTGTCATAAAAGTAGTTGAATTCGCATATTATGTTTTTCAACCAATGCCAATGTGCTTTCACAGCCGACGAATTTCTTGCAATCCCAAATTTTTTATTCTCGTTTAGGTAATCTGTAATCTTTTTCCAACCTAGCTTTTTAATTCTGGAACCACCTGCAATGTTGGATTTGGACACCGTGAGCCAAGCGCTTGCAAGCACCTTGTCATCATCTGGACTCCACCCAAAATGATGCTTCTGAACTTCAGATTTGGTATCGGTGTTCTCCACTGATTTGTTAATAAGCATGACATTGCCAAGTCCTGGTTGTGTCGAATATGCCCGTCTTTGAGAAAACAAAACGGGCATTCTCAACATTGCTCTTTCTTGATATTGATTGCTATGACAGTCATGATGACATCCAGACATATGACTACTTGCCCTGGCCAGATCAACACTAGGTGTCGGATTGCGAAGATCTGCCCTGACTCCCTTCTGGATGAAGGCAGGGAAAGTGCAACCATCTCTCACGGCCCAACGAACTAGCGACGAATTCCTCAATATAATCTTCATATCTTCACAGCTAATATCTGTAAATAGTCTTGAAAAGACAAGAGACAGAGTTATATTCAGACAGCTGAATGAGTAAGTCAATTTTCATAAAGGCCCACAAGAATCACACTGAAAGTAATCATGCCGAGCACAGTTTAAACTTCAAAGTCCAAAAGCAAAACGTTCATAGATTCAATTGTACAGTTCAAAAATACAAGTATAAAATCCATTTCCGTAAAGCCTGTCTTTATCATAAAGTCCGCGAAGCAGAAACATAGAATCAAAGTCAACTTTTGATCATTTGAGCATTTAAGACTACCAGGTAGAGTCTAATCAAAGCTCAAGGAGAGTTAAACTTCACCAATTCTTCACATAGTCGCATTTCCCCCAAATTTTCGGTGGATGTACTTCTTCTAAATCACTTAATACCAGAATTCAGCAGTTAAAACTGTAAGATAAGATTACTTCCTCAAAGATGCAAATCCAACAGATGAAATAACAATTAGTATCCAAGTATTGCTTGTTTCAGTATTTACGTGCTAAGCTTATATCTAACTGATTTCAATAACCCAAAATCAGTCAAAAAATTGGTAAAACATACACAGTATTGAACACATTCCAAACCAAAACTAATGTGTAGCAGGTTTAAATTTTTTTGTACTAAATCACAACATAACTTTTAAATTCAATGAGAAATTGACTTACCAAACACAGTGGGCTTTCACCCAAATTGAACCCCCTCGAATAAACCCTATCGTTCAATATCTCTTCCGCAACCGAACTCCTCGGAATGCCGTCCCGAACGATGGAAGGAATGAAAGAAGAAGAAGAAGAAGAAAGAAGGCAAGGAAATGAGTAGGATGATGAGGAATAGGCGAAGGATGATTGGTGGCTCCGGCGGTACTAAGGCGGCGGAAATAATAATGCTGGAAGAACGACTGCGTTATTCGGTGGAAGCTGTGAGAAGCCCAAAAACAAACAAAGTAGTGAAAATATAAGGGTTTGTTTGTTAGGTATTTTTATTGTATGTTTAAAATATTTAATTAATAATTGTCTCATTTTATCATATTTTTTACATTTTTAATATAAAAAATACCTAAAAACACACATTAAAAAAACGAAACATTTAAGATATGGTTGTTTAAATGAATAAATAAGACAGAAGGTCTTGAATTAACAAAGTAGAGAGAATTTGATTTTTTTAAGTTTTTTTTTTTTTTTCAGGATCTAAGAACTAGCAAATAAAGAAACTTATATTATCTCGGATATCTAGAATTTCGTTTACAGAGTTGAGACTCTGTAACTCCGTATTGATATTGGACTTCCGCTGCTAAAGAAGTTAGCGCTAATGATTGGAGCGCAGAAGCTGCAAAACTTTTTGTTTGCAGATCCAAATTGTTGTCGCATCTTGCGATATGACTGCCCAAACTTTTTGATTAATCAGTTTTAATTTTTTTTATTATTTTGTTGTTGGTTTAAAAATTATATATTTCCTTGAACAGAAAAAGAAAAATCAGAAAATAAGTCTATACGATTTGATAACCTCATCGATTTTTCTATCTATCGTCTACATTCTTTCAAATTTGTTGAGGCCATATTTTTTATCTCTGAATCTCTATACCATACTTGAAAGTTGAAACTACTATCTTCAACCATTTTCCTTGGTATTCTAACTATAACTTTTCTCATTTTAAACTGAAAGCAAACAATTTGTAGGGTTATATTAGAGCAAATTTAATGAACTTCGAGCGGAAAAGTCTGTTCAAAATTTCCGAATCGGAGAGGTATGAGTCAGTTTTGTATGCGTAAATTCCTCCAAAATTCGGTGCAAGAAATTAGGTATCAAGAGGGTCAATTGCAAATTGGCTTAAAGATTTACTACAATAACTTGAAACTGCAAGAAAAAAAGGTATAAGAGGGTGAATTGCAAATTGGTTTAAAAATTTACCAGAATAACTATTTTGATGTTAGACTTAAAAAGTTGAAGAAGGTGGCAAGTGTACTTTGCGAATGAACAGCTATGAAATATCAATCTATCTATCTATAGTATTATACTAAAAGAGAAATCAGAGAGAGATTTCAAAGAGTATTTTTATGCCGCCGCGTAGGATGAAATTCTATGTGGCAAAATCTTAAAATTTGGAGAAAAAAATATTTTAACATTTAGTTTATAGTCCCTAAAAAATATTGGTTATTGTATTTTAATGCATTTACTATAATTATTTTTATCTAAATTAATTAGCATTAAATAAAATCAATAATTATTGATCTTACTATTAACAACACAATCCCACCCTAGACTTTAGGGTTTACAGGATAACGACCTAACTACCCTTCTTCCATAATAATTACACAATTAGGATTACTCTATTTTATGAAAAAGAAAAGAAAAGAAAAAAAAAAAGGATGATGTCTCCCCCAAAGAACGTAACTCAAAGTATTATGATCGCCCGAGAGGCTCAAAACCTTGAATCCGTAGGTTGTATTTGGAAATACAAATGTAAGTGTTAGAATGAAAAGGAGAGATATAATTAATTTGATAGTCCTAACAAGTTGATAAAATAAATTCAAACAAACATTAATGTACGTAGAGAGCTTTAAACTGTGTCCCGGCCCGTTCCAAAATTTTGCTGTTTAATAATAATTGGTGAGGATCAATAGATGCAATTCACGTGGCGAACGTCGGGTTCGCATTGGTTGACAAACAAGAGCTGCCCACGGAGTTCAACAAGATAACCATGCATGCTCATAATTAACCACACTAATAATCGAAATGATGGTCCAGGGTTTGACCATTTATCACTTCCCTGAACTGAACCTTCTTCTTATGTGGGCAGGACGATGAATCTTCCAATAATTCTTAAGATCAGAATATATAGAGTATGTGAAAGGAAAGCCATAGATAGCATACATTTTGCCTTGGAATATGATCGAGTCCACATGTCTCCCCCCTCCGTTGAAGTTCATCATCTTGTCTCTCAAATCTTGCCTGCGAAATTTCTTTGCACCAATCTTCTTACATGAGGAGAGTCTAAAATTCATGTGTCCCATTCATCAGAAACACACCACAATTCCTAGACGGGTCTCGCGGCGGCGAGGATAGCATCAAAGAACTATATATATATTGGCTTAGTAACTCCACCATCTTCATCCAGCGGTGTGGGAGCTGCAATTTCTCTATTATTGTGAAAACATTCAGGATACAACAATCAATCACTCCGGTCCGGTTTTATTTGCACATTCTGGGGCCTGTTGCGAAACATCATACAAGGTCAACATTGGGGTTTCCATGGTTGCATGAGAGATCAAAAGGCATAGCCATATGGTTGATCAACACGAGGAGGAGGCGGCGCAATTCTAGTAAATACAAAAAACTCTCCCTTAGGATCAACGGTACTACTACCACCATTGGTTGATTTTGATGAGTTTGATATTAGTAATCTCGATTTTGATTTTTCTGCAGTTGAAGACGATGATGATTGTTTTTGCTTTCTAGAATTCCGTTTTCCCATCTTCCTTCTTCCTACCTATGTTTGACAAACAACGTAAAGTATTATCATATATAGAGCTTCGTGTCGGAGGATTTATATACAACACAAATAAATAACCTGCGTGACTACCCTAAGCCAAAACAAAATCGTGAAGGGATAAACTGTTTCCAAAAAGGGAATTCATTTAGCCAACTTGATTGTCCAACCAAACAAACATAGATACATCTTTGGTAATGCCACCAGCTATTGATTCGTGCAGCCAAGTATGGTTGGTTGCTGATGGCTCGCGGGAAATCTAGTGCGTCCGTTTATCATCCATTCACCTGTCAATGAATATACCTTCCTGACAGCGGTCCACTTTCTTTTATCAGTCCAGTAGTTACTTTTACAAGCCCACCAACCTCTCCTGGCTGTGAGATTGTTTGTTTCCATCACGATGCTGGAGATGAGTTTATTGGTGAAACCATCAAGCGAGGAGAAGCTAAATTCTCCACTGCTTATTGCTTCACAGGAGGACATGGCGGTTTTAATTTGTCCCGCTGTAACCCTCTTCTCCACCGCGGAAAATACTATTGCATGGGTTTTGATGGGAATCTTGTCATTGTTGATGCTAATTAGACCGGCAAACATCGTCCAACTGACGTTCCCAATTAAGGCCCATTTTTTGGGGACATTTCGGCGATTCTGATTGCCAACACTTTATGTTTGAAGGTGAGGATGGTCAAAGTATCTGGGCTGTTTTCGTTGCTCGTCAAGGCAAACAGTTCACATTAACAAGGTGTGGGAGAGGGTACATGACTTGAAGAATAGATGTCGCCACGATACCAGGCACTGGTAATAAAATTTACTTCCCAAAAGTTTCGAGAACATAATACTCCCTCCGTCCCATAATTATTGTCCAGTTTGGATTTTCATTTTTAGTTCAAATTGTACTAAAAGTGAAATCTCAAACTGGACAATAATTTTAGGACAGAGTGAGTAGTATCTATCATGTTCTATTCCCTTTGCCACAAAACAGTTCCCACACTTTTGTTGGAGCAACTCATTACCCCGATTTTCACGGTTCCAAAGAAACTGTTCTCTCCACTTGGATTCATAATACGGACTTCCAATCTCTTCAAACATTCAGCAGGGAGGATGTGTCATGCTTGATCAATTAGCTTTTCTAGTTTCCATATTGATGTATTCATTAATCTTAGGTCTTAATTTCTTGGTTCGCCTGACATATATGGCTTGCAACATGAATTCTAAACTAGATTATTTAAATGCAAGTGTAATAATTTCTCCTACTTTCTTGATTTATTTTCAAGCCAACTTCATATCTTTAACTAATTAAGATGATCAAATAACAAAACTTGAGTTTCAGCGTGTATGCACTACTATTCAGAGCTGGTGAGGGCCAATACACATTCCACATCATATGGGGTAGTAATTAACAACACAAAAGAAACTATTTTTATTAAAACAAGTATATAGGAGAATGTATTGTTGAGCTCTCTTTTCATTGGTTATGCTATTCAAACAACGCCGAAAGTGGCCAGAGATTCATGTGATGGGAGTCGGTTATGCAAGGAAAATAAGGGATGGAAATATGACATTAAATCAGAACAACGTGATGAACTCATGAAGCTTTACTTAGCTTAACTGGATTGCCCTTCACACTAATAGTAGGGAGACCTTTCAGCTACCCCTACCACAATGTTCCCCTGAGATGAGCGCAAGCTTTCCCTTCACCACTGCGCTTCAAATTTTGAATCAGTAGTGATCTACCAAAATTTCCAGCAGTAGACCACCCCCTCAGACATCCCCTTGGGAATACTCTTTATCACATAGTCCAACAGCTTTCAATTCAACCAAGAAGGCAATGTCGAGAATATCGGAATCCATGGAGTTCTGCACTAACCACAAAAACCTGATTCAGTTTCCAATTGGCAAGGCACTCAGCATCTTGTGGATACATATGGGTCATTTAGTTTTTTGTCTTGATCTTCTGCATTAACAGCATCCTGAGGGATGTCAATCTTCAGGGACGGTCCAGCAATTTCCTCCTCCCTTGATCCATATTTGAATCTCAAAAGCAAAGAATTTGCCATCACTCCCACAGAGCTTAATCCCATGAGGGCCCCCGCAATTGAAGGAGTTAGCACAGTTCCAGTAACCGGCAATAGCACTCCAGCAGCTATTGGAATTCCAACCTGAAGATCGCAAGAATAAACTTTTGCAGACTCCATAACAAGGTCAATCACATGACCATTTGTCAGGAATTAAAATAGGGATGCACAAAAACAATGGCCACACAATGGAAGTAACCATAGGTCAGTTTCCTGAACACAAGTTTGATATCTGTAAATACAGTTAATAATCATATCTTCCACGGTTTTTTAAGAACTTGTGTCTTACTATAGTCTAGCATCTGATGTTCGTTGCAGTCAATCACAAAAGATACGATGAACTTACAATGTTGTATGCAAATGCCCACCAAAGGTTTTGCTTCACAGTTTTCATTGTTTGCCTGCTTAGTTCCAGAGCATCAAGTAACTGCAAAAAACAAAGTCAAAAAACTTTGCTTGAGCAATACAGCAAGAATTAAGACTTGATGTTTTTTGCTTGACCAATCGAGCAACATACAACATTCAACCAGTACCCATGGAAAGGTAGCAAGATTTCCAGGGTAAAGAATTAACACTGCCAATAACACGCAATGAAATCAAGGAAGCACCAGCCATGTCATAAGACTAAATAGCGCATATGTCCGCTTTCCTTTTCCTACTCCATTTGGGGGTTGGGGAGTTGACCAGATGACGAACTTGATTACACATTAAAAAAGATGGAAAAGCAGAACAAATGACTGATTTGAGTCCATGTACTGTAATTCTCTAAATGCACTCCATTCGTCAGAAAAAGAATATTCAACGAAATTTCCCAACTAGTATAATTTGTCCAACACCCTAATTTTCGACCATCAAATTTAGTCATACCCATTTTCAAAACCATGGTAGGCATATTTTATGGATGCTATAATTTTTTCATTAACTTATCCACGGGAGTGCAAAGTGTATTTGTATCCAGAGAAATCAGATAGGTCATTTGCTCTGCAACTGAAACACTAGTCTCCAATATAAACAATTTGGAAATGACCCTTCCAAATACCCCGAGGAATCAGATAAACAATTTGGAAATGACCCTTCCAAATACCCCGAGGAATCAGATAAACAATTTGGAAATGACACTATTCTCCAGTATAAACAATTTGGAAATTACCCTTCAAAAAAACAGATTTCTTTCAGAAATACCTGAGACAACCTGTTCTGCATCAGCACAACGGAAGAAACCTCACTAGCAGCTCCAACACCTCCACCGATTGCAACTCCAACATGTGATGATGCCAAAGCAGCAGCATCATTAATTCCATCACCAACCATAGCTACAATGTTCTCTTCTTTCTGAAGTCTGCTTATGAACTTCTTTTTTTCATCTGGTTTGACTCCATACAAAACCTGCCATTACCAATGCTTCAGCACAAGATTTCGGGTGGAATTCAATCAAACTGAACATGACTATTCATTTCAGAACTTAAGTACATACGAAAATTTACCTTAGCATAATAGCTATACATTTGTATTTTAAGAGGTAGAAACAGAGTAACTAAATCTGTCAATTAATATATCATTATCGCACAGTTCAGAAACCACTCAGCCCTTAAAAAACTTGTCCTGCACTCTGAGATACTGACATAGTGGAATGGTAGGACAAATTTAGCAAGAAGGATTTTATGAATGAATTCCTACATCTATCAGTACGAAGTTCAGGACTAGCTAGTCTAACAGTACTCTATCCATTTTCTAATTCACACATCGAGACAAAGTTTCTTTTAAGTACGAACAAGATAAGGAGCTTAGGACATAACTCGAGAACCTCATATGATGGGAAAATAATGTTCATTCACCTTATCCTTTGATATGCCAACAACAGATGCAACATATTCAGCAGCATTCTTCTTATCCCCTGACAGCAGGTAAGTACTTATTCCTTGCTTAGACAAAGATTCAACAACATGTTTGGCATCTTCCCTTATCTGATCCTCCACATAAATTACACCTGCAAGATTGCTATCCACTCCCACGTAAACAGCAGTCTGGTTCTTGAATTCCTCAAGTTCTTGAAATATATTTTCAATCACTCCATTCCTGCATAGCATAAAAAAGCTTACTTCTTCAACTTCAACTTCAACATACCCAGTATAGTCCCAACAGATGCAACATATCCAGTATCCAAAAGTTTAGATGCACTGAATTAATTTTCACATAAAAGGAAAAACAACAGCTATTCTGAGACTCAAAATAGTTCTTTGCTTCCGAAATGATCCAAAACATCTGTCAAACTTTATTAGATCAAACAACGCATAATATCCGACCAACACATAATATTCAAATTATGAAATACCACTTTGGTCAAACACCAACCATTGACACATAATATCCAAATTATGAAATAACACTTGACACCAACCATCAACACATAATATCCAATGAAACTGTTTCGGAGTTGACTTTTTAAGACCCGGTGCGGGAACATGCAGATGCATTTTGTTGTGGGCACATTTCTCATTGTAAAATCAGGATTCTATTTCTTAACATGATGACAAAAAAAGACATTTTTAAAGACAGATGTCTTTCAGACATGTAATTTGGTTTCAATTAGAAACCACGTGTGTAGGATAACTTATTATGCCTTCACCAGACCTGCTGAGCTGAAGCTTCTTGGTTCACTTCGCAGGGATCAGCAAGGCCCCATGTCTACTACTGACAAAGAAGTTGATCATAGAATTTCCAATTTATACCCAAAAGTGCTAATAGCAAGGGGAAAACATTTGATTAGGATCCCTTTTTCACTAATACAGAAATGACTGATCTTCAATGAGCCTAAGAAGAAGAGAACTCAACGAAAAGCAAGGGATTTCATCAAAATAGCACAGAAGACATCGGGAAAAGATACTACCAATTGGTCCAATTGACTAGATGATTTCCATGAGACTAAGATTCTCAAAGAGCGAGCAAATACAAATGAGATTTAACATAGCCAGAGTTATTGCAAAATTGATCTGTGAAAGTATCAGCTACCTTTTAGTCCAATCCAGAGTACCAACAGACACCCTTTTATTTTCAATATATGCTACCGCACCAGATCCAGGTTCTTCCATGTACGTTCCCTCATCAACCTGGTAAGATATGGTACATGTCTTTTGAAAATTAATTTGATGGCAAAAACTGATGAAAGTCAAAAACTTGACATCTGGACCAAACTCGTCAAAAGATATCCCTAATATCTAGTTTCCAGCATTCTGGAAAGAAATATCTAAACTAACAGTTTCAGTATGATCCACACTTAAACACAGTAGAAGAGCCCAAATCTCTAAACCATAAGATTGAAGTGCAGCACGGAACTCATAAAATCTCAACCAGCTAAAGGTTGGTTAAGGGAATGGAGACAATTTTTATTGCAAGTAGAGCCACTAAATGAAGACCCCATTAGAATGCAGTACAGCTCAAAAGAAGAAAGCACCTTGACAACTGCACAGTTTGCTGCCCGAGCAGCATCAACAATTGCTTTCCCAACAGGGTGATTTGTATTAGATTCAACTCCAGCAGCTAATTTCAAAATATCAGCTTCTGACCATTGAATATCTGAATCTCGTCTGCAGGAAAAGTATTGTTATTTCAATAAAGCAATCCAATACTGCGAATTGTGGATAACATGTAACAGGTACAAACTGCTCATCAACTATCTGAACTATCTACATAAAATTCAAGTTGTCTACCACATCTATTTGATAAGCTCAAGAAGTATAAGAGCAGCCACATATTCAAGTTGAACAAGAAAACACAGATGTCATCCGGCAATTCCTGGTGAAATTAAAAGGGAAACAGAGCTGAGAAACTTAAAGCACTCCTATCTTTACTATGAGATTTTAAGCAAAACCAGCATTTAAACCTATTGCTGATGTCTTTACTTCAGCTCCCGATGTAAGCATACATCAATCAAGCAATTTCCATGCACTTTTTCTATCAAATCCTAATGACTATCCTAATGAGTCAAAATGATATCCTACAAATAGCTGATCTTCATTAGTCAGAAAAATTACTGTGTGAAAATGTATTAAATCATAATATCTCAGAAGGAAACTGGCTAGCCAACAAATTTAGTTTCAAATCAGCTAGAATTTATTTTTGGAATCACAATCACACATACGATATGGAGTGCAACCAAAAAAAATGTGAATAGAAATTCTACAACGCTTCAGCAATATTGTATACAGGTACAATCTGACTCAAGAATTTACAGATGCAGAACCAACCTTGAACCCATATTGTCTTCAAATCCTTGAGTAGAAACTTTTGTCACAACAGGCCTGCCAAGTGTCAGTGTGCCTGTTTTATCAAACACAACAGTGTTGACTGCTGAAAACCTTTCCAGGACACTTCCACCACGCAAAAGCAATCCTCGTTTAGCGCCAAGTGAGGTTCCCACCTTTACAGAGAAAATGTCACTAAGCTGCTACAGTATCTAAATCAAATCAAAAGCATGAACCAGATCTGCACTGAAAAGACTAATTAATAATAATTACCAGAACCGCAGTAGGTGTTGCTAGTCCAAGTGCACATGGGCATGCAATAACCTACACTAAGCAAAAGAAAGACTTGTCACTACATCAAACCCGGAAAAAATAAGATTAATAAGAAAATAAATTCACTGTAGAAAGGGGAAAGGTTAAAAGAGGATATGTAAAACAAGACTCTTTGTTAGAAATTTGTTTAATGTTCTGGTTAATTCTATTCCTATTAAGCAGCCCTATTAAAAGTTTGACAAAATTTTCATGAAGACGTAGACTAACAGACAGGCAACATTAAAAAGGAGCACTTATTGACTTTTATCTCCAGACAGGGGCTTGGTTTGCAGAAATGATTTTAATTTATCACATACCAGAACACTGCAAGACAGCTGCAATGCCAGTGAAACTGAACTTCCTTGATTGAGAGTGGCTGGCAGGAAACCTGGACCAAGAAGGCTCCAGAACATAAACGTGGCAGCTGAAAGTGCCATTACACCGTAAGTGAAGTGTCCAGCAATCTAGCAAAGAAACCAAAGCTGTTGTAAATAAAACAACATTCCAGCAAATATTAATTCAAAGAAGATCACGATTTTCTGAAGAAAAAGGAAGACCTTCAAATGATATTAAGCAGGTAAAAAAAATTTTAAAAAAATAAAAATTTGCTCAATTTTTACCTAAAAAGGACTTAATTTAAAGGAGACAGTTTTAGGAGAAGAAAATGGTGAAATCAAGTAAAAAATATTTTTAAAGCCTCGAAAAATGTGTTTGAATTGTTGCTTTCAAAATGTTTGAAATTATCGTATCAAAATTATCTTCATCAAGAAGCACATCAAGTTAGTCTCAACAGAAGTATCCCAATCTTGACTTTAAATCAAACCAGAAGTACGTTGTTCCTGTGTTCCAGCCACAAAGAAATACTTTAACATCACTATTTTCCATCAATGACAGAGACAGAGATAGTGAATGAGATAGTCGCTCATTAAAAGACATATACATCACACCACTCCCTTAATAACTACCGACCAAATAAGGGACAAATCAGTATTTTCATAAGTGCCACATCATTCACTATCCTATTTCACTATCTATTTTGACTAGACATATCATTTTCCATTAACATATACTGTCACCTCAAAATGCAAAGTTGAGCAACAAAATGTTTAACCTTGTCAGCAAGCCGCTGTACTGGAGCTTCTCTGGCTTGAGCTTCTTCAATTAAACGAACAATGTCCCCCATGGCAGTCTCTCCCCCAGGTCTTCTCACTTCAATGGTAAGTGTCCCATTTAAATTAACAAATCCAGCAGCAACTTCCGCCTGAGAGACATTTAGTCAAACAAGGCATGAATTTGTGATCTTAAAGACACAAAAATTAATAAAAAAGAATGACTTTCAACATGACCCAAAGTGATATTCACAAACGAGGCACACTTCCTCAAGAAGTCGAAGAACAGCGATGCCAAAAGACTCAAAAGCAGATAAACTTCTAATGCTTCACAGTAAAATTTCTGTCCCTAATGTGCTGGCCCTTCCCAGAGCCCCACATATGCAGGAATCTGATACAGCAGGCTGCAATTTTCAATTAAAAAGGCTGAAAACAGTGTTTCTCACCCCTGGTAATTTCACAACAGGCAACGGCTCTCCTGTGAAGCTTGATTCATCAACAGTACTTCTCCCAGATCGAACTATACCATCAGCTGGAATACGGTCCTGGGAAATTTAATAAGTACGTCAATAGATGCTAGAAGAACATCAGCTTTGCAAATCATGATAATTTCATTCATCAGCAGCTGCACAGAATTAGATAACAAGATACCAAGCACAAATTTATTTAAAGGACTAATGGTTATTGTGTGGTCATATATTATGAACTTAAAAGCAATTTAAAGAAGAGGTTTTCAGCTACTCTCGAGATATTCAATTACATTGCCACAACCAGTGGATATTGCATTTTTTTCAGCAGTCAATAAAAGGAGTATATGCGTGCACCCGTAATAAGGCATGTGTTCCTGAATTCAGAAGCAACATGAAGAGTTTACATGTCTTCAATTATGTGACTTATCATAAAAGTACTTGAAAGCAGAGGGGGGAGGCTCATAGACAGCATTCAATAAAGTAAAGACAAAAAGAAAAAAAAACACAAACTGTTCTTAATCATAACAATTTCTGAGTCTACAAAAACTGAGCAAAATAATGCAGGAGAAAGTACAAAAATAGGGTCAAGACATACTTACACCCGGTAGCACGATAATTTGGTCCCCCACAGATAGATTATTTATAGGAACTTCTACAGTTGAGCTCATCCCTTCAAGAGCACCATCAACAATAAGACGAGCTTTTGATGGCAAAAGATTTAGCAGGCTTGTCATGTCCCCAGTAGCTTTTAACTTAGCTCTTAGTTCAAGATTCCTCCCCAACAAAACAAATGCAATCAACATAACTGGTTCCTCAAAGAATGTCTTCCAACCCTGCATGAAAAGGAAGTCCATCAACAGATTAAAAACATGAAGGACATCACTCAAAACTAATGCATCAATGGTTCCAGTAAAACTAGAAATCTGAGAGCAGTCCCTAGAAAAAATAAAATCTACAGAAAAATATTTGAAATTTAAGATCCGCTAAAAGACCGCTTGACATTAAAAAGATATCTACAGCTAAAGTAGTTGGATAGACCATGGAACCATCTGGCAGCAAATAAGGTCTGATTTAATTAACGAAGAACATGAGAAGAGTGCGAATTCAAAATCCCAATACATTAAAATATCAGTAAGTCACTGGTTGCTCACAATAAAAAACATACTTTCAGGTTTTCGCATTATGCCAACAATTTAGCTGCTTAACTAGAATACAGAATATATTAATAAGTTCCATAAAAGCGCAGGCTGAAGCATCGAAGATCCTGGAAATGTAGGTCCAATGAGGTCCAACAAACTTTACCCCTCTATATTGAACGAATCATGTGAATAGCACTCGTTTCTTTCTAATATCTACATCGCAAAAGCATGCATATCTCAGTACATAATAATTCCGAGATATGCATAAGATAATGGTAACTCAACTGGTTTTTTGGTAAAAGTAACGATTGGAGTAAGCAGCATAAGGTAATGGTGGTCGACAACCAAAAAAAAGGGAAAATCCCTCAATTACACAATAAGGTAAAACATTAAAGTATCACTGAAGAAGCATGCAATTATGACACGAAGTAGAAGTGAAAAAACAGCACTATGGGGGGTGCCACCTGCTATTAAAAATTCCACATGTATTAGATTAATAATCAATTCCTTAACCACTAATTGAGCATAGAAGTATAAATGACAGACAGATCATACACATAGAAGAATAATCAATTGGATTGAGACTTATTAAGGATATACATACCAGCTTTGGTATCAAAGCTGCCAATGAGCTTACAGTAAATGAGGAAACAGCCCCAAGACCAACTAAAGTGTTCATATTCGGAGCTCCATTTATTAGGCTTTTGAGGCCGTCACTTATGAGTTTTCTACCAGGACCGAGCAGTGTGAACAAAGATAGTGACATATGGAATCCTGTTGAATGTAACGAATGGATCCATGAAGCCTTAGCTCCCAAAAAGTGAGACAGATGACCAATGAGACAAACAGCACATAGAGCCCAAGAGACAAGAAGCCCGCGACCTGTTTATAAGTCTTAATGTAGTCGTTACCCAGAACTAGAACAATTTAAGAAAGCCTGAATTAAAAGAATGAGAATGTGATGATCTAAGAAACATACCACTTTCTTTCAACTGAATACGCTTCTCATTCATCTTTCTTTCAAATACTTGAGAGAAGTTTTCTTTTCTGGAATCTGCAACAGATGTAGCACACAACAGAAAGAGAAGTTACCAAAGTAAAGAGAGATACATGAGATCCTTGTAAATGTGATGCAACTCTCAAGTAATGTCTTGAAGATGCAAAAGTGCATCTTCATGAGCACACTTGGAAGCAAAACAGAATATATGAGCAATGTAAACAATATTTTAAACAATAAGCCAAAACAAGAATCACTCGTATGCAATCAAAATATCACAAATTTACATTTCACTGTTAAATGTTATACAGACAACAAGATATTAATGAATATGTAAATTATTCCCTATGATTTCTAACAACAAGGGAAATAGGAGATATCAGCAAAAAGTTTAGTACAACATCAGAACAGGCCACTTCATTTCTATATAATGAGAGACTAATCAGCTGATTAAGGTATAGCATTTGTTCAGCAACTTGTACAATGGTACATCCAATGAAGTTCCGGGTGATAGGCCTTCCTTCCACTAAAACAGCTCTAAAAGCCCTCAAGACTCACCTATTAGAAAAACGAGAGAACTATCTCATAACATGTTTTTGTAACCCAAATATTCAATTGAAACTTTCACTATCTAGATGAAGTTACATTTCCGACTATGTAACAGGGACATACCATATAACCATAATGGTAGCTCAAAATAACAAATCCCCCGCATATCTACAAAGGAACATCTCCTTCAATAGCTCCCTGACCTGCCAGACCCACCAAGCTTACATAAGTTATATATGCAAGCCTACATGATTCACACTGTCTATATTTACACAAACAAATAGAACATAGTGCTACAACAGCCATCGAACAAATAGTGTACAGTCATGTTTACTTATTTGGACAACCAAGTATAGATATTACTTCCCATTATTACTTGATTAACACAAAATCAAAAGAAAAACACTGGTTCCTCATAGGCTATACCCATCAGCCACCCAGGTCATTAGTTATAGGTAAGCCCACTAGTTCAAAACTACTTCCCGACACGTAGGGCTAAGCTGTTTACAATTAGGATGTAAGGTGCAATTCTCTTCCTTCCTTAGAAGATTAATACACATTTCCCCCTTTATCCACCTTATACGATCCAGAATGCAGCTCCAAAGAGACATGTCAAACATACGCTCTTCTCCTTAAATATGCAAATCCGGGTTTTGATGTTTCTTTATCAAGTCACTGCTCTGGGTCATCATATTGGTTGGCAATTTACTGGGAATTTTGATGTTTATGTTGATGTTTAAGGAAGACAGACAGCAGGTACATCAACTCCTCCAAATGTCCAAATAGCTTGTCCTATTCTTAGACCAAAGGCTATCCAAACGAGAGTTTGAGCCTCGAATTACAGAATACCGATACTAGAACATACCAAATGATCCATAAATAACTCTTAACTAACAGTCTAATAATTTCAATATAGCATAAAGTATAACATAAGCCTGCAAACGTTTGCCATTCGCTGTGTGAAGAAATGGCATTATTAAACATGGTGCGAAATTTCCAGATTCTCAGTTTCGTAGAAAGTGAAAAACTGCGTTGTTACGTCTCTTCAAGATAACAAAACCTATACATTTTTAATGTGGTAGGAAAAAGGTTTGTTGTTTTAGTTTATATACTCAAGCTTCAGAGTTAATAATTATAGCACTTGCACGACGGTGAATTCATCCATTTGTCTAATATCAACTTATGTGCCCAAGTACATGAAAGGTTTGCCACTTCGCTTTTGAATCTCTACATCAGAAAGTACTTAAGAAAGAGATCCCTCATTATCATTTTTTTTATTTGGTTAACATCTACAATTTCCCTTTGACTACAACTACAGTTGATTTTCCCAAAACAAGGTCTTAATCACATAATCATCAACATCAACATCAACATACTAGTACATTACCAACCATGTTGTGATTAGTCTTAATCACATGATGGCCAGTGTTATTTCTAATAATAAGTTGTACATGTATTTAAATGTTTATCCTAGTAGCAATAATAACAAAATTCAATGTAATGAAATTCTAAGAAAGCAAATTGTGCAGTTCGATTAATATTCGAATATGACATCAAAACAGAATCATATTCGGCAAGTGAAAAGGTGAGGTATCTAACCTCGAAGATTAGATTTGAATCCACAACTAGTTAAATGTTTAGCAAGTGCCTCTCCCAATTGCGTTTGCCAGTTTGGCACAACTTTTGCTTCGGTTACAGGCCATACGATAGCTGTCTCTGTAGTAAGGTTGACACTAGCTGAAGATACCTGTGGCTGTTCATAAATGAAGCGAGTAGGAGTATAAAGTAGCCGATCACCCATCGAATAGGTAAAACGTAATTAGCAAACTCTGTCAAATAGCAGTAGCCATGAGAATTGTTTAAACTTTCCGCATTACACGTTAACTACAAGATTTCTTTCTCCTAGTACAATAATTTAAATTAAGAATTACTCGACAAATATACAAGGAGTCCATGCTACTGGGAGGTTTGTTTTGTGCTTCATGAGTAGAGAAATACAGCCTGTAGAAAGCCTAAGCTACAAAATTCCATCGAGATTGGTGATGTCAAGTGACATAAGATCTTCAAGTTATTTATTCCCAATTTGTGAATATGTATAAGAATACTTAGTTGCCTAACGACACACCACTCAGCCATAAAAAAAACATAACAGCAGCAGAAAGACGAAGCCAAAAAAGAGTAATAACAAGTAACAAGTAACGGTTGTTGATCTTACTTGATTTTCCAGTATTCTCTTCACACTGGCAGCACATCCCCCACAAGTCATTCCCTATGCATCACAACGACAAGAATAAACAACTTTGTATGCAATATTACAAACTCCAATAGGAAATGATTAGATGAAACAAAAGGTAACAGGCATTAAAATAAGGTTCAAATGTCAGTGAATTAATTCGCTTTACCCCAACATCAAGAATGATGACATCAGTAGCCAAAACAGAGGCATCATCAGCACTTCCAGCAACCGCGTTAGGCGTGCCTCTCCCATCCTCACGGCCTCCTCCTCCACCACCACCACCGCTACTACTATCATTGTTTCCTCCGAAGCCTCCGCCCCCAGAGGCAAACGAAGCGGCTGAGCTCGAAACACAGTCCACACGGCAGCCGAGCAGTTTTGGGGCCCATAAACTTCTCGGGAGATAATTATAGGCAAAACGATTATTCCTCCGGGAAGACGCGTTGACAAGAATGCGACTGAGGGGATGATGGAGGAGTTGAGTAGGCCGAGCCGTGGAAAAATGGCGGTGGAGACGGGAAATCAGGGGAGCAGAGTTGGAGGAATTTAGAGGTTTGGTAAGGGATAGGAGCGCCATTGTGGCGGTTAATGACAGTGAGGACTCCATCCGAATAGAGATGGGAGAGTGAGCAAAATTGTTTTCTGAGTTTCGAAGATTTATGAGGGCTCTAGTCACCAGAATGAAAAGCTAGATAGTGAGGATAGAGTAGAGTGATCCGTTGAGGGAAAATTAGTCTGGACGGTAATTAGTAATTTTATTTCACAAAATGATCCTTAAAATAGTAAAAAATTGTTAATGATGAATAGGAACCATTCTCTATCTTCAATCGCTTCCTTTTTAAGTAAAGTGAGAGTCTTAGATCATGAGGCCCAACAGTCAGTCCAAGGCAAAATATAATGTGTACTTTTTTCAAATTACCCTTCTATTAAATTTATCTTCATGTATTTAAGATTCATTTACGTCTCAAAATGACCATAAGATCCACCAGGTAGCATTAAAAAACCAAAAGTTTGATCAAAGAATTGGTAAGATATACTTTTGCGAAATAACTTCGTGAATTTGTTATCTTTATTGTCACTCGTTGCACATTTTAGCATAAATAACATATAGGATTCACAAGTAGAGATTCCTGTCCACTAACTCAACTACAAGAATTTTAGTCAACTCGAGCAGATGCATCATAAAATTCAGAACTGACAACGCTTACAGAACTGTATACACTAGTGCTTCTCGTAAAAACTAAAAACCATTCCGTTACACCCAATGCGCTTTATTGAATAGTGCCACAACTCAACACGACGACATGTACCAATACTGAGACAGATTAATGGTGCTATGTATATAGATTAGATAGAATATCACAGAAAACTAATGGTGAGCAGCTTTAATGGTAACCAAGCGGAGCTGGTGCCTCCCTCAACTCCTTCCCCTGATAATGAATATCCTGTGTAAATAAACCAGAAAAATGTATCAATGAGCGTTCATCCCTGTGTAAACATAATCGATTCTATGTGATTCAGGAAATGCTAGTGGAAAAAAGAAGCATTAACACGTAATAACAGTATTGCCTCCTTATAGCTTTCATAATATAATCTTCAGTCCTAGAACCTTTTTATATATATATATATATATCCATTCATTCTTCAATCATTCAGCAGTACAGTACTGATGATCGAAAGTGATTCTCGTAAAACACAGATGTACCAGAAAATGATGAACAAATCAATGCCATTTAGATGATATCTTAACGCTTAACAGTAATAGGCTATTCAGAATCAAGTAGGTTTTCAAATTCATCAATGACATCAAGCAGACCCAAAAAAGACATCACTGTTTGAACAGTTTCCTGAAGTACATCTATTATCAAGCAAATGTTGTTTCCTCAACAGAAAGGGAAACCAAAAACCACACGGGAAGAGCACCATAAACCATAAAGATTAAGAGAGCAAAACAGATTGAAGAGGCACAAAACAGCAGGGGAGATACTTACTGAAGCGAAATGGTTGACATCACGATGGTGAGCTTCATCTGCACGGATAACAGTAATAACATCCTTCAAAGTAGCATCCTTAGGAAGCCTCCAGTAGTCAATAGCAATAGCCGGAGCTGGAACGTTCTTAATTGCGCCACTTTCAATATCCTTTAGGTACTCTGTATAGGAATGTATAGCTTCCTCTTCCAGATAACCAACAATTCTATGAGCCAGTTTGGGAGATAACAGGTAAAGAACAAAGAATGCATTGAAGAAAACTCCCTGCACAGTGAGAACCAGAAACCTCTCGTACCATTTAGGTTGCACAAGCTCCACCATGGTCATTAGGTGCATTCTCTCATTCTCAGCTTCTTCAAGTAACGCCTTAATCCAGCCACCACTCTGCTGGAACTTGCGCAAGGACCTCAGGTGCAACAGCATACCCCCCACCATACCAGGGACAGCAGCGACAGTTTCCAGCATCATTGCACGACAGCCATAGCGCCTCTGCATCATAATGAATCAATTAGTACGAAGTGTGTACAACTAACTGCTGAATCACAATTCTATCCATGCAGATACTGGACCTAAACAACAGTTTAGACAAAAAGATAATGATTTTTTTTAAAAAAGGAAGAAGAAAATTCAGAAATCTTTAGAAAACAAATACAGTGCCATCTAACTTGTTAGTGAAAACAACAGCGACTCTGTGAATACGGATGGAACAGAAAAACAATGAATAGTTGTAATGAAGCAACAACATCGGATTCTCCCCATCCATATCAAACTATCATCACCAACCAAGCGAGGACATGACATGTAGTAAGTAGGTAATCTGAAAGGCACCAAAATGAGGATTTTGCAACTAGCTCTTCTATCTTGCTACACATTTGAGATTTAGAACTCTCAGGAGTCTGGACACAAATCCACCAGATTCAACAACCACAGCCAATTCCTTATACATCCCTATAATGGATTCTACTGCATAAGATGTCCATGAGTTATTATTGAACCTATTCCAACTACTTTAGAAAATTAGTTCTACTTGACTTTCCCAAAAGCCAACAATACTCAATTAGGTAGATCCTCTGTGATGTACAAATAAGCAAATTGATATCTCATATAATCCCAATTTAAGCAGGTTAAATGACAAGTTGAAATGTAATTCAGTTATTTTACTCTGCATGAAATTCTTAAGCTCTGCACTCCAAGATAATACAGAAAGCATAGAAGTTTGATGTTTTGTTGTATACATTTGTCTGAAATCCTCTATTAACTAGGTTCAAAAGCAAAGATGGCAGTCATCTAGTTATCAATCAAGTCAAAAGCAGATAATCTTTTTCCTTCAACAATTAAAATTCATTGCCGATCTTCAGAAGAGGTGAAGTGGCAACTCAGTGACACATACCTGGAAAAAGATATCTGTCGGAATTCTGAGAGTTTTGACAGTCCGTAAAGCAACCTTGTCAAGAAATGTCGTTGGAGCATGATGCTTATGAAGATCAATGTTGACATTTGACTCGTATGTATCCCAAGGCTGAAAAAGAAAAGGCACAAGTTTAGTCCCTGCATAATCCAGTTGCTGCATATTTGCTTCAATTTCACACCCAGCCATTGATAAGACCATTATGCATAGCTCAAATATTATAATTCCAAGCACAAGGTTAAACTCGATTACTAAAGCATAATCAAACACGCAACCAAAATGAATGCATTTCCCTGTCTTCTTATCTGTCTATAATAAAAAAATATTATATAAAAAAAATCGTATTATCCCACTGAATTCAGGTCAAAATGATGTCAAGCCCCACTAGATCTCTCATGCCCCAAACTTTCCTCAGCATTGATCTAAATTACGTTCAAAGATTGAAATGGCAACATGCACAGGAGGAGGGAAAAAGGACCAAAAGCACAAGGTTCAGAACTGCAGATCAATGACAAAGGAAGGTTCTACCGAGGCAAAACCTTCCTCTGTCTTCCAGATGATATAAATCCAATTAAAGAATACTACAAGTAAGATATAAAATGCAACAAAATCACGAATCACTTTGAACGCGAATCGGTAACGATTGACCATGAAACGATCATAGTAAAAGCAATTTCTACCACAAAAATCTAATTAATTCCATCGACTTCTAAACAAAATGAAAACACAAGTTGCTGAAGTTTCAATTTCCGTTTAATTCATGTAAAAATCAGTAGAGAGGCTTGTGAAAATTATTATTAACATGCAAAAAATCGATAATACCATGAAGCAGTTCCAAGGCCATTCGGTGCCATCTTCCCTTAAGATTGTAGGCCTGGAAACTCCCCAATAACTGGAAATGGCTTGCGCTTTTGCTTTTTCGTCCTTCACTGCAACTTCGCCGCCGCTGACAGACTTCGGCTCCTCCTTTTGATCAGGGGCTTTTGGTTCCGGGACGGCGCTCATCATCCTCCTCCACTGCCCACCCAACATCCCCAAATCCTGAACCCTCACCACAGAAGCATCTTCAAAAGGCTTGACAACAGCGGCAGCTGCGCCGCCAGTGGCCGTCGAATTAACAACGTACCGGCCGCCGTTAATTCCGGTGGCCAAGCTTCTCAACAGCGATCGTGTCAGCATAGGGTTCATTTTTCGCGATTAAACGCCAATTCCGGTCTGTAATTGTCTTAATTATTGTACGATTTTTGCTCTGGGAAATGTTTCGACACACAAAGGATTTTCACTCACGTTTACAGGGCTACGGTGGTTTTTGATATAACGACAAAGAGAAGTTGAAAGGTTGAAGAAGGTCGGTGAAAGGAAAAGAATAAAATATAAAAGGTTATATATATGAAATTACGCCGCCACCCCTGTTCATCAGGTTGAAAGTGTGGAAGGTTCATTCAACGGAATTTGCCCTTTCTTTCTCTCCAAGTCTACGGGATATTTGGCAGCGTGACAGCGGCTGTCATGGGACTGGCTCCGAGATTTTACACGTCACTTGAATGGGAGGACCAACGTGAGCTGTCATTTGGCTAACATGTGACTACATGTTAGATTAGCAACCATGTTTTAATAACTTCCAAAAATTAAATTAGCTTAAAAAAAGGGAAAAAAAAAAAAAAAAACACAATAGTCGTGCAATGGAAGGTGAGAACGTGAAATGTACTATATGTACTTGCAACTGGGGGAGTACATATCATATTGTCACATTCGCAACGATACCGGTCTGACATTATATATTTTGAATAAATCGAATACGAGGAAAGTAAATTATTTTTTTCAACGAATACTATAATATTTATCATTTTATTAATTGAATGTTATGTTATTTTATAGAAAAAAAAATAACAGAGTATCATATATAGCGTCTATTTGAATTTTTAGTGGTTGGACTATGATTTCTTTGTTGTATTTTTTTTGCAGCTAGACTGTAATAGTTTAGTTTACAGTTTACTGATTTGGAGTCCTCTTTGAGTTATGTTGGCCAATTGAAATTAGCCCAACTAAAACATTTAATAACGATGTTTCCCTCGTCATTAACCGAAACGGAAAAAAAAAAAAAAAAAGTTTCCCTCATCATAATTTAAAAATTCACTTCATGCCCAATTTAGAAGTTATATTTTGATTGGATAAATGTGCAAAACGTTAGCACCTTTTTACCTATTGATATAGTCCATTGACCAAGAGATGAGCCATTTGCTCAGTCAAACGAACAACTTTTTAATGAAAGATTGTATTGTTGTCGTTTTTGTTATTTTCTTTTTGGATTAATTTGGACGATATTTGACTGAAACATCGGAGTTTATGAATATGAAAAAATGATTCATATAAACCAGTGTTAAAACTAATCCAAAATAATCTTAAATATAAAGTATTGATAAAAGACGTGTGGAATAATGAAATTGCCTACTTGTATAATGTGTATTAGGTTATGTGCGGGGGCGCGCACAGGCTTGACATTATAATTTTTATCTTATATTCCTGTTTAATTAATGAATTTAAAATACAGGAAAATGAAATTTAATTGCGATGTGTATCAAGATTTGTTAACTCAGGTTACCTTTATGCTCTTTGATCCTCATCCCTGCATTCATCTGCAAGCAAAATCAGAAGAGTTTTATAGACTACCAGCTTAAAACACTCATGAGTAGCTTATAAATGGCATTTTTAATTCATCTCCAACATCAACCAAAAAAAGAATCCGCCTACGGAAATTTTATAAAGATCCGAAAAATAATTAGAGGGAAGTGTTCTACACAAATTTATAAAGATTCTGAAAAAAAAAATAATTAGAGGAAATTGGATTAATTTGAACAAATTGACATCACTCATGTAACCACATATATATATATATATATATATATATATATATATCCTGCAAATGAAATATCTTGTAATTTGATATTGTCCATTTCTACATGGAAAACAACTTACCGTCCACTCTCCATCACAAATCTTAATTTTTGCATAACAGTCCACAAATCTATCATGAAGATATATAACCGTGAGATAAATTATTGGACTTGGAATGACTAAAACATTAGGGTTACAAAAAATTAATAAACACAAAAGAGTCATAAAAAGAAAAAGAATATTATATAAAACTAATTTCGCTGACGTTGCTTGTTATCGGAGGTCGGTCGAAGAAGAAGAGGAACGACACAAACTATTTACCGGGAAACGTTTGTAATTATGTTTTAGAACTTAAAAAGAGGGGGGACAAAGGAATGTTTAAGAAAAACGTAATCCCTCTGTCTTAAAATTATTGTCTAATTTGAGAATTCACTTTTAGTACAATTTGAACTAAAAATGAAAACCTAGACTGGACAATAATTATGGGACGCAGGGAGTATATCCAATTCGGAAAAGCAAAGCAAATCAGATTTAATTTACTGGGATTTTCATATACATGAGCGAAGGATTTGAATTTGAAACGTGTAAAGATTGATGGAGAGTGAATATACGAAGTGGGTTGCAGTTCTGGTTTTGCAGTACAAAATTTGGATTAGAAGGGAGACATTGACGCTGAACTATAGGGTTTTTTTCTTTCTTTCTTTCTTTTTTTTTTTTTCTATTTTTCCTTCTTTTGAACACCTTTGACAATGGAACAGATTTTAAGGATGTAATTAAACTTGGAATTTTGGCTAAAATTGGTTTTTGATATGGTGGGTATATAGATAGATATATCATAAGAAAATGTATATAATATTGATGAACGAAGTCATCAAATGTTAAAACCTTATTTATGTGGACTAGGTAATATAATGCACTACAAATATTCTATACGAAACAATCATTTAATATTTCTAGGTAACCTTTATCAATTACATATACATTAGGGAATTGTGAAAGGAAAAGATATTCTATATCTTAAAATGTTAATCTAATAAGACCTTTGTAATTTTCTATCTCAATATTTCAATTCTAAAGCATTTTGAGTATATATGTACATATGTGTGTCAGTAGGCCTGGCAAATCTGACCTGTGACTTGCGGGTTAACCCAATCCGCAGAGTGTTTTAACCCGTATGGTTTGGGTTAAATGAGTCACGGATCAGGATGGGTAGGTGAGACACGGGTTGGGTTAGGTTGGGTTGGGTTGTTACAACTCGCGGGACAAGACGGGTTATATGGAAAAAAAAAAACAATGTCTTCGTCAAATACCAACCTGTCTTACATCGTAAAAAAAAAAAAAACCTTAAAATTTTAGAACAATCTGAAGGGGAACAGAAGCCGCCGATGGAGGAGATCGAAAGCAGCTCTGTCGCCCATCGATCCATGCATCGGAACACTTGTAAATTGCTATACCCATCGACTTCTAGGTATTAAAGGCTAATCCACTCTGTCGCCAGGGATTTTTCCTCTTTTCTTTTGCTGTATGAAATTCAATGTTGTTAATGGGTTTCCCATTTTTTGGTGTGTTTTTCTCAATTGGGTTTTTGATATTTTTGAAGTTGTCGTTCTCAAATTTTGCCGGCCATTATTTGTTAATTTCGTGTAGTTTATTTATTTTTAACATTCTGGGCTTTCTTAAAGTGTTTAGAATTTTTTATTTTTAATTTTCGTAGAGATCGGAGTCGGAGCTTTCTCAAAGCGTTGAATTTTAAGAATTGTGTTTGGTTTATGAATGATTGCCTTGCTATTTTGGAAAAAGATTAGGCAGTAGACACTCGACTCAGGAGCCGATATCAAAGTTTGTGTTTCTTCACGGGAATCCCTTGATTTTAAGCTTCTTTTTTCCTTTTTTCTTTTTTTTTTTTCTTTTGGAGAGGATGAATTGTTTTTTCTTTCGTTTTGAACGACGAGATTGATCAAGGGTCAGAATATATCGATTGTTCTTGCTGTAACAAAGTTGGATTATGTGATTGAAAGCTGCCCTGTTTTGAATTTTGAGGAAACAGGTCCTTGTCGTTGTCCCTTTTTGATCTCTTCTTACGTTTCTGAATGCTTGGAGCTGAAGAGGTTAATTTAGGAACAAGTTTGCTTGGGCCATTGCGTGTTTTGTTTTGTGATATTTAAGAACGGGATACTATTTGATTCGCAATACGGCTTCAAAAAGACTGTTTCTTTGTTTAACCTGGCCTTTGCACAAATTACGAAATGAGTAAAACTAATTTTTTGTATGGGAGAAGAGATAGCTTTTAACCTTTTTACAAATCCTTCTCCAAATATCTTGGGTGGACTTGAGTTCCTTGATTTTAGTCTACTATTTGTTAGTAATGAAGGAGTCTAATCTGATAAAGATTAATGCATCATAAAGTCAGCCATTTTATGATAAATTTTATGTCTTGAACACCTTGAGTTTATATTCGTGCTTGTTTCTATGCTTTTATATTCGTGTCAAATCTATGCTTTTGTTGACCCTTATATGATATTGATTGTCTCACCTCTTTTCCAGCAATTGATTTCTATGATTAAGGTGACTGAGTTTTTTTTTATTTTTCTGCTTAGTCAGTGGGTATAATTATGCTATGATATTCTGAATTTGTGGGAAACGCCCCTGGAACATGCATAGTTTTGGTTTGGAACAAGCTATGATGTTGCATTTTCAGTTTTGGTCTATTACTTGTTAAGTGACAGTTCACTCAGGTGATCTATTGTAAGTGTGTAGTTTACAGTGTCTAGTTTACAATCTCATGAGATAACCGGCAGATCCGCTACTAGTGATGATGAGGAGGCTCGTAAAGGACTCACTTCCGATGTGTGGAAAGGTTTTAATATTGTGATGGTTAATAAAAGAAGAAAAGCTCTTTGTAAGCTTTGTAAAGCAGAATATGTTGTAGAATATGTGGCTGACTCAAAAGCAGGTATGACAAATTTAGCTCGGTATTATGAAAAGAAACATAAAGATATAGAAATTGTTGGTGAGTTTGGATTGATTGCTGTAAATCAGGATGTCTACAGAGAGAAAATTGCTCGAACTTGATTTGAGCAAATGGCCATTGAGAAAATTGGTGTTATTAAACTTACAAGAGACTTAAAAAAATCTTACTTGTATGGCTTCTGGTTGAATATGGCTTTTTTTTTGTTCAAGTTTTCGAGAATGCCATAGCTTACTTTATAGAAGAAGCTGGTGATTAATGACTGTCAAGGGGGATTGAGAAAACTGAAGAAGTTCTTTTAAGATGGAACTGCAAATAATTGACTACATGAAACAACTTGAGCCTTGATGTATTTATCTTGCACTTGAAAATAAAATTCAGTTCAAAATCCAACGTAATATGTACATAAACAAGTCCAATGAGCTATAAAATACAAGTGTGCGCTTTATTTCATAGAAAATCAAATTCGAATTGTGTATCGTGACTTGGCTCGAAACATAAAAATTTAAAGTCCAACGAGTGTTTAAAAATAAATGTAAATTTTATTTGAAAAAAATTTCCAACTCGACCCGTCTATTGTGGCTCGGTTTCTGGGTCGATCCAGTTAAACTTGGCTCGAAACGTGAAAATTTAAAGTCCAACGAGTTATAAAAAATAAATAGAGATTTTATTTTTTAAAAAAAACTCAATTCGACTCGCATATCATGCTCCGGTTATTGGGTCGACCCAACTAAACTTGGCTCGAAATGTGAAAATTTAAAGTCAAAAGAGTTTTAATAGATAAATTTAGATTTCATTCGAAAAAAGTCCCAATTCTACCCGTATATTGTGACCCGGTTGCTGAGTCGATCTAGTTCGACTCACGGGCCGATCCAACTAAACTTGGTTCGAAACGGAAAAATTTAAAATCAAACGAGTTTTAAAAAATAAATTTTGACTTTATTTGGAAAAAAAATCTCAATTTGACCCGCATATCGTGATCCGGTTATTGGGTTGATCTGGTTCGATCCACGGGTCGATCTAGCTAAACTTGGCTCGGAACGTAAAAATTTAAAGTCGAATGAGTTTTAAAATACAAGTGTAAGTTAGAAAATTTTAATTTTAAAATTAATGTATGTTATTTTTCCAAACAATTTAAATTTTGTAAATTAACCCAATAAAAGCAAAAAAAATCATGACCTACGGGTCAAAGATTTATACTAGCTTAACTTGAGCAAACTGACCCGCGGGTTGACCCACGACCTGTACCGACCCGTCTTGATCCAACCTATTCTGACCCACACCTACGGTGGGTTGGGTTGGATCTTGACCCGCCTACTTTCAAACCCATTTTAACCCAACCCGCTATCAACCCAACCCGTCCAACTGCCAGGTGAGTGTGTGTCTACACATATGAGAATGATAAATAAGAAAGAAAAAATAGTGGTCATTTTCTATATATTTAGTGTACACACAACCATATAATTATTTTAAGAAAATGTTCCTTTAAATACAAACAAATAAAGCTAATTTCAATATGTTATGGAAGCACGTTTTTATGAACTTTGTGCCATACATATTGCGTGATCTTTTTTTTTTTTGTGAAATTTTTTTATTCTTTTCTTTTCTACAACAAACAAAAGAAGGCGGGAACTACAAAAAGAACCAAAAAGATTTCAGCAATTAGATCATTTGAGAGATTTTTGAACTAAAGAAGGGGAGGAAAAAACAAAGAAAGTAAATCAAGAATTACAATATTTTTTTTATTATTAGTAATTATTAAAGTAAATGAAAAGAATCAAGAGTTGATTTTCACTTTTTACGTTATCGAAAGGAAATGAAAATAAAAATATAACTAGAGAACATAAACTAAATTGATGAGATGATGATAATAATGAAAACGAAGATGAAGAGACCGAAGTATTTGCATGTGTGTTAAAGACAAACTAGTTTGAGAATGATTATTAAAATTATGACCAAACTCGGTAATAATAATAATAATAATAATAATAATAAGAAGAAGTTGAAAACGTAAATTAGATTGATGATGATAATAACAAAAATGAAGATGAAAAAACAAAACAGCTGCATGTGAAACACAAACCAGTTCGAGAATGACTACAATATTGTGATTAAACTCGTTATATATATATACTAGTCATGTGCGACCCTGGCCCAGTCTATCTGTAGATCTTAGAAATGTTTATATTTGAAAAAAATAAAATTTTGTATTTGGAGCGATATATTTTAGAAATGTTTGAAGGATTTAGAAATGTTTTATAAGTGTGATCATAGAAATATTTGTATTTTGCAAAAAAAAATAAATTGTATTTCGCCATGTATGTTTTAGAAATATTTTATAAGTGTTACTTATTAAATATAAATAGCTTAATCAAATATATGTGTTGAAGTAAATGTTAGATAAAATATAAAATCATCCTAATAAATTTAAAATTTAGTAAGATGATTTATTGATGTTCTCCATTGGTCGCGCCAAATCAATACTTAGTTTTGGAGATTTTTAATAGCTTTGTAATAAGCTTCATCCAAAGGGTATACGCTTAAAACAAAATTGAAACTTTGTAACAAAAAATCTAATTGATCAATTCAATTTAAAAAATCACTCTAGTTGATTGAAACATAAAGAAAAAATTAAAAAAAAACGTGTCACGTAAAATGCAAAGGGAGATTTAGTAATTTAGTTATGGTTAGACAAAAGGGCAATTTTGTATTTTCTACATGCCACGTGGCAATCATATGAGGTGTTTGAAAGGGAGGTTTTTGTTTCTAATATAGTAGGATATATATGTATGTATATATATAGTAATAGAATACGTTTTTTTTTTTAAACAAAAAAACACTCCCGTTGTATTTTAGTTATTCCTATTAATAAAAATAAGTATAAAATGTCGCCATCTACTTGAAGAGATCTTTAAGAGTACTAGTAAACTATAATGTAAATTTTCACTCTCCAATAATAATTTTATAGCTTCACTGTGTTCTCGTTCTCTCTCTATACTAGTGATGTCTGGTCGCACAATGCGCGACCCTAACCTAATATATCTGTAGATTTTAGAAGTATTTGTATCTGAAAAAAAATTATTTTGTATTTGGGCCGATATATTTTAGAAATGTTTGAAGAATTCAGAAATGTTTTATAAGTGTGATCATAGAAATGTTTGTATTTGGCATAAAAGGAAATTGTATTTGGCCCAGTACGTTTTAGAAATATTTGAAGATTTTAAAAATGTTTTATAAATGTTACTTCTTAAATATAAATAAACTTGATCAAATATATGTCTTGAAGTAAATGCAAGACAAAATATAAAAGCATCCTCATAAGTTTAAATATTAGTAAGATAATTTATTGATGTTCTCCATTGTTGTGCCAAATCAATACTTAGTTTTGGAGATTTATAATAGCTTTGTAGTAAGCTTCCTCCAAAGGGTATACGCTTAATCGTTGAAACTATTTCTTCCAAAAGTTTATAGGTAGTAAAATATCAAAAATATGATTTTGAAACTAGTTAATTGTTGAAATTGGTTGATCACAAATATGAGAATGAAAATAATACAAATTTACATAAGTTTCAAGTTATAGCAAAAAAGAACTCACCTCACCATGGCAAATTAAAAAAAAAGAAGTAAAAGGTAGCCCATTAAAAATTAAGAAATTTATTTTTTTCTGTAGGTAAAAATGATGTATAAAAATACAAATAAACGTAGAAAAATCATTCCTTCCCTCTCCACCTCAAATTCATAAAAATCTTCCCCATAAATTAGTTAGAAGAAGCGACTTGAACTATTTATATGATGAAGAACTAAAAAAAGTCCAAAAACCAAATCCAAAAAAGTATATTATTGAAAGACCGAACACAAAAAAAGCGCTTCATTTGTAAATAAAATAAAATGATAATAATAATAATAATTGGTTAACTGGGAGTGTGAAACAAAATCAAAAGCAATTAAATAAAGAAAAAAACATACTTCATAACTGACCATATACGAAAAAAAACCTAAGACTCCATAATTAAAAAAAGAAAACCAGTCTAATTGAATGAAATATAAAAAAGAAATTTAAAAAATCACACTTTGTAAAAAAAACCCAATTAATCAATTCAATACAAATAGAACTAAAATCATACAAAAATTCTAGGCTAACTAACCATATAAGAAATCACATCATATTACCTAACAGCGGCTACGGTAATTGTAACGGATGAACGCATAAAAATAATAGTAATAACACTATTCTTGAACGGAAAAAACAAAAAATAATAAAAGCCAAACAAATGATCTGCTGAAATAAAATCATTTAAATTTTAATACCTGTAATGACACCACCATAATGGTCGAAACAAGATCAATGGGAATTTTTTTTTTCCTTTATTTTATATAGTGAGGTAAAGAGAATATTGTTTGAACTCGAAATTTTATCAGATTATGATGTAGTTGATCATCACCAATGAAAAAATTTAACATACTAATAGGAAAGGAGTATATTTTACCACATATTCTCAATTGATGATTGATGAGAAATTTATTTATTTTTATTGTGGAGAAGGGATTGATTAGGGAGTCTATTGTCGGGATGAGGATTTGGGTTTTTTATGAACACGTGGTTTTTTTTTTTTGGTGAAAATAAGAGGTGAATGTGGATTTGGACTGCATTTGCCTTTTAAGTCTAGAAGATATGTAAATAAAAATTTATTTTAAAAATATAATGTGGAAATGACACATGACAAATGGTGGTATTTTCTCTAAATTGTGGTTTTTGTTTCTAATATAGTAAGATATATATACATATATATTATTAAATGAAAAATAATTTTAAATAAATTTATGTAAGTTATATAACATTATCGGATATAAACAAATCAGTAGTATGAGACAAAAATCCTTTAGTATAAATACGTTTCGAAATGAATTTCTAGTCATGTCGATGATCCGTCTAATGGGTCTTCTAATCAGCTTTTGTTTTTTTTGATAAATAATAACAAGGTTACAAATTCGAATGTCGATGGCTCCCTATCATTCATTTTATATGCTCCTACTAGAATATACTCCATGGGATTTTCATTGAAGGATAGAGCTAGAGAAATGAATTAAGATTTGAGATCACAAATGATGACGGGCCGGGCCCGGGGGGCAACAAAACAATATCCACAAGTTATTGGTTTCTTTTTGTTGTACAGTGTGGACGCAAAAAGTCTCCGAAATCCATTTTTCACTCCCTTTTAAAATTAAATTTCGGCCGCAGACTCCAGATGTCCACATCTGATTGGTTAAGAGCTACCCCACAACACTACTGCGACTCTGTACTGTGTCAGTCTTTCCAAAGACTTAAAGAATTATTAAAAGAAAAAAAAGCAAGCAATCTATAAACGACTTTTTTCATTTTCCCAGTAAACTTTTTAATCAAAATCACGATCCGTCGCATTCATTTTACTCAAAAATTCTCTCCATAGCTTCCCCCTCCCCCTGATCGCTTTCTCCACCGTCATCCCAACTGTATTTTCACTGATTTTTATTTATTTATTTATTTTCTATTTTTATTGATTGATGTAGTTTGACGTTGGACTAGCTAGCTGGCATCGATCTCTGATCAAAGTCCCCCCCCCCCAAATCGTATGGCTGCCAACGGATCGCATAATCTAGGGTTTCGATTAGGTATCTTTCTTGACCTTAGTTAAAACATTGATTTGCTTCTCTTCATTTTCTGTTTTGTGCCAGATGTTTGCAGTGGGTAATTGTTTTGTTATTTTTTGTTTTGTTTTGGGGGACGGGGTATCATAGTGGAGTAGTGATTTGGAAGAAGTCAAAATTGATTTGCAACGAAGATGAATTCAGCCGGGGGTGGATTGAATTGGTTAATGTGTTCACTGTTTTCCATCATCCTTCACTCTTTAGTTTGATTTCCTGATGTGCTATCTTATTTCTGAAATTCTATTTGGTTGTCGTTGCTGTTTGGATTATTAGTTCACTGATGCTAATTTGGCAAGCTTTTTGAAATTAATTTGATTGGATTGTGAAACTGGGGATTTCCACTTTTAATAAGTATATAAGAAAAATGATGTAGGCAATTTGTTCGTTCATGCAATCATTTATTCTATTAAGCATATCGATGAGTTCTGCATGCTTGCTGAAGATGAGCTAATTACTGCAGTCTCACATTCACCGATTGTACTGGTAGCTTTATGCATTACGAGTTGATAGCAGTGATTGCGTCCTAACTGAGGTTTGACTTGCAGACATTAAGCAAATTCTATCTGAAGCACAACACCGGTGGTTGAGACCTGCTGAAATTTGTGAGATTCTGCGGAACTACCAGAAGTTCTATATTACTCCTGAGCCTCCACAGAGGCCAGCAAGTATGTTTTCTTCCGTTCTGAGTTGTCATTCATTTATATATCTTTTGCTTTGGTTCCATTTGTCACGCGCTCGCTTGCCTGTTAAGCAAAAAAAATTAATGATATTGGAGATAAAAGTTTTACAATGTATAAATAAGAAACTTAGTTTTTCATTTAAAAGGTTATAGGTTTAGCTTAGGTATCATTCAAGATGTTCAAATGTCTACAACTTGAATATACCTTTGATTCAGTCTCAAGACCTTCGTCTTCTTTCCTGACTTACAGGTGGATCTGTGTTTCTGTTTGATCGGAAGGTGTTAAGATATTTTCGTAAAGATGGGCACAATTGGAGGAAGAAGAAGGATGGCAAGACAGTGAAGGAGGCTCATGAGAAGCTGAAGGTTAGTGTGGGAAAGAGAAGACACTCTTTGAATAAATTGTAGTCCAAAAATATTGTTCTGCAATGGAGTAATGTATTTGAAGTTTTGTTTAATCTTGGTTGAGCTCTTATTCTTGTTTCTAGCTATACCTTTTCAGGTTGGAAGCGTCGACATGTTACACTGCTACTATGCCCATGGAGAAGACAACGAGAATTTCCAAAGGCGTAGCTACTGGATGCTTGAACAGTAAGTTTGCGCTGTCAATGTATTGGTTCTTAGCGAAGTCTAGATAAGTATGTCTCGGGTTAATTGCCCATGTTTGTACACTTCCTTTTTTACGTGAATTTTACATATACACACATTTTTTCCTGTTTACTTTGGTCTTTGGTAGCATTGTTCACCATTGAATTCTGTATTCCATATCCCAACTTAATGGGATACCTTTACCCTAGATTGTAACAAGGGGATGTGCTCTACTATTTGAGTGACAGAAGTAAAAATTATTGTGTTGTCAGTTTCCCCTTTTAATGAATTCTTAATGTTGGTGATCATTCACTTTCAGAGGCTCAAAGTTCTTTATGGTTAAGTTTGCCTCTGTAAAATTTTCATAATATGCTTGTCTGGCGTGGTTTCATTTTCTCTTTAGTTTTGTTGCAAAGTGAAATGCGTAGATTTGGTGAAATATGGAGGATAGTGATTTAAACGGTGTGCAAATTCTCATACTTCTGTGTACAAGTTATTTTAAGATCTAAATTTTGCATGTGTTTAGTTGGAGAATGAGCTAGTCGTTGGGAATTAGTCAATGTGTTCTTTTTTCGTTTTATTTCCATCACCTCTTGTTTGCATCAACATCATTTCTAGGGAAGAGCTCTGATTTCATGTTACAATGCTGCAGGGAACTCATGCATATTGTCTTTGTACACTACTTGGAGGTCAAGGTAAGACTTTACCCCTTATTAGTCAGGAACAATTACTTTTTTGATCGTCAGGTGGCGACTTTCTTAAGAATTTTGAAGGAGTTTTATTGTCTTCAGACATACTTTTGGTATATATTTGTAGTGGTCCAATTTCCAGTATTTCTGCTATGCTTATTATACAAAGAAATTGAGCTTTGAGGGAACTTAAAGTCAATATCGCATCTTATTATTAGGGTGGATTCGCAGTTTGGGTGATTAAGTTGTTATTATTTTAGTATAATGTTCCTAAAGCTGCCACTTCTGAGGTGTGATCACATTAAAGCATCCAAAACATTTTCAAAGGGACATTATAAAATGTTTTAGCCCACATTCTGGATGTGTCTACTAGCCTGAAAATAAGATTCCCCGCATTCAGTTTCTCATCGTGTTACTTATTTTAACTATATATATGTATATATTTGTGTATATAGGTTATTGTATATGAATGTAAATGTACACTCTTACCATGCAGTAGTTTGCAAAGAATAAGCGTGTGCTGTGGAATAATCAGTTCAGTAGATAAAACACCCTTTCTGGCATAGTGGGCTGTTTTTTTTTTTTTTTTTTAGAAGGGGCATAGTGGGTTTGTTTGCAAAAAAGAAAGGCAAGCATTTTTAAGCTATTTGATTGTTGAGATATTTTTGTCTTTTAGTTACAAAGAAAATATATATAAGAAATCAGTAGCCTGTGAGTTTTCTTAAGATGTTGTGGTTAAGGTTTCGAGGTCAGCTTGCTTGATCTAATCGCTTGATAACAGTACTGTTTAGATTTTTTTTCCTGGATTATAGGAATAAGAAAATTATTTTTAATTCAAGCTGTTATCTAGTGTTTGGATTCTTTAGATGTACTGATTTTCGTTTTGCAAATACTCTTCTTTCCACTTCAGGGGAATAGAGCGAACATAAGCAGCATTAGGGATACTGAAACAGTATCTTCAAATTCCCAAAATGAAAGCTCGTTCTCAACTAGTTCTGCTGGAAATTACGATGCATTAGCTTCTCCATACGCTGATACGACTAGTCCTACCAGCACTCTCACATCTGCATGTGAAGATGCGGAGTCTAGTATGTTTCTTAGTTGTTCTTGATGTTCTTCCTTGGAATGGATAACTTTTTGTGATGGAACTTTTTATAATATTCTTTTGCCATCCTTCCCATTTTGGGTTTAATGTTCAACATGTACTCATCTTTTCACTGTGTCTTCTTGTTTCATGGCCACTGAAGTGGGACAAAATCCAGAAAATATTCCCCAAATGAGGCCCAGAGTCCAAGCTTATGTTGGGCGGCCGCAAGATTTGAATTCGCAAGGGATCGGGAATCTAGATGTTGATCTCGCAAGCTCTTATGATATGCTTCCACGTTTGGGTATGTCATCTGACTGACTATTTTCTTACTTTATTATTACTTCTTTTTTCCCCATCCGATGTTTGCAATATCGTTTGACCTGCTTTGAATACCTTGATTTCCACTTTAAAGGAACTCAGACTAGTCCTTCATTGGAGCATATGTCATTTCCTGATGGACATGGAGGTGTTGATCCCGCTGTCGGTAACTTAGTATCTGGTGAACAACAGACACTGGATCTGGCATCGTGGGAAGAGGTTTTGGGACATTGTTCAACAGGCATGTAAACAGTTGGCATAAATATCAATGCTTGTTAATTGTATTTATGTATTTTATATGTGAAGTGATCAACTTTCTGTTACAGGCATAATTCCTAACGAACAGAAGTCATGGAATGCCTCTGATAATCCAGCCAATTGGCAGGTAGCAAGTTTATCATTATGTTAGTAGATGGTCTAGAATTAATGTCTAAAAACATCATATGGTCATGCAATGTTTCCCGAGATAAATGAATGTTGTCAAATTGTTGACCCCAACAATTCAACTGCATATATAGTTGTCATTCAGTAAGTGCGAAGAACAAGTTACTTCTAGTCAAAGTTTATCTTTTCTATTAATAACCTCTTTCTTTCAAGAGGTCTTCAACATCATTTTAAAGGAATATGGTCCTGATCTGCTTTGTCATGTATAACTATTGGTTTCACTGGTGATATGTAAAAGTTTGCTGTGGTGTATACTTTTATTAAATTTATGATTCTTCTGTGTTGAAAGGAACTCCAAAAAAACCTTTTTGGACCTTTAGTCTAAGAAAGCAATATGATTAAACTAAAATATTGGTTGCCTTTTTTTTTTTATCATCCTATATTACACATTTACCATCTTATTAAATGCCGTATGTTGGAACATTCTGATACAATGTATTTGTTTTTTCTTTTTCTTTTTCCTTTTTTTTTTTTGAAGCATCTGGAGCTGTTATTTGTCCTTAGTAAGGATTCTTCACAGTCTAATTTCTGTTGGTTTTATTTGTTTACAAGGGAGACTATTCGTTGCACATGCAAGGGTTACCAAGTAATCAAAATTTGATGCCTGGCTCAAGTTATTTTGGCAAAGGAAGTTTCATGGACCAGAAATCTCTTTCTGCAATTCTTCAAAATGCTGATGACCCATTTTTCTTGATGCCTGAAGGGCAGGAATCAGAGCATGCGGGAGGGGGCATTCAAAAATTGCATGCAAATATCGAATCTGGATATTTCATGAATCAGAAGACTGAGAATGGTTTGCCTCCTGTTTTAAAACAGTCACATTTAAGTGGCATCCAAGCTGAAGAGAGCTTGAAGAAAGTTGATAGCTTTTCCAGGTGGATGGCCAAAGAACTTGGGGAGGTTGCTGATTTGCAGTTGCCACCAAGTAATGGTTACTCATGGAGTTCTCTGAATGCGGAGGATGTGGTTGGTGATCCCTGTACTCCTTCCCAACTACAACTTGACACCGATACATTGAATTTCTCACTTTCTCAGGAACAACTTTTCAGCATTGCAGAGATTTCACCTAATTGGGCTTATTCTAACTTGGAAACAAAGGTTTGTAGTTTTTTTTTTCCCTTTAAATCTTTATAGCTAGCTGCTTTCTGATATGCATAAGTACTGCGTTAATTTGTTATTGATTGCTTTGTGGAGAATTTCAATGTTCAGTGCTCGGTATGGTTGTTGTGGTTGTATTGGTCTTTTCTGATATGTATCTCAGACATTTAGTTGGCACAAATTGGTTTCCTTTATGGACTTCACTGATTTTTTGCTGTAGTTTTGACGAGTGAAGTTTCATGGTTCACATATAGTTGAGGAACAAATATTGTGTGTCCAATTTTTTTTTTTTTTTTTGATTAAAAAAATTATTTTCCTTTTTAATGTATTTACGCTGTCCATAATGCTGTCATGATTCATGAAAATACAGGTTGTAATAAATGGAAGATTTCTTAAGAGTGGAGACGAGTTAGCAAATTGCAGATGGTCATGCATGTTCGGAGAAGTAGAAGTCCCAGCAGAAATCTTATCAGAAGGAGTTCTCTGTTGCCGTACCCCACCCCACAAGGCAGGAATTGTTCCGTTCTATGTTACTTATTCAAATCGATTGGCTTGTAGTGAAATACGAGAATTTGAGTATCGGATGGGACCTTGTAAGGAAGCTGGCATTTCAGATATCCCTGAAGGTGATTCGCTTGAGGTGCATTTACAGAAACGACTTCAGAATTTACTGTTGATGGATTCTACAAATAGCAACCAGAATTTATCTGAGAATACTGTGGAGAAAAAAGAAGCTGCCGAGAAAATAATTTCTCTGATGGAGGCTGAATTCGATCAGATGGCAACATCATCGTCGGTGACTGATATCTCTCAACGTAAAGTAACAGTAGATCAACAAGTTGAGACATGGCTAAAAGAGAAGTTCTTTTCATGGCTGCTCCAAAGAGTAAGGGAAGATGGTAAAGGGCCACTTGTTGTTGATAATATGGGTCAAGGAGTCTTGCATTTAGCTGCTGCCCTTGGTTTTAACTGGGCACTAAAGCCAATGATGATTTCAGGAGTCAGTATTGATTTCCGTGATGTGAATGGATGGACAGCTCTTCACTGGGCTGCTTTATGTGGCAGGTAACCTAGTCCTCGTATGATTGTTAACTGTGAATACAGTAGCTAGGTGGCTGTAACGTACTCCTTATTTGGTTATTAGATCTGATGAACCTGGGAAATTTTGCTATGTACATCTTCATTAATTGAGATACTAAAATGATACTATTATCTATGATGATGAATTTTAAACACAATCTACTTGCAAAAATGTAGTCTTGTATCATCATTTTCTGTTTCTGCTAGTACGAAATGGTAGGTGAGCATTTACTTTAGGCGGAGTCTAGTGTTTATGGTTCATTAACTAATAACATCTGTGGGAGGGAAGCTTTTATTCTAACTTTTGCCTTTTTCTCCCCAACAGGGAAGAAACAGTTGTTGCCCTTGTTTCTCTTGGTGCAACTCCTGGAGCATCAACTGATCCATCTGGGGAATACCCCTTGGGAAGAACTCCTGCAGACCTTGCTTCTGCAAATGGACACAAGGGAATATCTGGTTTTCTTGCTGAGTGCTCCCTCACCAAGCACCTCTCGACTTTGACTATGAAGGATGATATCCTTGAAGGCTCTGGATCAAAAGCTATACAAACAGTTTCAGAACGTGTTGCTTCTCCATTTACTGAGGAGGATGTGCCAGAATCACTTTCACTGAAGGATTCTCTTGCTGCTGTGTGTAATGCAACTCAGGCAGCTGCTCGCATTCATCAAATTTATCGGATCCAATCATTTCAAAGGAAGCAGCTTAATCAGGATGGTGATGAATCTACTGCAGATGAGCAGGCTCTTTCCCTTGTTGCTGCGAGAGCAAGCAGGCTTGGAAAGCATGACTATACTGCCCATGTTGCAGCCATAAGCATTCAGAAAAGATATCGTGGTTGGAAGAAGAGAAAAGAATATTTATTGATTAGGCAAAGAATTGTTAAGATTCAGGTGGGTACATTCTTTCCTTTCTTAGAGCAATTCTCCCCTGTGCTACTGGTGTTTGGGCTTCAACATAGTTCTTCAATGTAGGCATGTTGGACTGGGATATTGCACACCTCCAACCTTATCAAATTGCTATTATGAGCTTTATTGTCTCAAGTTTCTATGTTTTAAATGTTTAAAATATTACTTCGGGTTCTAACTTTTAAGCTTTTATAGTAGCTTTGTCCTTTCCATGGGTTTACATTCAATCTGTATCATCGGTTAACCTTCTAGTAAATTTTTACCATTCATGACCATGTGCATTCTGATCTGACTTCCTGCTTCCTGTTTGAAGGCTCATATTAGGGGGCATCAGGTCAGGAAGAAGTATAAATCAATAGTTTGGACTGTGGGAATCTTGGAGAAGGTTATTTTGAGATGGAGAAGGAAAGGGAGTGGTTTAAGAGGCTTTCGTCCAGATGCAGTTGCGAAATCCCCCACCATGGAAGACGTACCCCAGAAGGAAGATGATTATGACTTTTTGAAGGATGGTCGGAAACAGACAGAAGAAAGAATGCAAAAAGCACTTGCTAGGGTCAAGTCTATGGCTCAACATCCTGAGGCACGAGCTCAATACCGTAGATTGTTAACTGTTGCTGAAGGATTGCGTGAAACTGAGGTACCTTGTTAATTTTGATTGATTTTTCCGTAATTGGATAAACTTAATTTTTCTGAATGTTCACTGAGATAGGATGATTGGATTCCACCTTGCATTTGCGTGCCTTTTCAAATCTTTTCAATTGTCCTACCTGACTGTCCTTCCAAATTCTAACCCAGAAGCATGCTCTTTTTTTTTTTTTTTTTTTCCTTTTCCATCGGAGCAGGAAACTTCCAGTATGAGCTTGAGAGCTTCAGAAGATATGAACTACCCTGATGAGGAGCTGTTTGATGTAGAGTCTCTGTTGGATGATGATACTTTCATGTCCTTAGCGTTCCAGTGAGTCCCTCCGCTTTTAAAGGAGCTGTAGTTGTGAATGATTAATGTTCATTATAGGATATGCTGTGGCAATGTTGTCCTGTGTATAAATGTGATGTATAGTATAGAAGTACTGTAGTATTGACTTGTTGGTTTTTTAGATCTTCAGTGGATTATTGCTGCAAGTTTTAACAGGTTGGATAATACATTTAGCTGATCCTATTTGTCAACTTTACTAAAATTGAGAGTATAGTTTATAATTTTATATAGGTTTATAACTTTATTATATACTTTACTACATATTTGAAACGCTGGACATGGTAATTTTATGTTCTTTACAGGGGGCTTAAAATTGTAGTCATTGATTCTTTGGTTACCCTGTTAAGTGCTTACCTATGAAAGGCTGAATTACCTTAAAATAAACTCTCATTTCCGTCCCAAAATGACTGCAAATAACCATAATGATGAGAGGATTGGAGGAGAAAACAAGCAGCTTCAGGTTTTTCAGCTTCCACAGATGGTACCATGTGAATGGATGAGAGTTTTTTTTTTTTTCTTTGAAGAAGGGCCTGTGTATTAGATTGGAAGTCCTAATCTATCACAAAAGACCTGTGGAGTTACAAACGTGAAACATTGATAGTATTGTGTGATTTGCCAACTTGAAAATATTGTGTGTAATAAGAGTGGAACAATATAAAGTTGGTTAATCATCAATCATCTCTTTAGAGTGGAATTTAGAAAGTTGTGTTTGCATTTTCACGTAGACCAGAGAGTAACATCGTTTTTCAAGTCATCAATTACCTAATAACAATCCTCCTTGTAATTAGTAAAACCGATAATATAACATGGAAAGGAAGATGAACAAAATTCCTTCTACCCTACCAAAGAGACAAATGTAGTTACAGTACTTTGTTTTCAGAAAGACAGACTCTTTAGAAAGACGCACACAATCGAGATTCGAGAGATCAAAGAGTTCAAAAACTCCTACAGTATCAAACTTTTATCGAATCCAGCATACCATGTGCTAGTGTTAGTTTGAGCTACAAAGCTTAAGATTTTTGGGTTCTTTCACAAACCTGATGCAGTTGTGATCCAATGAAAAAGATAATTGAAACTGTCGATACGCTATTCGCCAAAACACCTCCTGAGCTGTAACTGATGGTCTATCTCAATGATCTAATTATGAACAAACTTCTAAAGAAAAAACCCTCAATGAAATCTCTGTAGCAAGATTTACACTTGTTTTTATTGCAAGACAAATAAGCTGTTCAGTATGTATCAAACATCTATTCGACCAGCATTTAGTCTTCTAAACCGGTTGCGCCACAGAGCCGGAGTAGGGGATTAGAGAGCAGAAAAAAAAATTCCTGTAGGATGAACACAGATTGTAACCTTGTTAGATATTTTATCAGCTCCTGTTATTAGTGGAGAGGCACTCATAAAAGAGGATATATCCATGATCTGTATTGCTTGAGTATTCCTGAGCAGATCCGAAGAAAGTCTGAACGGCAGACTCATCAATCATCTCCACATTTTCATCATCAAAAAACAACCAGTGGTTGTGGCTTTTCACAAGACTAACATAATGCCCATGGTTGGGTCCACTACCAACATGCACAACCACAGCAAATAGTGAGTACTCTGAGTCAGCATTTTCCACAGTGTTGCTCAATTTCAGCTCAAGCGGGAACACAACACGATAAGACAGCTTCTTGTACCGACCAAGCTGTTCCATGTATTTGAAACGCTTCAAATGAATAACTAGAATTTGAGGTGGCTTTTTGATCTTCATCCTCTTCTGGGCTTCTTGCAGACTGCATTGGATAAAGGAATCACTTTTTCTGTTATTCACGAACTTAAAGCAAGTAACAAGAAGCACTTACCTGCAACACTTGTCACAGAAAAATTTATCCTCCGCATTCAGGGTTTCTGTGGAGCTGAAGTTTTTGAGGCAGCTAGTAATTGAACTATTCTGTTCAATATCAAGGCTCAAATCAAAGAATGTTTCGTCCCTAGCTGTGACTGTCTCACATCTTAGGCATCTTGTTTCATTGGTAAGTATTCCCTGAATTAATGCCAATATCACGATTTAAATATAAGATCGAACTTACTTACATAGATCACAAAAAAAAGCATTGGGTTTCTGAGGAAAGCCACAACAGAAATCAAGCACGCTTCCGGTTGAAGCCAAACTGATTAAAGCTATAGCTACTGGTCAAAACCAAGACCTTGTAACATTACTGATGACACAGCATGGTGGACAAAGTTCACAAATACCTGAAAATTCTTGTGCACCCAGGTAACTAGGGGCTCCTTCACACCATTTGCCGTAGCATTACTCGGCCCATTAGCTATTCTTTCCTGAGAAGGCGGGCATTTTGCTGCTTGTGATTCTTTCTCAAGTATGTCAACTAGTTCATTTAGTAAGAAGTTTAAAAACTCATGGGCGTCCTACAAAAAAGGAAAGAAACTTGAAACAAATAGCTAATAAAACAAAACATCAAATATCAAAAGAAGCATACAAAGGAAACAGACAAAGGAGGAAACAAAGTAATCTAAGAGTGACGGATCCACACACAAACTATCTCTGGCACAGTGGTAAATGCCTTTGCCATGTGACCTAAGGTCACAGGTTCGAGGCGCAAATTCAACCTTTCATAGAGATAAAAGGTCAAGACATATGTTAGGCCTTGATGGTCTGACCCTTTGCTGAGGCCCACACCTCTGGGCGCTTCTATAAACCGGCTGGGCTTTTACAGACTAAAACATGGTGAAATCAAATTAGGCTATCATCTTTTTGAGGCCGAAATCCAATAAAATAGGAAAGGAAGCAGGTACACATAGTTTTCCCACAACACATCCTTTTTGCAAGTAAGAAACTAAATAAATTCCCCAAAAACCCCCAAGTGGCAGAAATTTTATATGCCAGCAGGGAAAAGCAAATGGTAAACAATACGAACACATTAGAAGTACAACCAATTAAGGTAAGGAACCTAACAACTGGTATGTTTCCTTTTCTATCTTTGGTGCATGAAACAAATCTATAATCTCTCACTTCTTAAGTCACAAGAGAGAAAAAACTAAAAACCTGGGTAATATATATGAACACTAGAAATAATAACAGCATATCGTTTTGACAGGGTTGGGAATTCAGATCTTGGGCAGAGAATATCTGCCAATTCTCAGTCCTCAAAGTAAAGTAATTTTAAAAGCAATACAAGGGAAGGATATAAACCCTACAAAAAGACAACAACTTCTTAGCAAATGAAGATATTTATACTAACCATACCTCAATAACAGAACTAGTAAAAGAATATCTAAAAGATGGGCATACAAAGAAAAAACAAGAAATGTACCTGATGCATGTAACCACGAAAGAGTTCATTTTGCTTCCTAACTCGCTGCACAAAGCGCTTCGGAGCAATCACACCTGTTTTCTTCTTCTGCGAACTTATCTGCGTAAATAATTCACGAGGGATTAGTTTGTATCGAATTCTGAGTTACCAATTGGAACAGAATCAATCATGTTGCCACTTACTATGATAGAGCACGTGAAGCTCATATAAGGTAATATATAAATTCGAAGAACTCCAAGTCCCAACCCAATATTAATTAGATCATTGGACCATAATATCAAGAATCGAGCAATTAATGCTGTCTATCATTGTGAGGGAAAACAGGGATCCAGCCAGTATTCTTCTAATTTGGCAGTGCATAATAGAAGCACCGGTGAAATTGTTGGGATGTTTGGGTATAGACATATAAGAGATCCATAAAGCATGAATATATTCAACCAGGGTAGTTTTACAGGAAACTTCCACAGGTTTTAGACAACAAAATTTGAACTGTCAAAATTAGACTCATTAAGCTTTACATTTGGCCAATTCAAAGCAACAAACTTTTTCAACTAAACCTCATCAAATTTGCTCAACGTAACCTTTTAAAAGGAGAGAACTCTGTCAAGGCTATAATATACATGATCATCTGAGAAACAAAAGTCAAAACAAGCAGATGGGCAAGAAAATAAAAATGTCTGAGCTGAAGACAATGAACCGAATAGCAGCGATAACATATCAGCCGAATCTTAGATAAAGTAATGTCCAAGCCAAAGCATTCATTCCTTTCCAATACAAATTCACAATACCTGCGAGAACAACTCCGCCAAACATGTCAAAAGATTTTCTTCAGCATCCCCTGGGTTTTTCCCATTGGCATAATACTCCAGCAGTTGCTCCCGGAAGGGCACGCAGAAGTACAAAGCCTACACCAAAAATCCAACCAAATATTTGATCAACTAACAAGGAACGGGATTGCAAATCAAGGAATGGTAAAGTAGATTTCCACACATAGCCATAAAAATCAAATCATCCGCCATTAGAGATCATTCACGTTCAAACTCATAAAACTCTAATAAAAAAATTAAACAAATAAACTTTGTTACAACCCACAAAACAAATGATCCATATGAGCTGAATACCAAAAGAAAAAAACAGAACAAAAGTTAGAATCGGTGATGAATTTAAACCTGCAAAACGCTGTTGCAATAGCAAGTGTTACCAAAGTTTTCAAGCCCAAAATAACGCTCCCCTTCAGGAAATTGGTCTCCTAGGGCCTTCTCGAGCTTGGAACCCGTAGCACCCATGGTATGGAGACCATCTACGAGATACCAGAACTCGTCTATTCTTTTTTAAAACTTTTTCAACTCAATTTTTTCTGCTCTTTTTTCCCTTTCCTCCCCAATTCAAGCTCAAAGTGGAGATGGGTTAGTTTTGGATGATGATACCGATATGGCAGAAGAAAATTATGGAGCTTTTCTGGAGTGATGATAATGATGTAGATTTCTTTCTGGGTTTAGGCATTTAGGGTGGCTCTTCACTACTAAATTTAATGTGTGTGTGTTGGGTTGGTTGTTGTTTTCAAAGTTTTTACTTCACAATCGTTTGTTTAGTTGACTTTGGATCATTGACGGCTTTGACATATACTCTCACACTTTCTTTGTACTTTGCCTTATTCTTAAGTCTTAACCAGAAAACGAAACCGTAAAATGATAATTTTTGGCTCCCTTATGTTGGGCTAATGTTGACAACCCTATCTTTGGGCCATTTTACAAAATATCCCTTACCTTTAAGAGACTATATATAAGCATAGGAATCCAACGTTCAACTTCGCAATTAAACAATTATCACGCTTAAAACTGTACTGATAATATTTTTTTTAATTGAAATTAGAATTAAAAAATACTTTTTTATGTTGCTGTACATACATGATTTTTCCCTTTTTGAATGAGTCGAATAATATATCAGTAATTTTGGCTATATCAATCAACAAATAAAGAGGATAGGCATATTCTTTATTATACATTACAAAGGGTACAACTAGCAAGTATTATATGATCCCTCATTTTATAATTTTCTAATAGAAATTATAACTTTTTCCTTCTGATATTTTGCAGATGGAAAAAGTTTGGAGTGAACATGAGAGAGTTGATTAGGCTAAGGAATAAAGATAACCATTTTTTTTCTCATTGAATGGAAACTTAAGTGATAAGAAGGCAGGATGATTTTTATACGTGAAAGCATCAAGTGAGTGTTTTGTGCAAAATCAGAAATGCTCTCCCATTTTCTCCAATAGACGTGCCCCGTTGACGTTCTAAATCCTTCCATTGTAAAATAATTGTCGAATTTATATACACACCAAATTAAATAACCATTTTAAAACGGAAATAGTGTACAAGTTTCAACTATGTACTACCGTTCATACTAATCTGTAGTTATTCTGAAAATCTGGCCTTTCCATTTTATTTGCATCGTCAACCTAAACATTAAAATATAGCTTGGTTTTCTTTCTGCTCCCATTATCAAAGTACTTGATTCCCGACTCAAAACCAATTGACAGTATGCTCCCATTATCAAAGTACTTGATTCCCGACTCAAAACCAATTGACAGTAAGGGGGGTGACTCTTATAGCTTATAAACAAATCTCAGATCCTGCGCGCCATATAGTATTCATTTCCCAACACCCATACTTCTTTGTTTTGACTTGTTCCTTAAGAAAGTGTTTCAGCTCACAAAAATGATTGTTTTAAATCTTTCAGGTGATGCTTATATATTCAAAGAAAAATTTCTTACCAAAAAACCAAAAGAAAAAGAAAAAGAACGTCCCTTCCGATTAATCAATTTTTCTTCAATTTCGGGAATTTTTCTTCAATTTTTCTTCAATTTCGGACCAGTCCTCTCGGGCAAGGCGGTCAGAGACAACTTTTACATATGCCCAGACTCTCAAGGAAGGTGGCCGGATACAACTTTTACAAATGCCCAGAACACAAATTGCCATGTGAAGAATGCAACCTGAGACGCTTAACGTGCAATCCTTCAAATCTCCATTGTCAGACAGTACACTTTCTTCTGGTGAATATGTCGAACTGTCGCTTGATCAGAATCTGATGCCAACGACTTACTGGATAGATTGATATTGATCCGACACACGTCTCGGCGGCAATTTCCGTAGGATGAAAAGCACCATAGCACATGGCACCACCTCCACAATCTGAGGTTAAAAAGAATAAAACCGAAGAGCATTCAAAATGAGCAAAAACTAATCTTTTGGTAGGGCTAGATCCTGCAACTTTTTTGCATTGCTATTTTGCTTAGGAAGTTGAAAAGAAATGGTAGCAGCAGCTAATGACAAATGCATTAAATGCAATCATCAAGACTCCAATACCAGGTAAAATTTATCTGAACCCAACAAGCTGAGGCTACATTATACTGCTGTGAGGCCTATTATTGGTCATGCTGGTAACATCGGTTTAATATATGCGTGCAGTGTGCGAGTTCGTGGATGGGTGCGCTTGTATAGATATTTTCGGGGGCAATATTTTAAAAGACAACCTTATCCCGGGGAGGTTTGAGTGCTGTTTTGACAACAAATCACCGGAGCACAATTGAGGTCTTGAATACAATGTAAGTTGGTGACTACACAAACTAGCATACCTAGCACTTTCTGGGGAAAATGTGCACATTGGGTTAATGCACCCAGCACTTAGTGAATTAAGTGTACCCTTAAGCCACTTACTGGGGGAAAAAAAAGGACAGTAAACAACTTGAGTTCACAAAGATGTAGTGTGTACCATGTAATAGAAAAGATTGAGGACAGGATGGTCCAGGACATCAACATCTACTTTTTCATTGAAAGCAGACAGTGCAACCTGTGGTTTTTTTATAAAGTTATTATTCAATCATATAGTAGTAATTATTAAAAAGAGTTGTTAGTAATAAGTACAGTTATACGCCAATTTAGGAACAATTCATCCCTATTGGTCAAATAATAAATAAATAAATAACTCACCACTAAGCATCTTATCAAGAAACAAGTGCAGCAAATGCCGGTCACATATCCAACCTACCAAAGAAGATACTGAGCATCACAATTTGACTTTGATAGGAAGGGAAATTTGAATGAACATATTGCTGAATCGTTTCAATCTTTTCCGGCTGATTTTTTGAATTACGATTGAAGAAGCTCTATGTAATATAAGATTGAAAGTCACAAAAAGGAAATAGACCAAACAAAAAGAAAGTATGCCAAGCTACAACCTCCTGAAGTTTCTTCCGACGTCCCCGAGATTCGATGGGAAACCGTCTCAGCATCACGAATAACCTAAACAGCAGACACAAAGTAAAGCAAAGGCACATATTTTTAAGCATATCATGAGTAGCATAACGCAGAATAGAACGGATATTATTGAGCACGAGTACCAAGTACCTTCCACCATAGACCATAAACCCCAGTGCAGCAGAAAAAGAAAGAACTGCAGAGAGTCCAAGTGAACAGATAATCCAGGCATTATCAAGTTAGTGGTGAGAAGTACAAATTAGGGAGCATATTTCTTAACCTGACAAAAAGAGTCTGGCAAATTTAATTGCTGTAGGGCTGTGACTGAGCCTTATGGAGATCCAGATGCATACCTGACAGCATCAGAGTATTCCTGTTATTGGAGCAGTTGAAAAACAAAAAGTCTATTGAGCAAGCATTGGCAATATAAACACACTCATTTCCGAAGTATGACCTGCACAAAGTAGATTACACCATTGATGATAAAGTATGCTGGCCGAAGCTTATCAATGGGAAGACTTCTCGCCTGTACAGACATAAACAATCCAACCATTTAAAATAACTCCGACATTAGTGACCAGATGAAGAACCTTCGAGTGTAAAGTACGAATACCTGATGATATATCTCTGCCCAAAATAGAACAAGTAGGGTATATGTCGAAAAAAACAGAAGACCAGGAAGTTCCAAAAGCATCATTTCAATGACCTGTTCACATCAGGTTTTCCAATTAGTAATACTTTCAATAATTGAGAATCAGTGCTTGAATTCATCAGAAAGCTGCTGCAAAATTTCTTAATGATGAACCTTGCTCCAACAAGATAAAAAGATAGCAAAGTAAGGGTCCAACTGGACAAGGACAATACAATAAAACATGATGCCAGAGTCAAAAAATAACAAAGCATCTACCGTTCGAAGCAGGTAAAGTGCAAACTCAAATGCTGAATCATCTTAGTCAATTTACATTTGAGCTACTGACTACCTCATCCAGGAACTCAATTCGGAGTGTCTTATGCAAAATTAAGCCCAGATGGACTGTATTGTTCAGAAGAAATGGGAAAGGAAAAATACCAGTTTAGTCACATCTTTACCTTAGGTCTGATGGTGAAGACACTGTGGTAGAATCCAAACAACATTGCTCTCACTGAACAAAGAGCAAGACCATTTTAGGAACTCTGGCACAGTAAATCAAAGTAACTCCAAATAAATTCATGAAAAACCAAAAGCAAACCTTACATCCTGTAACGATAAAATTCATCAAGTGGAAGACCTTTTGTGTTGTCCAACCATACTCGGGCACTCGTAAGTGTATACGAATAAGTTGTAACTGAAAGGAGGAAACAAAAAAAAAAAAACCCACACAGTGAAAACAAAAACCTTTGAAGCTTTAAAAACAGATTCACACATATGGAAATCATCATATTACCTAATGTAAAAGATACAGTACACAGAACTGCGGTCATTCGATATTTATGCATCAGATTCTCACAAACCATGCCGTGGAAATTTTCCATTCTACTGTATTTTCGAATCTTCTTCATCAGACGAGTTATTAAAGGTCAAAATCTTTCACAGAATCCATCATGACTAATATTTAATTACCATATTTTGACCCTGAAACACTACATAATAATAATCCAACATGTCAAAGTTCACACGAAAAACTACTTCATGCTTATAATAAGAACAAAAAAAGGCAAAGTTTAGCATTCCCAGCCAAATTGCATGAACCAAACTAACCCAAAAACGAGAACGGAAGTGGGGAAAAAGAGAGAAATAATTGGCCCAGAAAAATAAAAATCAATGCACTGAAGAAGAAGAAGAAGAAGAAGAAGAAGAAGAAAGGGGTACCAAGGCGATTAGAGAGAGCAATGCGTAGGAAGCAGCAAGAGTATAATAAATCCCTTGCTGCCCTTTTTCAGACTCCTGAATATCATTCCACCACACGAAATTCCCAATCCCTCCTCCACCTCTGCTATCAAAGTCGTAATTGTTTCCGTCTTCAAACATAAACCTCTTCAGTTTCAGCATTGAACCCATCAATCAAACCGCGGAAGAAAAAGGATTCCCCACACAATGATCAAAGCTAATTAGACAACACGAAAAACCAATCTGGGCAGAGAGTTCCCCAAACGGGAAGCAAAGAATAAACTGAAAAGACACGATTTTTTTTTTGTTAAGAGTTGCAAATCCTGTAGGCACAGAGAGAGATGGATGGATGGAGGAGTGAACACACGTGGAAGTTGGGAACAGAGCACGTGGCATCACTGACTTTGACCTCGTCGATTTTCGGAACCGTCTAGGTAATTTAGCTCCGCCTCCTGCGTACTTTTGGTTCCTCTTTCGCCCCGACGTTGACTCGATTACTATTAATGAGATGTGGTATCCTTCCTCATAATATAATCTTGTGTCTCTAAGGTTATAATAAAAAGGTTTATTTTTATTATATTTCATTTGTCCCAAAATTATTGTCCAATTTGAGATTTTACTTTTAGTATAATTTGAACTAAAAATAAAAACTCAAACTGGACAATAATTATGGGACGGAGCAAGTACATTTTTTTAAAAAAATATTCCCTGCATTTCAAAACGTAAGTGTTTTTAGGTTTGAAGAGATTTTTCAAAATGTAAGTCGTTTTATAAATTATAGGCAAATTAATGACTATTTTTCCAAATTTACCCTCAATAAATGATGCTAATAATATTTTTATTTAGTCGTGTTTATAGTTTTAATTGTAATTAATGAGGAGTAAGAAAGATATTTAACACATAAACTAATTGTTTTATGATTGTCTCTTTAGTTTAAGTGCCAAGTCTAAAAAGACTTACATTCTGAAATGGAGGGAATAGTACTTAGTAGACTACAATCCAGAATTCTATATTTATTTTGTTGTAAGAAAATGTAGATTATACACGAATTACTCTTTAAAATAATAAAACTTTTGATGTGAGAGTTTAGGATGATTTTGATCAAACTTTTGATGTACTCAAGTTGAAGTATTGATTTTGTTACGCTTAATTACGTTATGTACGTACGTTTGAGAGTAGTGCAACTACTGAATTATTATTACACATTGTCCTCTTATTAGTAACTGTCTTATGCTTCCGGAACTAGAGTTCATATTTCTTTTGATCAAACCGTTGGTGGTCCTAGCAACATCAAAGTTTCGGTTCTGTTATGCCTAACCACTTACAGAATCGATAATGTTACACTTGGTTCAAAGGTGGGAATAGAGTCAATAGACCCTAAGCTGGCATTTTGCACTCGGGGGGTATGGTCAAAGCTCTTAAATGGTGAACTCCCCCCATCTCGTCCAAATACAAAATTGACATAATAATTTGCCAAGAAAATCTGTGTTCCCCATCTCAATCCTTCAAAACATTTCGGCTTCCCGTCTGTAATCTTTTCTCACGTTATAAAAGAGTATTAAGTTCATAATTAAAATGAGTTTGGATTCTTTCTATTAATTTTTGTAACGGTCTTTACATCTTGACACTTGTTATTATTTGATTTGTATTAAATATTGAACATTAGTATTAGATACATGTTATAGATATTTTTTTGAAAGAAAAAACTCACTAAGTTGATATGAAATATCTTCGACAAACTAATATCACACTTTGAAATCCAGTGTGCTGTCAATCAAAACGGGTTATTTGATTTCATCATGCTCGAAATTATGTCATGTAAAAAGAATTACACTTTTGCCACGTAATTATTAAATTTGAAACAAAATGTTGATGTCTTTTTTTTTTTTTGGGGGTGGGTGGTTCAGACTAATATCCTATGTGTTAAGTTGAGGTGGCTAAAAAGTTATGAAAATGGAAAATATAAAAAAAAAAATTACATACTAGTTGTTCTAAGTAATATCTCTCCGTTTCCAAAATAAGTATCATTCAAGAATTTTCACACAGTTTAAGAAAACATTAAATATAGTAGATAAATTACTATAATATCTTCAACCAATCCCATTAAAATAAATGCTCACCAATAATATTATTTTTTTTGAGGGTATGTTTGGAAATTTTTGAGAAAAAATGCATTGGAATCAGAAAACGACACTTATTTTGAAAATTCTCCATTTTGCTAAAACGACACTTATTTTGGAATAGAGGGAGTACGTGATATATTTGAAAATTAATTATTTTGCTAAGTGGTTTGTGCCAAATTAAAAGGGCATGATTAAACTATAACAAAAAAGTACAACCAAGAAGTGGGAAATAATATAAAAATTTAGAAAATGTAAAGGTTCTTTTTTTTTTCTTTTTTAAAAAAATAAAAATCCATAATTTAGATAGAAAAGTAAAAGTAAAGGGCTGACCAAGGAGGAAAAAAAAAAAGCAGAATAGGTCCTCCTACAATTCTACAAATGGACCAAATGAGTACTTTGATTATTGCAGTAAATGCTTTTTTGGAAGAAGGTGTGAAGACCCACGAGAGAAGAAAGAAATCTGAAACCAGCTGTAATCTCTGTAATCTCTCTATATAGATAGAAAAGAAGAAGAGAAAGATTAATGAAAGGAAACAAACAAAAACAGTGGCTCTGACTTACTACCTGTAACAATTTACTCTCTATATTACTCCATTATTACGATTGCAAAGCATTTACCAAGAATAATAAAGAATCCTTTGAGCCAACAAAGTCAATAAGGAAGGCCAAATGCTTAAAAGCCTGCCCTTCTTTTGGCAGCCAATACTCTCACCTCCTTTGTAAATCCAACGACTCAAAAACATAAACCAGCTTAAGAGGAAAAAAAGGGGCCAAAGAAGAAAGACCCAATTTGCTCTCTGGAATTGGATTGAATCCCTGTTCGTTTCTGCCCCTTTTGGGTTCTTGCAGAGTCAATTTTACCGTGTAGGTTAGACACAGAGGCAGAGTTCTGAGTTTTTTTACAATCTATTGGTCAGCGGGTTGGTCAAGGCTTGAACAAAAGACAGGATCTTTCTTGTGTTTTGGGGGAATACTGGGAAGTTGGTGGATCGGTAAGTGGAAGCTTCTGTTGATAGTTTTCTTATATAGAATGATTTTGCCAGAGAGAAATTATTTATTGATCATGGTTTTCAGGTTTTGGTTTAATGATCACTGGAAAAATTATTTTTTTGTTCTGGATTTTCTGACAGGTTGAGAAGCTGCTTTTGGGAGGTAGATGTTGATTTGCATAAGGAAGAGGGTGAGGAGGGGCTGAATTTTATGGATAACTTGTGCTGCTTCAGTTCCCCGGTAAGCTTCCTCGAGCCACTTCTTCCCCATCTTGAGTTAATGAGTTCCCGTGATGCTTAACCATGTCTCAGAAATGATCTTCATGTTTATTGATAGAGCTGATCCTTTAAGTCTTTGAACCAGTAGTTTCAGTTGCTTTTGCTTATGAGCTAGTGGAGCTTGCCTATTACTGGTCTTTCTGTGTATGCTTATTGCTATGAGGACTTCATATGTTATTAATGGAAAATTGTTCGGGACAAACTTGTGTCTCTTATGCTTAAGGATGTTTATCGTGTCTAGGCTGGCTGCTTGGAGTTGGTTTATTCTATCTATCTGATTATAATCCTCAAGAATTTTAGATGTAGGCTCTTTGATGTATGTGTAGTAGTTGAGTTGTTATTCAGTGCCACATTGGAATACTTGAGACCACATTTAGGCTTTATTTTCAGCTAGATAACTTTGTTTTGATCTGGAAGGGTCAATAATGAAGCTTCTGTTAGGGTTAGACCGTTAAAATTGGCTAGTTCATCATTTTACAATTGTCTTGGTTCTGAAAAGCTGCTTCTACTGATTTATGGTTCCTTTTGAACTACTTAGGATCAAATATTTGTTGCATTGAAGCCTTCTTGCTTTGGCTTTGGCAAATTTGTTGTATCGAGGCCTTGTTGCTTTGGCTTTGGCAAATGGATTCTGGTGCGACTTTCTGTTGCTTTTCCTAAGTTCAACTATTCTTTTGTTCTATTAGGCAGGAGGACGTTCATCATGCGGTTATGGCAAGGGGAGAAGTCACTCGGGACCTGTCAAATTTGGATTCAGCCTTGTAAAGGGAAAAGCAAATCATCCTATGGAAGATTACCATGTTGCGAAATTTGTTCAGCTTCATGGTCGGGAACTTGGCCTCTTTGCTATATTTGATGGACATTTGGGTGATAGTGTACCTGCATATTTACAGAAACATTTGTTTTCTAATATCTTGAAGGAGGTATGTCCTATATCTATTGGTTACTTGACCATTTGAGTTTACTGTGTATTTATGCTGTATCGCCCTAAATGATATTTGTTCATTTTATATGGCTCTCACGATGATTTATTTTGGGTGGATGAATGTCGTGTTTTGGGTGTTTTGTCTCATTTCAAGCATGCACGTTGCCTCATAGATCAAGTACATACATGGCGCTGCTACTTTATTCATTGTACAGTTCATTATTAAACTGCTATTATGACAGACAGAACTGAATATTCGTATTTGCTTGTTTGTTGATCTGACTCTTTGTGCATATTTCTTCTAATATCAGGAGGAATTTTGGACTGACCCAAATCGAGCCATATCTAAAGCCTATGAAAGAACAGATCAGGCCATTCTCTCGCACAATCCAGACCTAGGAAGAGGCGGTTCCACTGCCGTCACTGCAATTCTTGTAAATTCCAGATTGTTGTGGGTAGCTAATGTTGGGGATTCACGAGCAGTATTGTCAAGAAGGGGACAGGCCATACAGATGAGTATTGACCATGAACCCAACATGGAGAGAGGAAGTATTGAGGATAGAGGAGGATTTGTTTCAAACATGCCAGGTGATAATTAAGTTCTCCTTCATGTTTTAACAATTGCTGGTTATGATATTTAGTGCAGTGCTCCTGAAAATTTGCCATTTGCTGCTCGTGTTGAATTGAGAATGCTACACTACAAAATCCAGACTTGTTTTGCATTACAGTTACATGACATTATTCATATACATGATTGCTGAATCTTGTATATGAATTTAATGATTTGCTGTTTAGTGTTTGTTTGTTTTCTCAAAAGTCTGAAGGCATACATGTAAATAACTTGCGCATTCAAAGTCTTCATTATTGTTTTGGCTGTATGAGCCGTATTCAGAGATGGGTATGACATTGGAGGTCTTTAAATGGATTAAAACCAATTTAGTTGTGCTTTTCTTAAGAAACCAAACGAAGATTTCCATCTCTTGGTGGAAATTGTTATCCATTCTGCATTGAATTTAAAGTTTGTAGTATATGCTGAGGGTTTATATATTGGATATTGTTACTTCTAAGTGGATTTCTTGCTTTGGGATGTCATTACTCTTCTCTATTTGTTATGTTATTCCGACTGCACCGTGCTGCAGGGAGCCGCTCAAACTTATCAGTTCATAACTGTAATGGGAGTTTCAACCATAAATATTGGTCTTCTTGGATCATTTGCCCTTCATCTTGATTATGGATCATCAATATTATTGTTCCCCCTTGTTTAAATATAGTAGTTGACTCTAGTTGCTCTTGTGGAAGTCAAAACTGTGAGACAAACTGATACTGAATCTATATCAGGAGATGTGGCACGAGTGAATGGTCAACTGGCTGTATCCCGTGCTTTTGGAGACAAGAACTTGAAGTCCCACCTCCGATCAGATCCTGATGTCACAAATGCCAGCATTGATGCAGACACGGATCTTCTCATCCTTGCAAGTGATGGTTTATGGAAGGTACCTCTCCTTCTTTTTCTCAAAATGCAGTTAATTTTTGATGATTTTTATAAAAACCCGTTCTTGATCATAGCTAGTGGACACTTCAGGTCATGTCTAATCAAGAGGCAGTAGACATCGCCCGGAAGACAAAGGACCCTCAAAAGGCAGCCAAAAATCTAGTGACAGAAGCGTTGAACAGAGAAAGCAAAGACGACATATCCTGCATCGTGGTTCGATTCAGCGGTTGATAACGCATGTTATAGCTACAATCTGTTCATGTCTTATATATGTATACTAGAGGAGAACTATAGGGAATCGATCTGGATTTGCGGGAAAGAAAGTTTTAGAACACCATTTAAGAAGCCAGCTGCATAATTGATATAAACTAAAGGAATTCGGCACATGATATACCCTTCCTCCGTCTGTAATGTTTCTTTTTTACTTTCAAAGTGGTTTTACTCGAGTTGTGCTGGTTGTTATAGCTTGAAATTCGTTATGTAGATTCATAGCATCATCATTTTTCTGTAATTTATTTGAGGCTTGGGAAGCTGAGTTATTATTGACAGCCATCAGTTCTTGTAATAATGAAGTGGAGAAATTGGCATCTGTTGAAGAAATGGAATATACTACTTTGTTTGGTATCCATCGGTTAAACATATCACATATCTTCTCTTTTAACCATACGATCGATACGTGTTCTTGAAATTTTCATTATGCAGCCAATGAAGATCTGTACTTGCTTTCACAAAACAAAGTGTGTAGAAGTTAAAACTATTGAAAAGTCATTATATCCTACGCCATGGTTCACTATTTTAGGTGAACTGGTTTTTAGATTACACACGTTTATAAAAGTTCTAATTAAAATTGAGAAAAAAATCTAAAACTAACTACTTAAAATATGGTATACAAAAAGTAAAAAAATAAATAAATAAAATATGACTTTAATTCTTCTCCTCGATTATCGCGTTTATCATCTCACCATCATAAGATTTTATCCTGAATAAATTTAAATTAATTAGTAAGATCTACACACATCTTATCCTGAATAAATTTAAATTAATTAGTAAGATCTACACACAATTCATATTAAAGTATATTAAAACTCATAATATATTTTACCAAAGTTCATAAAAGTATGTGAAATATAAAATTAATCGTTATCCAATACAAAGCAATAAACAATGCTCATATTCAATAACATACACGTTCATGATAAAGTCTTTATATGTTAATATAAATTTACATTATTACGAGTTAAATTAAAATTCATGACCACAATAAACAATGTTCATGTAATTGATTAAAGGATTGAACAAAAATATAACTTAAAAAATTCATGAAGGTTGCATATGTAATTCATGATATTTATTTCAAATGTTCATACGTGTAGGGAGGAAAGTTTTGGTTAAAATCATTTTTGGTTCAAAGGCATACTAAATGGTTTCAAGCAAATAACTACATGAAAAAGTAAGAGTATCCTTTAACACCAAAATAATGTTTCGTAAAAGAGAAAAGTAATCAAGCATGCCCTTGTATTATTGTTATCATAAGCTATGTTATGTTATGAAAGCATTTAAGAAACCGCATATTAGTTACATACATAAACATCAAATGTACCTTATGTTGTCCAATTTAAAAGCCTCCTCCTCTGAGCCAGCTGTTTGCCCTAATAAGCTTTCTCTCAGCAAGTTTGTGTCTGTAATTAATTTTAATTTTTGGGTTTAGTATGAAATAATTCATAATTTTGTTATGAAAAGTTCATGTATATAAAGTCAATTTCTAGGACGATATACAAATATAAGGTACAATCTTCATACTATTATATAATCATACACATGAGATTAAACACAAAAAAAAAATTCATAACGAGATAATTAAATATTCATGAAAATATACAACTATGCATGATATCAAATTACCCTTGTTCACATGAATTAAAGCAAGAAAATTCATCACGAGCATGATATTCATATATAGTGAGAGCAAAAAATTCATATCTTCAAAACATCTAATTCATGAGAACGATATTCATATATATTAGTAGGAGCAAAAAATTCATATCTTCAAAAGTTATAATTCATGAGCGCTTTGAAAGATATTCGTATATATTAGCGAGTTTTATATATATAAGGTACAATGTTCATACTATTATATTATTGTACACGTGCGATTAAACACAAAAATTCATCTATTTAAAGTATAAATATATTTTTCATAACGAGATAATTAAAAATTCATGAATGTGAACTATTTTGTATTAAAATACGCATGACATCAACTTGCCTTGTTCACATGAAGATAAAGAAAAAAATTCATATCTTCAAGACATATAATTCATGAGCACGATATTCATTTATAGTGATAGCGAAAAATTCATATCTTCAAAACATATAATCCATGAACATTCTGAACAATATTCATATACATTATTGAGTTTATAATTTTTCTTAAAAAAAAAAAAACTAAACATTGCCATAGTCATGTTGAGGAAGTTCAACTTCACGGATGGATGTTAATTGAAGTTGTTGTGCCAAATGCCAATTCATCATATTGAATGTGTATCAACCGAAATTGTGACAAATCATCATCGTTGGCTCCATTGGTCTCCATGTTAGAATGAAGACTGTAATCCTGGTTAAGGATGTAGTTACTGCTATCTTTTGAGTGGTGGTCATTGTTGTCTCCTAGATAAATTTTTACACGATCATCGTTCGTGAGAACAATACAATCATTATAAATAATATCATCAAAAGAATTTTGATTTAAATCAAGATTTATCTTGCAATTCATAAATGGACGAAAGAAAGATGCAAGACCTTGTTTATAATTCTCAGTCATTTTTTTTATATTATAAGTGAGCAGTTAAGTGAACTGTCAAATAGTTGTGAAAATATACGGGATTTTCAGTTTGGATTTTTTATATATGCACGATCTAAATTGTGATAAGATAGAGGAGAAGGATAAGAAGAGTAATATTAAAGCGCGTAATTTTAATTAAAAATTAAAATAATATCCAATTTTTTTTTTATAAGCGTGTAACACAACTCGTAAAACAAGTCTACTATCTAATATGAACCATGTTTAGGATATAAATTAATATATTAATTTAAAAATACCATAAAAAATGAAACAAACAAAGGCTTACCTTTGACAAATTTTTGGTATCTTTTCTTGCGAAAAAAGATTTAAGATACAAGATCCCGCGCGTGGGGTAACACGCCAACTCGTCCTTACCATTCTCACGCTCCGTTTTCTCTCTACACTCTTCCATTTTGATTTAAGGAAAAGTAAAAACCCTGCCAAAACCCTCTCAACTAATTCGTCGATCATTCAACTTTTTTTCCCGGTTTGTTTCCGGACATGTCGAATTTATCGAAGCTTAATGTCTCGAATCCTAAGGTTTGGGTGGTGATCGGCTTAAGCGTCGCCGGAATCGTTATCCTCGCCGAGACTCGCCGCCGGAAGCTGAAATCCCGTAATACAATCAAGGAAGACTTTGGAGCCTTCATTGAGAAATTTGAACTGTCTCCGTTTCCTCAGCCTCCTCCTCCCGCCGCTCCTCTTCCGCTCTCCGGAATTACTTTCGCCATCAAAGACGTGTGAGCATCTCAATCTTTGTTTTTTTGCTTGACTTTTTCTAATCACTTTTATTTTGACTTTCCATTAATAATTAAGTTTTTTCGATTTTTCTTTGTTAGGATTGATGTAAAAGGGTTTGTTACGGGGTTTGGGAGCGTGGACTGGAAGAAAACGCATGAGGTGGCAGGGAAAACTGCGGTGGTGGTGACAACTCTGTTAAAAAATGGGGCTACTTGCGTTGGAAAGACTATCATGGATGAATTTGGCTTTGGGTACTCTTCCTTATTGCATTTGTGTCTGTTTTGATTGTAATTTGAGTGATGATTCCTAATTATGTATCTTTCTTGACCGAATTCATGGAGTTATGACATTCAGAGTTCACTTTTAATCGTAAAGCTATCTACTTGGGATGATCATTGTGATTATTTTCTTTTCCCTTTTTCTTTTTGTAAAGTAAAATCTCACTGTGTTTGGTTTCTTCGTAATGATCAGGATAACCGGCGAAAATTCAAAATACGGAACACCAACTAATCCAAAGTCTCCATCTCATGTACCTGGGGGTTCATCAAGTGGTTCAGCTGTAGCTGTGGCTGCTAAACTTGTGGATTTCGCCATTGGTACGCATTCCTTTTTTCTTACTGAATCTACTGTCCTGTCACTTGGGGTGAAGTATCAGGATCTCTGTCTGCATGATTGTAAAAATTGTATCTTGCGAAGAAATTTTTTTCATACATTTGGAAATTTAAGCCCGCTATCATAAATAAAGAGTTTTTATTTCTGTGTAGCTTTTACGAGATTATTTGTCTGTCAGTTAACAAGTTTTTTTTTCAAACAATTCTTTGCTAAAATGATTCAGGTACTGATAGTGTTGGGTGCATACGAGCTCCTGCGTCTTTTTGTGGCGTACTTGGGTATAGACCTTCCCACGGGCTTATATCTACTGTTGGAGTTTTACTAAATTCTCAGAACTTGGACACTATTGGTATGTGGTTCAGATCATTCTTACTTCTTTATAGAATAGCTATTGAAGCATATTTAGACAGTTGTCACATGACAACAATAGTACTTTTCTTTTTAGTCTTAATCCAGTCAATTAAGGAATTCAGGCAACTGTGCTTGTGTAACCATAGACACGTGCAGTTGATGAAGCAATGATCTTCTCCATGCAATCAGCAAACTCTGCTCCATTATAAGAAAAAAAAAAAATGGAATTTATACTTGAGGAAAGATGGTCATTTCTGGTTTGTCAACAATGAGCTTTTCTAAGTGTTTGAAATTCGTATGTGATCTCCTGTCATTGTGAACTTCTTGTAGGATGCTTTGCTCGTGATCCTTCTATTTTGCATCGTGTTGGACATGTTCTACTTCAGTTGAGTCGGGTAGAATTGAGAAAGACAAGAAGGCTTCTAATAGCTGATGATCTTTTTCAGCTCTCGAAAGTTCCCAAGTGGAAGACTGTTGGTGTTGTGAAGACTGTTGCTGAGAAGTTATCTGGCTGTAAGTAGCATCCTCTCTTCTTTCCTTTAATATCGAGCATGTGTTGTACTTTTTTTTCCCTTTAATTAGTGGTAAGAAATAGGCACTATTTTACAGGCCTTTGCCTTTCTTTTTTCCTGCTCCTTTCATTATAACATGTCATTTACGCTGTTCCTTCTTTTTTGTTTTGTCGATGGGGCAGATCAGGTAGCTAAAGATATGAATTTTGGGCAGTATATTTCATCCAATGTGCCCAGCTTGAAAACTTTTTGTGAGGAAACAGGAATCCAACATAATTCAGTATCAATCCTAAAATCGCTATCTTCTGTCATGTTGTTACTGCACAGGTAATTTTACTATATGGCTTTGGTGGGTTGACCGGATTGTATGAACTTGTGTGCAAATGCAACTCGTTGTACATACTAAATCATCTTTAATTTTAGGTCAAGCTATTGCAGTTGCTTGATGCTTCTAGATCTAATTGTGAATCTGGTGCTGCTGCATGTACTGATGTTCAAAAAAGAGCTCCTCTACTCTACTTTTGAAAAGTTAATGTTTTCCATATTTAGGTCTTGAAGTTGACTGATTGTATTGGTAGAATTGAGAAAGCACACCTCTTCTGAGATATGTGTTTATTACAAGGCTTGCTCTGTCCATGATGGATAATTAAACTGCTTTACAGGTACGAATTCAGAACAAATCATGAAGAATGGTTTACATCAGTCAAACCCAGATTAGGACCACATGTCTCTGAGGCCATGGCCACCAATCCCGAGAATATCAAAATTCTTTACAAAGTGAGGAGTGAAATGCGAAATGTTGTTCAAGGTCTTTTGAAGGTAAGCATAGCCATTTTTCCCAATTTACTATTTTTCCTTACCCTTCTCTTCCTTTTGTTCTTATCTTGTGTGTGTGTGTGGGTGCCGGGGTTGTTGTTGGGGATGGTAGAGGAATCTTGAGTTTTGTTACAATCTTGTTGATGGATGGGTAGGATAAGGAGAACTTTCGTGGATAAATGAATTAGGCTAAGACAACATTGTGCCACCAGGTTAAAGTCACCCATTTTGTTGTATGGCTGCACTCTGATGTTGCATTAATCCTGGTACTAAAACATACTTTTGGATTTGACATTGGATAGCATGACAAAAGGAGCTCATCTTTATTGTCAACCAGTTGGGAAAAAGAAAAAACAAGTAGTGATTTGATTCTTTAAAGTTGAAACTCAGGTAGACTATTCTGAAAGTTTTTTGGAACTTACCCTGATCTGAAGTCTAGACAGTAATAGCACAGCTCATGTTCAAGTGTTTTTTTTTCTCTTGGCTTTTTCCCCTTATTAATAAAGATTACTTTTCGTATCTTTTCTTGACAATTTGACCTTCACTTCTGTCTGATCTTTTTCTTCTGCTTGATGGAATTTTTTTCCCCGGTTGTTCGGCCCAAGGATGATGGAATATTAGTAATTCCAACAGTTGCAGACCCCCCATTGAAGCTTAACTCGAACAAAGCTGCATCTATTGAATTTCAAGATAGGACATCTGCTTTATTGAGTATCGCAAGTGTGGCTGGCTGCTGTCAGGTAAGTAGCTGTTTCTCCTTCTATATTTTGTTTCAATTTGTTCTCCTTTATCTGTCATGGCTATAAACTTTTGTTATGCTTGCAAATATCCAGGTCTCTATCCCTATTGGAGAAGATAATGGTCATCCAGTCTCTGTGTCACTAATTGCGTCCCACGGGGCAGACAAATTTTTGCTTGATACTGTCTTGGACATGTATTCATCTCTTCAAGAAGGAGTTAGGGTTGCTTCAAGTTCTCCAGCTCTGCCAGATACCAATGGTAGCATCGACGCTGCTGAACTTTTGAAAGAAAAGGTTTTGTTCTTTCACAAATGTACAGTTTCGTTTGTTGTCTTCCTGATCATTGTGATATTGTTACTACCAGCACTGTAGCTTAAACTGAAATCTGCTGTGCGTGATGCACAATTTTCTGAAGAATAATGATAGGTACAAGGAAAAAATGACAAGGAAAAATACAAGGAAATGATCTCACCCATCCATTGTTAAAACTTTCCAAACAGGGTTTATGCATAGTTTAGATGTTGACACACCATTCCTTGTCAATTTTCCTTGTTATTTTCTCCTTGTACCTATCACTACTCTTTTCTTTATATATCTTGAGAGTCATGTCCCGTTTTCCTTGATTTTACTGATAGATAATGATGATTCTGTTGCAGGGAAATGCTGCATACAAGGGAAAGAAGTGGAATAATGCAGTGAACTACTACTCTGAAGCAATAAAATTGAATGATACAAATGCTACCTACTTCTGCAATCGTGCAGCCGCTTATCTGGAATTAGGATGGTCTGGTTTAATCTCTAAATCTTACTTTTATACATAATTGATGGCCTTGGAAAGTTGGAATTATTGATATCATCGTTTTCTAAATCTTTCTGACCTGGAATTCTGTTCATGTTGTCCAGGTTCCAGCAAGCTGCAGAGGACTGCACTAAAGCATTAACTCTTGATAAGAAGGTAAAACCTTCTTTCATCCTACTATTTTAAAGGACGTCATTTTCATGTGAATGTTATTACTTAGTTTCAGAAGATGTAAACGGGTGTTTTGACATGAGTGAAGTATCACAACTTATTTGGCTACAAAAAAAAAAAAAAAAAGCAAGCAAGTAATTATCTAATCATGTGGACAAGGTTACAATTAATTTCTTGCCATCATGTTGTGTGGACTTTCTTATTATCGTTTATATTAAAGTATATTATGTGTCAGAGAGGCATTGACTAGTTTTTCTTCTAAGGCTGTTTAGGCATTGACTAGTTTTCTTATACTATGTGCTTGGAGTTGGCTATGATTGTTTTGGGGGGAACATACGGTGTTGAGGTTTCTGAATGTAATTTAGTTTTCTTGCGTATGGTGTTCTTTTTGATGGTCCAAGTGTACCATGTTGCCTGTATACTCTTTCAACTTTAATGTGTTGACGAAGGCACAAGAATGGGAATGTGAGTAATGAGAGCACATTAGTGATCTAACATTAATGATTGCAATGTTAGTTTAGCTACAAGTGATTATCTTGTCAATTGATATCTTTTACTTGTTTTTGTGCAGAATGTTAAGGCCTATTTGAGACGCGGGACTGCCAGGGAGTCGCTTCTTTTCTATCAAGATGCTCTACAAGGTGAGACTAAAATCTTTTTGTTGAAAATTCTAATCCGAGATGGCATCCTTAAAATCTTGATCATGTCTCTTTGTGTGCTCTCTTTGGACTTCAGAGTGCATTCATGTTAGTAGCTCACATGCATACTACCGTGTGGTACATTGCATGCATAGAAAGCTCTTTACGCTTTTCGTTTCTGTTCCTCTAAAGATACTGCTTCTTCTGAGTTGCAGATTTCAAGCATGCTCTTGTTCTGGAGCCACAAAACAAGGTTGCCAGTCAGGCTGAGAAGAGACTGAAAAAACTTATCAGTTGAAGCCTTGCAAATATGAGCTAGTTTTCGGCATAGGTTAGAGTGGAGAAATGGTTCACACTTCGAAATTTTGTTCAATACTAATCGAAGCAAGATTAGAGTGGGAAAAAAAAGAGAGAGAGAGAGAGAGAGAGAGAGAGAGAGAGAGAGAGAGAGAGAGAATAATAACTACATATAAGTTTTGTCCTCGTTAACAGATTTGTTACTACTGTAAAGTTTGACTGTGGGGGAGCGGATTTCTTGTAATTCACCGCAGCAAAACCCTCTTTCATCCACCATTGAACACCTTCGAAAATTGAAATTTCTAACGTATGCATCAACACAAAATGCTGACATCTGTGGACTGTAGCTTAGGCATAGACTTGCTTAGATGGAGTTGCTTTTCAGCTTTACTTTACGCATTGATGAACCGATTATGATCAGTTATATATATTGGTCGTGGGTTGCATGGTATGTACACGCATTTATCTCAAAATATTTGTCGTGTTTGTGATTTGGTATCAACTCAGTGGTTTCCCTGATGAGAAGGAAAGTTGAAATTGACATTAACAAACTAGTAGCGGCCATATGTAAAATCGTACGTCTGAATCAGAAAACAAAAGTGTGCAAAATCTAACCCGACGGCGCCTCCAGTTGGGTTTAATTAATAATGATCGCATTGGTGAAACGGGAAGCACTAGAGTAAGGTCAACAACGGGAAGCACTCTGTTACAGCTGCAATTCAGATCGATGATTTGACCTTATTACATTTACATTTACGTCTTGAAATGATCTGTTTTATTTTCTTTTATAATAGGTTATTTCTTGCGGTCATTATACTTGGAATTGAAAGAAGTATGTACAAATTGTTAGTGTGTTCAACCAAATTACTAGCAATTTTCATAGCAGGATCAAAACGTGGTACATGAGGGCGACGCTTCATTTGGGTTGACTTGTGTAGGCGCAATTAAGTCCGTCACAAGCTAATCAAACTGGCGCTTACATTACTACTATTTCACAGCAAAGAATTTTCTCTGCCACACAACAATAACCATTGAGGGATCTTAAAGGAGCTATATATATAGAGAAGTGAGAACCTTTTCAATATTCAAAATAATATTGGGGTGATGGATGAAAAACAAAATTTATTTTACGTTGTCTGAGACTGTGTGTGATGAAACCTCACGACGTTCGTAAATATCTATATGTATGTTTTCGCAGGCAAAAAAACACAAATAGGGGTAGGCAACTGTCAATTGTTGAACCACAAAAATCACAAATGGGAGGAGTATTATTACGTAACAACAAACGTTAATGGTCATGGGGGTTCAAAACTTCAAACATCTGCTTTTGTCCTTATTATCCTTCTTTCTTTTTTTTAAAAAAATAATAATGAAATCTAGCACACCCAAAATGCATCATCCTCTCCGTGTATAACAGCCGTTTACTTATCATTCAACAGTGCACCCAAGCAACAAAACACACATACCCTTAACGTTTTTTTGACCATTTTCATCACTTTTTTTCTTGTCCAAAAATCTCATCACATTCTATCCCTCTTTTTCTCAATTTCTTCCCCTGTTTTTTGAATTTTTCCCAACCATTCCAGGAGATTAACTGATTCTTGATTTTTTTTTTTTTTGGGGGGTGTGGGGGAGGGATCAAGAGTGTGTTCATTCCAGACGACAAAACAAAACACTATACTACGTCAAATGAAAGGCCATACCAAAATAAATCTTCATCATCAATATTCGGCACACCAAAATCAACGGATAGACGTAGCCTAAAAACACACGCAGTCACACAGTCACACAGTGTCCTTGTGAGAGTTTTTTGGGATTCTGATGATGATGATGATGGAGGAAACTGGCTCACCCGCCTCCATAGCTCCTTACCTCCTCAGAAACTTCATCACTTCTATGTTCGTTCTTGCTGATAAATCTCTTTCTTTCTTAGCTGAAAAATCACAATTTCTCCAAGCCCTACGTTATATCCTCGTCTCCTCTTTTCTCTTCTTCCTTCGCATTTTGCCTTCCTTTTTCCCCTCCTTAATCCCATCGGAATCGAATGCTACCAATTCCATTCGACCTAATTTGAAGTTTAAGAAGAAGAGAGGCGATTCCAATCATGTTCCCGCCACCGGGGGAGGCAGAGCCGGAGGAGGAGCTGTCGTCGGAGGTACCGGAGACTCTGGGATAGCCAGAGCCCTTTCGCAGTTACTGGCAATTGTGAATGATATTCCGGTGAGCTCGAGAAAATACGATGTGGTTAGATCGTTAGCCGAGAAAATCATCGATGAGAATTTGTCGGAAGGTAATGAGGCGTTACGGCAAGTTAATTGCTCTGTTCTGTCGTCGGCGTTTGGTCGGACGCTGAGCCAGCTGGAATCCGCCATGATGGACTACGGACGGAATTACGCCGGAGATTTCACTAGGAAGGGGACGACGGCTGACCGGGACGAAGACTACTACAGTTATTATGCGTCGGTGAGCCGGTTCATGAGAGCCGTCAGGTATTGCCGTGATGCCGTGTTGTTCCGGCCGAAGTCGTCGCCCGGTGATGAAATGAGCCGGTCGGGAGGAAACTCGGCTGAGAAGCTTGCAGCTGAGTTGCTGTGGTTGAGTCAGAAAATGGCGGCTTGCGGGTGTGGGGAGGAAGCTGTTAACAAGTGGGCTTCAGCTTCTAGTCTGGCTTGGCTTTCTCTGACCACCGAGCCACGACTTCAAGGCTACATAGTCAAAATTTCAGGTACTTCTGGAGTGGGTAAAAAGTAGAGCACACGTGTTTCATTTATTTTACGATTATCATCTCAACTAAAAGTTGGATTTACATCATTTGCAGTTTTGCACATTCTTGGTTTGGTACCACTTTGTTAGTATTTTATTATCGTAACGATATCTTTAGATAAAAAGAACGTAATATAAGTGAGATAGAAAATCCTATTAGTATGTTGAACAGAGTTGGAAAAAGAAAAATGACAATGGCTATGACAATATTTACAGTGTCATACTACGTTAATACTTAAAACAACTTTCCGGCTACCTAAGTTAATTCACCAAAATACTAAAAAGTGGAGACTCTGCATGCTTAATGTGTCACGGGAAATGGTACATTCAATTGGCAGTAGAACAGCTAAATGTGAGGCCATCGACTCTGAATGACTATGGTCACCTAACTTTACTAGCTTGCTTTTGACATTTGTGGGTCTTTCATTTACTGATTGTGCAATTGTACTGATAATTCGTAGGACTAGGATACATTATCATTGATCACAATTTCATTTGACTTGTAACTTACATTAGTAAAGAGCTTGGAACTGAATTTTAAGCAATGTTTTCATCAATAATTTGTACCGAATAAACCACAATGAACTTTTGCATCAGACCTAGTTCAACCCTTGGTAGCTCGAACTCAGGTCTTCCGGTAATCAGTTATTTTAGTGCTTACAATTGCTGAGGGCTGAATTTCATGTTCATTGCTGAGGGAAGTAGAGCTGAAGAAAATTCTGATGAAACCTTTCTCTGTTTTTGTGTAGCTTTTCTGTTCAAGAAAGCTAAAGAGATTGGTAGGGAAGTGGATGAAGAGAGCAAAAGGGAGCAACAGAGGGAGACAAAATTGAAGATGCTACTGCTATGGATACCGCTGCTGTGCAGAGCGACCATTGGTACAGATTCTCCGGTTCTCAGTGTAAGTGAAAGAGCAGAGCTGGAAAGGACATTGGAGGATATCATTGAGTCATTGAAACAGCAAGAGGACCAAGAGAAAGTGTTGTCCCTTTGGCTCCATCACTTCACTTATTGTCCATCATCTGATTGGCCTAATCTTCACGGCTGCTACGCACGTTGGTGCACTGCTTCTCGGAGAAACTTGCTCCAGTCCCGGTGACCTCCATCAACGGATAATGGAGGCAGCTACAGCACCACTTTGATCTCAGGTTTTGGCTTAGGAAGGCCTGCTTACAAGCTCAAATCGAGGAACGATCGGATCGGTTGAATCAAAGTAATATGTCATCGTCACTTCCTCGAAAAGTTTAATACATATATCCATATGCTCTCATTATGTTTTTCTTCAATATGTAACTATAACGTATATAGATAAAAAGATGGAGCTATATTATTAGACAACATTATGAGCTCTACTCTTTTGTTGAATTTAGTTTCCATACCCACAGAAACATCTGAAACATTTAGTGGATAGACAAGCTCCATGATACATTTCTGATAACTTATTAGGGGATGATTTATAATTATATTATATAATCTTTGTACTTATCAAGCTGGAGAGTGTTAAGGGTTCTTATTATACACACACACACTAATCCAGGGCTAATTTGCAATATTTAGTTTGGTAGTAATAAATATGTCAAAATGTTTCAGAATGTACTCTGCAGTCAGATATAAGGTACTTATTATCTGATGACGAAATAAGACACTGGTGGAACGCTGAATTTTAAAAAATATTGGGAAAATTTGTCGATGTCAAATACTCCCTCTGTCCCAAAATTATTGGCCAGTTTGAGATTTCACTTTTAATATAATTTGAACTAGAAATGAAAACTGAACTGGACAATAATTATGGGACGGAGGGAGTAGTAGTAATACATATCTAGAAGTTTTATTTGTGTTTCGAAAAGATGAACTTACAAACGGATGTGGTTCCTTCCCTCCCTTACTCTATCATCTTGTTTGAATCTCCCCAGTTAAAGAAGCAATCTAAGCTCTGATCCAGGTAAGGAACAAATGTCCTGATACGTGTCTTGTGAAATCCCAAGGGCTAGAAGTTTGAGTTCTGGCCCTGAATTTGTATTTTATATAACCGAAATTGCGCATAGCCCAAATCTTTAATTTGGAGAATCAATCTTTTAGTTCTCAATTCAAGGAAAAAGGAATTTTGGTAAATCTAGGGATCACACTACTCCCCAAATTAACACCCGACAAAAGCCTCCGGGCGGGGCGACTGCCGGTGAAATCTCCTCCACGGGTTTAAGTTAATTGTTCCATTTATGGAATCCACCAACAAATTTTCGCGATATGGCCAGGTTTACCACATATTTTTGTATTGTTCCCTCTTAACAGGAGTCATACGATGCTCAACAGAAGGCGGTGGTCGACGCGACTGAGAGGATTTCGCTGAAGCAGACTGCTGAGAGCGAGCCTGTTGGGCCTGAAATCCACGGCCGGCCGAAGAATGATTACGGGAAGCAGATGACTGAGATTGCTTCTGAGAGTAGAAAGCAAGATTGGAATTGGAATTTGAAAACAGAGAATCAGACTGATTTGCAAACCAAGTTGATCTAAGTTTTGGAGCTGGGAAATTAATTCAGAATAAGTGGGGCGAGGCGGTTTCAACATAGTAGTGGTAAACGTGTCAAATTGAGGGCCGAGACTGTTTAAAAGGCAGTAAACTTTTTCTCTATCAGAAACAGGCTTCCCAATGGCCGTAAGGCTATCACACAGACCCTTAAAAATTCGAAGATGATCACCAATTGATTTGGAGTCATCTTTCCTGAGATATGTTAACTGTTGACGCAACGTGAACTCACGTTCCTGAGAATCACGAGCGTATGCATCTTTTAGAGCCTCCCAAACAGCATATGCCGTATCAATTCCAACGACAATGCCAAGGGATTCCTCTGATAATGTTCCAATGAGCCATCCTCTCAACAGGCGATCAGATTGTTGCCAAGAAAGCAAGGAAGGGAGAAGACCGAACCCTACTGATACCAAGAAGAAAAACGTAAACACTAGAGTAAAAATAATTTAGACAGAAATATGTCGAAAGCTTTATTTGTATTGCCTTGGTTTTCCTGTACATCGGAGTTTATATTTATAGACTTTTCTAACTGATTATGATAAGAGAAAACTCAACTAACTGCAATACATCAAAAGCTATAAACCAGGAATAGAGTTTAACTCAAAACAACTTGCCCTTAAACATATCTTTTGTGATAAATGGAGAGAGTATGTTCATCCTTATCACTCCGACCTTCCTCATACCCAGACAGACGGACTCATCTTTTGATGGCTGAAGATGATCGTTAACACACGGCTGTCGAATGGAAGAATTGAAGCAGATTCAGAGCAGGTATAGAGAAATATTATGATGCTCCCGCATTAAAAAACCTTTAGTTGAATAATTTGTGCTTTACATGTCAAATTTGCTTTAATTGCTTTGGTATGATATAGGAACCTCAATTTCCATCGTTGGAGCAATTTGATGTCCACTCGAAGCATTTTAGTTTATGAGAAATCCAGCTTCCAGAAATGGTCACAAGGATGATAAGGATTTGAAGTGTAGAAGAAATAAACAGGCCATTTCTCTTGTTCAGAGTGTATTTGGAACTTGGAAGGCCACCGATGCTATAAGTGTGTTATCAATTGGAATTAATAATTAGAGTTGAATTTTGTAAATCTTTTCCTCCAAAATTGGTTTTATTCTATTTTCCAGTATACTCTAAAAAAAAAGTGTCAACAACCTGAAATTTAAATTAATAAATACTAGTGTTTACCCCGCACGTTGTGCGGGTCGTTCAAGATATATATGGTGTTAATGATTTAATAATTAAATGATATTTGCGACGGAGTGATATTTGTAAATGGTCAATTATTAGTATTGAAGATATAAATTTTATATGAAAAAAAAGGCTCAAGCATATTCAAGCAAAACTACACTAATTCCAGTATTACATTTCATAGGATAAAACTCTCAAAACTCGTTGGAAAAACTTAAACAAAATGAAAATAAAATAATTCTTTTAGATGTAAGTGGTTTTAATTATCCACTAGATGTTTGGCCCAGGCAGATGCCCGGACGCCCCTTCTAAATTACTATTTTATTAAAATCTAATTGAATTACTATTTTTTGAAGAATTAATTTGGCGTATATATCATTTATGCTATGATTTGGGGCTTAAAAAAATATACCTATAAATCTGAGGTTATAAGGGAATAATAAATAATTAGTTTATAAGGCATTATTCTTAATTGCTGGATTTAGGTATTTTTATTTTTTGTTTATATTAAGCCTGCAAAACTATACGATTGGACATTTGAATTTGAATTAATATATTCATTCGTTTGAAATGTAACTGATCCTTATTTGTAGTAAAACATGTGTTTTTTTTTTAAAAAAAAATTATATAACTTCTAATTAAAAGATACTTACACGTGGCAAAAAGACTCCTGAAATCTGAAATATGGTGCATTGGAGTCAAAACAGATGCATACTTAGTTGCCACATAAGCTTCATGTCTTCTGCTTTAATAGGGTAAAAGGGATTTCCAAAGACCTGTGGAAGTTATTTTTAATTAACTTTTTATTTTATTTGACATGAAAAAAACCATACATTTGATACTTGTAAGCAAATGATTTAGTTTTAATTGGCCATTACAAAAACGACCCTATTCAAATTCATCTTGTAGTTAACTGTAGAAAAATGACTGCATTCATTAAAGAAAGATTGAGTGTACTCAGTAATTGTAAAAAAATGATTTCTTTTAATTGGACCTTTTTAATGACTCGTTCAAATTCACCTGTAATTAACCCTTGCCGATTGATCAAATTTATTGAAGTACTAATGATTATATCTTGTTATTGCAATAGATCATACATCTTATATTTGAGTTAACAAATAATTTATTTATTAATTAACACTTAATAAATGATATCTCAATCAAATCCATATCAAATAATTAGTTCTTGGCCAATGATTTCGTTTATATCTAGTAACTAAAGCAAATTATGTATCTATACTTATGGTTAAATTCATTTATTTTTTATAAAAAAAAGTTCACTCCAGTGGACCACATTTAAATGTGGATAAAACCTCCTTTACAAACCGTTTGGTGGGAATCGAACCCTGGTCTTACGAACCCCCCCTCCCCCCAAGCCCTTAGTGGGTAAATTCATTTTGTAATTAGGTCTTGCTGAATAACTATGCTCCTTGAAGTGATATCATAACAATTAAATAGAACAAATTATACATATTTTGCTTAAATTAAGAAATGATTTGTTTATTTATTATTATTATCAAATGATCGCGTTCAAATTCATCTTGCAATTAACTCAATGAAATGCCCTCATTCATTGAATCAATGTTGAGTGTATCTAACAGCTTCAACAAATCATACATTTTATACATGTGTGAAAAGATAGAATTTTTTTTTTCTCTGTACTGTGCCCTTCTCAAGTGACCTCATTCAAATTCATAATTAACTAATACCGAATGGCACCATTCGTTGAAGTAATATTGAATGTATCCAATAACAACACAAATCACATATTCTATAATTACGTTGTGCCTCGTCTTTCATCGAAAGAACTAGTGTAAGAGGAGCAGCCAACAAAATCTATTTCCCCAAGTTTCGAGGAAATAATTGCTTGTTTTATTCTCTAGCAACCAAAAAGTTCCACACTTTTGAGAGAGGTCCTCCTTACGATAGCTTTCACAATTCAAAGCAGATGTTGCTCTCTGTTTGGATTAAAATTGATCCCCAACGTGTTGAAACATCGGAAGAAGATTTCTCCTGGTGATCAAGCTTTGGGACTTTTTTTTAAAGTATTATTTGAGTTGATTCTGATATTGATGAGTTGATCTTGTCCGTATTTATTATATTATATACACATGAATTTCCTCTGGCATCCGCAAGTGACAGAGGATTTTATATCTCTATTTTCTGTTCTCATCTCTTTTTTTTTTTAAATAGAAAAGTTTAAGTTGCGTAAACTCAAACCTCAAAGTGCAAAATCGTATATTACTATGTAAATTGTTCCACTAATTACTAAGTCAACGAAAAAAAAGAAGTGAAGTACTATTATTATGAACTGTAAATCTAAAAATCAAATACAACCATATTCACTGCAAAAGAGGAAAAACTGTGTGCCAAAGTCAGCATCGGTGTTTGTTTTGTTTATTCAATAATTTAATACTTTTTCCTGAATACACATTCAATACAACATTGTTACTCAATAATTTACTTACATATGGTTGTGAAAACCCTATTTCTGGACACAAGAGCCTCCGTTAATTTTTGTGTGGACCGCGTATAGCTTTGCCGCAATGGAGCTATGCGGTTTAAAACCTCAATTGAGGATTGCGGAATCAAATAGAGCCGTAAAGGAGAAACGAGGGTTTGCAAAACCGCAAACATTAACAGTTGAGTTTTTCGTTGCTTCGTTAATTAAGTACTAGAGAAGTTTGTTTGTATATAATTATAGCAGCAAATTGTAACACTTATAATTTTCGCGTTAGTGTGTGTTTCAAATGTCTTTTGTTGGTTTGGTCAGCTATGCTTTTTTCCAAGGAAAAACAATGGGACATTTCTGAATTTTTAGCTCAAGGCAGAGGTACAAATGCTTGATTGTGAAGTTGGTATTATGAACTTGCGTCTTGTAGTTTTGAAGTTGTAGGTGACTTTGTAGTTTTGAACTTATGTAGGCTTCTGCATATATTGCATTGATTTTAGAATCTTTGAATTTGTTGTGGTAATAATTATAAGCGTACAA